GCGAGGCCGGCCATGAGGAAGAGGATGATGGTGAGGACGAAGAGGCCGTAGAAGGTGAGGTTACGGCGACCCATGCGGTCAACGAGGTACCACGACATGGTGTTGCCGACGAGGGAGATGACTTGCTGGACAATTTGGAGCTTGAAGGACATTTCAGTCGTGAAGCCGGCAAGCTGCATGTAGTAGGTGGAGTAGCTGGCGGCGAAGGCAATACCGCTGAGGGCTTGGATGGAGAGGGGAAGGATGGAGATGATGGTGCGGCGGAGGTTGGATCGGCGGAAGCATTCGAGGTAGGTGACACCTTCAGTCTCCTTGCGAACTTCGTTGAGCGTGTTGGTGATAAGGGCGAGTTTCTTCACACCTTCTTCGCCCTTGTAGCCGAGACCTGACAGGGCTTTAAGGGCCTGTTCAGGACGTTCCTTCGATGCGAGCCACCAGGGAGACTCGGGCATGAAGGGCCAGAAGATTGCGGAGATCGCAGCGAAACCGTACTGAGAGCAGAAGACGGCACGGTAAGCCCAGCGGTTGGTGTAAACGCCAGTCCAGTTGACGATTAAAGCGACGACGAGGGGCCCCAAAGTATAGGCAAGGGCGGTCAAACACGTCAGCATACCACGGAGGGCAAGAGGAGCGATCTGCAGGATGAATTAGCATGTATGCTGGTGAGTTTGCGAGTGGTGAGAACATACTTCGCCAATATAGGTAACTGTTACTGAAGCGAGGGCACCGACAACGAAGCCGTTCAAGAACTTGCCACCAAAGAAAACACCATTGGTTGTAGCAACAAATTCCATAGTGACAGCCGCAAATGTGACCACAAGGCACAAGGCGACGACCATTCGTCGACCGAGCCAGTCAGCAAGTTGACCACATCCTAGAGCACCAACGATAGCACTTTGACATATTCGTTAGCTTCAATGCCATATGAAGACTTGGGGCTATGAGGAACTTACGAAGCAACCGGAGCTCCCTGGAAAGCACTCTGCCACTGAGCATCAATGACATAAGTAGTAGACCCATCTGCAGCCGTGATTGCGTGACCGAAATCTTTCCTGAACTCAGGAATACCGATGACGTTTCCAGAGGCCTGGTTCTCGAAAGACACGAGCAAAACACACCAAACGGCGTATATGCACCAAGCACAAGCCCATGGGTATTTCTTGAATGACTCTAATTTGCCAACTTCATGGTCTTCTTGGTTGGCGAGATGGCCCAGTTGTGTCGTTTCGGCGTCTGTTGCTGATACAGGTAGATGCTCGTTGACCTGAACATTGTCGACTTTGTCGAGCTGCTCCGTGTGTTGAGCCATGATTGAGGTAATCAGGAACGATCAGGACTCTCAAGCGTTGAAATCAAGTATAGAGTAAGGAGGTCGGCGGAAGCGAACAAAGCAATCCGATTAGCCTTTTTGGGTACAGATATGTAATAAGTACCGTCCTAGAACCTCAATGTTCTCAAAACCCAAATGAATGGTCGAAATATAGCAAAGGAATCCGGCAACCCGGTTGGTTTTATACACTGCAGTGCTTCCACGATCCCATAGACGTGGAGATCGGCCAATGCTGGAGCCCCGTGGGCTCGAGTAGCAAATTAAGCTTAGTTTCGTGTAATCCGGGTTCGGAAAAGTAATATCGTCACCATCGGCTCACGCTCAGGACCTGATCGCTTGTCGCGTGGCCTCCAGGGTGGATCTCTGGTCTGGAGATGGGCCTGCCCGGTTCGTAATTGCATTCGTTTCGAGCCCCAACGATGTGCTTTGTGGAGGCAATCTCCCCCCAGATTCCAATACTTCGGGGATGATTGCAAGGATTTTCCTGCTGTCATCCTCGAATGTTCGGACACTAACCGTGATGGAGCATTAGCTGGATGCTAAACAAGCGCGACTCCTATTCACCGAGGATTTGCCAAAGTTCTGCCGGTCCTTTCTCGATGCACAATAATGTATACATCTCTTCGATTGTTTAAAAGACTCGTTGTCTGTCTGCTTCTGGCAATTGTAACCACTTCATTGATGGGGTTCTCATGTCGGCCGAACATTGTCGGTGCTGCACAATCTCAGCTCAGTATCGTGACATGTAGCAACGCATCACCAGGTCTGCAATCACCGTCTTCGAGCCTACCTACTGCGTTGTAAAATAAGATCTCAAGAATATAGAAATTTCCATCTATGGCATCTACGAAGAAGCATGAGAGGCTCTGCGCGGTGCAGTATCGGCGAACGCGATGCAGGTCTCGCTATGCAGGTCTCGCCAGAAATCTTCAACTCTGTCCTGGACCCAACAGTTTGCCCCAGTCCAACTAACGTATCGTAACCCACACGAATCTAGAGCTAGCCGAACCCCATGGGCACCATTGATACAGAACCAACGTGTCAGGCCTCGTTCAAATGCTCTGGTCGAGTAGATGGCTATTGCATTGAATGCTGGTAAGTAAATGAATTCAACTGGGGTTTCCTTTCAACACAATCTTCAACATGCCGTCATAAATTGAATACCAAGAATCTTCAACGTGTGACGCGGTTCGCCCGTCAGAGTTGAGCCGCATTACCCTAGTCAAGCCACCAGGCTCGTTTGCGTGATGTTGAAAGGAGGCGGTCAATGCTTAGTTTAGCATAGACGACAGAACCAGGAGGACCCATTTCTCGGAGAGACCACAACTGGCTGAGACGTGGAGTACGCGGCAATATTCCGGGATCAGTTGATGGAAACATTCGTACATATCCCTATTTGGGGATCAGTAGGCATTGTAGGCACTGTAGGCATTTGCTCCTCCGATGCCTGTCTTGCGATTACATTGCAATTCTCTCAAGTTGGGACGGAAATGCTAAGATGAAAGCGAAATTTCTTGACAACTTCGCCAAGTCGGCACCAAACGCCTCATCCAGACTTGCATGAGTCTTTTCGCAGAGCCTCAGCCATGGCACGAATTGCCGGGAATAGGCGAACATTTCCTGATAATTCCAGAAGAACTAGGTTCGGTCGCATTCGATTTGGCTTCACAAAAACATTCACAAGCTTGCAAGAGCCAAAACAAAAATGTCCGTCTAGAACAAGGCACCCGTGAATATTAATCAGATGATGCTCTATGCTCTAGAGATATGATGGCTCCGCCACTATAAGCCCTCCACACAACTCCAGTCGTAATCTTTTGTATTGGGGTATGGCTAAATCTGCTCGTAAAGGGTAGTTGAACTTTCCACTCGTTGAAATGTGTGGAATCAGTTGTCCAGGATTCCCGAGCAATTTTAGCCTCCCCAATGGGATGCTTGGAGCCTTTAATATCTTCTTCTGTGCGTTTGCTATGTGTATTGTTTCCGACGGCGACGGATGCCATTTCCGACGGCCGAAATCTGCGGCAGCAACAAGAAAGGGGGTCTTATTATTGGCTCACTCTCTCTTAATGGACACCTACTTATCCGACGTACAAGCTCCCTACCAAGATACTTAGACTCCAGTGCATGGGGTTTTGTAGTCGAAGACTCTTCACTCGAGTGTAACGAGAAATGGAATCACAGAAACAAGTAAACGAATTCGTGAGGGTGTTCGAATATGTGGTCACTCGTCACACTTTCCTACCCGCCAAAATCAATGTGACGATAATATCCATCCCACAAATACTGAGTCCATTCAATTAGATTAGCGGAAGATGGAAGAGGGTTTTCGTCATCTCTTCGATCTAGCTTTCTCCACCGGCTTGTTCTTGTTTCCACTGACTGAGCGGCGTGTAGTCTAAGGCCTGCGCGAAGTTTATGCCAGTCTGCTTAGCAAAATCGCCTCTCACTCACTCTATACTGGATCTTCCTTTCTAGTTGTCCCTCGAGACTTGACGTATCTATCGTTTTAACGGATGATTCTCAAAGCAAGGGCGCGAGAAGCTTGGTGGCAATGCCAGTGGCCCAGTGGCAATGAAGCGACTGGAAAGTCCCACAAGGACTTCACTGGTGTACTGATTCACCCACATCCGCCCATCATTATCGTGGGGTCAAAGCAAACAGATCAATCTACCAAAGATTCCAGCTGCTCGTTCAAAGAAATACCAAGCGGGACGCTCTGTGTGGCATGCTACGTAGAATACCTGCATCCCATCAAGATGATTCCTTCTGGTGAAATACTGCAGACGATCAGCCGAACAACCTCCACCCCTTTAGTATTTCACTCGCGATGAAAGACTACACGTGCCTGGTCTTGACTCCATGACTACGTGTGTGCGAGTCAGGGGGCGGCGAGCGTCCCAAGCACATGACTGACATGGGGCAGTTTGGGCTGGAACTTCAGAGCCGGGGCGCACGATGGGCAGAAAAAGACAATTCATTCGTTTACGGCGTGGCGATGAATTATTAGTGATTGCAAGGGCGGTGACACGCAGCCCCAGATAGTGCTCTGATGCGTCTAAGTAGTTATGTTGATTTCAGCGCGTCCAACGAATGTTTGATCGGATTAGGTTGATCTGTATCTCTACTATTGTAGTAGGCACAGCAGACCTATAACCTGATATCTTTGTAGCAGGCTCCTTCATTATTGGTGTTTATGTTAGAAGCATCTCATCTCCAGTTCACGTCATGTACCAAGAAGTTGAGAATGGCGTTGCTATGAAAACGGCTTTGGCACAGTAACATTCAACACCACAGTGTTTAGTGCTGCACACCTCTCCAGATGCTATGCTTATACGCGGATAGTTCCACCACAATGATGATTCTAGACTTGAGTGTTCAAGGCAGCCTTATACACCTCACTCTACCATTCTGTGTGCGTCTTTACAACACTACCTACAGTAGCAACAAATTACCTTAGGCCGATATTCAACATAAAGTTTCTTTAATCTCCAATCATTCTCATGATTGGAATGGCGTTCCTGTATTCACACTTGCTTTTGCTCACACTGGTCTGGAAATGTTGGCGCACCCTGTGTTCCTACATTCAATACTATATCGCAACGTGCTTCCAGCAATGATCGTGTTAAATACTTCGCAAAGGTAGGACGAATTTAATCATGATGAAAAAGAATCGGTAAGATGAGAGTGATTATTTTGAACATAAATCGTAAGATGTTGGGGAATTGTCGCAAATATGATTTTGTACATTCTACTGGGCTTGTAAATAGATGACACAAAATAGCCAACAGTAACTCAACAATAAAATAAAATACTCTACAGCTCACGATTCCAACTTCGAAAACACAAATATAAGGTAAAACATTTTCCTCTTCACAATTTAAATATAAAAATAAAATATACTTCACTGTCTAACCATACCATGCAACATCAACTCTATATCAAACACGCACCAATCATCAATATCTTGCGTCGTTAATGAACGAACACTCCCCCAACAGCCCGTGAAACAAGAAACCCCCATTAACAGCACCAGTCATCTATGATAGATGATTTCCTGGAAAATTTCTATAGCGCACATCCTCCACTTAATATCTCACACCACACTCAGCGCATCCCATACCCGCTCACAGTTAGCAACCCTAACGCCTCTTTCCCCCCATCACCGCCACAAAAGGCAAACCGCCCTCTCCATGCGCAATTCATCAACTCAACTTCTATTCTACATGTTCGCGCTTGGAATATCGCAAAGAAGACTTTCCAGCGAAGTGTTGGTGTCCGAAAAGGGGAATGCCGTGGGTTCCGGGGTTTCCTGATTGGGATAGGGCTGTGAAAGAAAGAGACGATGTAGTGGTCTGTATGGAGGGACGGGTAGGCGGGAATGCTAAGATGGGGAATGGGTTACTCTCGTAAGGGATGATTGCATATTGTGGGGTCATAGGGATCGGGGTTGTGACGTATGTGGTGGGTGATGACAGGAAAACAGTGACAGAGTGACATGGAGTGACTTTGACTTTTACTTTCAATATATTGTTTACTATCTTTCCAACTCTGCTATGCTATGAATAGATATCATCATCTCTAAAGTCGTTAATAAGCGTCAAACAACAATGCGTGCGAAATCTGGTATTGAACGAAATCATTCCCCCGGACAACAAAATTATGCAGAGCCACCCTTTTTCTTTCTCTAGATGGTGGCGTCAATGTCGTCGAGGATCTGCACCTTGATGCTTCCGTTGGTGAGGTCGGAGCAGGTGTGCAGGGCTTCGAGGGACTTCTCCAAGGGGTAGGTGTGGCTGACGAGGGGCTTGAGGTCGAGGATACCGCCGCCGAGGCACTGGAGGCCGGCGGGCCAGGTGTCGCGGTAGCGGTTGATGAATCGGAGGTCGATCTGGAAGACATAAGGTTAGTACATACGGTGGGGTTGGAAGGTTGGGATGGGGACTCACCTCGGCGAGGGAAAGGTGCATGAAGGGGAGGTTGTTCATGATCTCCCTTCCGACTCCAATGACCATGACGGTTCCTCCTCTTCGTGCAAGGAAGCAAGATGTGATGACGGAGCTCTCGACACCAGTGCACTCGAGCACAGTCTCGGGGGCGGCGTACTCGCCAACAACATCTCCCTGGACACCGACACCGAACAGCTTCCTGATCTCCTTGGCGTTGCCTTCGGCATTGAGGTCCTTGCGAACTTGGTATGTGATGGCAGACGGGACGAACTTCTTGGCAAATTCGAGACGGCGAGGCTCAAGGTCGGTGATAACGAGAGGGTGAGCACCAGAGGCACGGGCAGCAGCAAGCGCAATCAGACCGATAGGACCGGCACCGCAGATGACTGCTCCACGACCGAGAGAAAGACCAGCGGAATTGATTCCGTGCATCACGACGGAGAGAGGCTCCAAAAGAGCACCCTCAGAGTAGGTAACATTGTCAGGGAGCCTTAAGAATCATTGTTAGCCTTATGTTGCGATTTGAAGATATGACGAAACCGAGAATACATACTTGTGGCACCATTTTGCGGGGTGGACCTTGTATCTTTGGATCGTTCCGTCATAAGGGTAGACACCAGCGAATTGAACGTCTTCGCAAAGGTTGTAGCGACCATCCTGGCAGAGGAAGCATTTCTCGCAGGGAACACCGGGCTCCAATGCGACACGATCGCCTAGCTGGAATCAGCATGCTACAAATAACGGCGAAGTTGTCGTGTATAACATACCGACTTTTAAGTTTGTGACGCCCTCTCCAGTCTGAAGGACAATACCTGCGGCCTCGTGACCCAAAATACAATCACCCTCAACAACCAAGGAGCCGATACGTCCGGCCTTCCAGAAATGGATGTCCGACCTGTTAAGGTAAAATTAGTCGCAAACTCTAGCATTGGGGGAGAAACCGGGCAAAACGAACCCGCAGACGCCAGTCGCCTTAATGTGTAGCAGGACTTCTCCACTGCGAGGCGCATACACAGGCGCTTCGACCTGCTTTAAAGTGTGTTCCGCGGTAACCTGTAGGGACGGATTCGGGAGAGGAGCCTTTATGATTTTGTGTAATGGGTTCGAAATGCCATTTGATGCCTTCGGGCCAAGTTTAGACTCAATTGGAGCCGAGGCGGGGATATCTGCGACGATTGAAGGTGCCATTTTTCGTGTGAATCGCTGTACGCGTGTGGCGACAAACTGGTCCTGGAGGAACGAAAGACTTTTGGAAGATAGGGATATGAGAACAACAAAACGGTGGGCGAGATGGGAAGTATGTAGGATGGAACAAGACGCGACACGGGAAAATAACGGCACGTGGTAGCGCAATCTTTTAAAAGTATCGAAAGGCGTCCTGGCCAGAAGAGCCAGAAGAGATCAGTTGGAAGATGGACGAGTGGAAGAATTGCCGTATTCTCCTAAGATTCCTCCACAAGTTCCCATCAGTCACAGGGACCAGAACGTTTGAATCGAAGATGCAGAGTGGCGGTCCCTTATTCGGGAGCAATAGGCACTTCTTTGGTTCATTCTCTGATTGGTCAACACGCAAGCTGAAGCGCATAATTATGCCCGCTTGAGGTACTTTAGTCGCCGGTGCTTCTCACTTCCCCTTTGAGATGGAAAGTACCCCGGATTTCCCAAAAGGGCAATCCTTTGCCATTCGATCCCTCGGTGACACTCAGGTTTTGCAGCCGGCGGTAAACACAATGTCCTGGTTCAAGAGTACAAATATTTTTGCTCTCGCGCCTTTTTATGGCAGACAAGTCTTCCCCAAGAAAGGTTTCCAATTTTACACCGTCACCATGACTGCCGACAGCAACCCCCAAACCAACGGCGTTAGCCAAACGGAGTACGGCAAGAATGTCGTCGACTTGCTCAAGAAGGAGGAGAAGATCGAGGCCAAGAGCGTCGCAAAGCTCTCAAAGGAGCATGATCACGTACTCAAGAGCTTTAGGCTTTTGATTGCTGACCTCTGCCAGCAGTTCAGCGGTGGGCACCCTGGGTGCGTACACACAAGTGCCGGAAACTGTCGAGAAGCGATGGATAAGCTAACGGGAATGCAGAGGAGCTATTGGCATGGCTGCCATCGGTGTCGCTTTGTGGAAGTACGTGATGAGATATGCACCCCATACTCCCGACTACTTCAACCGCGATCGATTCGTTCTCTCCAACGGTACGTTGACTCTGGAATGCAACCAATTGGCAAGGAAATTCGCTGATGAGCTCTAGGCCACACATGTCTGTTCCAGTACAGCTTTTTGCACTTGACTGGCTACAAGGCCATGACCTTTGACCAGCTCAAGTCATACCACTCCGACCGCGTAGATGCGCTCTGCCCAGGACACCCTGAGATCGAGCACGAGGGCATTGAAGTCACCACTGGACCCCTCGGCCAGGGTGTTGCCAACGCCGTCGGCCTTGCCATTGCCACGAAGAACCTCCAGGCCACATACAACAAGCCTGATTTCGACGTTGTTTCGAACCACACATGGTGCATGATTGGAGATGCTTGTCTGCAGGAGGGTGTCGGTCTTGAGGCTTTCTCCTTTGCCGGCCACCTTAAGCTGAACAACCTCACTGTCATCTACGACAACAACCAGATTACTTGCGACGGTAGCGTCGACTTGACCAACACTGAGGACATCAACGGAAAGATGCGTGCCTGCGGATGGGACGTTATCGATGTTGAGGATGGTTGCTACGACATTGAGGGACTCATCGCTGCCCTCGAGAAGGCGAGAGCATCCACTGACAAGCCCACATTCATCAACGTTCGCACCGTTATTGGTATCGGCAGTGCTGTTGCTGGCCAGGCCGTCGCCCACGGAGCCGCTTTTGGCAAGGATGACGTTGCCAACATGAAGAAGATGTACGGTTTCAACCCCGAGGAGCACTTCGTCATCAGCGAGGAGGTCCGCAACTTCTTCTCCAGCTGTGTGCCCAAGGGCCAGGAGCACGTTGCCGCCTGGGAGAAGAAGGTCCAGGAGTACGAGAGCAAATACCCCGAGCTTGGTGCGGAGTTCCGCAGGCGTCGCGAGGGCAAGCTTCCAGAGAACTGGAAGGAGTTGATTCCCACATCTTTCCCCGAGAAGGCCACTGCCACCCGTGCCTCCTCTGGTCTCGTTTTCAACCCCATCGCCGCCGAAGCCAACAACTTCATGGTCGGTACCGCTGACCTTTCGCCCTCCGTCAACATGATCTGGAAGGGCAAGGTCGATTTCCAGCACGTAAGTAACAATTTCCGCTCAGAAACAATCAGAAACTGACTTTATACAGCCCGATCTCAAGACCACTTGCGGAATCAATGGCAACTACGGTGGTCGATACATCCACTACGGTGTCCGTGAGCACGCCATGGCTGCCATCTCTAACGGTCTTGCCGCGTACGCGCCAAACACTTTCGTCCCTGTCACCTCATCTTTCTTCATGTTCTACCTGTACGCCGCACCGGCCGTCCGCATGGGTGCTCTGCAGCACCTCCAGGTCATCCACGCCGCCACCCACGACTCCATTGGAATGGGTGAGGATGGCCCCACTCACCAGCCTATCGAGTTGGCTGCTCTTTACCGTGCGATGCCCAACCTTCTCTACATCCGACCTGGTGACAGCGAGGAGACTGCTGGTGCCTGGATCGCCGCCATCGAGGCTAAGAACACCTCTTCCATCATCTCCACCTCTCGCCAGACTCTGCCTCAATTGAAGCAGACCAGCCGCGACGGAGTCCTCAAGGGAGCCTACGTCTTGGAGGAGGACGAAGACGCAGAGGTCACCATCATCGGTGTCGGAGCCGAGCTTTCTTTCGCCATTGACGTTGCTAAGGAACTCAAGGCCACCAGGAACGTCAAGGCCCGTGTCATCAGTTTCCCCTGCCAGCGCATCTTCGAGCAGCAGTCACTGGAGTACAAGCGTGACGTGCTCAGGAAGCACCGCGTCCCTGCCGTTGTCATCGAGCCCTACGCTCCCAACGGCTGGGAGCGATACGCCAACGCTGCCATTAGCATCAAGAGGTTCGGTCACAGTCTCCCCGGCAAGGCTGCGTACAAGTACTTCGGATACGAGATTGGCACCATGACCACCAAGATTGGTGACTACCTGGATAAGATCAAGTCTGACGAGATCCTCAAGCAGGAGTTCGTCGACCTATGAGGAATGAATTAAGCTTTCTGCTTGAGGCGTTGTTTTTCATCTTGCATTTTCAGGCGTAGCATCAATTTTCATCAAAAGATCCATCATGATGTAGATAGATAGATAGACAGAAGACAGAGTTAATGAACAAACTTCAAATATCCATGCATTCTTCTTTGCTCATTTGGACCTCGCCTCATTCACTGTTCGAAAATACGAGTCAATAATGTGGAGAATGCGAAGCCGGGGCGAAGGTCGGGGCGCCACTAAGAAGACCGAGGACATCGCGTGATCACCTGACAAGGACTAGAACCTCACTAAACCCACACTATTGCACCCCTACACCTTTTCCCCGCTCTTTGCTCCCTCCCCTGTTCAGACGCCCTGCAGGTCAAGACATTTTCTGTTTCTAGCTTTCCCCAGCCGCAGATACACCTATATATTCAACACCTCGAATGCAAATCTGATCTTGTCCTTCCCCGTCAAATTCTACGACCCCTGATGTCCGCCGATGAACCAATGAGCAAGCGACGCAGAGTCGACCACGATCCCTCGGAAGACTTCCTCACGACCTTTCTTCCCACACCCAGCACAGAGCACCCATCAGGAATAAGCCTTGACGGATTTCCCATTGATCCTTTCCTCTCCCCGGCTACGAGCTGGGGATTCGACGAGCTCGCCCATGATCCGAATTACTTAGCCTCGCAGGAGGAGCTGCGATCCCTTCTGTTCAACACCGCTCGGTCTGCAGCGCCGACGCGGGCAGGGACGCCGCTGGAAGACGACGACGAGAATGAAAACTCAACCAACGAAAACGACACGCACGACCCGAATTTCAACACGAAGCAGGTCCTCGCCAAGGGGAGACGAGTCCAGTATCTGAAGAACTACATTTCCCAGGTCGCTCCATGGGTATGTTAAAACCGCCTTCCCTTCTCAATTTGCACGTGACAATTGAAAGACCGCTTTTCGGAACGCCCCAACTAACCGATGTGAAAAATTTCCAGCTCGACATGTTCGACAGCACCCGCGTATTCGGGATCCAGCTCCCCGCGCTGGCGAAGAAGTCCCCGCCACTCATGTACGCCATCCTCGCCATCGGGGCGCGCCAGCTCGAGCGGAGAGAGAAGATCCAGTCTTCCTTCGACTCGCTGGAGTTGTACCAGGAGGCTATTCGCCTCCTTACGCCGCTGCTGCAGGCTCGTGACCCGCATGTGATCGCGACCTGCGTCGTTCTGTGCTGCTTGGAGATGTTTGCTGCGAGCGCTCAGGACTGGCGCCGCCATCTTGAGGGCTGTGCGGCGGTTTTCGATGCGTTTGGCGTGCACGGTTTCAGTGGCGATGTGCTCCAGGCGGTTTTCTGGTGTTATGCGCGCATGGGTGAGTCATGATTTTGATTTTCAGCAAGATTCGACTATTACATTATTTCTGACTATATTTTTTCGCAGATGTTTGCGGTGCACTTATCTCGGATGGCACAGAGAGCACTTTGCTCAAACCTTCTAGCTGGCTTCCCCCAGACACCCCTGAGGAGTATGCGGAGACCCTCTTCCGCAGCCAGACGTCACCTGATATGTATGCGAATTTCGCGGTCTACCTGTGCGCAAAGGCGTGCGAGCTCATTTCCGATCGCAACAAGTTCGTCGAACTCGGCGAGGACAACGGATGCAATACACGCCAATTTCAGAACCGATGGACCCGACTGTGGGACCAGCTATCGAACTGGGCTCTTTACCGACCTAAGGAGATGTTGCCCGTAGAAAGTACATCTTCGGTGCCCTTTCCGCATATATTCTTCTCCCACTGGGCGGCCATTTCTTCCAACCAACTATATCACACTGCTTGTGTGCTTCTTCTGGGTTCTCATCCAAAATCTAAGTCTATTCCGCCCTCACCGACTACTTCTGTACTGTGGCACGCAAGGCGCATTTGCGGCATTTCTTTGGCGAATCCCCATGAGGGCTGCTTAAATAACGCCATTCAACCGCTTTGGATTGCTGGCAGACTCCTGAGTCACACTTCCGAGCAGGCGTTGGTCGTCAAGACAATTCGTCACATTGAGGCGATGACCGGATGGACTGCGTGCTGGAGGATTCGCGATCTAGAGAACGTCTGGGGTTATAAGGTTCGTGGGGAGGTTTGAACAGGAAAAGCCCCTATCTCCGTTCAATTCACTCACCATCCCTCCGCCAAACGCCACTCCTCTTGCAAGGCATTTAGGTGCCGCGGGATTTTCCACGAAGTCAAGCGATCCATCCCTCCAATCGCGGTTACGATGGCTGTGTGTTGGCTTCGGTGCGTTGCCGTGCGTGCAGCCGCAAGGAACGATGCCAAAAGGCAAGGATCCCAACATTCTCGCCTGTCATTGTTTGTAGCGATGCCACAAACTCTCCGAGCGTGCCACAATATGGACATGAACGGAGAACTTGAGCTTCGCTGCGTGGAAAACCTCGGTTTGTTCTGTAATAACAGAAGCATACCAGTGTGGTACAACTGATTGGCAAGGATCGCCGCACCGTTCGTAAATACGATTGTAGGGAACTCGTCGTCGCTGTGTCTGCCATCACGAGGATACAGTTCGACAATAGGTCGAAACTCGCGCGGTCGGTTGTTGTATGATTGCTCAAGCGACTGGACGAGATTTGTCCATGCTTCTACACGATTTCGACCGTAGCGGCGCTCGATGCGCTTGTCGTCGTCTTCGTTACAAAAGACGCAGGCCTCTAAGCAGACAGCTATCGCATCACGAGATACCTGCAGAACAAGATCCTCATTTCCTGCATAATTACGGCTAAGAGATGTGGTTGGCGCGAATGTGGGCAGCGTTGCTCCAGTAGATGTCCCCGCAAGTGCGATGCTCAATTCTATTGTTGGGTGTCAGTAGAAGTCAAATCTAGAATAGTATCACACATACGTAGCCTAGCCAATAGCCAATACACTGATGACGCTAGCGGACTGGTCTCGAGATGAGGCAAAAGCATCTCCTCGATTCCTTGTCCATTAAGGCTATGCTCTTCGCGCATCCAAAATTTGTCCAAGTCTGCTATTGCGTGTCTTGTGATCCCCAGCATTTTGGCAAGGGCACATGTAAGTGTACCCTGTTCACATTCTCGCTGTTGGAGAATGTCGGCGATCAGAGAGACGTCCAGCGCCCCTTCTTCTCTGTTGTACGGTTGTTGGATGGACAGTGAAGTATCTGCAAGTGCGAGAAGTCCGTAGCGGATTGCAACGGTGTCTGTAGAAAGCTGCAAAGCCTCGCATCCAAAGCTCTGATGCGTATCGCCCATGTCTAGCTGTTGAGTAAATCATGTTAGTAATAATTCTCTATGTATTGTATCAGCTTGGCGTGGGTGAATAACTTACCCATGGTGCAATCTCATAACGATAATGCTTCAATAATTCAAGAACTCGCTCCTGGCTCAGCTCTTGCTGCTCGGATGCTTCAGGGTGGTCGGTAAGCTGCCATGACTGTGATGTCCCGCCAACATCTTGTCGCCCCTCATTCGTGAAGACCTCGTGCAGTTGCTGCCCAAACGTTGGGGTCGTATCCTCCCGGGATAAACTTGCCCGATGATCCGTAACCGACATCTCGGGCGAGAACTGGATCTGCTCGCCTGGAATGGGTTCGTGCGAGGTGCCCAAGGCAATCAAGCCGTGGAGAGCGAATTCATAGTTGTCTGACGATGTCCGTCCGGTGCTGCTTTCATTCGGCTTGACGTGCTCCTGCTTGGGCTCTACGTGGCTATTGCTGCCCACGCTTTGCTCGTGAGGCAGCTGTTCATATGTTGCGGTACTCAGAGGTGATGTTTGTACCTTGTCTGATGGTGATGTTGTTGTCGCGAGCGCTTCTTCAGTCCCAGGCTCCGCGTGCGCTTTACTGTCGCTGTCCACTGGTAAGAACTATCACATTCCCACCCAAAGTTAGCATACCATGGTACAGTGGATCACGATCTGATCATGAAGAGAGAAGTTGGTATTCCTCTTACATACCCTGAGATTAGTGTACTTCACATTTGTAGCAACCTCGGGCGTGTAGTTGTTCTTGCCTAAGAACTGGAAGGTGGCTGGGTACTTGCACTCGAGGCCTTTTCCAACGCAATTCTGGCATGTTGGCTTAGCTTCGTCGCCTTCACAGTCCAGATTAGTATTCGAATATGAGTATTAACCCTACTATTGAATTGCTACATGTCTTGTTTTGTTGTTTTGATGTTTTGGTTATGATTGTAGGGTTGGGACAGCATCCAATCAGGAGGTGGGTGGCTAAGACTTACACTTTCGTCGCCGTGTTCGACAGGTTAAACAGCCCGTCCTGGAGCGCTTTGGCCTAGGATTTGTTTGCGTAGTATTTGTAGTAATAGTAGTAGTAGTAGCAGAAGTAGTAATTGGGGCAGATACGTCATGCTGTTTTTCACCAACTGTAGGAGTAACAAGAGCAGCAGCGGGGGCACCGGCAGCCCCTTCGGAAATGTTTGATGGGTCCATATTTGTTACCTCTCTCCAGCGAGTGCGAGGGATGTAGTCGGAGATTCATATCATTACTGAATTGTCGTCGAGTAACGGATGGTAAACCAAAGGCCAGTCACAGGTACCTCGTAGTGTGCGTGTATGTGGAGTAGGTATGCAGTCGGTGGTTGCATAGACTTCTGTTGCGGCAAGACCTCGGAATGGAAGAAAGACAGCGGGGGTGGTTTTAATTACCCAACAAGGCAAGAGGAGCTGGAACTGTGATATTTGCTGATGCGGGGGCAGGTATACCTTGAGCTCTCGTACAAGGACAACAGCAACAAAACAAACAAATACGCAAGAAGGAAAGAAATAGGCCCTTCATTACTCCTGCGGTTTCAGTATGCGGGGGCAAAAAGCCAACGTGCTGCATCCGGGGCTCTTCGCGGCATCCACGGTATGGAATTCCGGATGCTACGTCAATGTCCAAAAGAGGAAATTGTAGCCACTCACCGTGGAACTCTATGGGACCGGACTCGACTCCACCAGATCTCAGCGCCATCTAAACTACGTAGTTACTGGACTTCGGTCCACAAAAACTTTTCGCTCCATACTGAGAGGTGGCTTGGATATGCCATACAGAAGGGGTCCACTAATTCAAAAGCTCTCAGCTTGCAATTGTTTTTAACCCCTCCATTCCTTTCCTCTCAACTGCTTGTTATCCAAAATTTCTACTCTGATACCCTTTCAATTGTATTGTTTTTAGTTCAATTTCAAAATGGTCCAGTCTACCTACAAGTTGGCCTCCGGCCATGAGATGCCCCTCGTCGGTTTCGGTCTATGGAAGGTTCCCAAGGAGACTGCTGCTGATACCGTTTACAACGTGAGTCCTCAAACACTGCTGAATCACTCTCTCATGATTGAATACTTACTCATTCTCTCGAATAGGCTATCAAGGCTGGCTACAGACTTTTCGACGGTGCATACGACTACCAGAACGAGAAGGAGGCTGGTGAGGGTGTCCGCCGCGCCATCAGCGAGGGCCTCGTGAAGCGTGAGGACATCTTCATCACCACCAAGCTCTGGAACAACTACCACAGCAAGGAGCACGCAGTCCCTATGGCCAAATCTCAGAACGAGGCCTGGGGTCTCGGATACATTGACCTCTTCCTCATCCACTTCCCCTGCGCTCTCGAGTACATTGACCCTGAGGTCAAGCGCTACCCCGCCTGGTGGGCAGAGGACGGCACTTCCGTCAAGCCCGCCAACGTCCCCATCCAGGAGACCTGGAAGGAGCTCGAGAAGCTCGTCGATGAGGGTATCGCCCGCTCCATCGGCGTCTCCAACTTCCAGGCCCAGATGCTCTACGACCTCAACACCTACGCCCGCCACCCCATCTCCTCCCTCCAGATCGAGCACCACCCCTACCTCGTCCAGCCCAACTTGATCGCGATGGCTCAGACCCACAACATTGCCGTCACTGCCTACTCCACCTTCGGACCCCAGAGCTTCTTGGAGCTTCCTCCTCAGTTCAGGAAGCGCGCCGAGAGCGCCGGTCCTCTCTTCGAGAACGAGAAGATCAAGAGCATCGCCTCCAAGCACAACGTCACCCCCGCCCAGGTTCTCCTCAGGTGGTGCACTCAGCGCAACATTGCTGTCATCCCCAAGTCCAACAGCCCCAATCGTCTTGCCCAGAACTTGGATGTTCTCGGCTTTGACCTCACGAACGAGGAGCTTGAGACCATTGCCTCGTTCGACATTGGCCTCAGGTTCAACGACCCCGGTTTCTACCTCCCCAACCACCCTCTCCACATCTTCGCTTAGACGCATATACCTCATGATGAAAATGAACGGATGTACATAGATGATACTCATACGAAGGAAAACAAATAGACTTGTGGACTGAATTAAATATATTCTTCCAACTAATTAACGTTGATCTACACCGTAGTCCGTGACGCAATGATTTGCACAATTATCCTATCGTTGTGTTGTCAATTCGTGATTCAGGAGAGATCACTTGTTGAGGGCAATTCTATAGAATGTTAATTTAGAAGCGGATTGCAAGAGAACGAACTTACTCAATGATATTGTGAAGCTGGCCCGTCTGAAACAAGACGGACCAGCGAGCTTATGATTTTGCAGGTGCCTAATACTGGAGGGCAATGTAATTATGCCCACAAACATCTCTCATCAATTCTTGTGGTATCGATTGCCTGTGCTCGTCCAAGTTGCGGTCATTGACTTCTTGACCCAGTCAGGGTCACGCAAAATTCGCATCCTCAATCGTCTGCATCGTCCCCATCCCTACCAGGGCTTCTACTCCGGTTCCTGGCCCTCCCGCTCCTCCTGTCACGGTCGTCGCGGTTACGTCCTCCCTTGGTGGGCGGCGGCGGCCTCACAAACGCGAAATCGACACCGACGGTCTGCTCGAGCAATTCCTTGCCATGCGCCTCCTTGATAGCAGCGTTCGCCTCATCGAGAGTAGGATACTCAATGAGCACATATCCCTAAGCCCACATTAGCATCCGCGCGTCTCAATTACTACCCAACTTTCCATCACAGCCTTCTCTTCTCCCTCGAGCGAGCTCGGGAATTAACGCACCTTCACATAACCCGTCCGTCGATCCAAATTGAGATGTAGGTTCTTGATCGTCCCGAACTCGCCAAACATGTCGTGCAGGTCCTCCTCGGTCGCTTCTTCGTGCACATTGGTCACGATGATGATCCAACCTTCTATACTTCGGACGGCGGTTGCGCCGGCGGCGGTGCGCGCATCGCTGGCCTTGGCTTCGGTCGCCTCGACGGGAGGGTCAATTTCCATTTCTGTGTCGGCCATGTTGGTCAATTGATTGTGGTTGTTGTTTGGTGTGTTGTAGGTGGAGGTTGCGATTTCAGTTGGCGCCGGTAGTATCTCTCTGCTCGAGTCTCTACCATGCCAAGACAGGACTTGACTAGCCGTAAGTAGACTAGTCACATCGCAACTCATGAGCGGCATAGGACAAGTAGAGCATTATGAATGGGTCAAACTCACAGTATTGGAAGATATGTACACTCAGAACTGCGGCGAAATATGCGAGAAATCGCACGACACAACCATGATATCAAGGGCCGATTTGACGTATCTGAAGCACACATGCTGCTGTTTACCTATCGTACTTGCACCAATCATGACCGCCATTAGCTGTTTCAATATTTGCTAACTGTGTGTTCAGAGAACAAATATCGCAATAGAATGTCCTAGTGAATCAACATTATTATTATTAGTCTAATCATTTCCCTCTGTTCCAAACTCCGAAAACATAAGAAACCGGCCGCGTTAGTAGATATACCAGGAAGGCTCTATTTAAGACGCCACGCAAAATACGCCGCAACAAGAGCAGCAACACCGCTGATCCTCAACACCCACGGGATCCCGTTGCCCTCTCCAGGCTTGTCCCCCTTGCATAGCCAGAAGATGAAACTGCTGCCAAAAGCAGCCAAGATCTGTGGTATGGAAATCGCAGCATTGTGAACGCCCATGATCGCGCCGCTCTGGGCAGTCATTCCTTCTCGTCCCTTCTCGACTTCGGAGTCATCATCTTCGCCTTCGACTTCGTGCATGGCGATTTCTTCGCCGAGCAGAGCAAAAGGTGCCCACTGCGTGATTCCCCAGGACAGACCGACCAGAGTGACGATGAAGATCGCTGCATTGGTAGAAGAGATAAAGAAGGTGCAAAAGGTGCAGAATGCGTAGAGAAACAAGCTCATGGCCCAGAGAATGTGTTTCTGTCGCCACCAACCTGCACTAACTCTGGCCTTCAGCCCGTCGAGGATGGGCGAGGGGAGTGTTGATTTACTGGCGGCAATGTGTGGGGCGATCACTGTCGTTGCGAAAGCTGTGATGGATGAAAGCACGCTTGCGAACGTCCCTATCCGTATACTTGCGTCTTTCAATGCATCGGTTGGCTCCACACCTTGTTTCCGCGATTCCGCAAGGTAAAGACGGCCGACGTAGGATGTGCTGTAGAATAGGAAACCAAACCAGCCCATCCAGGAACAGAATTGTACTAAGCACACGCGTCGCGCTTGCGGGGACATGATCGCCCAACCGTCTTTAACATCTCGGAAGACGTGGAAAATAGACGTTGGCTCTTGGACCTCTGCAACTAAGTCGCCGGCATGATGTTCGCGGATGAAGAATAGGGTGATGACAACGGTGGAAGAGAGCATGAAGACGGTCAGAAGTGACAAGAAGCGGAACCTCCAGGACTCGTCATCCTCTGCCAGAGGACCAATTGAGAGCGAACCAAGCAGATATCCTAGGATGTTGCTGATACCGGTAAATCGCCCAGCCCAGGCGCTGGCAAGACTTTGTTGCTCTGAGGGGCAGACGTCGACTATCAAGGCACGCAAGCCCAGCTGTAGCGGCTGTACAGCAAGGTTGAGAAGTGCGATACAAACAATAGTACCGACCTGGACGGTTGTCTGAATTGTATCCTTGGATTGGATGCCGAGTATAGCAGTTAGACAACGCATGATATCGTCAATCCATGCTAGCAAAATGATAGAGATGACAACCCCAATTGCTCCACCCAGGATGAAAGGTCGCCTCCGTCCCCAGCGAGACCGAGAGTTGTCTGCTAGTGCACCAACGACCGGTTGAACGAATGCACCGCATATTGGTGCAATGGCCCATATCAGGGAGGATTGCGACTCGGTGATTCCAAGAGAGAAAAGGTATGCCGAGCCATGAGAAAAGATCGTTGACCATACAAACTGGAGTCTATGAAATGTCAGCAATCGGCTCTAAATCCTTACTGGAGAAAATATCAATACCCTCCAATACTGCACGTCAGAGCTATCAACAGCCCAAGGGAAAGCTTTGGAAGCTGATGAGCCTCTTCTGCCAAGGCGGCGGCAGCCATTGATGAACTAGACGTAGGGCTAGATGCACGGATTGAACGACCCCCTGGAATCGCCATTTCAGCTGTCCCGATACTGGGATCACTCGATGTATCTCTCGAGACAGACGTTGTCCCTTGATCGGGTCCAGTTGAGTCTTGTCGAAGCTGACGATACTTGAGGAGGGGTGCGTCCCACCTAAGGATATTTCGGATGCCTAGCGAAGGATTAGGCCGCCCAAACGGGTAGGTCGTTAGGAGACTTCTGCTTACCTTTCACCAGCATCGCTCATCCAGAAATGTTGGAGTTTAAGTCTTTCTCAATTTCTTCGAGATACAAGTTAAGTATGTGCCCCTGATCATCAGCAAAGTCAATAGTTCCACGCAACCCCGAACGCTTCAGCCAACGATCTCCGCGCGGCCAACTGACTAATCAGCAATTGCCTCGTATTCTCGGGACTCAACAGCGATGGGACTTTATTGGTACGGATTGCAGCCTTGACGATCAATATTTTTGTCCCAAACCAAACCCGGGTTGAGCATATCGCCATTAACTGCATTCGAATTAGGAAACACGTTGCCTTTGCAGATCAGATAGGATATTGTATTATCCTCTTGGGATTTTGGGGTTCTCTATACCTTCAAGGCACATGTCTCAGTGTTGTTTCAGTTGGGGAACCTCACAGGATCGAATTTATTATTCACGGTGTACTACAAAGACTTCATTTTCCCAGCTAGCTCCAATATCTCGCGTTACGTCCCATTCATACCGGAGTTCATTTCAATTGCGTGCACATACGCTTGTGTGATCATCGTGCGCTCGTGTGATCCATAAATCCCAGCGAAATGCCTCGAAGGGTCGAACCTCGGTTTCCGAACCATCAGATTTCTTTTGGCCTGAGGCTTCACGTTCAACAAAATTCACTACGATTCGCAAGGGAATATAGGGCCAGATGGTCGGCATGAAAAAGTCTCTTTGCTTCTATAAAACTTATCCAATTGAAGCGCTGAACGCTCTTCTCAGCCTGGAGAATAAAGAGATTGTAAAAACATGCCCACTACATCCGCTGTTTCCACCACTAGCAGCGCATGATGGCAGAGGAAAAGGTGTCGAAGCCACCATTGTTGAAGCAAGTAGAGTCCTCGAGAGTGATGAACTTCTTCTCGCAGTTGTCGTCGCTGAACAGGTCGACTGTTTTCGTTAGTCACATCAAAACTCATATTAGGGACAATTGACATCTCATTTCACGTACGGGTGCAAGTGTCCACATCCCTATAGTAGTCCACGCTCTGGGCAGCGATGGTGAACTTGATGCATTTGCCAGTCAGCGACTGGTTGACTGCATGGGTGTTGATGCTAGCAATGGCACATTGGTAGTTCTTGAACTCAGTGACCCGACCCATAACCGGATTGGCTTGACGACGTTCAGTTGGAGCGGCAGTGGCTACGGTAGCCATAGCGATCAAAGAGGTGACAAGCGTGGAGAACTGCATCTTCAGTGATGATTATCGGTTACTAGTGAATAATCCAAGAATGAACGGAGTGATGAGGCGATGATACTGTAGATGTTGGATTGCTGGACCTATTTATACGTATCTCAAGCTGAGGGGCTTTGAAAACAAGCAAGATGGTATTCCTTGAGTCCTAGACAATTGTGGTCTGGAGAGGCTCCCTCCTGGCTGAACGAGGATCATATCTGGAGCAACATATTAATCTATGAGCGAACCGATTGATTGCATATGCATGTATTCTGCTCCTTAGAAAGCGATTGTATGTAGGCGACATTATCGCTTTTGAGACTGATCCTAGGAGATCTGTCCAGTCATTTCCGGGGGCTGTTCAAGTAGCAAGATGGCCAATATCGACAGAATTCAATAATCCAGAGAGATAACTGATATCAAAATGGTGGGTTTCAGTGGCGAGACTCTTTCCTTTGTATCCGCGCCGCTGTATCAAATAGCGTCTAGTATAGTAATGCACTTACACTGGAAGGCTTATGGTTGTTACGGGGTAGAGTTCGTCCAATGTCCTTCAGATGATGTCTAAATTTCGAAGCCAGCATTGGCTATTCGTGTTGCACAACTACTCAGTCGTGCATTTTGATGAGTATTAAATTCATATCGAACGGATTCCTGTGCTATATGACAGATTTACCTGGGGTGTATCCGACGTGGTCCAATAAGCCTTTAAAGCCTCGTTATTACCGGAGCTATAAACCAGGAGACGATTAAGAAAGGCACCTCCATGACCGAACATGTTGTTTGGAAGGTATTCGGAAGGTATCCGGAGGTTATCTCAGACCCGGATTTTCGGGTTTGTTCAACTCGTGGGGTATCACCCTGCAGTTGTGGGGTAGACTTTACATAAAGTTCTGCTAGGGTTTATATAGCGTAGCATTCACTCATGTATAGCATAACTCTCCAATGCATTTACAATATCAATGTAAAATGTCATTGGTTTACACTTCACCATGTTTTCTTCGAGCCCATTGCGTTAGTACAATTTCTGCAATCCATCTATCGAATAGACATAAGCGGGTCATCTTGATCGATCAAACAGCACCTGCCAATTATCTCGCTCTATTACCCTCAACGTCGATACGGTGGATACGGTCGGTAAGCTTTGACCGGTCAACCGACGGAGTTCATATTGTGAGTGACGGAGGTTTATGCAGTTTGAGGTAAATCTTAGATGGGTAAATGTTCCTAGCGCGCTAGGGCCCCACGGGGTAAATACAAGATACGAAAACTACCCTTTCTAGAAAGTATCCATTAACAGTGTTAACTGCCAGCCGAGTTCGTGGTCAAAAGCAGATGGCGAGATTCTGTGTCATAAAATGATTTCAAGTTCTGTAGCAATACTCCAGTCATCTTGCTATTGGAACGATGGATTCCTCACAACTTGGACGCCGTGTCCCTCCGTCAGATTACAAAAGGCGGGGGGCAAACTGGCCTTCCAATATGAGACTTGGTGGCTAATAGACGAATCGATTTCATTGACTATACTCCCTTAAGGCAGAGCATTTCATGGTCACGGTGTAATGACTGTAAGGCAATATGAAGCAATTTATGGCAGAAAATAACCGAAGAGCACCATGACTAGTCCCTAATGGAGGGCGCAAAGCACCACACAGTGAGTAAAGCCAGATGCACTGAATACACCATGGTCTAATGAATGAGTGTTGAGACGTTGCAAGTATGATCGGACGATCTTTGACCGAGATATATGATGCCTGATGCCTTAGCATGTCAATAGCGAAGCCCAATGGCATTGACAAAGATTCCTTGTCACCTGGGGCGGTTATCGTCTTCCAGTGGCCCATCCGATTTAGATTGAGCAGATATCGGTTTGGACACGAAACAGTGAAAATCAACACCGTTGAATGGGTAGTACATTTTATAGACAATATGGTCTGCAATCAGGGTTTCGTTGAGTGCGAATGTACATAAGCTAGAAACTTCTGTCTACGCCGAGTACATACGTAAAGATTATTGGCACATGATTTGACTTGGTAACTGACTACATGGGGTTTTATATAGTACTTTCAAAAACATGAGCGCGTGCCTAACCAGACCGACCCCATTTCTCCTTTGAAGATTGCAATTGCAGTAAGCGACGATATGAATAATGATCAAGGAGCCTCGAAGTTTCTTGTTTATTTTGGTGTGGAACAGACGAAGTCGTCCCAGATACAAGTTATAGCTCCCTCACACGATTCGAATGAGAGGGAGACGAGGGGGAGACTCTCACCCTCCTTCTTCAATTGTCGTTCTCACCCTGTTTCGCTGCATCCATCTTTCGCTTCAGTATTTCGAACCTATCCAAAGATTCCTTTCTCCACACCTGATCTCGTTCATAATAGTTTTCGCAGACCTGTATGCCTCTTTCCTTCTCCCCCGTCAAATCGACCCAATCAAGCTTCGTCGACGTAAAAATGTGAACATCCGGCTTGACAACCTGTTTACTTTCATTGTCCAGCGTCCCTACTCTTACAAACAACCTCCATTTACCACTTCCGCTGTAGTCGCTGTAGACTACAACATAGCAGTTCGGGCACCGAGCCATCATCTGGCCACCACCAGACGCAGAAGTAGTGTCGACATCAAGGGGCTTGGTCGTGGAAGTGATGCGCACGTTTGAGGCCTCGATGATGGCGTTTAAAGCGAATGCTGTGCCGGTTTCGCGTTGGCACCAGGTGCAGTGGCAGCAATGGACACAGAGGAATGGAGCAAGGACTTCATAGGTTATGGTTTTGCATGTGCAATGGCCTTTTAGCGGCTTGAAATCTTCAGCCATGATTAAATAATTAGAATGGATTCTGAATGAATGTTGGCGTCTTGCAATACTATGCTTTCAATTGATTAAATAGGATTGAGAAATGACTCTTTGAATTGTAGTAAGCTTAGGCAACAACGCGTTTATGGTAGTTATAGCTTCTAACATAAAGGAATGACGTCACGTGGATGCTATAACTACCCCTTCAACGTATGTCTTGATCTTCATGATGTTTAGGAACAGTGGCACAAATGAAACCGTGAAATCCATGAACCGCACGCATTTCAGCAGAATCCAACTTTTGAAGGCTTTTCAAAATGGTCTCAACACGTAGCAAAACAGCTCAGTCCCGTATCGAAGACTTCGCGGTCAAGAACAACGGCACAAGCGCAACAGTGAAGTCATCTACGAAGGATCAATCCCAAAACTCTGGAAGGAAACGTGAATCAGTCGATGTTGCCTTGCTAGAACCTAAGCATAAGCGGATGAAATCAGCACAGTCACATTCAGAAGAAAGTGCAATGTTGAATGAAGAGGGCGACTCAAAACCAATAATCATCAATCGCGCGCCGGTCCTGCAGCTTTGGTCAGCTTCCGTGATAAATTCTACCTACCCTGGTCTATCATGGGAAACCTGTCTAAGTGTCGGCTCCGCTGTATCAAGTATTTGTGCAGTCGCAAAGGGTCGTTCAGTTGGTAAAATGCCTGAGTCAACGAAGTCAGACGAAGCCAAAGACAAAGTGGACAAAGCAAAAGATAAGAATATGGACTTGAAAGAAGTTAAAGTGATGAATTTACATCTCAAGTTGAAGGATGGTTTGGCAGTGGTGGGTGGGGATGAGAAGGGCAAACCAGGCAATGAAGAAACGTTGAAGAAGAAATTTGGCGACAATGGATATGAACGAGTAAGGAAGACTTTTCAAGAATGTTTGCAAGACTGGAAGAATAATGAGGACGACTCGAACGCAAAGGCCTTCGGATTTTATGAAAAGTTCAGGCCAGATGTGAGCGGACCACAGCGTGATTGGGGAAGAAAGGGAGAGCTTGCGCTGACAACAGTGAGGAACACTATCAAAAAGTAATTGAATAGGTATTTCCGAAAGGGAGTGTGATGAAAGCAATCGTAACACATGCCTATTGCAATCAAACTTTTGCTGATTACACTGAAGTTAGGAAGGAATGGAGTTATCACTCCTTTATCAATTTACAGTCTTCATGAAAGAATTTCGACCATATGATATCAGTATGCCTGGAACATTGATCATAAATCTTACCCTACGCATTTATTTCCGACAAGTTCACGCGCAATGCCGGAGAACCTTTTTCACTAGACCTCAATTTCGTAGTCATCATTGTTCCATTCGGATTATACATGTTGCTGGCTATCCTGTGATAGAGCGAACATTGGCCCATGTATTTTTTCTCCATTACTGTGGCGAGTGTGAGCCAGTCGTACCAGTCTTAAGAAAGCCCTTGTACGGGAATAGCACGCTAGATCGATCCGACCGTGCCGTGACGCGTTGCCACTCCCAATATTAGGCTCCGAATAACCGGGTTGATACAATGGAGAGGCTATTACTTTCCGTTATTCCGTTGATATCCAGAGATGTGAATTATTGAAGTGATTGACAAATAGTGTATACATTCATGCGATAGTGGCATTTTACGACGACTGGTCATATCCAGGTAGAATTTTGAGGTTGGAACATAACTACAGCAACACTAATAGTCATACATTTGAACAAACCTGGAGAAAGCTTGAGTTGACAACTATTGTTGTATCCACACTTGTATGTCCAATAACGCGAGGATCGCGATCTACAAGTGTGGGCCCATCAGGGTTCCAACGGACTTATCCGCTCTGCAACTCCTTCGAATGAATCCCATTGATTCATCATGTGTTGATATGTGGAGTTCATGATCTTGCCGCGGATAACAAAGTAGACTTTGCGATGAGCAGACCGGCCGGTACATCCTATGCGTAATTGCAGATGGACTCAAAACGTAATGCTGCATGCATGTCGTTGTCCTGATCTCTGTACGATGTACTCAGACTTGCTTTGTAGTTGAACCACTGGGCTGGAATCCCAAACCACAGACATGTCGGGTTTACACTGCACGCGTCATTCCTAACTCTAGCTTGAATCATGGAGGTTTGAGATTCGATGTCGATTGATAGGTGAGCGCCGTCCCGCCGGGACTTTCGACTCGAGAACTTGGAATTGCTTTCTATAAGTAACGTTTTACTGCTTATCGGCGTATTTTGAAGGTTTCTGTTCAACCATAGTCTGTCGCAGTCCGTTCATAAACACAGTATACATACGTATGTATGTCGTAACACCGTTTATTTGATTAAATGCCAACGATAGGGCTGCTATATCTACTACTCCCTACTTGGCAATGGGCATTTTCGGTGTTTTCTTAAGGGATCTCCTTTGCACTTGTCGTTAAGTATGATGCAAATTACAGGTGAGGCTGTCCGAGGTATCACAACCACTGTCTACTAGTACGCTGGAATTTTTCAAAACCGTGACACTCGACCCACTGTACTGTCTACACACAAACGTGGATTAAGCGCACGCATGGACGAACATCTGTCAACTGTCGGGACTGTCACACTCGCAATCGGCATCGGTAGTTGATGTCAGGAGCACAAACGACTCACGAGTCCTTTTTCGACGTGGATCGGAAAGTTGCAGGGAAATGGAAATGCGATCTTGGGTGTGCTTTTCTTAGAATAAGCCCCTAGAAGAGATTAGCGCGGCTAGCCTTAGAATCCAAATGGAACGACGCGATATAGCTCCCCAACAGTAAGATTATTTCACGCGAGTCAATCCGGCGAGTGTGCCACTTCGGCCGTCAATAGTAATAAATACCAAAGCTAAATCGGAAGTCGGCGGCAGAATTCCAACATTAATGGAACTAATTATTCCCTTCCTCTTCCTTTCGTCTCCGTCTTCAAGGGAAGGATAAAGTGGTCGTAATAGCTACTCATTCCAAGGAGGATCAGATACAAGAACTCGGTGTTTCGACGAGGGGGTGCACGGGGGTGCTCCAAAAGCCACGGCGGGGAAATGAGTGAATTCCCAGAAAGTTGCTGCGGTCGAAGGCCTTGAACATGAAGAAATGCACACAGCCCCTTCGGCTGCACTCGCCTTTGATAGACTACTGTGTATTGTATGAACATGGTTGGTGATACATTCGCGGAATAGGCCGTAACGGGTCTGGGATACCCCTGATCCTAGTGGGTTTTTGTGTGCGACCGGTCAGGAGCAGCCAATATCGTCGCGCAGGAGTGGACGGAGAAAAGCCCATCGATGGGTCGCACCCCAGCCATTGGGATTTTTCTGAACTGCCACTAGGGATACAAATGTAGGCCTTGAGTGGTGCTAGGCGTCCTACCCCTGCCGAGATGGAATTGTCTAGCCAGCGAACAAGACTTGTAACGAGATGATAAAATCCATGGCATACCAATGCGAAGCCCAATGCAACCAATCACTGCGACTATCATTTGAACAGGATTCGGCTGGACTGCTTGGTAGCAGGAGTGCATATTATACAGTACCTCGAACTTGTACTGGTGCCTGTCTCCGCCCCCTTTTGAAGTGAGCGTTATGAGACTGTCGCCAGGTGGGCGCAGTTTTTCTCTCGGAGATCGTCTCTGGGCAGGATTGTAATTCGCATAGAGGTGGGCACAGCATCCAACTCGTTGCGCAACTCCAATGCAGCAGCCCACGCCGGCCCCGCGTCAGCATTGTCTTGTAACTGGCTATCTGTCCATCCCATGCATTGCTTATCACAGCAAGCGTCGTAATTCCCAAGCTTGGGTACGTCTTAGGAGAGCAGTTTCGTGCTTTCAAACGACTCCATCGTCGTCCGGCCGTAACCAACATGCTCTGAAGCTATCTAAACACGACATGAGGAGAGCATCAAAGGAAGAAGTGGGGCATTTATTACAAGTATTAAGTGTGAACAGGCGGCCAAACATAGCCCATTTAGCAAGGGGCGGCGGCGAGACAATACGAGACGGCGGGGAGGATTTTCAATGGAGGGCCTATTCCCTAGTAATTACAGGTAAACCAACCTGAAAATGTGCACTGATGGGTAGGCTAGACCTTTCCCTCAACAACCCTGCTAGTGAATTGTCTGCCGATTTAGGTAAAGAGCAGAGATTGGGATGACTTGTTGACCAATTGGGGCGGAGGAGATAGTACTGATCCTCCTGAGTAGAATTTAGACGGAACCCGTTTCCTACAGGGGAGGATGGCAACCGAAATGCGCGTTGGCGTCCCCTGTGGCCGATCTGCCCATACATTAATTCACTCGGACGCCCGTAAGTGGCACAGCGATTTCTGATGCTTCTCTGCTTCTTCTACGCCTTTCGCCCTGCCTTTCGTTTTGTACCCCTTGCTTCGCTACACTCGCTACCATGAGGGCCAATATTTTGGAAAAGCGACGCCTCATAACCGCAGCTGTCATTGTATCAATCACAGTGACAATATGTCTATTCTTCGCTCTCACCACACAAGGGATTCATGTCCTGAGTCCTTTCGGTTACAAAAACGAAAGGCTAGCCTACGTCACATTCCTCTCTGGCACAGTCGACGCAGGTGACGACCTCGAGAAGGACAACTATTTTGTCGCGGTGCGCATTCTGATTTGGCAACTCAAGCACAACCCAGGCACCAGAACTAAACACGATGTGGTGGTTATGGTCACACCGACCGTCTCGAAATCGCGCAGGGAACGACTCAAGAGGGATGGAGCTATCATCTATCCTGTAGACTTCCTTCATACTAAGAATGACGCATGGATTCACCCTGAGCAACACCGATGGGACGACGTTATCACAAAGATGCGTGTTTGGGAGATGACCCAGTACGACCGCATTCTCATGCTCGACGGCGACAGCATGCTGCGTTCCTCGTTGGATGGTGTCTTCGACGACCCAGGGGCAAAGGTTCTCCGCACGAAGGAGTGGACATCCGCGAATAAGACTGAGGAGGGAGTGGATAAAGACTCTGAGTATAAGGAGGCGGCATTGCCCGAAACTTACTTGCTTGGGTCTCTCAGCGAAGTCTGGGACAGCACTCACGACTTCCCACCACTAAATGGCACTGGCCTCAAGAAAATCGGTTACATGAACGCTGGTTTCTTCCTCCTTGCGCCATCCCGAGCCGCCTTCAAGTACTACAAGTCTCTGATGAATATCCCCAACTCTTTCGATCCGCGATACCCCGAACAGAACTTGATGAACTACGCTCATCGATGGAATGGACCCATGCCCTGGAAGGAAGTCTCCTACCACTGGAACATTCGATGCCCAACCGAGAACGACTTTGCCAACGGTCTCGTGAGCATGCACGAGAAATGGTGGAAACAGCCCTACCTTTACGAGAACAAGAAGGTCAAGGAGTGGCTGTTGACACGGAGATACGAGATGAAAGGGTGGTACGACGCCTGGGACGCAAAGGGGAACCCCCAGTAGGGGAATCCTCTGCGTTCATTTTCCAATCATTTTTCGCACTCACAGCATAGAAATACCCTTAGCTTTTCCTAGATGTCTTGAACGCCTTTTCACGGTCTAGATGTATATTACCATATTTTCCACAAAATCTTCGCGGAACGTCTTCAGTCGATAATCGGACATTTGAGAGCGTTGGTCGGTTGGTCGGCTGGTCTTTTCCTTTTTCTTATTCATTTGTTGCGCTGCGCTTTTTTCATTGGCATATCCCCCCATGTTTCTATCAATCTCGTTGGGAAGCGCGTTGGTGGGCGTTTAAACGGAGACTAATCCCTCGTCATCATTTATCTTTTCCTGAGGCTCTTGTCTCTCGACTTGTAGCGTATTCTCATACTCATCCATCCAAGAGACACCGGCTTCACTCGGTGCATTCTCACAATGAATATTCTAGCGGGTTGTAATGGCCTCGCAATAATCACCTTTGTTCCATATTCCTGGAGTGATAAACCAAGATTGGCGAAATCGGATCACTTGACAGAAAAGTTTTGGTATGAGAAGATCAAGCAAGGGATCAAGTCAGACGGAGTTTTATGCCTTTGGGGTTCTACGTCGCCAGCGCCCTGCTGCCCATGGAGGGTGTTAGGCAACGATTCAGGCAAATGTGTAACCATACATCAACAACCCCGAACGACCCCGCTCGAGTTCACTTAAATGTGTGCGACAATCAATAAGACAGGAGTATTGCCGTTGGATAGCATTTGATTGTATGCGACAACTATAGAAATGGACGAGGATTTCGTGACGACATTAGAACGTTTTCGCAGGTACCCAACAATTCTTACCCACCACTATGCATCAGACCTACTTTCAAGCCTTCTAACCAAGCCCAGGTTGCATATTGCCAAAAAAAGGCTTACTCGTCGCAAGAACGTCACGTCTAGAGAGAAGATAAAATGTAGAATGTATGCTACCTCTCTCAGCTTCAAATATCCTACCTCAATCTAAGTTCGCATCAACCACAGGGCGTATTCGAATGCCGTCGACGCCTTCGCGAAAGCGTCGTGTCTCAACTTCGTACGTCACGTGCAGGCTCGATTGCCACAGGAGCTTGTGAACAAGATACTCGATTTCTACTGGGACGATTGGTTTGAGCACGGGTGCGCGACGTCGATTCTGGACTCGTGGGATCAATTCCCTTGCCCTGGTCGGCCGTGCGATTGTTTGGAGCAATGGAAAAGGCCTGTCGTTATCAATCCGGATTTTGTAGGGTTGCATGTCGCGAGGGACGCGGTGCTTGCGTACCATCGCAGAGACGCTCATCTTCCGAAACGAATGTGTGGAGAAGAGGATTTTAGAAAGTATCTCGAAGCAGATCGGGCACATGTTGGAGTTAAGAATGCTTCTGTGTTGAGGTTTCTGGAGATCGACATGCATATGGTTTTGGATCCTAGAGTCATGGACATGGCGAGTAACATATCAGATGCGTATGCCTTGCCAGAAACAGAGATCAACGCTCTGACGGAGAATCTGTCGGTGCTGCAGTTGATTGAGAGGAAGGATCTCTTCAAGTTGGATATCCGCGTCAATATCTACGAACAGAAGATTGTCTTTCAACACTTGAAGAATCTCCTTGCGAAGATCCAACCCAGCTTGCGGCAGTTGGATGAACAGGGATCGAAAATTGATCTTCGAGTTGTTGGAAATTTTCACCAACATCACTCCGTCCCCATTCGACTTGGTCTTGGAAGATATATCACACTCGATAAGAGTAGATGGGAGGACCAGTTGAAAGAGGACATATCTCAGGTATGTTGCTCAAAATTTAGCTATCCCATTTTGACAAGTACTGATCACAAACGTAGTTTGAAAAGAAAAGGATCACTGATATTGATTTTGATTTATGACGAGGATAAAGCTGAGTTTGCTTAAGACGACAGCGTGGATGTACGTACGACTCTTCAATTTTCGGGCACGAAATAGATCTCCAACATTTCAAATTGAACATCGTCCACCAAAATACGTCCGCAGTTCTCATCCCATCGGTTCATGCAGTATACGCCGAGCTTCTTTAGGAAGCGGAGGATTTCTCGTCCGCCCCATAGTTGACAGTCGTAGCATCCCTCACCTTGACTCTCTTAAGCAAGTGTCGATTGTCTGCCTCGCCATTCGCGCCTGTTGCCTCGACTAGAACGTTGCCAGCTTCATCGTGAGTTCGATCCCACTCTTCCACTTCGGCGTTTGGTACTTTTCGAAGTTTGTGCGTGACACTACCATCTTGGTCCGATACCAGAGTTTCCGTGCGAATAGAGTAATTTTTCCACTTGGGCAACGCGAAGACCCAGAAGTAGTAGTAGATTCCACAGGCAAGCATGAGACCGATTCCAACGACACAGTATGTTGCGTACCAGAAAGAGACGTCGCCGCCATCGTCCGGTGGGTACCATGGCATGATCAAGAGGAACAGACAGACCAGGGCAGACAGAATGAGGGCAGAATGCCAGGCCTCGAACTGCGCGGGTGGCAGTCCTTCCTTCTTTCTACGGAAGCGGACGTAGTATAATCCAACTACCATCAAGAAGAGGAAAATGGAATCAGGGTACGATCGCAGATCGACCAGGAAATTGAACGCGTCTCCGAAAGGCAATGCCAGAATGACGATGGTGGTCAAAGCCCATTTTAGAAGAATAGGGGCGAATGGGGTGCCGAAAGGTCTGGTAGATGCCCAAATATGTGGCCATGGAAGCACTCCCTGTCTTGCACATTCGCGGACCATGCGCGTGCTGCCGATGATGACTGCCATGATGTTTCCAGCTGCGCTGACTGCGATGAGTGCTGGAAGACCCTTTGCGCCTTCTCCAAAGACCTTCTCGAAGAACATGGCTGCAGCCAACTCTCCAGATTCTCGGATCTCGTCTGCCGGTACAGCTGCAAAATATGCAACGTTGGCGAGAATGTATAGAATCGCGACGATGATGAGCGAGATGGGAGCTACCCTTTTCAGTGTTCTGTAAGGGTTCTATCATAGTTATGTTAGTGATGAATCGTTATGAAAGGCAGCGACATTACGTACCTTGATTTCTGCGACAACATTGAAAGCATTAGCGTAGCCTTCGTACGCGAATCTGATGCTGACAAGCGCATTTACAACATCATTTCCGTTTTTCGTGACCCCATCAAAGCTGTTGCGGAAGTTTTGATGGGGGTCTTTAACGCTTGTCTTGCCATTGAGGACGGCAAATCCAGTGCAGACAATGAACAGCAGAATGATGAGTTTCACAGCCGAAATCAAGTTCATGAGACGAATACTCCAGCGAGTTGAAATCAGACACAGAATCGCAAGGAACGTATAAGAGCCCATCGCAAGCGCCTTATTCTCCCATTCAGTGGCTTGGTATTGGGCGGCGCGAAATAGGTATCGAGCCAGGACTGTTCCACGGTGTTAGCTAAATAGCATCGAGAACCCAGAAATATGGAGCACGCACCAACAGCATTACTACTAGAGAATGAAAATGCTACCGTGAAGAAGGCATAGGTCGTAGGGAAAAGGAAGATCGGCTTTGGGTACGCCTGCTCAAGGTATGTGACCATGCCTCCCGAGCGGTTGGGGAAAAGCGCTGCATATTCCATGAAGACAGCTTGACCGGCTGCTGAAATTAGCAAAGAACAATTAGGTCGCAGTATTCTCATGACATTACCTGCAGCGATGACAAAACCAATTACCCAGTAAATGATACTGAGACCGACGGAATCCAACGCTCGCAAAATTGAACCAGCTGCGCACTATGGTTAGAGTCCAATTTCTCGACAATGTTTCGCGTCAATTACTTACGTGTACTGAAAACTCCAGTTCCCACCATTTGGCTCACGTTGAGAAAGAGAATGCCCGCCCATCCTACATGGTATCCCAAAGGACTGACCTGCTCGACTGGGGCGCCATTTGCATCCTGGTAGATCTGAACGCCATCAACGTAGACTTCACCACCAATCTGTGCATTCTTCTCCTTAGTCTCAGCGAGGTCAACCGAGGAGTCGTTCGAGGAGAACAACTTCTTCAACCATTGCGCCATGATAGTGGCTGGCAAGCGCCAAACGAGTTGCGGCTTATGGGAAGTACGATGGTAGCGTTAAAAGAGTGTGAAAGATGGCTGCAGCCGCACGCTAGGGTGCGACTTTATGGGGTGGAAGTGCAGGGAAGTACATATAGATAAGAACTTCCCGACATAGTGCTTTGACTTAATCTGTTGTCCCTTGGTATTACTCGACAAACACAGGCACGACAGGGTTGAGGACGTTGCGGAACTTCTGCCCAGCCTTGCATCATCGGGCAAACGCGAACATAACAGGAAGGAGATGAACTCCTTCCATACGGCACAGTTACATTGATGGAAGATTGATGGCATGAATATTCTGTTGGTTGCTTGGAATACGATGTTGAAATTTCATGGTGCAAAGTCGCAATGTTGGGTTTAGTAGATCGCAGCAGTGCTGCAATTTCTGTCTATGTCATGGAGACATTGAGGGCTATACAATCAAAGTCCGCAGCATTGTAATATGGCGATATGACAATGCAGAATACTTTGAACAAACTGCAATGGCAAGCGCTCGTAGTCGCGTGGGCTTATCTACACATGATCATCGGCATCGCGGATCATTTGCATATAGGTGCTCCAACTATACGCCAACGACTTGTGTGCCTGGCAACTCTGTTTGCGTGATCAGCCAATAATGCCGAGTGTTGGTGGCCACAGACAATCTCTGGGCATGTAACGTCAAGATCAGCTATCCCAATAATTCCTTCGTTCTGGAACAGTTTTGGCACGTTCAGATGCTACCAAATAGCAAGATATGTTTCCCAGCCGAGCAGAGCCATGTATGCCACGCGCATCGGTCGCTACGGTAGCGCAATGAGCCTCAAAAGGCCCCGGCATCTTGGAAATCGGTGAGATGAAATCCAAGGCAAAGGTACATGGCAGGGAACAGACTACTCTTTAGGAAATTTCTCGGCTAACGACCTAATCACATTGTTATTCTCGCGCCAACACTATATGTGAAGTACAAATAAGTTTTAGGTCGAGCAATGAGTGGCCCTTACTCAACAAGTTCCTTTGAAATATTCCTGAACTGAAGAGTCTTGACATGCTCAGCATTTCGTGGTTCTATTATTGATCGAGCGCATGCAGAAATATTTTGTGAAGAAATGTTGCTTGAAGTAGAGAGTTGCAATGGGCTCGACAGTACGTAATTGAGCTTGCTGATTGACAGAGCAAAGCATACAGAATTTCCCTGGTGATAGGCAAAAATAAATTGAAATTCAGAATGGATATGCTCTCCTGAGTAAACCCCTTAGCTTAATTTTGTATACTCCGTTGAGTACCATCTTAGGATGTTGGCCGTACAAAAGGCTGTGTCTTGGAACCAGGGGCCAACACAAGTTTCACGGAGGGAGTCGGAGAGGTGCTGGCCGTTAAAGGTACAAAGGCCGTCGAGGCAACATCCTTCACAAGAAGAGCCGGAATGCTGCTTTCTGTGTAGCTCCTCCACCCATGTTCGTAATTGCTTTCACGCAAAGTCCACCCACAATCACTAAAGAGTCCACCGTTCTGCCCAATTATCTCGCTAATTGGGATGGCAATTGTTGGGCGATATGAATTCTGCAGAATATATCCGTTGTCTGACTTCAGACACTCACTATCACAGAAGCGGTCGTACTTTTCCTTACGAACTTTGGAAACATCATCAACAAGAAAGTCGGTATCGAAGTTCATGGTACATATGTCGCCTTCGATACCTATGCATTTCTTAGAAGCGGTAAGAATTTCCGGTTCCAACTGCGCAACAGTGAGAGGTCTAGAACCAGGAAGTGCGGTTGAAATAGTCCAGACATCGTAGGCCTGGGGTCCAAAGCCTCCTGGCTGTTCAGCAAGCCCAATGTATGTTTGCACCTGCACCTTTCTCAGGAAGTGATAGACGCTGGGGCTGGTAAGAGTGTAGCCTGATACTACGACAGTGTTAGGTTTTCCCGGTATCGTTGGCGTTACTGTGGCTGCGGACCGATTTTGGTTACAGAATTCAGATCCACTGGCAGCTCGATCTGCCCAATGGTAAGCTGAGTAGGTTTCAGCTGATATTTTACATCTTGGGCTGGCATTTGGAGGAGGGATTTCGGTAAGTGGAATGCATGGAGGGATTGCCCAGTAGGTCCTCTGATCTCTCTCGGTGAAGTTGCTGTTCTCCTTCTGCCATCTCTCTTTCCGGTACTCCCAGGCCTCGAAGAATGCGGCACATAAAGGACTCAAATCGGGAGCTACTTGGCATGTTGGCTTTGGCTTTTCGTAATCGCTTGTCCAGGTTGGTGTGATAACGGCGATCTCGCTCATGTATTCGTAGTATTCATACGAGCCAACCGTAGGTACAGTCTCACAACTGACAGAACGACCGGAGGCCCTTGGAATTTTATCGCACAAGGTACTGGTACCAAAGAGTGTCGTTTCACAGTTGGTAGTATGGTCGTACGTGTAGTAGCTCGTTCCAGATCGGGGTGGGGAAAAGGTCGTGGCTATTCTTGTCGAGCTTTTTGCGAATTCCTTCATCAGCCAGTGGCTCGTGAAAGAATAGTCGTAGTGGGACTTCCAACAAGCCTGGTTTCTCACTGGTAGTCTTCGAAATTGGGCTGACAAAGGAGGAAAAGTTGCAGTTGGCGCTGGGGGATGCTTCGGCCTTGTGATAGTAAGAACCACTGCTTCTTGTAAGCCTTATGTCACTTGATGTTGGGAAAAACATACCACCAGCTGAATACGACCCAAAGAGTCCAGCGAGCAACAAAGCTTGGTAGATCAAGAATAACATGGTGTTGTTGAACAGATGTCACCGCATGGAATGTGGAGAAATGGGTAGGCGCGCCTATTACATATAAGATGTACGGGCACGCGAGGAATGAACATCTCGTCAACAAAATTGGGGTAGTGCGATTATGTGGTGTAGTGAAACACGCCAGTTGATCCATATTTCCTATTCTGGGATATATCTGATTTTCAAATAGGGCGGCGACAAAAGTTACATATCGATGTCGCAGTTCCATCACGATTCTTCACCTTGCAAATCCTGGCGCCACAAGAGACAAGGCCCGCTCTTGAGACCCTAAGCTGAAAAGGAGAAATTAATGGCTATAAACTGAAAGATTAATATCCACAGACTCGTCGCGTACGACTTTAGTGTTATTGGATACAATTTGTGTCTTTCAGAGACACTGGGTCAGATCCTGTTGGAATACGAAGACAGTATCGATCACTTCATTTGATTGGCATTGTAAAGATTGCAAAAAACTGAAGGACGCACATATTATGGCAAAGTATTCCGTACAGAATGCCTATATGAGGCAAAGAATCACCCTGTAATGCAATCGAACCCCGCATTTTGCTGACATTGGTAGGACAGGGTACCTGACAAACATTCCATCAGGACTGATCTGCTATAGTGGCCTGTCACTACCATAGTACTGGCTCAAGCTTGATTCTCGCTGCTTTCCTTCATCCCTTACCTATGGTGGGGAGAACCGTGGTGATACAGGATATGCTTGGCTGACGCAGTATCTTGGTGCTTTCCCCGATGCACAAGCTGGCACCAATTCGCTGTTTTTGAAGTACTCAATTATCAAGAGATGACTGCCTGTAATTTTAGCCTTCACTCACAAATTATCTCTCTTGTTGCGCATTCTTCGCATGATCATCGCAAGAACCTAAATATAAGCAGAGTTGCCGTCCAATTTACATGCTGTTTCAATCTCGGTTATTAAATTGTAAACTCTACCAAAATACCAAGAAGTAACCAAAGCCTGTCTTGCAGCCACTCCTTAGCCTTTCCGTATTTGTATTGAATTTCCTCTGACAATATAAAGGCGCATGGTCCGAGAGATTGGGCGCCGAAACGAATGCATCTTCTGACCATCTTTAAAAGCAAGTCTGCCGCTCGTGCATTGGTAGAAAGCCATATGTAGACACAGGTCTACAGACACATAGTAGCCATCCTGATCACTGGTATAATTCACGAAACGCGAGACATGTTAAGCCCTAATCTAGTCTACAGTGAGCATGTGATTGGCCCCTACACTGACCGAATCTAATGTAATATCATAAGCCGTCGGTACCGAATGTGAAGCTATTTCGGTCTATAGCATCTCGTAAAATGCCTGACACTTGAGCCCCGAGACTGACGCAGGAAATGGAGTGCATTAAGTGCTAGCCATGAGCCTATGTAGTATTATTTCAAATGTCAAATACGTTTGAACAGTCACGTCTCTCAGTATCGCATCGTACATAAACATCAATCGAATCGCATTAGTATAATACATATAGGCGAAGCAAGTATCCGTGTTCTGTTTGCTGTAACTGCATCCCGATATGGCGGACCATGTAGACCCTTACTAGGCATGATGAGCAAGAGCGCGGGTTTCCGATCGGTTGATAACCAGTCAATCAAAAGAAAAAAAAAAATGGTTGTCGGAAACCAACCATGATTCCAGAATGTCGATCTCATCAGAACGATCGACGGAACCGTCTACTTTACCTCGATGCTTTAGCACCGATTTGGGCCCACTGCCCCGCGTCACGCCACGGCCACGGCCCGCCTTACGGGGATGGGGGAATAAGGATGAGACACGCGCAGTGGGGGCCAACAAACATCCCACCTCGTCACGGGACAGACGTAAGACGAACATCCCAACAAGTGTGGGACACCAGACATCGCAAATTTTGTCCAAGTTGCATTTCAATTCGCTAGTCATGATCCAATCTCGAGGTGAATCACTCTAACTCAGGCCGCCATGAACTCTACATCATACACGTACCAGCCCCTCTTGCCGGGTGCGAACTGCATCCGCCTGCTTCGATTGCTGCCTGGTGAACCTGCCGAGAAATTGCAATGTGAATTATTCAATTACCAAATTCGCAACAACCAAACATCGTGTCTCTATGAGGCTTTGTCATATGTTTGGGGGGATCCGACCGAAAAGAATGACATATGCATTGATTCCAAGCAGTTCGCTATAACGAGCAATCTTGCTGCGGCCTTCTACCGGCTTCGAGACCCTTCGTTGCCACGTTTGCTTTGGGTCGATGCAATATGTATAAATCAAGCAGACCTGGAGGAGCGAGAAAACCAGGTACAGTTTATGTCAGTTATATACTCGTGTGCCAGCCGGGTCGTTGTGTGGTTAGGCGAAGGATGCCCGCAAAGTAATCAAGCTTGCCGGCTGATAATTGAGGCTGCCGATGCCAGCCAGCGAGGTCCTGGGGGTGATTCTCCACATGAACGGGATGGAAATGCTCGAGCTGAAGAGACGACAAGACCTGGTGAAGAAAATGCCATCATTGCTTTGCTTAGGCGTCCGTGGTTTTACCGCGTATGGGTGAGTACGTTTGTCATGGTTTTTGAAAGATATCTTACACATGCTAGGTTTTACAAGAAGTTGCCATGGCAAGATTTACCCTGTTACTGTGTGGCGACTTTCAGATGACAGCTCATGAGTTCAGCAGCGGCTTGAGGCAGTTTCGACACGAATACGACCAAGAAAAAACCATAGTATCAACGATCGAATCAGTTGTTTACCTCCTTGAATGGCAACCAAGAGGCGGTAACCTAGGATCAAAATTGTTACCACTTTCGGAACTAATCGATATTTTCCATCATCGTCAGGCCACTGACATACGAGATAAGGTGTATGCGCTGTATGGAATGAGTACGGACATGATGGACACTCGGTCACTCCAAGTGAATTACCAAAAGCCCTGGTCTACATTGTTCAAGGACCTTGCACAATATTCGTTTGGTGAAAAGGTCCACGTTACAATTGTTGAAGAGACGTTATCAGCCAATATTAGAGGTAATGGCTGCGCTTTGGGACGGGTTGTGGCTATCAACCCACATGGAGCAGGCGGGAAGCAGCAGGTCAGAGTATTATCCACCCATTTTCGCGGAGCTTCCTATATCGAGCAAGATTCACACCCTGCAAGACTCAATTGGGGAGCAACATGGGTGATCCAAAGTTCCGGGAACCCAATACATATTGGCGACATCTTATGTCTTTTGCGCGGTTCTAAAACGCCTACGTTAATCCGGCCGTCATTGAAATCTCTCAAATTCGATATCGTTCTAGCCGCTATGCGTCCTCCTTCTACTATTTACGTAGATCATTCCTTATCTGAATCTAGATTCTCTGTTGATTGGGGCCAGTTCCTCAAATTGATCACGAGCTTCGAACGGAGGCTGAATTTGGTCTGGAACTGGTCGAATGACGACTCTGCGAGCTGTACGCCTGTAGCAGAACATTCCAATTCCAGCCGCGGTCGTGAGGCCATGACCCTACAGTCTGAAGTTGCCCAAGGACGCCTCGATTCACTGGTCGACATGGCCGGATTGATGGACGACATGGACGACGGTTCGGGTATCGGCGAGGTACTTCGCGCATTTGACTCAAGTTTTGCCTCGACAAACTTATACTCCCTACCCCGCAAAACCCTAACTGGGTTGCAATATATCAACAGCCTAAGGCATGCATACCATAACTGGTCCAGCTATATCCAAATCAAAGACTACCTCGAAACGATTTTTTTCGCTATATATACAACAACTCGCGACCGCCCTCACTTGTTTAGTTTTGCTGACTTCGTCGAACGATATGAAAGACTTGGAAATATTAAATTCGACCTGCAGGATATTATCTCCTTGGGAAAACATCCGCGCCCAATGAAACTCGAAGGTCTACTAAAGCCTTCGAAATGGAACATCAACGAAGTTCGAAAACAGCGGCTTCTCCTGCTTTTGTTTCCCGGATATGCAAAACTTCCCGAGGCTCCATTATCAATGCACGGGATGAACGAACTTTACATGCAAAGACTCATGGTACACTGTTACGGTCATCTGTTGAGCTGTAGCAAGTCAATCATCGAGAATGCAGTGAGGAGTGAAACACAAGGCATGTTTCTTTTGAAGATCATGGCAGATCACTATGAAGCTCCACCACAGTTTGTGGCGGTCCTAAATGATGTAGTGAAGAATCTTGATAACGAAGTCATTGGGCCGGAGCTTGCAGGCTTTATACTACCACGCGCACACAACAACATTGATCTGGCATACAAGATCTTATCCAAAATGGCTGTTGCGTACCAATCTATGAAAGATTCTGCATTCATTCACGTCATGACCGAGAATGCGCGGCTCATACTCAGATACTTAGAGGAAACCGACCTATGCGAATTAGCAACGTCAAATTCCGACGACCAGGTGATTACGTATCTATATCACATTTATGTTCTTGATAGATATTACGAACATTCGCAACGTTCCGGCTATTACGCTTACTTCACCCGTAAGTTTCATGCCAGCTTTGTTCCAGATCCTAGGAGTCCGTTTCGGGATGTCGAACGAGATGTCAATGACCTTTACCTGCAATACGACAAACACCAGAACGTAATTCTAGATCAGCAAAATTCCCCTGCACAGCACATTAAGTCAGTCCTTATATACGTCCTACGCAATTATATCAAACTACAAGATTCGTTGTCTACAGGCGAATCAGCTGAAGGGCAGGACTTTTTCGCAACGTATCGTACATCGGAAACTCGGTTAAGTGATGCTCTTCCCATGGAAATGAATAGTATTGGGTGAAATAGAAAGTGTTCCGACGCTTTGGCCCAACAATTGAATATTGGTTCTGTCCTGTCCCGAAAAGTGGTTGGGATCCCGGGGAATTGGCTACCAGCAATGAATATTGCACACGGCCGAACCGCTCATTGCATATAGCCAGCTATAAAAAGCCAACCACCTACACCCCATTTCAACCCTTAGAAACAACCCTTATAACTGAAAACATCAACTACTTTGCAGAAAACATTTCAGCAAGATTTGTATACCTACACTTAACGACATAAAGATGGCATCGCGTCAACTCAAAAACAGAATGGACATGTATTGCACCCCTGCGAATCATTAAGAGGAAGGTAACTGACAAATTCCAGCAACTCGCCGGTCTCGCGACGATCCTGCAAACAGAAATCTGGGAAGCATTCATTCAGCTCCAATGCTAGGGCCTCTGATGTGCAGCCTGACGCGACAGTGTTTGCATATGAACATTTCCCTGCACTCCTCGAAGAGAGAAGGCGGAGTCGGCCATTTGTAAGTTTTCAGAATATTGTCATTCTGTTACTTTGTCTCTGTCTTGTAAATCCCTTTAACCTCCCTCCCCGTCTAGTATCCTATTATCCCTTTCCCGTACCGTGTTGCTGACCAATTAAGCCTCCAATGAAGATCTCGTTTTCTGAACTGTGCACGGAGATCCGAGTCCAGATCTATCGCTACCACTTTCGATTCTCCGATCCTATCGAGTTTTGGCCAGAGACGGGTGTATGCGATGGCGATCACAGATTTGATAGATATCGCGAAGCCAAATTGACAAGGGAAAAATTCAGTAAACTCACCTCCAGTGGCGACCTGAATCTGAAGTTCTTACGCGTGAACCGCCTGATCAATGCCGAAGCATCTCAAGTCTTCTTCGGAGAGAACGAGTTCCGATTCTCTGCCATCAACGGGCAGATGGCGGCCAATATCTGGATGCGACGTATCTACCAACGCCACTATCGTTGGCTCAAGTCAATCACGATCGCGGTGCCCTTCTATTCTGACTCATTCCGGAGCCCCTACAACGCAACGTCAATTAGAACGAGGGATGATATGTACGATGTGATGATGTTCCGCTCCAGTCGATGCCCGAAGTCCTGTCATAGCTCCCCGAAACAGGTCTTCACCGATCGAGAGTTCAAGTACACAGAAGCCTTCGTTAGTCTGACAGCCGAGCTCATGCGCGCTACCAATCTCCGGACCATAACTCTCGTCATCCCCCATGACTACCGCTACAAACAGACGGATCGTCATGAAGACGGATATTTTGATTCCGAGACGCACGACGGGCAGCGACAGATCTGGCGTGATCTCCAGAAGCTGTTTCTTGCGAATCCGAACTTGTCACTCAAGATGGTTTGTTTGCGTGACGGTGACGGCGAGAGTAACATATGGGACTACAATTTCTGCGACCGAAAACTGGTAGAACAGCTTTCCTCCCTGGCACCGACTACAATGTGGTCGGCCAAGAATGACAGCGAAGGCAAGTGGTCTGTCGATAAATCCATTGGTTTGGATGACATAGGGAAGCCGGACAAACCAGACAATAGACGATGGTGGTAGTATGCGAATGACTGGGCTATGTCAGATTTCGAGATTTTGCTGAAGTTGCTACTCTCGTTGTCTGAACGAGTTTGTTTAGACGTATATGTTATTATAGAAATATGGACTAGTATCAGTAAACTCTAATATACATTCTACACCGCAACTGTTACACTACACACTGAATTAGAACTTCATGTCTGGGTTCGTGCTCACTAATCTGCTTTCCCTTCTCTTGCAGTGGTGTTCTCTCTTGCCATCCATCATTAAACTGGGTAGGTACCTTCTTAAGTGATCTCCAAGCCACATCCATCATTAAACTGGGTAGGTACCTTCTTAAGTGATCTCCAAGCCATTCAAGAAGGCAGTCCGGGAGCCAAGTATTCCCAAGTTCTGCAAAATGTCCCCCGAAGCCATGGAAGCATCCTCGCCTAACTATATTATCCATTTCCAACCTAGTCTGCCATTTTCCCACTGCCATCTACCATCTGCTCATCCCCACAAGTGCGTGGCGTTCGCGATGTAAAGCCTTTAGGTAGCAACACCAGATGCTCTTGTTGGGTGGGCCTGAATAACCCGAGCCATGGATCTGACAGTTCATCGAGCCCAACATTGTGCGTAACATGTGCTGATTTGTGATGGTCGAGTTTCACATGTGCCTCCTCATCCGTGGTACTGTGTATCGGCATGGATTGGATGAGAAAATATGACAGGGCACGACCTTTCTCTCAGCCGAGTTGGCGGGTTTCTCCATTCGCACCCAATCTGGCACCGCTTGATACATGCCTTCTTGAATCATATGCTTGGATAATGCATCATTTTGATGTTTCGATACTATCTTGAAGTATTTCCTTTTGTGCAGGATTTCGCACACTTCTCTTAGGTCCGCGAAGGCATGTTTGGTGCTGTCTTTCCGTGTCCGCGTTCTATTGCTTGTTGTACATCGGCGTAATTAAAAGCTTTCAGCACCCTGGAGTTGGATTTGTATGTTAAATTGAGACATGCTCCCGCAAAGTTGTAACGACAAACCTTCCTAGAGCCCAATCGCTCAATCCGCGTTGTCATATCAAAACGTCACCATGTGCCATGCAATCCTATCGTTTGTCATATTTTCGATTGCGGAAACTGTTTGTGAAGTATGACAATTATGAGAAGTAGTCTGAACATTGTTCGTACTATGATCACTTCATCACTGTTGCGTTGGCTGACATGGGCTGTGTGTTAAGATAGTACTGTACAATCAGCTTTGACTGAATATAAACCAGTATCGCGGTCTTAGTTCTTTTTCTATCTGTATTGAGCCAAATGTATCTAATTATCTAGACGACTCTTACAAAAGCTTTTGCCCTGCGAGATCTGCTATTGTCTAGCACCGAAGAGTTGCGAAAAGTGAGCATGCAACGCGGGTGGCTGTGGGGGAATAAGAGCTACTTAGGAGCGGTTCACTTTTCTATAATCACTTTAAGACAGTAGCTGAAAGAGATGAGGAATACAACGTACAGTCCGAGTGATATAAAAACACGTGAGCTCACCTTTTGTGCGTATAACTTTTCACAAGGTTCGGACTGGCGTTTGATAGTTGAGACAACCAAGTATTCTTCCAGTCCTTCGAGCACTTCGAAATCAGGACTCGAGATTAATTACCACCACATCTAAGTAAAACCAACTCTATCTGAACATGTTATTATAATTAATAGAATTTCCTAAGGACAATCTGATGCGATGCGACGCGACTTGATCTTGGTGCCAAGCATCCTTTCAGGCGGATGCCGTCATTTTCATGGCGGATGACGGAAGATGGTTATCATCACGATGATAATGCACGATTGGAGAATATGCTTTCAAGACGTCAGGATGGAACTAGCAAAACGGGAGTAAAGGATTATGTTCGATCGACTCAATTGTATATCTTATAGTCTCTTCATTTAACATATATAGTGATCGTGTCATACGCCAACGACCTAAGTCTATGTCTTTATCCATATCAGTCTAGTGCCATGTAACCATGTATCTACCTCGAGTCCGTCTAATGCGCAAATCTGAAATCCAAACGCTTGTTGCCCTTGTCGGTGGTAGTGGCGAGATAGTGCTGCTTCTCCTGCGTGGACATTGCGTTCCAGATCTTGTCTCTATTCTTGTTGACGCGGACGTAGAACAATTTGGCCCCAATAAATACGAAGATATTGTATACAGTGATGCCGATGAGGACGCGGTTACCGCGGCGGTAGAGGGGTTTGTCGTCAGTGCGGTAGATCTGTCATGTGTTAGGTACCGCCATGTGGTTGATGTGACGTTGAGGGAGATGGGGAAGAGCTTACATTACTAGCGATGATAGACGATGCTTGGACGGACATATTGTATAGCGCAGATGCAACAGTTCTAGTTCGCACCGTTCCTGCATTGCGGCTACCGAGTGCGACAAGAATGGCGTGCATGTAAGGATGGCCGACCAGCAAGCAACTCAAGGCCCATTTGGTCCACGCACTGGTGGTCTTAGGCAGCACCGCAAGTGCAATCAATAGTGGCAGTGACCACAGTTGAGAGGTCAATGAGACGAGGAAACGCTCGTTGACTTTCTCGGAGATCCATGTCCAGAATAGCAACTGTAGAATGAAGAGAACGTAGGCTGGGATGGTGAGAAGATTGGTTTGGAAGGTGTTGAAACCGACGGCTCTCAGTTGAAGAGTTAGATATGCCTGCATAGGGTTGTTGGGGATCAGCCATGAAAGACCGGCAAGGTACAGAGGCCACATGTGGTAGTCCATAAGGCAGCGTCCAATGGCCCCGAAAGAGAGTGCTTGACGATTGTGCATATCGCCTTAGTCTAGTTAGCACTGCGTGCATAGTTCGTGTAAGATTTACTCACCTTTGCTGGGGTCATCTCGCAAAATGCGATTCACCATGATTTTCTCCTCGTGCTCATTGAACCAACCGTTCTTTCCACGGAATTTACTGGCAGTCTGGGTCGGAGATGGAGGCATGTAGAAGTATGAAACAACACCAATCAATCCGGTGAGTGCTCCTTCAATTGCGAAAAGCCATCGCCATCCTTCCATGCCATTGACGCCGCGTAACCGAAGAAGTCCATAGGCGAGGAAAGCAGCGACAATGTTGGTTCCTTGGTACGAAACCCAGAAAAAGCTCAATCGCTTGGGCAGCTCTGTACCAGTGTACCAGTAGCTCAGATAAAGAATATTGTCAGGCTGTAAGATGTTAGTAATCGCAATCAGCTTTCTGTGGTCATGCAAGACCTACGATGAAACCACCCTCAATGAGTCCAAGCAATGCACGGCAGGCATAGAAGGAGCTGCGTCCGCTGAGGAACGCCTGCATACTAGCGACCAAACTCCAGGATACCATTTGAATAGGGATCCATCGATCAGGCCCCAGCTTCTTGGAGATCAGCTGTGATGGCAGTTCGGCGGCCAGGAAGGAAACGTAGAAAATCGTTTGGCCATAATTGTAGTCGTTAGTCGTGAGTTTTAGATCGTCAAGCATGTTATCGGAAAGCGCCTGGACAATATTGCCACGATCTAATTGCAAAGCAAAGAACATGAGGCAAACCCATGTGCAGATGCGTTTGTCGATCTGAATATCCGATCAGCTGAAGTGCAATGACGTGATGCCTAGTTTTAAATCTTACCTTTCGAACGACCTTCTTCTCCTCCTTTGGTTCCCAAGTGAAAGCTGGATCATAGCGATGAATGCCCTCATATGTAGGGATTGGTTTATAGTATTCATCGTCGACACCTTCAGAGATAAACGTTGTCCCGGCGCGAAATTGCTTCTCGTCGTACTTGGTCTCGGACGTAGGTGACTTGGGAGAGCCTCGATCGAACGAGAATCTTGCAGGTGCATCCATAGTCAATTCTTCTCCAAGAAATCAGATACAAGAAATTTTTGGCGTATCTTGGTGGTTCGAAGAATCGTGGGCCCAGAGCCTAGCTTTATACAAGACTTCTCAAGGTACTTCTCGCTCCATGTGAAAGCAACAATTTGGTTCTGTCACTTGGAAATCAAGCCTCAAGTGTCGACATGGCAAGCCAAAAGACCGAGATCACCACCTCGCCTAGCCACTACGAAGCATATCGTTACGATTTCGAAGAGATCGAGGGCTAGGCCTACGCCATAGAAGGACAGCAAGCCAATTGTGAGGACCGGGAGACAAGGGCCGTTTCATATGAGGCGTTCAAAACTCTTGGAAACGGGACGGATGTAGGAAAATGGACGACAATTCAAAAGCGATGATAAGGATGTGGGATTGGTGGTGGTTGGGTCTGGAACTGTGATATCGCATGGCGTGCCCGCAACCTGGATTGGCGTGCTAAGAACATTAACATGAACATGAATACTATTGAAGCGAACATGCATTGTCACGCACTATCCACCCCATTTCTCCGATTTCAACCCCAGAATGATCGGCTAGAGCATTAGCTGATGAACCCAGAGACATTCATACAAATCTGGAGAATCGCATGGCTTCTCGATTCAGCCGAACCATGATACCATGGCGTGGGAGACCGGAGCCTCAGCCGCCAATCAGGTTGACGATTTTCATAATGATACCACTTTGGCTGCATTCACGCCAGAATCCAGACGGTCGGTAGTCCAGTGACATGGTAACTGTGTAAGAATTGTGTATCTCTGGTTTCGATGTCTGGAGTGGTGATGTAGTGTGGCAATGGAAAAAGAAAATACTCTACGGCACGTGACCAGTGAATGTGAACGTCAGGAGAGTGGAGAAGCCTCCGAAAATGTATTCAGGGGGTGAATAGTTCACACATCTATGCAAATGTACGTGAAGTGCACAACGACTTGAAATTAGTGATACCATCACTATCTACAACGATGTGCGCGCAAGGCGTTTGTCAGTGTTCGTTGCCAAAGAAGGCAAGGGAGCATCCATAACTCTCCATATCTCAAGCCCACTAGAATGAGGAGAGTACATAATTTGGCAATTCTGAAACACAGTTTTTGTAAAGCTTTTATTGGTTTTGCACATGCATTCACTCTCTTGGGACGCAAAGTGAATGCTCCTAATCAAGAGACTCTTTCACTCACTTCACTGTCAAAAATTTGTTAACAACAAAAAACGTCAATGCGCCGTTCAGGCGACACTTAACAATTTCTCACAACAAGTCGAATTGGAATCACTATGGGTCCTTTCAGATCACAGCATTTAAACGCTCTCCCTGAGTCGTCGTCCATACACACAAACCGACAACCACGCCAACAACCACGATGAAGATCACCGTCCCCGGTGATGCGACGGACCCAGAACAACGCACTTCATTAGAACCCTACATCCTAAAGTCAGAGACGAAGATGAACCTTGGCCCTGGAAAGATGTACAAGAGGAATGCTGTATTCGCAAAAGGACCAAATGGTGAAGCGCCCTTTTTGACCAAGGGCGAAGATAACCAAATCCTTGTCTACACTGGGTGTTTCAACCCACCACACCGGGGCCATAGAGAATTGCTGATGCATGCGTTTCTGAGTACGGACAATAAGACAGTCGCAGCCATCATAATCCCCACATCCGAAGGATCCTGCCGACAAAAAAAGGACGGCGAATTCGTTCTGACCCAGAAACAAAGGACCAAACTCCTCCGAGACCCATTCCTCGACAGAATGAGCTGGGTCTTTCCAGGGGAGTGGGATCTAAAAAAGAAATTCTTCCGTACATTGAAGAAGTACGCCAAGGCAGATGGATTCGACATATCGTTCGTTGCTCTGAAGGGTTCTGACTGGGGAAGCCGAAATGGCTACCAAGGATGGGAATACGGAGATGGTAGCATGATTACTAGCGACTTCACGCGGCCCGCATGCTGCTTAGACGCGGGATCGTACGGGAGACCCATCCAGCTTCCTGGTCTCGGTCGTTGGGAGGAAGAGCGACCCCAACCAGAGAAAGCACGCGACATCGAAGCTCCCTCGTTTTGCTGGAGGGATAAGCAATGGTGCTGGGCTTTTAGATCGGTGTTTCCAGAAGTCGCGGGAGTAGTCTCACTCCAAGGTATGTTACGACATGGAGCAATTACAAAATGAGTAGTTGGAATTATTGACCTGTACTGACCTGGACCATAGAACTCGAGCAGATCCTATCCTTCGATTCAAGCCTATACCATCTTTTACTACACTGTCACCTCAGTCCCGGCCATACTTGGCGGTGCACAAACTATGACAAAGACGGGCATTGGCTTCGCTTGATACCATCAGGACGAAGATACCCCACAGATGACCGTTTCTGCTCCGCAAGCTCCACTGCCATTCGCCGGAATCTCAATGCATACATGAAATCCCCCAAAGACAACGATTCGCTTGCCATGCATTTGAATCTCAAGTCGACTGTACGTGCCATGAATGTTGGATTATTGATGCACTTTGCAGGAATCTACGACTCTTGGCCATTCGCCCCCGGTGTAGAGCCGTCCAACTGTTCTCTCAATGGGCTTGAGGAAGAATGGAGATTGACATACATATCTGACACCGAGCTTCAAGAATTGGTTCTCGGATCGAAGAGGGATTTGTACATGGCGGTAACCAACCCCCAAGTGCAAGGGAAATATCTGAAGATATTCGACCACCAGAACAGGACTTTGCACTCGGTACTAGTTAAACTCCTAGAGAGTAGGATTCAACGCTACGAAGAAACTAAACACATGGAAGAAGATGAACACCCCAAAAAAAATGAATGCCTAGAGAATGTCCCATGCGGACAAGACTCGAACCCGACTCCAGCAGTAAATCAGAGTCTAGTGACCGACCGCCTTGCACTGTACAAAATGTTCGACTATCTAGTAGCGGGGATAGAGCTTCAAGAACCATCTTGAGGAGCTCCCAATGTGTTCTGGCATAAAATGGCACCATTTTGTGGAAGGGTCGGTATTAGTATTCATAGATCGTCACTATACACGCGGGACCATCAGGCTTCAAATGGAATGACGGGGGTTGATATCCGTGTATCATTAAGGACCTTGTGTATACATCTGTGTAAATTGAAGAAAAATAGAGTCGAATGGAAGTATATTCAAATGAAATATCTATACTTGTAACAAGGACTTCTGTCCTATATGCTCGCCCTCTCAATGCCTGCCTATAATTTCACTCTATGCCCATAACATCCCAGATCTACACCCATTCTAAAGCGTCTGTCACCTAGTTTCCCCTATGACCCGAACGCCCGACCCTGATACACCCCATCATACCCGTCAACACTCTCACTCATCTCATGAAACACAATCTGCGCAAGCTTCGCATTTCTCATCAGCCGCAAGCCATGCGGATTAACAACCTGCAACATAGCACCAACAGGACCTTTATACCCACTGTCCATGACCCCGGCGGAGATCAGGGCGCCCGATCGGAAAAGTGAGCTCCGAACGAAGATCTGGCCCATGAGGTCGAGGGGCATGTCGACGAGCTCATTAAACTCGACGAGATAGGATCCGTGTGCGAGTGTGAGGTGGTGTGCCATGGAGTTATCGTCGTTGTTGGTGCCGTTGGTGGCGCGTGTTGCTGAGTTATCACTCGTAGTCTTGGAGGAAAGGTTTGTTAGACCGCTTCGAAACGGTATCTCATTCGTTGTGGCCGTTTTTCGAAGGGCGTTGTCAAAATCGACCGTACCATTGGAAGACCATTGTAACACTCGCTTTAGAGTCAAGTCGACACCGCAAGGCTGTGTTTGATGCTTGATGGAGATGAGGTTGGTAACGACTTTACGTGCCACTGCGATTCGGCCAGGGATGATCATCTTAAGAGATGCACAGGTTCAATGATTAAGTGCTCCAAAAATAGACACAAGAATTTTATGAATATTGAATTGATTGAAAATGAATCACGAAAATAGACTATTCTCTTCATCAACTTTGATCGCGACATAACGCATGTGTTGCAATGATTGACCACGAAGATGGCGCGAAATCACGAGGCGGTATCAGATATACTCCAGACCTCAATCTCACATCCGTCGAGGTCAAACCGTCGCGGTAAATTTAGCATTTGAAGGCCCTATTACGTAGATTATGTGGAGAACTTGGGATCGTTTCATTTCCAAGATACTCCGTAGTGTAATGGCTACAAGGCTACAGTACTACACTGACATCCGTACAGATCTCATAGTTGTTGCATTTTAGAAACGAACCTTGGTCCTACACTTCGACTATTCTACCTTTTGAAACAAGACTGTCATCAGAATAAAAGACATCAGATGACACGGCATAATTACTTCTTCTGAGCTTTAAGTCCTCTGCTCAGTAATTTCCATAATGGGAATATCGTAGCAATGCAAATCTAACCCCGCAACTCGCAACAAAACTAAATCATTCCGCGCGCGCATTGCAAGCATCATATCCAACTACCACCCAATAGCAGCCTCTCGGGACCATGGCGTCTAATCGGATTGAACATTGACGTATTGATAAGATTATATCAATTCCGTTTCTCGATCGTTAACAGTACGGAATCGCTTGCCTCAAAGATGATACTAAACTGTGAAGGGGGTTAGCTGGATAGCAAGATTACTACATTGGGCTAGCGGATTTTGCATTGGGGTTTCACTTCCGACGAATTGGGCGATTGGGACAAGTGGTTCCCCAGACGTCATGTCGTCCGTTCGGATGCTCAAGACAAGATGGATCGTGAGTATTGCTTTTAGCAAGTTTGAAAATGCTCAAGTACAGTAGTCCAGTTATATATGAAGGCTATTCTGTCAGGTTTTGTAACTGAAGCGGTGGGTGGGATTCATCACTGTTAACATGTTAAATTACAGCTCGATACTCACAACAAACACAGGTTATCAATTCCAAAGCAATCGATTTCCAATCTCAGACATTCCCCCACAATCAGCTCGGCTTCCCGCGGTTCAAGGCCCCATTTCCCCATCCTTAAGCTGGGCCAAAGCATGTCCACGTTCGTCATTGGTCAAAATACTCTACCCTGATTCGCCATTCGATCTTGGTGCTTCTAATATCAGGCGATCACATTGGACAGGATTGAATGCCGATGGTATGCTATGCTAGGCTAATCCCCAGCTTTTACTCCGTACGCCACATGCCTTGATGCTTGTATTCACTCCGTTATAGCATTCGGAGTAGAAGGCTGTGTCTGCAGTGTTGTTAGAGCTGTGAGATTGGTGAGATATCGGTCATAGGGAGAAAAGGTAAAGTATCCGATTTGTGGAGAGTAATCCGATGGAGATGCTGCTTTGAAGATGCTGGACAAGCAAGGGTGAGTATTTCAATATATAAAGACCGCAGATGTCTAGTGGAAAGGTTTCGATATAACAGTCAACTTGGAATCAACATCTTCTAGAAAGATAAACATACTAAAACTCCTACGCCACACTTACGACTACTATTCACTACTTCATTCCTTTTTATCTTTACCAACTAAATCAGCAATCATGGTTCAAGGCACATCGACATGGGACTCACTAGACATGTCCCTATATTGGGGCACACCGGAGGAGAAGGCACAATTCTGTGCGTCACTGCTCGAGACGCTCAAGACGAAAGGAGTTGCAAAGGTGAAGAACCACGGCATCCCTGACGAGCAAATCCGTGAATTGTTTGACGTGGTCAGTACATCCCCCCTCATAGAGAGGCTTGATCTAACCGGATCACAGACACGCAAGTTCTTCGAACTACCCTACGACGAGAAGATGGTAGCCAAACATCCACCAACATCAAACCCAAATAGAGGTTACAGCTTCATCGGCCAAGAGAACGTCGCCGCCATCAGCAAGTACGGCAAGGCCGAAGTCAAAACACACGACATCAAAGAAACCTTCGACATGGGCGCTTCCACCGACCTCCTCGAAGCCAACCGATGGCCCACACCCTCCACCCTCCCCGCCTTCCGCCCCTTCATGGAAACCTTCTACACCTCCGCCTTCGCCCTCGAAAACCACCTCCTCTCCGCCCTCGCCCTCGCCCTCGACATCTCCCCCTCAGACCTCCACACCATGCACTCGGCCGCCGAAAACGAGTTCCGCATCCTGCACTACCCGACCGTCCCCGCCTCCACGCTCGCCGACCCAACCGCAACCCGCATCGCCGAGCACACCGACTTCGGCACCCTGACCCTCCTCTTCCAAGACTCCACCGGCGGCCTGCAAGTCGAGGACCAGCAGCACCCAGGCAACTTCCACGATGTCCCGCCCTCCGTGTCCTCCGACCTCATCATCAACATCGGCGACTCGCTCCAGCGCCTCACGAACGACACCTTCCGCGCCGCGTGCCACCGCGTGACGTTCCCCGCCGCGGTCGTCGACGACAACGGCGTCGAGGTGATTCCCGGGCGGTACTCGGCGGCTTACTTTGCGAAGCCAAACCGCGCGGCGTCGTTGCGGCCGATTGGGCGGTTTGTGAGCGAGGAGAGGCCGTGCAGGTATGGCGACGAGACGGCGTGGGAGTGGAATATGAAGAGGATTAAGGCGCTGTTTCCGGCGGAGGCTCCTGCTGCTGCTGCGGTGACGGCGACGGTGGCGCCGACGGCGGTTAAGGTGTAGATGATAGTATAGTTTTTCTTTCGCGAATATAAAGTTTCAATTGGCTTTCTCCCTCTAAGTTGTCTACTTTCCTCTTTTGCGCCCGACGTTGTACTGACTTTGCGTGTAAACTATGTGGAACGAGATATAGATAGGTTCAGTACATCCCCCGTCCGCCAAACGCCCTAAACACCCTCTCAAGACTCCACTCCTCGTCCCTAGCGTCACCCAGGAACCCCAGGTCTCTCAGAATCTCCACCGCGAGGTCTTTGTGCTCTTCTGCGGTCGCGACGTCGTGCAGGATGTAGTGTGCGCGCGCGAGGTTGATGTGTGTGTCTGTGAGCCTGTCGTTCACCCTGAGCGTTAGTGAAGGAAAGGGTATGAGAGAGGGAGAGAAGATGGGAGAAAAGGGGAAGGGGGGAGCTGTACCTCCTAGAAAAGCGAGCGTCGCGTACAATGTTACTATCAACATGCACATGTATCATATGAAAGAAAGAGCACACGAAGACGGAGAAAGGAAACCACAGAGTAATGAGATAGAGGGAGAAGGAAGGGAAACGAAAGTAAGGTAGGGGACAAACTTACTCATCTCTCCATGATCATCTTCCCGAGCCAGCCCTCGGCCTTTTTGCCCCGGCTCATCTGGCCCGGGAGCATGTTCATGGAGGATAGGATGCTGTATCGCCAGCCCTTTGCGTCAATCATCTTCCTTGGGGAATGGGGAATGGGCTTGAACGATTGTGCAGAAACAACAACAAAAGTCCCCAGGATAAAACTCCAAAGAAACGCAATCAAACTCACATAGGCGTCAACCCCTCCTCCCCAATCAACTTCACAAGCTCCTTCCCCTTCGCTATCGCCGCCTGATACCTCTCCTGCTCCCACAACCTCTGAAACTCCATCTCCCCCTCCTGGATCCTCCGCCTCCTCTCATCCGACTCTTCGATCTCCTTCTTGGGTCGCGAGCACAGGCTACAGTCGCACTCGAACCCCCACTTCTTGAGCTGGGATGCCCGGTGCGGCGTCGGCGTGCCGAGATACACGTACGAGATTGTGATTTCCTCGCCGGGCAGGATGGGGCGGTAGGATTTGAGGGCGATGGAGAGGGAGGTCGCGGAGAACATTACGAATGAGCTTTTTTCGCTTGCGTTAGCATACACACGACCTTCTTCACATATCGACGCTAGAGAAATGGGGAGATGAGGGGAGGGAGGGTGTACTTCGGATCACAAGCATGATTCACCCTCGACACGAGCGGGAACACGGCCCTGAAGTTCTCCCCCTCGAACTCGGTCCCGAACGAATTGGTCAACATGACGTGTTCGTCCTTATCATCCACCGTCTCCTCCCCCTTCTCCCCCTCCATCTTCGACTTCGACTGTTTGCTCCCCGCATGCTCCCCACTCAACCCCCTCACCCGCCCGGGATCCCGTAACCCATCGACCCCCCGGCGCAGCAACTCGAGGCTCTGCGAGGCGGTAAGCGCCTTCTCGATGCGATTATCCATGACCACGTTCGCCTGGTCGACCATGAACGTCTCGTACTGCGCGATCCTGCGCGTCGCCACGACGCCTTTCCCCTTGCCGGGGATATCCTCGACGGCGTACGGGCGGGAGGTGCCGAGGAAGTCCTCGGCTTCCGCGTCGGAAGGGAAGAATTGGAGGACGGGGTGTTCGTCCAGGTGGGGGATTGCGAGCCCGGCGAGGGCGGGGGTCGTGATGAGGGAGAGGCCATTGAGGAAGGAGGGGGCGGAGGTGTAGGTGCAGAATTTTAGGGAGGAGTTTGAGGCGGAGGTGTGGCAGAGGGGTGGGGTGGTCCAGGGAGCGTGGGAGGAGGTAGAGGGGGGTTTGGGGTGCGTGGAGAGGTAGGCCTGGGGGTTGAGGTAGCCGGTGGAAGGGTCGATGAGGTCGTCTGGGTTGACGGCGCCGAGGTTGGAGGAGCTGCTCGCGAGGATTGTTGAAGGGAGAAAGAAGAGGAGAGAGAGGGAGAGGAGCGAGGGTTTGGATGGTGATGGCATGGTGAATTGGTCGTGGAGTGGATCTGCTTCCGGTGGTTTGTTAGTCAATTGCGATTCAACTAAGTCGTCGAAAATACATCGTCACAATTTCCGGGGGCGACGAAGTCTGGATATCACAGAAGGTCGATGTTTCCGAGAAGTGAACACCTTTTGTTGTTTTGCTCTCGGTTGTGATGGTCCAGGGATCTGCACGTCATGTGTAGGCAGTTATTAGCCGCATAGATTAATTTCTACATCCCGCTGTATATACCAGACGACACCTCGTGCTGAGCAATTCTTGGGGGGTGATTTATTGACTTTGAGTATAGGTGCTTGGGTAGGCGAGTTTCTGGGTTGGATATGGTGTGTCAATTGGACTTGGTCGCGACGGAAAGTAAGTCGCCAAGATCGAAATGGGAATTGGTAGATGGACGACCCTGGCTGGGATCTTGGGAGGTATCGCGTCAAACATAGAGAATCGACGGTGGTCCAGGTCGATAACAATGCTATCAGGGAAGGTCAATAACTTCGTCAAATGCAACAAGGTAGGTGGACAATAACGCATTTCCATGCCAATGTCTGGCAAATATTCCTTTTTTGTTTGGACAGTACACACACAGTACACGAAGTCCTTGGTCCACCCTCTCCTCCAGTGCAACTTTTCCTATTTTCAACAGCTCACATCCTCCATCGTCTCGTTCTTCTCGCCGACAATCTATCCTACAAAGCCGTCAACAGCAAATATCAGGCACTACAACCTGGCAAGCTCACCCTGGTACGCAATGCACTCGATCTCGACGGGCACGTTCTTGGGCAGCGTCTTGACGGCGACGCAGCTGCGGGCGGGCTTATGCGCGAACCCCTTCTCGTAGACGGCGTTCATGGCCGCGAAGTTGGCCATGTCGTCCAGGAACACGTTGACCTTGATCACCCGCGTGATATCGCTGCCGGCCTCGGCCAGGATGGCCTTGATGTTGTCGATGCAGGCTTGCGTCTTCACGCCGATGTCGCCGTCGACGAGTGCGCCGGTCTTGTCGGCGGGGATCTGGCCCGAGACGTAGATGTTGGGGCCGGCGACGATGGCTTGGGACTGCGGTGGGAGGGGGGTTAGTGCTGGGGATTTGTTCTTGGGGTTGTAATTGCGGGGGCAAGTAAGGGAGGGAGGGATGAGGTGGAATTGACATACGTAAGGGCCAGCAGCTGTTTCGTAAATTAGCAATTGTGGATTATCAACGACGAGAGATGAGGAAGCTTACGAGGGCAGGCCTCGGTGGTGAGGATCTTCTTGACGTCAGACATGGTGTTGGATGTGGTGGAGAAAGGGTAGCGAGTGGGTGCAGTGAGGTGGTGATGCAATTGGAGTCGAGGGAGGACTGGACGGAGGGAATTGCTGTGTTTAAGAAGTCTGGGGAGGTGTTGTCGTGAGAGGGAAGTGAAGATGTTACGGCATTGCATGGCTACTCTCGGATGGTGATGAATGACTATGTTACTATGCACACTATGTATGTCACTGTACACTGTGTAATGTATGTGAGTATACCTCAGTCCGATGGCGGGGGACCCTCCAGCTTCCGATCCCGGAATCATCCGAAAGGGGACTAGCGGAGGGGTAATCAACTCAGGAAATTGTTGTACAGCATCTGCGCTAAACCGTAACAGGACATGGAGAGTCGGATACCTACATGGACACGCACGTCTTTACGAAAGATTCTCGTTGCTGCTTCACGTTTTGCGACGGGGAAGCATTGGTCTTATACCGAAGCCTTTTCAGGGTGCTGATGATGTCGTTATAAATAGGAACAATGCTCTTGATAATGACGGAAACGTTTTCATCTGGACTGCATGCATTTGAAAATACTGTGTAAGGTATCTGATGATTTGCTAGCGTGGTTGGGGCTTCGAATCGAACTGACCAAACTTTTTATTTTCTCATCTATGACAACAAACATCAATCACTACTGAGCGCTTTTTCTCCAAGATATACGCCCAGATGCAAGAAGATATTCAACGTATTTTCTCTCCAACTCAAGTAACTGTCTATAAGATAACATCTCCGTGAATCGTAAAACGGCATCTTTTCTCCTTTTCAAATAAGAACAGAGATATTAAGGGAAAAATCTGAATCAAAACGGGGATCCGCAATCCCATCCTTCTATTTGTGCCAGCCCCTCCTGCTCGCATCGGAATAGGAAGGCCGTTGCCGCGTCTGACCCGCATGGTCCGGACTCGACCAGGAACGAAAAAAAGGCGCACAATGCTTCCAATCGTGGCATAGAGCGGGAAAATTCTCGCGATAAATCTCAGCAGCCAGTATTAAGTTCGATCCAATGCCTGAGCATTGTGCCACAACGTGTTGATGCCTAATGTCTGTGCGACATGTGTGCGGTAGCTTTTCCCATGGCAGATCGGACGAGACGAGCGATCTTCCCTTGCGTTGAGCAGGCAGCAAGCAACAACTAAGAACCCTCCAGCGCCGTCCCATGCTAACCGTGTCTATAGAATCGTATGGTTGAAATTGAATAATTTTGTGTGTAATGCTGGATCAGGAAACATGCATGATCTGATCCAGCGATGTGGTGTGATGTATGTGCACATGCTGCAGGGTTTTGACGTAATAATCCCTTACTGTTTCGCCTCCTGGCTCGACAGGAGGGTGTAGACGGGGGCATCGAGCTTCGCGCGGCCCTTGAGGAAATCGAGTTCGAGGATGAAGACGTAGCCAACGAGGGAACCGCCGAGCTTCTTGACGAGCGAGCCGGCTGCGGATGCGGAGCCGCCTATATTGTACGTTAGTTATAGTGATCGAAGGTGGAGGATCGGCGTGAGGTGGGGTGATCATTGAGCCAGAAAAAAAAAGTAGAAAAAAAGTGTAGGAAGGAGAAAACACATACCAGTAGCAATGATGTCGTCAACAATCAAGACATTCTGGCCAGGCTTGATGGCATCGGCCTGCATCTGGAAGAAATCCTGGCCGTACTCCTTCTCGTAGCTGGCGGTCTCACATGGGCCGGGGAGCTTTCCCTGCTTCCTCACGGGGACGAAAGCAGCACCGAGACGCAGGGCCAGGCTGGGGCCGAAGAGGAAGCCGCGAGCGTCAAGGCCAACAATGACGTCCGGCTTGGTGGGGTAGGCAGAGGCGACGTGCAATTCGAGGGCGGAGATGAGGTCCTCGTGGGTGGAGGGGTTGGCGAAGATGGGGAGGATGTCCTCGAACAAGATACCTGGGGAGGGGAAGTCGGGGAATTGGCGGAGGGCACCTCGTAGCCTCATCTGTGCACTGGCGAGTTTGGAGGCGGCGGAGGCACCGGTGGAGGAGAGTCCTCTTTGGGAGGCATCGTTGTTATCGGCGGATGTGGTGGTTGTTGAGGAGGTGTTGTTGGTGTTGAGGATGGTGGGGTCAGGCTTGTGCGCGGGCGGGTGAGAAGATGTAGCGTCGGCCTGGATGGAAGGGGAGGAGGACATGTTGAAGAAATAGAAGAGAGGAAGGAGAAGAGGAGAAGAGGAAAAAAGAAAGAAAAATGGATAGGGATTCGGGATAGGGAGAAGGAGGATGCGTCGAGTGTGGTGGTTGGTGGTGGTGGTCCCGGTGGTGGTGGACAGAGTAGATTAGGTGGACGGACAGGGCAAGGTTACAAGTTACAAGTTACAGGGCAGGCCAGATAGGCAAAGCAGGCAGGGTCAGGGTTGTCAAGGGAATTCCGTAATAGAGTCAAGGTACTCGTAAGGTATGGTATGGTATGGTATGGGGTTATGATTCCAGGTAAGGCAAAAGGCAGGGTTTGGGAAGAGAAGGAGAAAAAAAGGAAGAAAAAAAAGGACAATTGACAGGGTTTGGGATGGCGGAAAGAAGTCGGTGAGAAAATAGAGTGTCGTTAGCTCAACTACTAACTACTGAACTCTACTGTACACAGAACGTTACCATGCTTTACTCTACTAATTGGGGGTTCTACGGAATACACGCCGTGTATGGTTTCAAGACTTCATAGGGAGGCTGAATAGACTATGAAAGACAAACAAGATAAGGGAGGTAAGATTCAAGTGCCTATTGTGGCCTAATCGGTGGTGGCCGTGATGGTGGTGAAGAGAAAGCGACCGATTCGCTGTTCTCTTAGTCCAGTAGATTAGAAGTACTAGGGACTCTAGATACTCTAGATAGCAGTGTTATTGTTGTTATTTTGACGGTTTAGATCAAAGGAGAGGTAATTCTTTGAAATATTTACCTCCCATACATTGAAGACCTGATCATTCAAGATCCATAATATACCTACATAGTACGTATACTGATACTACTCATACTGTCTAGATACACAACACCAGCATGCGCCTATGGTATCAGTAATAATCTAGGCATCAAGCACTCCGTAACTATCTTGTATCTTGTATCTTGTATCTATCCTTTGTGGTAGCCACTAACTTCCCAATACGCCATAGTAAGACATTATACGCATCAACTTCATGCATGCGCCGGAGCGGGAGATGCCCGCCGTCTGCTCATCCATTCATCATTCGTCATTCATCACTCGCCATTCGTATATTATCGACTTTCTTCAAACGTAGCCCCTCCATATAATCAACATTTTTATTCTCGCCAGCATGTATCTCCCAGTCAGCAAGGACTATTCGTGATGTTGTAGTCATATCATACTCACACTCCCGTTGCACACACCCCTCTCGTACCACCACCCTCTGTACTCCCTTTGTAGTCGAGTATGTATGTACGTATGTGGCAACCCTGTCGCAGGCTGCAGATGCAGATGGGGAGACTCATGTCTCGATGCCCCTCGACCTTCTTTTGTGGAACGAACGGGCGCCGGCACCGATACGGTAGGGCATCATTGGGGGGCAGTATGGCTTCAGTCTAGGCGCTGTGCTTACTACAGTACTCCAAGATTCAGATGTATCTTCTCAGTGTGGATTACTCGTGCGAGTATTTGTAGATGTGTAGTGTCTGGTTTTTTCTTTTCTAGGTATTGTTTAATCATCGCCATGAATGCTGTATTGTATACATTGTAGTGGATGCTCAGCTCGCCATGATCCCTCCGACAATCATTAGTTATTGTACGGTTTGTTGAGTCGCAATCCCAGCGCATGTACGATTATCTTTCAGCGAGAGACTAGAACACGGGCGCCTATTGAACCATGATTCGTAGTGTAGGGGTGGATGGATGTGGTGGATGTGGTGATTCATACTTCGTTACTCGTAGTGGTGGGTGTTGTGCGGCTGCCCCTCCATCCATCAAGCTCTCCCTGTCCTGTTCCAGTCAATACGTGTTGCCCCTCAGTAGTAAGAGGTACTCACCTAAATAATCAATCAATATCAACATCGATAGTCTAGATACTCGTACAATTCCCAATACAATTCTACGCCCATATCCAATATTCCTTTCATTCACCACCAACCAACCATCCCTCCCTCTCCATCACATAGTAGTAACTACACCGTTCCAACCTACACACCACCCCATAGACACGACGCAAACAGAGCTGCTTTAAACCCCCGATGACATACCATCCCCCGTTCTCCGTACTCGTACATACACAGTACTGTCCATTTCACATGCAGTGGGTCCCATCCATCCTCAACAAAACGCACTGAATCCTCCCCTCCCCCGCCGTCAATGCGATGCGCCGCGCCCACCATGTATCCCGACCATTATTAGATGGGGCTGGATGTGCTGTGCGCCACGCAAGACACACCGATTTGCCTGACACATACATATACACATACACGCACATATGCTTGCACGTACACAGTAGACGTGAATGGTGATATGAAAATGTGTATGGAGTATGGGGGTGTACAGTCTGACGCACGCCATACACACCGTTCTAGAATACACAACGACAGCTACCCCTCCACGCAATACTGCTCACCCCTCTCTCAACACTTCTCAGAGGGGAGATGCACCACATACATCATACAACCATTCAGCTCAGATGCGTAATATGAAGCGCAGAAAACCTTCCAGCCCAACCATTCGCGCCTCTAACCACCGAATCAGGCAGCGGAAACACGGCGCTCCATTCAGATGCGCCGCCTGTCTGTGTTCCCTTTTGGGGAGATGGGATGATGGATTCGTACGTGAGTCCACTTTATATAGGTACTGTAGGCTCAACCAAACGCTTGTAAAACATAAGTTGTAGTAAAGCTTATTTATGGGTTTAATTTGGTCCCACTATCACTCGGGTGATCTCCATTTTATATATGTAACTACCTAGGTACCTGACATGGGAGACGAATGGTCGGAGAATGGTGACTTGCGAGACTTACTGAGGCCTATAGACCATTGTTGTAGATGTAAGTATACTTTTCTCTCCACGTAAGATGGGGTAAATTTTTGATTCTAGTCTGACTCTGTCACTTATTCATACGCTGTTGAATACTTCATTGTCTATGTATAGAAGACCGGGGGTTTGGGTTGTGTTTTACTGTCGGGCTATGGGTAAGTCTATACAAGTCAATATACTAATGTTGAAATCATGAAGCCATAGGACCAACGACTATAATTATATCTCTATTAGCAAGATGAGCTGTAGTTCTCTCTTATTCTTGGGATTAGGTTTAAAAACATGATGATGGGTATCGTATGATACGATAATTGGGGGTTGATCATCGTGGGAGTTAGATATCATTTCTTACTTGAACTATATAGGAAATTGATTTTGATTCGGCCTTTAAATATGATGCCGTGACAAGAAAGCAAGCAAACAGACAAGTGGTTTCTCACACTTCTACTCCCAAACCTGCATGTTCTTCACCACGCACTCTTCCTCTCCCTCGTTCCTGTTCACCAGCCTTCCAACCTCATACACGCTCTCGCCGTGCTCCTGCAGAATCTCCGTAACTTGTCTCGCGTTCTCGGGCGACACCGCGACAATCATGCCCAACCCCGTGTTCCACGTCCTGCAGAACTCGACGTTCGCGATGCGGCCGGCCTGCTTGAGCCACTTGAACACCGCGGGCACCGGGTACGACCTGGCGTCGACCTCGGCGGCGAGGGACGACGGCAGCATGCGGGGGATGTTCTCGAGGAGGCCGCCGCCCGTGATGTGCGCCATTCCCTTCACGAGACCCTTGGAGCACACCGCGAGGAGCGGCTTGACGTAGATGCGCGTTGGGGCGAGGAGCGCAGCGCCGATGGTCTCGCCGGGCGTGCTGGACCAGGGGGCCGCGTCGTGGAAGGAGAGGTTGTTGACTTCGATGATCTTGCGGACGAGCGAGAAGCCGTTGGAGTGCACGCCGTTGGACGCCAGGCCGAGCAGGATGTCGCCGGCGGCCATGGCGTTCATGTCCGGGAGGATGGTCGCGCCCTTCGCGATGGCGCCGATGGCCGCGCCGCCAGCGTCGTACTCGCCCTCCTTGTAGAGTCCTGGCATCTCGGCTGTCTCGCCGCCTATGAGCGCGGCGCCGGATTGTCGGCACCCGTCTGCGACGCCCCGGACGAAGGCGGCCGCCCCGGAAACGTCGAGTCGGCTGCAGGCGTAGTAGTCGAGGAACATGAGGGGTTCGGCGCCCTGGACGACGAGGTCGTTGACGTTCATGGCGACGAGGTCGATGCCCACGGTGTCGTGCTTGCCCATCTCGAACGCGATCTTGACTTTCGTGCCGATGCCGTCAATGGCTCCGACTAGGATCGGCGGCTCCTTGTAGCCTGCGCCTTGCAGGTCGAGGAGCCCGCCGAATCCGCCGATTTCTGCGTCCGCGCCTGGCCGTTTGGTGGTCGCCACGGAGGCCTTGATCTGCTTGACGAGCTCGTTGCCGGCGTCAATGCTGACGCCCGCGGAGGCGTATGTGAGGGCTTCTCCTGCTGGGCGAGTGGAGTCCGTGGAGGGAGTGGTGACTGTTGTGCCTTCTTCCGCGGGTTGGAGGAGCTTCCAGTCGCATTCGATGTTCTCCTTCTTGAACTCTGCGAGGAGATGCTCGGCGATGGAGTCGAAGTTGTGGGTGGCCAGGGCGAGGATGGTGGGTCCGGCGCCAGACAGGCAGATTCCAAGGAGACCTGGGTGTGATTGGGGAGTGACAGACTGGAGGATCTCGGTGAGGCCGGGGATGAGGCCCCGTCGGTACGGTTGGTGCATCTTGTCCTGCATGGCGGTGTAGATGACCTCTGCGTCTGGGGGCGAGTCTCCCAGTGCGGAGGTAAGAAGTGCGAGGCGCTGCATGTTGAAGATGGCGTCGGCTCGCGAGAGAGTCGTGGGGAGGACCCCTCGGGCCTTTGCTGTGGAGACCTCGAAGTCTGGTATTATGCATATGCACTTGATCTCTGGGGCCCATTTGAACTTCTTGAAGGATCCAATGTTGTATGGCGGCTGGGGAGGTTGAAGACCGGTGTCGACACCACCGGCAGGTTCTGGCAGCACTTCACTGCGAGGAATCTCAAGCCTCTCGGTGTCCTCGGGGGAGAGTTCTCTGAGATATGTTCCGACGAAGCCTCCGTAGAGCGCGGCGGCGACATTGTCGGGATGGCGCTCCTCCATGAGGCAGTAGTCCAACATCCTAGCTTTTGAGAGGTTCAATTGTCCGACCACATTGGCCAAGTTGACGCCGGCGACAATGGCTGCGCCTGAGGAGCCCAATCCTCGCCCCAACGGAATGGGGTTCTTGATGTGGACATGGGTCTCGCTGGGGAATGCGCGGATGCCGTTGCATCGAAGGACGTAGACGGCTGTTCGGGTGATGAGATTGTCTTCGGCAACAAGAGGAACGGAATTGGCGCCGAGGCCTTCGTAGGTGATGCGACAATTGAGGGAGTGTTCAGAGCTTTCCTTCTTGGTGATCTGGACGGAGACCTCGAGGTAGACGTTGAGGGCGAGGCCAATGACGTCGAAGCCGGGGCCAATGTTCGCGGACGAACAAGGGACTTTGATGAGAGTTGCCATGGTCGATTGATTTGCGAATTGGTAGACTGATGGTTGTGGAATTGAAGAAGGTTGTGACTCAGGCGCGTAGGAGGGGCGGAAGCACGGAGCGCTGAGGTGGGTCTAAGATTTGTGCCTTTTTATAATGAAAGCAATGCTGGATATGTGCACTTTCACTGTGTCGTTTGGTTAAAGGATAATGAATGAAAAAGGCCCCGAATGCAGATTGTAAGGCCTTGGGACTATAAACGGACCATGATTCAAGTAACGAGATTCAACAAGATATGAAAAGACCCCAAGTGAATGGGACGATAAAAAAAAAGGTCGCCCTAGTGGGAGGAATTGGGAAAATGGCGCTAACGGAGAACAGAAAGTTAAACCTCCGATGGCGGGGTTTCGTCCTATCGATAAGAATCTCTTTCGATAACACGGACCATGTCACTAGTACTAATTAGGCCATGAAGATGACTAACGATCGATGATGACTGTTCCACCTTGTACCTCTGCTTGTACCTCAACACCATCTTCACACTGACCATACATAGACACACACAAGAACGAGATACTGCAAAGCGTATGTGATGCTGAAACACAAAGTATCCCCACATGTCTGCATACCCTCCAACAATCTTATCCGTGCATTGCGGGATTGCTCTGGAGCGAGTGCGAATATGGTTGACTCAAACATGACCAGAACAGAACAATGCAATCTCAAAGCAACCCGAACAGCAAACGGGAGAATGAATCACTAACCCCCTGGGACTTTCGATAAACACCGTGCAGTCTGATACAAAGCTTTGCAGAAACCAGCGCGCGCCAGTAACAGTGACAGTGACAGTGACCGGACAGCCTTTCAGCCCTTCTCCTTTGTTCCGGTGAGCATAGACCTAATGAACGTACGGTGCGGCATTGTACACTCTCAGCCTACTGCCTATTACACCGCCACGCTCTACCAATATCTACCAGCCAGGCACATGCAGTTCGATGGAGTCAAAATCTTGTCTCTGATCTCAACTCAAGGCTGTTTCGCGTTGTTCTTGCTGCTGCTAACCATCATCTTCCATCCTCTCACGTCTCTCCAACAATCAAATCAGTACCTTGACGTGTCATACATGCGCCACGGCAACTCAACCCCCCAGCTTGCATCCACTCACATCAACTCAGCTCCAAACTACAAGTTATCAAACCTTGCACATCTGCACTACATCTGCACATCTGTACATCCATCCGCGTTCATCTCCTTGTCTTGCGGCTTACTATTGCACTTTGTCTCAACCTCCCTCAAAGCCTTGTCTTCTTAAGGCCCTCTCCGCCCTACTACTCACCTCAACCTACCTCGTACTCTCCCTACTTACTACTTACCTACCTACTTTACCATCTAGGAAGAACATCATTAGGCAACTGCCTCGCTGCCTGCGCTTGCTGCCTACCAGTACCTCCCTCTCCACTTCGTCCAGCCCGGTAATTCATCTCCCTGCTAGCACTGCACGGCTTTCCGATCTCTTCCTTTCCCTAGGCAACAAACCGCTCACTCCGTCATACCTCACCCAGTCTGGTCAGCCTGATCTACAAATATCAACTTCGCATCCCCCGCCTTGATTCTCCCACGTCTTCTTCCATCATTCTTCCAACCTTACTTCCACTCTCACTATTTCATCGTGGTTCCCACCATACACTACCTTTAGCGTCAACTGCCAACATCCCAACACTGTCTCTCGCTTTGCGCACACTCTTGTCGCTGATATACAATTCATGTCTTCTCGTGGCCGCGGCTTTCCTCCTCGGGGAAGAGGGTTTCCGTCACGTGGCAGAGGTATGCCCATGTTGGCCAGTGACTGGGCTAATCCCGAGGCATTTGGCACGCCCCAACATATCGAGCCAGATTCGGCCTCCGTTTCCGAATCAGAATCCTCGTCCGAGGACGAGGCCAACGTGATCAATGGCGTCAAAACCATCACGCTCAACGGGAACGGCAAGACGGATGTCGCCGCGGAAGATAGCGAGCCGGAGGAGGATTGTCTTCCAGGCATGAAGTTTGGGCTGAAGAACCTGTACTCGGGCAAGGAGGACAAGAAAGGCCGTTATCAATGGCAGGATAAGATCCCCGATGATCTTGGAAACCCCGCTGAGAATGACAAGACAGCTAAATGGGCACTGCTGGTGAGAAATGTTAAGGTCTATGGCGATCCAAGGAGAGTCCTTGCCATGCACTCCATCGTGGTTCAGAGTCCACTTCTTAAGCGCCTTCTTGCCAAAGTCCTCAAAGGCTACCCGGGCGTCACCGTCGGCCTTCAGCGACTCGAGTTTTCTGGCAAGTTTGAGCCGCTCATTCATCGATGGACGGAGCTTCAGCAGGCCATCTCCGAGTTGAGCGACGATACGGAAGAGAATAGAACCACCAAGGCCCATGCAGATCTCTTACAGGAGGTGCTGATCAAGGAGTTCAAGACCCTTATCGACGAATCCCAAGATATGAAGTCGAAAAAGGTCATGACATATTTCCATTTATGGACGCTCTTCCAGCCCGGAGCCACCATCTACACTAGGAATGAAGGACAAGAGACGGCCTACTCCCTCCTTGATACTAAGTATGGTCAGGATGCGAAAGGCGTCCCTTGCTTTTGGTTGACCTGCAAATACGTCGATTGGGACGGGGCCAAGTTCGGTTCACAGAAGTGGAATATCAGCATCCCAATCTTCACCGGAACGAGACACATCAATCAACTTCGAGCATTCCCCATCCAGTACCATCACGAGGCCGAAGCCCTGCGGACTCGCTTGATCGAACGGGGCGCCAAGGTTGAATCGCTCGCTGGGCCAAACTACCGAGCGTACTCAGGCATTGGTTGGCGCATGGGTGCTTTCGGGTCCAAGGACAAGTACAATGTCAAAGGCCGAATTGTCATTGACACACACGGTTGGAATCGATTTAACGCTAGCTACGCTATCTACGTGAACTCGCTATCTCAGAAAGACCAGGTGCCGGCTAACGGCACAGACTCCGAGGAAGACTCATCCGACGACGGCGATGTGTATGATGGAGAAGATGACTGCGACGGTGGCATGCCGATAGACGGCCACTTTGCCGACGAAGAGGATTCCAAGCGCGCCCCACTCACCACAGAACAGAAACTGATCTGCACTCCTTTGCTACGAGGTTATAGCTTAAAGCAGAAGCTGTGGCTGAATTTCTTCGTTAATTGCGTAAAGGAGATAGAGTGGCAAAAGGACGCGTTCGACCGTCTGGTGCTTCCAAAGAACCAGAAGGAATTGATTCTTGGATTTACCGAGTCTCAACGGAAATATCGTGAGACTTTCGACGACGTAATCGAGGGCAAAGGCCGTGGCATGATTATTCTCTTGACTGGGCCGCCTGGAGTAGGAAAGACTTTGACTGCAGAGTCCGTTGCCGAAGAGATGAAGGTGCCACTGTACATGATGTCGGCGGGCGACCTCGGTCTCGACCCTAGACGGCTGGAGGGACAGCTTCAAGACATTTTGGAAATGTGCACGAGGTGGAACTCTGTCCTACTGTTGGATGAGGCAGACGTTTTCTTGGAGCAGAGATCGCTGCACGAGTTGGAGCGGAACAAACTGGTGACAATATTCCTGCGAGTACTTGAGTATTACGAAGGTGAGTAGTGTTTTCAGTTCCAGATCTGTTTCATGCTCATACTGATCGTTCATTTAGGCACCATGTTCCTCACGACCAACCGAGTCGAGACCTTTGATCCAGCTTTCCAGTCGCGAATCCACATTTCGCTCGACTATCAGGAACTGTCCTTGAGCTCGCGTCGCACCGTCTGGAAGAACTTCCTCGAGTCGTTCCCAGAGGAGCATGCCATTCACAAGACCGAGCTAGAGTCACTAGCCCAGATGAACCTCAACGGTCGACAAATTAAGAATATCCTTAAGATCGCTCGTCTTTTGGCCACTCGAAAGCAGGAGAAGCTCAGTCACGACCACATCGTCACCACGCTAGAGGTCACGCAGCATTTGCATAACGAGACGCAGTTCTCGGAGAGGACCAGGGGAAGTCTCTATCATTAGGCAGTGAGCGGGTTGCGCATTTCCATGGCGTTCTTTTCACTTCATCCAGTTCTGAGTGAGCATTTCTTTCGTTCCGGCCAGGGTATCATTTCTTTTGGTCGGCTTATCTTTCCTACTGGGCCAAATCTCAACAGCAGGCGATGGGTCTGTTTTCTTAGTGAATCATAGCAGTGAGTATGAAACTGCCAAAGCTTGGTCACTCGGGAATTTTCATATTATTGGTAGCATGCATAGCATATGTAAAGCTTCATGAACATACAGAATCGTGTGATCTACATGCTCGAATGACCACTACTAATCCCATCTGTCACATACTGCTGAACACTCACTTTAAACATACCCACCTCCAATCCTTCAATATTCCCCGTCCTCGCAACCGCACCTCCCGTCCCATCAGCACCCACAGACGAACCAAACACACTCCACCCCTTATCCATACCTCCTCCAAAGATTCCCTTCACCCGTCCAGTATGATCGCCCACATCCATACCATCCGGGAACCTCAACTGAAATATACCCGACTTCCCCGTCCCAGGAGCCACCTCGAACGCCTTGTACGACATATGAACGTACGCAACGAGTGCCACACTCCCCTTAATCCAAGCCGCCGCGTCAACCAGCCCATCACCCCCCTCAACCACCAACATCGTCCTCTTCGCACCCAGCACGAACGCCGCGACATCCTCCTCCCCCTTCCCCCCACCACCCCCATCAAACACCCTCGCCAGCCCCGCCGTCGCATCCTCAATCTCCCCACTCGTCGGATAAATCCACGCGACGATGCCCTTCGCGCCATGCACGACCCTCAGCATCGCCATGACCAGCTCCTCCCTCCCCGTCGGCCACCTCGTCCAAAAGCTCCCCTCGTCGAAGAACGCCTGCGGCACGCCCCATATCGGCTTCGTCTGCGGCTCGTGGCCCCCGCTCTGCTTCAGCCAGCCTTGGAACGCATACAGTGCGTCCACCCGCGTCGAGATGTCGAGGAACGGGTTGCGGACGTAGGAAGGGTAGTCCGGGTCGTTGGCGTGGCAGTTGTCGCAGCCGCAGTCGCCGTAGGTGGTGTTGCAGGTGGTGTGGTAGACGGTGGAGAAGGACGTGTTGACCGCGATCGGGTAGACGTCTTCGAGGATGATGTCCGCGGCGCCCGAGGTGTACGCTTCGAAGTGGAAGTTTGCGCAGTTGAGGACTAGGGAGACGGGGTGGTAGGGGTCGAGGGAGCGGATGTGGGCATAGGAGAGGCGGGTTGCGTTGAGGGGGTCTGAGTGGCCGTCCGGTTCGTCGGCGGTGTAGTACAGGAGGAGGGAGGGGTGGTGTTGGAGGCGGGAGAGTTGGAGGGAGACGGAGGTGGTATTGCGGTAGGTGTGCCGCATGTCGTACATTACGTAGAGGGAGAGGGAGTCGCAGATGGTGAGGAAGCGATCGAAGAGGGCGGCGTCGAAGGGGTCGGAGCCCCCTGGCGGGACTGGGTGGATGAGGTTGTAGCCGAGGGAGCGGAAGGTGGTGAGGTTTTTGGTGGAAGATGTGTTGGTTATCGTGGAGGAGATCCAGTCCCAGGAGGTGTAGAAGGAGTAGGGGAAGAGGGTCTTCCAGGTGCCGTTCGTGAGGGAGGATTGCGTCTGGATGCCGCCGTGGAGGTTGTCGATGCGCGCGACGGAGCCAGCGTCGTTTCGTGGTGGGAGTACGCTGACCTGGGCGCCAGAGTAGTATGTCTGAAGTCCATCTGGGGATGCGCCTATGGCGTTAACGGTCCATGGGTGTGAAAGGTCCGCTGGGAAGGATGAGAGGTCGAACTTCACGACGTTGCCGGTCGTGTTCACGGGAATTCTAGTCCAGTTCACGAGGATGGCTTTCGTCTGGATGTTCGTGATCTGCACGTTCATCCACGTGAAGGGAACCTTTTCGCTCTTATTTGCGGCCTTGTAGTCGAATGTCTCGTTCTTGTACGCGGTCCCTGCGGACGTTTGAACCGGCGTGTCTATGATGAATTCCCCCTTCTTCTCGCCCGCGAGGTAGAAATTGTATCGCGGATAGACCCGCAGATCCAACCTCGCATGTCCATCGACTGGTTCAGGAGGGTAGAGCCAACCCCCGGGATCAAAAGATGAGTTCTGTAGTTCCCAGAGCGGGCGAGCATCAGTAAAATATGACGTAACGTTTGTGATACCTTCCAGTTGAAGGCAGACCAGCAACTCACGGTCTCTTTGTATGCTTTACCGCACCATATATCCACTCCGGGCGGGTTGTTGAATTCGGATTGTGCACTTGCGCCCTGTATCTTGACAGGCCAGCTCCAACCCAAGAGCAATTGAAAGAAAATCGCAGGTAGCATGACCGCCAACGAGGAGAAGGACAGCCAGAAGAAAAGCGATGGCATCGCGAGGAGATAGGGTCCCCTTGGACCGGCTTTTATTTATCCGGCCGGATGAGGGGTGGAATAATTTAGATTGGTTGACTTTCAGTATTATCTTTCGATCAAGGTCTTGGTTCTGCGGAGGGGATCGAGCTGTTGCTGCACGCAAGGGTGGGTCGCATTATTGCAACCGCAACGTTCCTTTCGAGGTCCGAACTACCGTTCGCCACGCTCCAATCCGTGCAAAGATCGTCGCCTCCTTGTGACTGACGTGCGGTACAACGATGCTGGACTCGACAGTCGATTGCTGCGAGATGGTAGGTGTAACGGAGCTATGGCGATGGTGTACGTGATGGAACGGTTGTAGTGGTTGGTCTTACGCTTCCTTCTCCCCATTTGGTGAAGACCGAGAGCTCGTATCTTGTCACGTGCGAACTTTGAACGACATCAACTTCGTCAAGGAGGGACTTGTTGCGGTGTGACTAATATGAAAACATGTCGAAACATTGATACAAAAGATATCTCGGAGCGATCTTGTTGGATCATGATCAGGTGTCTCTTACAATGCGCTGTCACGGTTACTCTGTAAACATTGGCAATTTACAAGCGAATAATCTCAAATGATGATGCCATTGGCTCTTGACGAAAATTGGAATAGAATTTGTGTAAGATTTAGTGATAATTCATTTGGAAATCTCGTTTAGGATTCTTCACCTGCGGACCCGAATGTTGTTGTATTCCTCACTCGCTTGAAATTCATAAACACGAGCAGTAACTAGACGATCCAGCAAGTCCTAGCAGCTGTGAAACACGGACACAACGATACTACCCCGAGCTCCCTCGAGCATAGTCATGCTCAATTATTCAAGAAATGATGATTTGTTATTGAAGATGTCTATGGCAATTGAGCGGTCTCTCTAAACTCCTGCTCGCGTAGACAGCTGTGCATTGCAAGGTCGATTCCCCATAACTCAAACGCCTTCAATACGATGGTGAACGGACCCAAGTCACTGCTCAATTATTGAGTTAATATCCACCTTCCCCTGCCTAACCATACGCTTCACCTGATTCTTCAGCGACGTCGCTACTTGTGGCACATCATCGTGTATATGGAAGCACCTCCTGCTTCTTGCATCCAGCTGCTCTTCAGTGATTATTCCCTCTAAACGCTGTTCTACGAGCTCGACATAGTCCCAGAAGTAGTTCTCCCCGATGATCTTAGCCCAAGCCTGCAGGTGGGCAGAGACGATGTATTCTTTCGGTGGCGTTTCGCTCGGTTGAGGGTCGGAAGTAGGAGCTTTGCCGTTGTTTGAGTCGATATGTTCGGGAGCTGTAATCGCGCCAGGGGTTTCCGCTTTTTGGGGCTCTTCATTACCTGAGCCGGATGCTATTTTCTCGGGAAGAGTAGCTTTAGGCCTAATCCTGACTTTCCTGCTGGACGATGCTGTTTGTTGAGGTGAATCAGTTTGTTGCGGCGAATCAATTGCACTTTCCATCTCTTCATTCCGAGGTATAGGGGTCGGAGATCGTCGTCGTCGTCTACGAGTCGGCTTGCTTGCTGCCGGCTGAACAGATCCTTTGGTCTTTCTCTGCTTGGCTGCTTTTCCTGAGTCCTCCAGTGCCAATGTAGCTTTGCGCTTCGCTTGTTGTTCAGAGTTGGTGAGCCTGATTAAAGCAAGGGATTTGAGCGAAGTTGCAGATCCCTTTCCTGTAGATTCACGTTCATCTTGTGTAGATTCAGGTTCCTCTGGTGGAGTTACGGGTTCCTTTCGTGGAGTTGCAGGTCCCTTTCGTGGAGTTACTGGACTCTTTCGTGGAGTTACGGGACTCTTTCGTGGAGTCGCAGGTCCCTTTCGCGGAGTCACAGGACTTTTTCGTGGAGTTACAGGACTCTTTCGAGGAGTTACAGGTGCTTTTCGTGGAGTTACCGGTGTCTCTCGTTGAGCATCAGGTTGCTTTTCATGACTATCAGACCCTTCTCGTAGAGCAGTACGCCCGCTCGGAGGCGTTTGAGGGCCATTCTGAGGGTCGATTGCTTCACTCTGATCATGTGTAGATCTATCCACAGGCATTGCAAAGCTGCTCTCCGTGGCACCGATACCTATACTCGGGGTTGCGACAACTGTTCCGGAAGCCACAGTCTGCTGCGGTTGCGCTACAGGTCCTTGTTGAAAAGGCGTAGGAGATCTTCCGGAGATGGCTCTTTGCTGCTGCTGCTGCTGCTGCTGCTGCCAGTAGAAGTAAGGATGAGGCTGCGGGGGCGTCCTGTAAGCAAGTGAAGCATACGGATAGCAGACGCGGTTGGGCGTAGGGACGGGCCCCAGTGGAGGAGACGTTGCGCTCGTCTGCTGCGCGACTGCAGCCATGTTCGTGAACGCGGGAGTGTTGAAGAAGGATCCACCGATCGTCCGGCCGCCGTTGTGGAAGGCGTAGTGGTTCGAAAACACGCCGTTGCGACTGTTGTGCACCGGTGGAGAAGGAGGGTTCGCATGGCGAGCAGGCATCGGAGCTGCAAATGTTGCGCACTGTGCCGACATAGGCGCGAACATTTGGGCTTGTGGGACTGTGTATAGTGAAGATTTTGGGGCATTCCCGGGATCGCTTGCCCCATTGGCAGGCATTTTCGCTTTCGGATGCTCTCGATGATGTTGGACGTTCAGTAGAATTGGTGTTGGTCTGGCGTAAGTAAAGGATTTTTATGGAGCTGGCGAAGTTGAGTGAAGTGAAGGAGAGATTGGAAAAGGTCATCAGAGGTGGTGGTTTCAATGGTCTCCTTAAGTAGAGGGGTTTCAAGAGGCTTTCGTTTCCCGCATTCACTTTTGATTATCACTTGTAATCTAGGCTGGGGAGAGTTGGGGAAACACGACGGTGAGCAGGTTGTGCCAATGGCAACTTCACCTGTTCCTCACTCTCTAGGTGAGGATGCCTTTGGCGAGAAAAGCTCTTCTCGTTGTTGCTCCCTGGCCAACGAGTGACTTCCATAGCGACAATTTCATGTTCATCCCGCAATGCTGCTCGGTCAAGTCTATTCTAAGATCATAAAGGCTGTTTTTGACAATCCATTGATCTCTTCAAGGTGTCCCAACCTGCTATTGTGGATACCTCCGTGGCTTACCCAGAAATGATACCTAGTTACCAAGAACCATGCCAATGAGCCTATATCCACTCTTGGTGTTGTAGCCCTTTTCTTAGAATAAGATTCCCTTCAACAACTTCACGGCAATAGATCTTACTGACGAGCGGCAGTCGAGAAAAATATAATTGCTACAACATAACTGACCGGCGATCGGTCTACTCGAGACATCGAATTGCAGTGACTTCCTTTTACACCGTGCCCAAAGCGGAACACGATGAGTCTCTTCGTTCAGATCAGTGCCTTCAGTGTGCTATTCTAGAATCGCTACAGCACGCTCGCTTACACTGATGAAACCCATTCAGCTCAGTCTTGCTCGGGGTGAAAACACGGCTTTTCGTTACCTTACAGAAAGTGCACCGTCAAGAAGCACTCGGTCGTTTGATGACTTAGTACAATACCGCATTGATTCCCTGCGCTGATCGGTAAAAAAAAACATTTTCAACAGGTTGTGGTATAGCAGGATAGATGAGGCTATTCGGGGATTATGTGTATGGGGAAGGGCACTAGGCAGGGCATAGATAGATTGTTCAGGGCTGCCGAGAGAGATTGAGGCATCATCCACCTACCTCCAGAGGCCTATCAACAGAGTCAAATATCTACTTTTCCTACCTGTTCACCGATTGCGGGTTGTACCTGTGATGCTCCCTACTACAGAGGCGTCTATACGCGACAATGTGCTGCCAGCGATGCTCTATATTGCGAACGTTGACTCGTCGGTCTGATGCATAGTATTGCCGTCCTACCCATTCCAATGACACTGGAACCACGTCTTTGAACTGTTTGTCAATGGGAGCCATAATATTGGTACGAGTATATGCTCTCCAGCTTCGGAGAAATTGAATGTATCTATTGATGCGCACGAGGTACATAGAACGCGAAGCTTAGTCAATCCGGACAACTTCCGGCTGTCTGATCGCCAGCCAGCTATGAGAGTATTTCGAATGTTTACTTGCTGTGCCTTGAAAAAGGTATCATACTAATGAGAATTGCAATTGAATCAATAAAGGTGGTATCGAATTAGTACGCTGGGCTGGGGATAGTGAGAAGCTGTAGACACTAGTGTCGTTTACTGACGAACGTCTGTCCACTATCTGTCTGTCTGTCTGAGGAGCATGCTTTGAGTTCGTTGAGCCCGTCTCGTTGTTCAGTACCAGCAACGAAGATCTTCTCACAAACCTACATGGAAAGCAGATTTCGTTGGTTTCAACATCACATATTCCCAGTAGTCGTTTCCAAAAGAGTTGCTGGCGAGACTGTGACATGTTTCGATTCCATCAATTTTCTAAATGTACGATTCCCTACTACTCTAGAGTGATCAACAAGCAAAGTCCAATCCATTACTAACTATGCATCATAACATTAACCGAACACTCACCTTCAGATTAAGACATAACCAGCAGATGCAATCCCTATCAATTGACCAAGCACTCAATGAATCCGGGGTCCATCCAACCCGTAGCCTGGTGGTGGGAGTTCGATCATTCACAAGCTACTACGTGACACCGTCGATACACAACTTCTCCACGTGAGCATAAGAACTTCAAACCACCATCCTAAACTTGAGCAGATCCCGCCCCTCAATCTCCCCCCTCTTCGCCTCCAACTCCCCCACGTCCCACGTACAGCTCACATACCGCCCGCTCAACCACTCCCTCCTCTCCCTACTCAACCACACGCAAAACGCCCCCGCCAGCGCCTCGTCGTCGCCGAGCAGGTCCTCCCACACGCCTCCCTCCGCTGCGTGGCCGACAGTCTGGGGCGTTAGCACTGCGCCTGGGTGTAATGCGAAGGCTTGGATGCCGTCCCGCGCGTGGTCGGACGCGATGTGCTCGACGAGCCGGGTCACGGCGAATTTGGAGATGTTGTATGCGACGGGGCAGAGGAGGGAGGACGGGGAGTGTGCGGCGAGGGAGGAGGATACGATGATGGTTGCCGGGGCGGAAGCGGCGCGGCTGGCGGGCGAGATGAGGAGGGGGAGGAGGTGCTGGATTGTTAGCCAGGTGCCGTGGAGGTTGGTGGTGAGGACGCGCTGCCAGTCTGTGTCTTCGAGGATGCCGATGGGGAGGTTGGAGGAGATGGGGCGGGTGGTGCTGGTGGGGGTGGTTGAAGGGGAGAGGTGCTTGGATATTATGCCGGCGTTCGCGATCAGGACGTCGAGTCTTTTGTCGAAGGTGGAGGCGATGTCGGAGGCGAGGCGCGCGACGTCGGTTGAAGAGGTGGTGTCGCAGATGGTCTTGAGGACTTTTACTTTCGGGTCGATGGCGTGGATGGCGGTTTCGAGGCCGTCGAGGTCGGGTCCCGTGCGCGAGGAGATGGAGATTCCGGTTGCGCCTGCTCGCGCGAACGAGAGCGCCATTTGGTATCCTAGCCCTTTTCCTGCGCCCGTGATGGCGGCGACGAAGCCGGCGGGGAGGGTCACTTTGGAGGGGTCGAGGTTCGGGGGCACGCTGGAGTGGATGGTGGGCGTGAAGGACATGCCCATGTATGCGGGTGGTGCGTTCATGTCCATGGTTGAGGGTGGTGGTGGGAAGTCGAGAGATGGTCAGACGTTGTGGAGGCCAGTTTCCGTGACTGATTAGATTGATGCGGTTTTCACAAGTATATTTCCAGGAACCCGTTTTTATATCTCTTTTCATATATTTTGATTAATCTTCGAGTACGCGCTGCGGATAAAAGTAGACGGGTGTTTGGTAGATCGACGTCATGTTGTACGATTCGTCGAAGTTGTCCCCTCGGAGAACGTTGTAATGATCAGCGAATCCATTCGCAACGGGTGAGGACTGTCATTGAACATTGTATGGTCTTTCACATGGATGCCTCCACGAAGCTGAGCTATGCGGATTCGCGCGTTAGAAATCTGTGAAGTCGTCAATAGTTATAAGAGGTTGATTGATCTTGACGGTTGATATTGCGGGGAGAGCTTGATGTATTAGAAGATCGGCGCAAGCTAGGGAAATAAGCCATGTATGTCAGACGGTTGAGATCGACATTCGGATGTTTTGATCTACCGAGCATGATCGTGCATACACGTCCCTACATGATCGTGTAACGACAGCGTTCAACAAGCTCGAGAGTACTAGTAACACAACATCCGCGCAATCAGAGCGCATGCGCACCAGTCGACGTGAGCGCGAACGAAACCCATGCGCCAAAGGTATGACATCACGACCGAGATCTGGCAAGAGAAGTAAGGGGTATAAAAGCTTCTTGCATTCCACTACACCTATTCACAAGAACCAACCAACTGTCGCCTAGTCAACGACCGATACACTCGCTCCGCGCAGCATCATTACCCGATAACCCTCCCCAACCACAGCATTTTTGTGCATTCTGTCTGTATGTATACAAAGGTTGTCCTGCATGCACCTGTCCCGGCAAGGTAGATACAGTGAAGAGGAGAGAAACGAAAGGCAAAAGAAAAGGCAGTAGTGCCGTCACTCCGTTTGATAGAATGAACACCCTCTATGATGAGAAGCGCAAAGTAGTCATTACCGTGATGAAACCCAATAAGGAGAGAAAGCAACTGCTAGAACGTTGAAAAGCGGAAAAACAGCGACTGCTGTTCGCGCTCTACAAGAAAGCAGCGGCGACGGCCATGACACCGGCAAAGCTGAGACCAGCCTTGATGCCGGAGGCACCGCCAGTGGACTCGGCAGGCTCGCTGGTGGTAGCGGAGGGAGAGTTGGTGGGGAGGTTGCTGGTCTTGAGGGTGGCAGGGACGGTAGGAGTCTTGGTGGGCTGGACGATGGTGCTGTTGTGGACGGGGTAGCCGGAGCTGACGGTTCCTACGGACTTGGTGGGGTAGGCAGAGGGAGTGCTGGTAGGGTATCCGACAGTGCTGCTCTTGACGGAGGAAGAGAGCTCAGTGGGGTAGTGGGAGAGCGATGGGGTGCCAGTTGGGTAACCCTCCTTGGTGGAGGCACCGCCGCCGGTGACGGAGGCAGAGACAGAGGCGGTAGGGCCGGTGGTCTCACCGGTCAAACCGAACTGGGTGGACCACTGGTACTGGCCGGTGACATCGTCGATGAGCTGGATTCCGTAGAAGCGGTCGCCGGTGGTCTCGAGAGAGGTGGAGGGAGTCCACTTGAAGGCACCGTTGTTGGGGAGCCTCTCAACGAGGGTGGCGATGGGGACGACGTTGTTGGAGGGGCCCTTGACGAGGAGGAGAGAGACGGTGTTGGTGGTGGTTGGCGCCCAGGTGATGGTGTACTCAACGCCCTTGGGAACACGCTGGGGGGGTGATGTTAGCTGGTGTGATGGCCATATGGATTCCGTCGGTCGCCACGAGAGACGGCGACGGAGAGGGAACGACATACCTCGTTCAAGCTGGGCTTGGCGATGGGGTTGCCAGAGGGCTCGCCGACAGGTGGGTGGACCTGGGCAACTGCGAAGGCAGCGAGGAGAGAGACGATGATGGACTTGGCGAACATTTTGGAGGTTGTGTGATATTAAGCTATTAGCTAGTTGTAAGGAGGGTGAGTGGTTTATGTAGTTGGTGGGTTAGAAGGATTGTATTATGGTTGTAAAGAGTGACTGCTGGAATGAGCGGCTGAAGACAAGTCTTCTTGGTAGGTTGGTGACTTAGTGAGTATTGAGGCGGAGTAAGAACGCGGTGAGGGAGAAGAAGAGAAGAAGAAGAGGACGAGGACGGGGGGTGTGATGGGTTATATTGGGTGGGTGAGATTGAGGAGGTAGTATAACTTGGTAGTTAGTGGAGTGTCAAATCAAATCAAATCAAACGAGGCCCCCAATCCTTAACCTAACGATCCTAACCATGACCATGACCATCCATGACCATGGCCATCCCCGTGCCATCTCATTCGTGCTCGTCTCCTTTTTCTCCTTCTTCCATGATCCTTTCTCGTAGCCAGGCCTGGTCTGGTCTGGTCTGGTCTGGTCTGTGTGTGCACTGTAGGAAGATGAGCAGATGGCAGCATGGGTAGGTAGATGGGCGATGGGCGATGCAATGAGTGAATGGCCTTGTTCGACTGTCGACTGTTGTTTGTTGTTGCTGCGAACTCTCCCATTGGCCACGAGGCTTGTCTGTTCCTGCATTAGTCCCTTCCCAAAGTAGAAATGTGGCGTTGGGATAGACTTAAGCTTGGTCGCTTTAGTTGGGTACCAGACTTGAGCCGGGCCAATCGTTCGTCTCCATTGAAATTACCACACACCACTACAATCAAACCACCCCTGCTCCTTTTCCCGTTGTAGATTAGATCATAAAGCCCCTGCTTACCTCCTGTCCCCCCCAGCTCTTCCAGCTCCTCCAGCTCCTCCAGCTCCTTTCACCTCGAGCTTCTCCTTCGTCACCTTCAACTCTCCTCCTCTTCCAGCTCCAACAAGCCAACACTCTCCACAGCTGATCGATCAACTATGGCCCTTCGCTTTCTTCGCTTCCAACTTGGCTAGGTAACTTTGAAACTAAACGCCATCATCATCATCTTCGCATCGTCGTCTCATCTGAGTCGTCCCCCAACTTAATCTCCTATCGCGCGCCTCGTCGCGTGTCTTCCCATCTCTTCATTTGCACTTGGATTTGCTTGATCAATCTTCCCTCGCTTTCTCTTTCGATACAATCCCCCCGTGCGCCCGTCAGCAATCACATCATATTCGTCGCGTCACATCGCATCGTCGCCCCGTTGCCCGTCTCTGTAGTCTGTACCTGTAACCTCTCGAGTCTCAATACGGGCGCCAACCGAATCCAATTCCCGGTTCGGCCACTCTAAGCAACAGTCTAGTTGGAGTCTAGGCAGGCCGCAGTTACAAGTCCAAGTCCAAGTCCAAGTCCAAGTCCAGCCCAAAAAGCCTCTTTTCTATTTTCCTTCAATCTAGTGACCAGTCTAGGTAGGGGTGGGTCGTCAATCCTCCGCCATTCACTACTCCATCCACCCGCTCCCAACCATGGTACACAACAATAATAATAATTATAACTGTGTATGCTGATGTTCACCATCATAATAATAGAAAGTAATCATAACCCTCATAATAATCCCCTCGTCGTCATCAACCCTCATTATTGCAAACCGGTGTGCGCGCGTATATGCACCTCCCGCTCCGTCTCCATCAATCAAATCCCCGACTTGCCTCCGCCTAATTTCCCAGAACAGTCCGTCCTTGACTCCTTGTATAATACCTAATACAAGTAACATCACAACTCATAATAATCCTCCCGCATTATTATTAAAAGGAAAAGAACCGACCCGTTGCCTTGCCTCACCTCGCGGGCCTTGCCTTGTCCTCTTGTTCCCCCCAAGTCCCAAGTCCCCATCTAACCACTCGTAACCTGCCGCCTGCAGTATCCATCGGTCCTGCTACCCGATAATGTCTCACCGGTATTCAATACTCCCATCCCATCCCATCCCATCCCATCCCATCCCATCCCCATCACCAACCACCACCACCAAGCGCCTGACCTTACTGCGCACAACAATCAATAAAATAATCAATGCACACTGCCTCCTCCAAACCTCATCCACACCGTCTCTTTCAAAGTTCAACCCGCGCAACCCACGAAATCGAAAACTGTAGACTTGCCATCTCTGATGACTCTTAACAATGCATAACTGCCCCCCCCCCCCTTCCCCTCTTCACACATAACTACACACGAACGCTTCCACCCCCTCGTACAATAGGTAATTACCTACCTACCTAGTCGCTCTGCTCTGGCGTACCTACGTACGCACGCAGTACGTACGTACCTCAGGCACAGCACCCAAGCGCGAACGCGGACGCGGACGCGGGCAGACAAGAAAAACCCAGGTCCGTCCCCTGTGTGTGTGGGATGCCGCCCCGCCCAGCCTTGCACACTACCCACCCGTGTGCCCGCGCGCCTTTTTCATCGTTCGTCCCCCCTTCACGCAAGCGTTACGTCTAGGTAGTCAAGCACAAGTATGGAGGGAGGTAGGTAGGTAACGGCCGTACCGCAACGTACCGCAACCGCGCCCGTTGAGCGCAGCCATCGCTGTCGCCACCAGGGCAGTAGGTTTGACATGAGTAGGCATGGGCATTAAAACAAGCAAGCAAACCACCCCGTAATTAAGGGGAGAGTATGGAGTAGGGCAGGGCAAATGACACAAGGAGAACGAAACAGTTCGTTCGTTCGTTCGTTGTACGCTTTCTGCGCCGCACGTGCGCGTCCGATGATGGACGGATTACTGTGGATGGAGTTTTGGGTGAGGAGGTATGATAGTGACATTTCGTGGTGAGCTACGATTTACTATATTACACCGTACCAAAACGTTCAGCGACAGCAGCGGCGGGCGCGATGCCAGCAGTAAGGAAAAGTTTCTTTCCCACGAAGTACATAGAACGACAGGCAGAGGAAAAAAAACTAGTGGACTAGGGCAGGGAGGCCTGATTTTCGAAGTCATCGTGATTCATCCAGAGCGTTAACTAGCATGGAGAGGCGAGAGGTGAGACTTTGCTCCCGTGTGGCGACGACGGAAGAGTAAGTGGGTGCATGCGTGTCTATGACTTGGTGAAGGACGGAATTGTCTCGATGGTTATGGTTATAGGGACTGTTTGGATGCTTGCTTGCCAGTACTATATTGTGTAAGTATGGTAAGACGCGATATCTGTAAGTCACTTGTGTTGGTGCCAGAAATGCTCTTCTTGACGTTCATCTTTGCGTGTTGAGAGAGACGGTTCACTTCGAGGGAGATGTTACAGTGAGTTGGGGTTACCATCCTCCTTCGAATGTTCGCAATTTTTTTCCCCAAGTAGTCAGTGACGAGATGAATAGATTCACCAAGCTTCCGCTCGCTCTGAGTACCTGCAGGCGGACAGGAGTGCGATATAATCACCCAAGCTCATGTCAAAACGACGCATCTGCACACCTAAAAGCTGCATCCACCACACACAGTAATCAAATACGTCCCATCTCCTCCCCACCCCCCGTAAAGGCACAGCACAGCACAGTACATGTCACACATCGTCGGTTTTGAAAGTCCTGGCATCCACAGTCTGGACTTCTTGTCAAAGGACAAGGCGTAGTAGGGAACGAACGAACGCCCCGTCATGGCGTCGCCGCAGCTTTGCGTACGTTCCTGGGAGCAGGTTTCAGGATGGCTTTGAGGTTTACTGTATATAAGGCGTGATTTGGTTTCATCCTCTGTGTTATGATTCACGTGCAGCAAGTGAATGGGCGAGAAGCCGTAGTGGTAGTTATGGGGAGTATTAGAAAAGGCTTTGGGGAGGCAGTAGATAGAAACTTCGTTGGGTAAATACAAAGGGCTTTTGCTGTGTTTGTCTTGTTGTTGAAATGAATACTTAACGTACTCACATATGTCTTAATGAGGAAGTGGGTGGGATGGTCACTTTCAACGCAACATACGTCCACTGCATTTTGTGTAGGGAGTGAGGCAGTAGATTGTAGACTTCATCGCACTCATGCTTTCAATGGCACATTTCATCTCTGTAAATGTCTGTATTTTGAGTGTCTCCCCCAGTATTTTGCTGACACAATGATCAGACCCCGATTCGATATGTATGTATTGTATACGTAGACTGACAACGACATCACCACTCCCTAATCCCAGAAAACCCGTGATATCTTATATACATTCTTACATAAATCATATCCAAGGTTTCTCCGGTCCTTACTGTGCGCTTGATTTCATAAAAGATTTGGTATTTTTTTACTTCTAAGCTTTGAAGTTCTTAGTCTTTTTCTATTCCCAAACATGTCACTTAACAAGGAAAGGAAATTCCCAGACAGCGATTTACTGCTTATACAGTAAATTAAAATAGTTTCTATGAAGTGTATCAATAAGCAAATCTAGATATAAAAAATCCCCGAGTTGAATAGTATTTTCACACATTTCCCAAAGATAAATTTCTACTGCAGATGAATAACGAACGACACTCGTTAGGTACAAAAGCAACAGCTACACAGCTAAACTCCGAAAACACATCAAAACTATCAAAATCAAACCATGATGAAATTAACGTGATCAGTAATTCAGATAGAGAAGACCGCCCTCGAACCACAGGAATAAAATCCAAAGAAGGAGGAAGTTACTAGCGACTTGTAGTAATAGGCATAGCCACTTGTATATCCCTAGATACCTACCTAGGTACCCATCGACCACAAACACTCAATACCTCAATTCCTCAATACTCAACATGGTCTACTCTTGTCTCTCTGAAGGAAGGGATGAAAGGCGGGAGCTAGACACACATGTACATTCATATACACGTTTCCATTCGGTAAACCACCCACCCACGATCCACCTACGATCCATCATCTATCAAGAAGACAATAGCAACACTCCATCCATTTAAACGTAGATACATCGTTCAACTGCAGCGCAAGAATCACCAGGGTCTGACGCATCTTCGCTCTGGCGTAGGACTGAGCATCATTATCTGCGGGAGTATTCCTTCGTACTATACTGTTGCGGATAGATATGGTTGGTGCGGTCTTGTTATGTATGTATGCATGTGTAGGAAACGCGAACTCACGCAGTAGCTTTATGTATCATGTATCGCATTTGCTTTTGTGGAGGGTGCTGTTGGGAATGATGGTGGTTGGTGGTGGAGGGTATGATGTGATGTCATATACTCCACTACAATAGGAACAAGAGTGGTCATGTTTCTAGGTCATGTGAGATATGCATGTACAGACGTATGAGTAGATTTATCACGTTCAGTTCAATCCACTGCAAGTTCGACTTTGTTTCATTTGTTTACTGTTATACAAAACCCACTATCTCGTACACTACGGTGTAGTGTAGCCGTGGTATGGTGTACTTGATACAGCAAGCTGAGACGTGTACTGCTTGCTTTCTTACTTGGTTGTTTGAATCGGGTTATGTACTTTATAGCGAGGGTATCAATGTGCTCAGACGCCATCTCCTCGTGAAGAGGAGCTTTCGGTCGAGCGAGGGTATTTTGGAGTAGATACAAAAACGGGGGGAGGGGTTTGGATAAGATTGTGAGGTGAAGCGAAAGGTAAGGGTAAGGAAATTCGTTCATGTTCGTTCATTGTGCGTGAGGTTGTGTTGATGGGAATGTGATTTAGCCGCATTGGCCGGGATCTGTGGGAGGTTGTCAGTGATGAACTGTGTTATGAGTGGAAGAGGGAGGAGTATCAAATTGGGAGAGAAAGGTAAAGGGAGGTTATGACGAGACTTACACTTTCGATCCGTCAACGGCTGCGGGAACAATCCACCCTCCAACAACGCCTTCATGTCCCACTCGGGCGCGCCCTCGGTCTTCCAGGTCCAGAAGACCCACCCCGTCGCCTTCTCGTAGCCATCCAACTGCGCCTCGATGAACCTCCTGACATTGTACTTATCCGCGTCGGACAGACCCGCAACAGTACCGGTGTATTTGCCGTCGCAGGACCCCACGGCCGTCGAGCCCTGGAACGTGCCGTCGTACCGCGCGCCCTTGCCCTTGCCGTTGAGCCACTTGGCGCAGTCGGTGATGGCGCCCGTCCACTCTCCCGCGATGGTCCACTTGCCCGTGGACGCCATCTGCCCGCCGAAATCGCAAGCGGTGCGGAAGTGGTCGTCGGGCGACATGGCGACCTGGCTGTTGTCGAAGATCTCGTAGTGGTGGGTGTCGAGGAGGAGATTCCACATGCCGGCGCCGAAGTCCCCCCAGGACGTCACGCCCTGGAACGCGTCGTGGAATGCCACCGCGACGTTCGAGTCCTTCAGGTTGCCCCAGCCGTCCATGTAGAACTGGCGTACCGTCGACATGTCGAGGCTGGGTCCTAGGGGTTCGTTGAGAAGTTGGATGGAGGAGACGGCAGGGTGCGAGGCGTGGTCATCACGGAGCTTGTTGAGCACTCGCAGAGTGTGAGAGACAGTGTCACCCTGCGTCCATTGCACGGAGCCGTAGCGGCCTGAGTTGTCGAAACCATTCTGGGAGCCGGGAGCTGGGAATTATGTCAGTTTCGATGGCAATCTTGATATCAGATGCATCGGTCGGTGCCAGAACTACGAACCTCCATGAAGATCGATGATGACCTTGAGGCCAGCGGCTTGAGCCCAGTCGAGGGCCTTGCCGAAGACATCGTACGCTCCTGTGACGTATGGGTCCTCATCGCGGGAAATCACGCTCCAGTATCCGATGGGGATGCGGACGTGGTTGAGGCCGGCCCCGGCGATCCGGTTGAAGTCGTCCTGGGTGATCCACGAGTTCCAGTGCTCGGAGAGTCGTGCCTTTGCTGCGTCCTTTCCGAGCGTTTGCGCGAAGCTGTACTCGTCGATGGCGTCGTTGCCCTCGAACAGACTCGGTGTGATCCACGGTTCCAGCACGAACCATCCTCCCAAGTTCACACCGCGGACCTTTTGTCCGTTGAAATCAAATGATGGTGCTCGCTTCCAAGGTGTGCTTCAGTTGGTGTTAGCCTTTTCTCTCCGCCAGGTGCGACGTGTAAACTTACATTGGAGAGGCATTGGAGCTCAGGGCTAGCAGGCCAATGGCCGTTGCGGCACTAAATGTCTTCATATTGTGTAGTTTTATCGCACACAGTGCTCTCACAGGCACAAGGAGTTACTGTACGTCCAAAGCAAGAACGTGAACAGTAAAAGAGGTTAGAGTAGTGTTCTGTACGACGAGGTCTAGCAACCTTTGGGTGACAATTGCTAAGGTGTGAACACTTTTGACGAAGTCGTCCCACGATGACAGTGCGGATCAGCGGCCTTTTATGAATGGGCATGCAGTCCAGCATCATTTTCGGGGCCACGAGAAAGTCTGTTTCAAGGACGATCGTCATATAGGAGTAAACAACGATCAGCGCGAGGCCAGATCGCCGGTGGGCAGGGCGTGGACCCCAACAGGACCCATCCCATCCCATCAAAGGCAGTGTCATGGTGTGTAAACCCGAATGTCACCAATGAGGGAAATCGGCGCCCCACTGCCGATGTCCCATTCCAATTCACACTTCGGGGCGCTGGGATAATTCAGGTGGACAACAGACTATCTCGTACCATGAGACAAGACGGCACGGGTGCGGTGGTAGGAGATGCATGTGCTGTTGAGTTGTAGTACGGAAATAGTGGAGTGGAGTGGAGTGCGGTGCTTGTATGGTCGAATGGCATGGCTATGGCGCAGAAGGGACTTGGAAGTTTCCAGCTTAGAACGACAACGCAGATGCAGGGAGCTTCGCCGAGGCCAAAATACCAGATCAACTCAGGTACAGGCATCTGATTGGAGCGAGGCAGACCTCCAACAGACACAGCCATGTCAGAGGAGAGGCTCGGGGGGATGGAATGATGGCAGAGGATCAACGGTAGAGTGCCCAGGACGGAAGGCTGCCGCCACAAGTCCCCAATCGCGTTCGCAGCAAATGGGGGCTTTCTGTCATTGCGATCGCCATGCTACCTAAAGTCACTGGTGGTGGAATGGGGAAAACTTGACTGGATCCATGGCGATTTGCGGTGAGCTTGGGTTTCTTGTAAGGCTGAGAGTCTGCGCGGGGAGAGCACCCTTTGCGGCTCTGATCAACGCCCATGGTCGTGCGCATGGCATGGGGTATTCTGCCGCACCCGGTGAGAGGAGAGCATTTGTGAGGTATGATGCAACTGATGCCCGAGCGTGCTGAAAACTTCTCAAGGGTGAATTATCACAGCAAAGCTTGTACCTTGCGCTGCACGAGGTTTCCGCCCCGTGACAACGTTCATCAACCAGGCCAGGCTTTCGTCTACAGGATTAGAACTAGGGGAATGCCATGGTACGATATCGTATGCTGTAGGTAAGCTTAGGCAGCATGTTGGAAAAGTCTCTAGAAAAAGATTCCTGACCTCCGTGCGCAGTCGCAGATCTTGCCACTTGCAACAGGGGAGTACTAGCTCGTAGTGACGATGATGGGGCATCGTGATAGTTTCCATCTCGAACCTCTTCCCGTTCGGACGGAAAGCCTCTAAAATTTGAGTTTAGGCGGGTGATGCTTGGGGATGGGGTCATTGGACCCCATTTCCTTTCTTCCCCACGAAGCCAAGATCAGCCCCGGCAAATGGGACCTCACAAAGACGTCAAGAGACTTTGCCTCCGATGCGCTGCTGTAAGAATGCAATTTATTCGAGTGGTAGTGGTGCATCTTGAGTTGAGGTTTTCTTCGACATCGGTCACCTGGCCCTGCAATGATGATGATGAGGACATCGCCAGTACTCCGTACCAACGAACCGATGAGCTCATCGTTGTCGGGCCGCTGAAAGGAAGGTGACCCAAAGTATTCCCGATGGGCAGATTGGCGGTGGCAGAACTTTTGCAATGTCACGCGCAACCCCTCCGACCAAGATCGACGAACAACAGCTCGTTGCTCTGCTTGAGATGAATACTTGCACTCGTAGCTGCAGATTTAATTCGTTGACGAGGTTGATAGACCTGCCCTGTTAGGAAGGCCGAGGTTGAGCACCACGGCTGTTGTGGTCATTGTGAACCTAGTTCGGAATGGCTAGTTACACGTTCACGAGGTCGATGTGAGTCCCAGATACCGACAGCAAGGGCGAATGGCGGGAACTGAAAACTTTATGAAAGACATCGTGGGTTTCTTGTGACCGCCGACCATCGGATCGACGGTCTGCGGAGGCAAGGAGGGCTCACACGGGTGTTGACATCAGCATTGTACAACTCTGTCTCGTGCCGTTCGCCGAGTCGAAGACCTAGTGTAACGGAACGGGATGATGCTGATATCCATGAGGTGGGTTTATTATTCACTGCTACTCGTTCTCGTACACGCAGCTAGGGGACGATGATGTCGATATTCACATGTGGAGCGGAAGATTGCCGAGATGCCGGGCTGATGCACGGCGATGAAATGGGACAGAATGGGATAGTGGAGGGGAGGATGTCGATGCTTTGCAGATCATGAGAGATAGGAAATGGAATTGAGGCGTAGTTTGCATTAGTGGGTAGGGAGGTAACGTCGCAGGTTGGTACGAGTAGCATTTGCATTGGCACCTCCACAGTACGGGTGTTCGTACGGAGTAGTCAGGTATGATTGATAGAATACTGGTCCACAATGGAGATGGCATTGCGGTGAACATGTCAGTGTTTCATGGTGGATGTGGAATGAAGTGGATGATTGACTGTTCTCCATAGTCATTTCAGTAGTTAGATGGGCAATTAGGTACGGGGTAAGTAAGTAAATATAATTTCGGAAAATCTTAACGTTTTCTAATCCAATCCAGTACTGACTGGCTGACTTGATCGATACCCGACGTACTCGTATCTTGGTAGTGAAAGGATCTATCGAATACGCCGAGTAAAACGAGTACTTCCTCCGCTACCTAGAAGTAATTGACAGTGAGACGAAGAATCCGAATCGACAGAGACAAAAGACGAGTAAACATTAGGATTGCATTTCCCATATCGGCTGGTAAAAAAGAACGTCAACGGATGTGCGTATGCGTTCGTTTCAAGGTCGGTGTATGTACCTGGTACTCCACACTCGGTAGGCTGTATTACGAGTACACAAGTACAAGTACAGCAAGTCGTCTAGTGCTCACATGACGCTCTCAGTCAGGGATGGCGTGGGAATAGAGTGATTAGTCACCAATAAGATTAAGCGAGGCTGCTTCTTCTCTGGGTGAATATGTTACGATTACATGACATGACATTACAATACTCATCAATACTCAAGTCTCAATACTCACCAATCCTCATCCAAATCCCATCCTCATCGATCAACTAGCATGGGACGACACGCGAACCCCGACATAAGACGCGCTTTTGCTGAGTTCCAGGATACCGACACTCCTTCAAAGGTCAGTCAACTCCTCCTCCTCCTCCTCCTCTTCTCCCAAAGCACACCAGTCAGCGCCGTCGCGTCCTCCAACTTCACGTCCATATCGCATCGACAACTACTGACCATCACAGTGCAACAAAGTACGATGTCTTCACTGCGGCTTCGTTCGCGCAAAGAACACCACCCGTCAAATCGAACATCTTCAGGATTGCGCCCCCTACCTGGCATCTGCTGACGCCCAACTCTACCTCTCCCAGCAAGCGAACAACAACGACGCCTCCAACGCTGCCGCCAACAATACCAAGAATAACAACAGCAAGGCCAATAGCAATACCCTCGAATCCAATGGCCCAGTCGCTCCCCAACCTCCCAACCCCAATATCCTGAGCGGAAAACACCCCAATCCAAACCTTCAGGTCCATCGTCGAGGCACCAACCTCAAGCGCAGTCGCGACAGCCAGCCCATCGCCCCGCATCCTCCCATTCCTCAGCACCCTGCCACACCTTCTCTGAACGCATCCCTCACCGCACACCTGCTCGCAAAAAGCGCCGAAGATTTTCGACGAGCCACGCAGCAACCCTTCCTCTCCCATGCCGGCTGCGGTTCGCTAGCCCAGGGCCCGTTGTCCGTATGGCTTGTACAAGACGGGCACCGCGCGCGAGGCTACATAAGATTCGTCGGACAGCTTCTCGCGAAGATCCGACTACCCCAAACCGCGAATTCGCAGTTCCACCCCATGTACAGGACCATGGACCTCCTGATATCGGCGTTGAACAACATGCGACGCGAGATGCAGTTCTTCGAGATCACCGCGACAAAGTACGGCCTGGGACTGAGCCAGGAGGCGCCATCGCCAATCACCAGAGCCCTCCTCGATCTGTTCGTGAGCGCAAGCAGTTCGAGCGCGTCTTTGCTCGAAGGGATGGTCGTATTGTGGGGGACTGAGCATGTATGTCCACTCCACCCCCGCATTCTCTTCTCGTAACTGTCCAACACATCCATATACTAATTTTGCGACAGTGCTACCGCTCCGCCTGGCAATACGCATCGTCGTTCAGCGCGACCCTCACATCCCCTAGCACGGACTCTCACATCGTCGCGCTGCACCAAGCGCTGATCCCCAACTGGACGTCCCCCGCATTCCACAAATTCGTCGACGCGACGCGCGCGCTTGTCGACGAGCTTGCCAACATCACAACCACCCGCGACGGCAAAGAAGAGATGCAGCGCTGCGAGGAGATTTTCCAACAGATCTGCTGGCTGGAAGAGCGCTTCTGGCCGGACGTCGACGGCATGGGCGAGGAGGATGAGAGCGGGCGTCTCGACTCCACGAGCATGGGCATGAACGGCGTCATGAACGGCCCCATGGGCGCGCCCTCGCTGGGCAACGGCGGGCTCAACGGCCAGGGACTGAACAACGGAAACGGGACTCCCGTCACTGACGGCAGGAATAGCTTCGGCCTTGCGCCGGGCGGCGGCCTCGATAACGTCGATCAGTCGTCTTGATTTCTCTCCCTCTCCTGTTCTACAAATGTGTTTCTAGCGACTTCCTTCTTCTTCTTCTCCTCCTTCTCTTCTTCTCCCTCTTATGTCTGTTTACTACCTTCTACATATATCCCCTTTTCACTTTCCATTGACCTCGCTCCGTTTCTCTTTTCAATAGGTCCTATTGGATATGCTATTGTTCCTTTTGGATATGCCATGCAAAACGTGCTATGTGATAACAAAAAATATATCACTTTCTCAACCCAGATCCACTTCGTCCCATCATGCTACTACTACAACGTGCCGTCCGCGACAACCAGTCTCCATAGCCCCCATTTTCGCAGATATAACTCCCCTCCCACACAGACACAGCGAAAAGGAGAAGCGAAATCCCACGCGCTCACCCACTTTTTTCCTTCCGCGAAAACGAGTACGAGAAAAGAGAAACCAATGAAGCGAAAACAGCGAAGAGACAACAACCACGGAGTCGATCACGCACAACGGCATCAACCCTCTCAGAGTCCTAAAGCCCCCCGGCAGTAGCACGTACATGCCCACCCAACTGTTCCTACAACTAACATCAAAACACTTATATTCCTACGTAATCCAAGGGCTGTATCGCTAGGATAAAAACATTGCATGGCACAGTACGGGGTTGTTTGTGATGCGCAGAGGTTTGATTGATTTGGGTCGACTGATGGTGATACTGTACGGTGCTCGGTGCTCGGTGTGCTGTATGTGGTGTGCTGGTGGGTATAGACTACCGCCGGGGCCTTCAGTGCTCCGAGAGCATCCCTACCTGTATCGACCGCTGGGACTGACACGTATCTAAGAATCCACTTACTCTCTCACTCCCCAGATCCGGGAAGGAAAAGGGAGGAGGGGGTGGGATGGCAGGGAGAACACACACTGCCCATGTCTTCTCTTCTCATACCATATTCATGCTTGGGACGGATAGAGAGAGCGAGGGAGTGAGGGGGGTTGCAAGTACGCAGCGCCAGTGATCTCTCAGCTCAGTTCGACTGAACATTTCTCACCTTTCTGATTCCTGTTTCCTCTGTCGGAGGGAGCTTAATGGGGAAGTTAGGAGGGGATGGGAATACGGCACGTCCGATGATATATATACGTTGCATGACATCAAAAGCAACCGAAAAAACCGTCATAAGTGCATTCACGTCCGACCAGAGAACAAACGTAGATTGAAGACAACCTCACGGAAAGGACTTTGGCAGAAAGGAGCGCGTTGTTGTATGTTTGTTGTCATGATTGTGATTGTGATTTCTTTTCTTTCTCAATTTTTTTTGGGAGTGGATTGGTTGTGCTTGCGAAAGGTGGATGGGGCGACTATGGAGGAAATGCTAATCACGTTGCGAAGAGCGGGGGAGAGGATGAGGAGGAGGAGGGCTACTGGTACAAATGATTTTGGGGCAGAGTGTGAGTATAGGTACATACGCTTTGTGCGTGTATTTCCCCCCTTGCTGGGTGTTTGAGGGGGAGGGGGTTTAGCCATCCCTCATGTTTCCTTTCCAAGCTTCTCAGATCTGGTATCGAGGTTACTTGGTGCTTTATGAATCCTTGCCTCTTTTGAATGGCGATCAGTGGAATACGGTTGAACGGTCTACTTCCTCCTGTTCTGGCTCATGCCGAGGATCTGCACCATGCGGACGAACAGGTTGATGAAGTCCAATTCGAGGCTGATGGATTCGTTGACCGGGTCCTTGGGGATGAGACCGCGCTCAGCCATGCGCGCATGGTGAAGCACCTTCTGTACGTCGTACAGGGTGAAGCCGCCAAAGACAGCAAGGCCACCGTACAGCCAGATGTTCTCAGACCACATCAAGGTGCGGGCCGCGGTGGCGGGGACGACCATGGGAGCGAGGCCGGAGAGCGCGACGACCGCGACACCGGCGAGGAGGGGCCCGCCGAGGTATAGGTATTTCTCTTGTTTGGCCGTCGCGCCGACGAAGGCGATGGAGCCCATCATTCCGGCCGTGTAGAGACCCGCTCGGGCGAGCAGTGCGGGTTGGAGAAACATGAGAGGGGAGAGGAGCATCGCTTGGGTGATGTTGAAGGCGGTCCACAGGCCGTATTTCTGGACATAGCTATGCGCCTGTCAGAACTCTGCGTGTATTATACTCTCCGCGACTGGAGGTGGTGAAGATGACTTACTTGTTGGGGTTGGTTGCCATGCATCCGTACATGGTTCCAATGCTGCCGACGAGGCCAACACCGAGGACAACCCAAGGATTTGCGCTCATCAAGCGGAAGCTCCATCCGTTCATGTGAAGTGTCCTGGCAGCGATTCCGATGATACCAATACCCAGACCGGTGTGCATGAAGGTGTCGTTCAAGTATGCTCGCTCGAAGGGCGGCATGCCGCCGTCCTCACGGGTTTCGCGGTTGAAGACCAAATTCACGGCGAGGAGGGTTGCGCCAAAGATGCCAGCGCCATAGAGGAGTCGCTGGCGCGAATCGCCTTGACTTGCGACGGGGTTGTATGCTGTCTGCTGATAATTCCGGCGGAAGGTGGCGCGGAAGATGCTTTGCGATTTAGAGAGCGTCGCGGGTGTGAAGAGTGAGGTTTTGGACGATTGCTGTCTGAGTGGCGTGGAGTTGTGGAAGGCGCGGATAGTGAGAGGCTGGGACGGCTTCGACACTTGTCTCAGCGTAGCCGTTATGGCGAACGGCCGCCGAAGCATGAAGGCCATTGTGAAGGAAGTGTAGGATGATGTGTTGTTTGGGTGATGGTGATATTTGAGTGGTAGATGGTGGAGTAATTATCTGGTGGAGTTAAAGCCAGCATGACGTTACCACCGAATTTCTCTTGGCATCTGTGGCTCCGCGGTCACTGCCAGATCCTTCTACGCCACAACCTTCGTCCACCTCGGATCAATGTCCAAGTATTAATGATGAAGACCATATGCTCGTACGAGTACAATAATCAGCTGTTCGTAGCTAAGGTCCAGGCGGCTATTCGCTGAAACGGACTTAACGGACCGTTACAATTACTCTTCCCATCTTCATTGACTGTATACCATCCCAAGCAATACATCTGCGGGTGGTCGATACTACTACATCGCCTCAGATTTTCTGCTCTTCAGAATGTCTGTCGTTGCAATTTGTTGGTGCCCTGTGGGAGTGTAGCTTTCTTCGTTGATGGTATCAGACTTCAACGCTTTCTAGGATGCTGCATCAAGTCTCGTTTAGAAACAACATTTTCCAATCCACTCGTACACGTGCAGGCAAGATAATCTCTCAACTTCACGTGTCTTATGATGTCGTGGGCCAGGTTACTGTCACGAACTAAATGATTTAAGGTGGGGCAAGATCTAATATATCTTCTTTTCCAACGAGCTATACGAATTACTCGGACATCGCAGTAACCAATCGAGACAAGTTTGGATGAGTCATATGTGCAAAGCAGTACATGTAAGCAAATTTAACTGTAGGCTATACGATCACAAAGTTACATTCAACGTATTTACATAATGGGCCCGACTATAGTTGTTATTGTTATGGGTGGTCGTTCTTAACAATTGGCGCATATGACGATGAGCAACACAGTACCCAGCATCATGAGGGCGCAGATCCCTCCACCTCCACTTTCACCAACCGGGCATCCCTTCTTCCATCAAAGAATCCTAGTCGCATGGAGATTCGACATTTACTTTACGGAAGAAAGCAGAATTCTCGTTCAGACTCGCATAGACATACCTCCTGTCCCCGTTCCATCGCTACAAGAACTGAGCTGGCCATAGTTTGTCTATTGCACCGACGGGAGTATACCATCATCCCGTTTCTACAGATTTCATCACTACAAAGCTTGAAGTGGAGTATTTCTTTAGGTATGTATGTACTACGTTGTTTCCGAATATCATGAGATTGAACGCTAGATTAACTTCGGGGATGCTAGGATCATCGGTATCGAATTGCATCCGTGAACCCACTGCAACCTCCCATAATGCTTACTCTCTCGTGTACTGAGCGCAAGGACCTACATGCAAATTATGGTCTACAATGACCAACTGTTATGTGCAAGAGCGAATTCATCGTTCATTGTAGCAGTAGTGGACAAAAGTGTTTATAAGTAACATTCCATTCCCTGGCGAATTTCACGATAACCATCATCTCATACTTCTAGAACAACCGGAGCTATCGATATCAATCAAGATGCGGTTCCCAATCGAGATTCTCAGCCTGAGCACTCTCGTTCCTGCATTGAGCATCCGCCCACGGACATATAGCCAGCTTCCTCTCCCATCCCGCCTCGTATATCAGTTTGAGGAGAACAACAATTGGATCGAGAACATTGCCGTCCGAAGCAATGGAGACCTTCTCCTTTCCATGCTGACTAGTCCCGATGTCTACCTGCTCAGTGGCCCACAGACCGACTCACCAAAGCTAACCCTCCTGCACCATTTCGACACCCTCACCGGCTTGCTTGGTATCACAGAGGCCCAACCGGATGATTTCATCGTCGTCGGTGGAAACTTCTCAGGCATCGGCGTCGCAATCCCCCGCACCTCGTCCGTCTGGCTGATGAGCCTCGGTCGCGTCTCCAAGGTCGTGGACATTCCCGAAATCGACTTCGCAAATGGCATGGCTGCTCTCCCATGGAACAGGGACATCGTCCTAGTGTCCGACTCCTCAAACGGCCAGATCTTCCGCCTCGACACGAAGAAAGGAACGTACGAGGTTGTCATTGACATTCCCGAGATGCACGTCACTCCGGATGCCAAGCTACCCATTGGTGTCAACGGCGTGCGCATAAAGGGCCACACGCTCTACTGGAGCAACAGCGCGAGGAAGACGCTTTTCAAGGCTCGTCTGGATGAAAGTGGCGCCATCGCTAGTGGAGCAAAGGTTGAGACCATTGCCACCCTTGACGTCGCGTTCATCGACGACATTTCCGTCGATGAGTACGACAACATTTGGGCTGTCACGAACCTCGACAACAGGCTCATCGTTGTGACGCCCGATGGCAAGAGCACCGTCGTCGAAGGCGCAGTGGATTCGTTGGCCGTGGCTGGCGACACTGCGTCCTCGTTTGGGAGAACGCCAGAGGACAGTGAGATACTGTATGTCGTCACTGGTGGTGGTTTGGGAGCCCCGGTTAATGGAACGATAACGGAGCCTGGAAAAGTCGTCGCCGTCGACACAAAGGGATTTTTCCTCTAGGGCATCAGGGTGATTGCGAATTATCCATGTGGTAACTGCGCTTCTGGCTGGAGTAGGTCCCTGTACTTACGGGAAACTCTTGTAAGGCGTCACGATTACGATTAATGTGTTGTATTTGACTTTGGAAGAGGCCACTGTAATTGGGTAGACATAAAAGGAGCACATGTATGGATTGCAAGGCACTCAGAGCGCAAAGGCCCAGAAGCAAAAGCACGGACGGATGTCTTGCCGACATATTCAGACAGGAGCGCTCAAAGTACGCTTCCATTTATTCTTGCCGTGGAAGATGTTTCGCCATATAGAGAAATAAAAAAAGGTCTTACAGTTTCTATCTCTATACTATTGGTGGGGCAGGTGGTCGTATTGGAGCTTTGTGTCACACACGTCACACCTACAACACAAGAACATGATGATTGATTCTATTCACTAAAACTAGGTACGTCGCCATTCCCAAGATCACCCACCCCACACATATCTGTTCAACCCCATCACTTTACTGGCCCCTGCGCAGAACGGACCCTGGAAAACTATTCATAGAAGTGGAGAATGCATGTATCTAACCAGTAAGTTGCCGCAGATGGTCATAGCGTCCGCCAAGATCTGCAGTCTTCCGGGCAGACGGTGAGGAAGATGGTGTCCACGATGGTTCAATATTGCTCGCGAATAGAAGGAATTTCAACGTATTGCACTTCGGAGTCTCGCCTGATAGCCTGCGGGATGCGTAGATGGTTGCTTTTGATTTGATGTACGCCTACTCAGTCCTCCTTCTCCTCAGTCCTCCGTCTGCTCAGTCCCCGTCTACTCAGTCCTCCTCCTGCTTGCATTCACCCAAACAATTCCACACAGTGCTGCAGCCCATTGAACGGACTGTGCACAAACTTGCAAAGGGATCTATCCGTATGTGGGGCATGGCGATGCCGCAAAACCCTATCGAGCAGACCTTATTGCGCCCATGGGCTCTCTTTGTCTCACGCTCGGGCTAGGATGCCGTCTCTCATTGGCGATAAACAAAACTTCCCTTGGTCATTGCTGAAGCCATGCAGTTTGGAATACTGCATCTCTAGTGCCGATATGCTATGCAGATTTTCTGCACAGCATCTAGCGTCATCTGATGCTGCGCACCGCTCTCCATGGAGTCTTCGCTGCGGTGGTTGTCTTCAAAGTTATTGGCCCTGGGCCATCGCTCGGCTTGTTCTTTGTTTCGAGATCCACTTCATAGCAATCACATCAAGAAGATTCACCAAGAAACAGGCAACTGACACCTGGCAAGTGCACACAAAACATTCTCTCGTCTTCTAGCAAGAGTGAATCTATTTGCTAGTCAAAGTGAATGATGCGCTTCAGGAGCACAGACAGCCATGGCTCGCATTCACCCAACAGAGCCGACACATGTATATAAGCTCGCATGCCATCGCACAAAATCTTCCAACCAACATCTCTCAACCATTCTCATCAGGTGGTTACCAAATCACAACTATCTTCCAAAAGGTATACTTTTCCTGCTCCACTCCATGTTGACCACCATTTACTAACTACCTTCTCTCTGTCAGAACGTTCCCCATCCGAAGTCTCACTCAGTAAGTATTCTTTCCCTGCTCCATCAAATGATGACAATCATTTACTAACCGTATCCTTCCAGGTCGAAAGATTCCTGCCGCTACCTCAACCAGAAGCCCATCAACATCGCACCCCATCTTCAACCTAGTCAGTGCCCAAATCCAATTCTTGCCCAGAGGCATCCTTTCCTGCGTCTTTGCGCGACATTATCTGTCAGTCCTTTGTACATGCACAGGTGGTCATTTGTGAGCGCGAAGCTATGATGAAGACTGGTTGATTCATAAATGTTTAGATTGCTTAAGTCATGCCTCGCCCATCCCACTTACCTTGGAGTACTCTGCATTGGTTAATGCTAATCGAAACTACTCTTCCGATTATGTTTGAGAATTTCCTGTGATGTCAAGAACTCTCTATCCACCGTTGCGTACCATTTCGCTTTTCTAAAGGTGCATGAACTCTCACCCGCAAAAATGGCAATTAGGGTCCATTCAAGTGAACCCCAAGTAGGGAACCCGTCGCCCAACAAGCATGCGGGCGTGTAAAGAAGGGCTCGATCAATCTCTGTCCAGGCTGGTAGCCATGCCATTCTCTCCCAGTCAACCAAATGGACATCCCACTCCTCTTTGCGCTTTGAATAGGCAAATGGCCCTGATTTCGGCTGCACGAGCATGATATTTCCAGCGTTAAAGTCACTCTGCGTGAGCACAGAGCGGTCGGCCACCGAGTCCTTGTTACCAACGTTTCGTAGAAAGCATACGGCAGCCTTTTGAACCTCTGGATCGAATATTGGCATGCCTTTAGAATCCAAGACGTTATCAAGGGTTAGGCCTCTTGCCCTTGAGAAGCTTGCATGATACAGAATGCGTCTCTCCCAAGTTTTCAACATCTGTTCGAAGAAAGCTTCGTACGAGTGAAACGGGCCAAAGAATTCAAAGGTCGCATAGTTCGTGTAAGGGCAGTCGACACGAAGCGGCTGGTCGTAAACTCGCCCATAATAATTCGGATGTGGGGGTTTAATAGAACGTAGCAATTCTACCTGCTCGCCTAGTTTTCTGTACACTTTGAGTTGAGCTTCGCGGTCTATTGACCCCCAGAATTCTTCACTGATCGATTCGCCTTCGATATAACTCATGATCAGATAGTAATACGCCTTCCATTTGGACCGGTCCGGGTACATTTGCGGTCTTCTCCGGTATCTCCCCGTTGGATCTGCTCCCTGATGATGAAACACTGCGTACAGCTTTGGCAACCTTAGCCCAGTAACATTCTGCTCCTGCAGGAAGAATAAGTTTTCGGCTTCCTATAGGGATTTATTAGTTCATGTTCATAATCATGCAAGTGAAATGTTAAGGCAATCACCTGTGCAATGGTGGAACCCCCAATTTTGACCGCGTAAACAGATTTGACGCGGAGAACGTTGCGCTTGACGTCGCCCGGCCCGAAGTGGTTACGTGGGTCTGAAAAGAGGGCGTCGTCGATCTCCTCAGGGGTAGGTATTGGAGGGAGAGACTCGTCTTGCGCATAATAAGGTAGTTGCAAATGTTTGATATCAGGTTGTGGCCGCCACCTCCCGGGCTTCATATATTCCGCGTACATTCGTACGATTGCTGTTGGATCGTCTGTACCCCAGCTTCTTTTGGCGCTCGTTGAGAAATCCATCTCTACTGCGTAAATGAGTCTCTGAGTATGACTATGAAGAGAGAATTGATATGAACAGTGTGAAGAGAATGGACAGGTAAGCTGGTCAAGGAATTTACTGGGCGCTGGGTGAAATTTTGGCCAGTGCATGGGGCACGGCAAATTTATAGCCGCGTCTGGCGCCAATCCAGCGCATTCAGAAAAGAGATCGGGATCGATCTTGATCACGGGCGTCAGTACAATTGGTAGTCTCAATGCAACATTACGCGTAGGCCTCAGGAGTATAAAGAAGCTTATCAAAGCTTTCCGTATGCTAGAGTATGCCGTTCCATATTTTGGCTCTGGTAGAGCAGCCAGAGGCTTCGACGGGGTGTTCTGTCATGAAAGGCATCACAAAGCACCATCATCACGAGGTAGTGTTAAGTCCACGCTACGTCCAGCCTATGAGATCATGGACATCCACCTAAAGCCCTCGAGAATGCCGCAGACGTATTCAACAGACCATCATAGAGAACCATATGGCGAAGAGGGAAACAGGTCGCAGGTTTAGGAAGCTGCAAGGTATGGCAACTCATCCGCACCCTATTCCCTGTCGTACAACAAAGACGAAAACCAATGCGGCATATGGCAGAAATGGCTCATCTGCATGAGAATAACACTGATCCAGAGAACGACCCGCTTCCAGTTATTGCACCTGGTGTCGTCCTTTCTTTCTCCTTTCGAGGCTTACCACTATCCAACATCTAGCGTGGGTAGCGAAGAACCAGCCGCCAATTGGACACGGCGATGCCATAGATGATTGTACACACATCCGATCTTCAGGCTTGAGTTGTTCTCTGGTTCTTGTGAGCTCTGTATTGTAACCATAATGACAGAGTGTCACAGGAGTCGTTGTTTGGATGACGGACCAATCCTAGGGCGTTCGCTGACATGTGAGTACCACAGCACCATAGGTTTAAGTTTGGACTTACCGCGCACTCAATTCATGCTCTATACTGGCTAGTATGTATACCTGGTATTCAATGCAGACAATGTGTAAAACTCATTGGGAATTTTGCACCGTGTGGAGTTTTGAATGCCCCAGGCTGACGTGGCCGCAAGTAGCGCACCATGCAGCATCATGTTGGTCCCCTCGCTACCTCACTTTTGTCTGTTGCCAATTGGGGAAGATAATTCAAAACAGTCGTTCAATGCGCAAACTTGCCACGTGCCAGCAAAGCATAGTTTATTAGTGTCGCCCTTTTTCAACAGGTTGAAGAAGCTTTCTGATGCAATTCAGGATTTTACGGATAGTTGAATCCCTAGCCACGTTCAGAGCGTTGGGGCGAAAATCCCATAGAATTGGGGGGTAGCACCTTGCGTGAGTACGCATGTCGTCAGGACTTCGCAAGCGATGTGTCTCTTCCACAGCCGCGACATGGGCATGGCAGGGAGACCAATTGCCTGTACCGTAACTCAACCACCCATTTCTCCTTTCTCTAATCGTTGCCTTTATTTTTGTGACTGTCCGTACGCCGCGATGCACCGTTGTCATTCCGCTAACATGGGATCCGTCCCTTTGACATATATGCAGTACGACCTTTTCAAAGGATTCTTTATCCAACCCGACCGAGAACAGCTGACGAATGAAATCATTCGTCAACACAGCACATAATACAGTGCAAGTTCTGCCTCCTTTCTGCCGGACCGCTGAGTAACAACACCTTCTCCATTCGGAAGATCGACCACAAGCTTGTAACTTAGGCAAGACACTATGAAGCTCAGGATAATCACCCATCGAGAGCGATGACACTTGAATCTCCCCAAGCAGACATCGCATAGCCAAGTGCGAATGTCCTGGACGGGAAATCCAGACCGAATCCAGCAGATCGCGACTCCGTTGCAACAATCCCATAGGATCGATCACAGGATCGTCCATCTATGGTAAAGTGGCCAGAATCATATCGTCCAACCTCATCGCTCCCATATTGCCTTTATAAGCCGCATCACCAACGGCCATGAAGGTGGTCCGTCACACAATAATTTGATCCAACATCTCGCTACTTGTACCATCACACGTAATACCCGCGTCTTTGCTAAGAGCCTCCTCCATCCTCCCATTTTAATTTATCCGAGCGTCGGAATATCAGACCCAAGGTCTCGGGACGAGATACGGTACTCGAAAATAGGGCTGAGAACAGTCGACCACCACAGAGTGTTTGCCTTACCAAGAGCAGCTTGATCCGGGCCTATAACAAAGTGACGTCTCCCTCGACAAAGTCGTCCACTCGTTCTGAACCCTGCAAATACCAAGGTCCAAGACCAAGCCCAGGATCGATACTGGAAGTTCGCGACTCTGATTTATACATCTCGCAATCCACTGTTACGATCGTTTGCATTAATATTCTGAGCGAGAAACAAGACAACGTAATATCGACGAGTCATGCATCGAATCCTTCCATTGCTTGTCCTCGCGAGCACAGCATTCGCACAGAATGCGACTAATGTGACTGATGCCACTAATGCCACCCTCGCATCCAACATCCCCAACTTTGGCTATGCCAAACTGCTTGATCTGCAGAAGCAGTTCTGGGGAAAGTTCATATACCCCAACAACATCCGGGAAGCTCAGAGCATAAACTCCACTGTGTTCGCCGAGAATGTATGTTGATTCATGAGAAGAACCCCAATTCTTCCTTACCCCAATGGTGCGAAGGGGCAACAGTGAAGACACGCGGATTGGAGAGATCTTATACTGATATGTGCGCAGGTCCAAGGGCGCGTATCCGACAGCCGCAATTTCGAGGGCCGAGAGCTGAACACTGAATACATCTTCGGGCTCTTCATCCCGTCAGACAGCGCTACCGTGGTCGGCACGCCGCGCGACTGGGAGATCGTCCAATTCGCGGCGAACCAGAACATCGCGGCGGCGACGACGCGGCTGAACTTCACGTTCGAAGCGTTCAACAACATGACGGCGCCGGTCGTCATCGACACCTGGATAACGTGGAACGAGGCCGGCGAGATCACGCAGTACGATGCCGTGTTCCGATGGTTTGGACACCTCCTCCAGACGCTGCTGGGAAGCGTCGACCAGGACCCTATGGCCGCGGCGAAGAAGGCCGCCCAGACGCTCGCGACCTCCGTCTGCAATGCGCACACCAGCCACTGCAATGGCACAAACTCGCAGTACGCGTCCCAAGACGAGTGCATGAGGTTTCTGACAGAGGAGATCAGGATGGGCCAGTCGTTCGAGCTCGGCAGGAACACGCTGCTGTGCAGGAACATGCACGAGATCATGCTCAAGTATAGACCCGATGTGCATTGCCCGCATGTTGGGAGATCCGGAGGCGGCATGTGCGATGATAATACTTCGTACTTCAAACGGGTGCAGGAGAAGTATTATACGATTTCGCCATGGATTCCGGAGCAGTTCTAGGGGAGAGTGGTGGGGTTGGCTGTCGATGATTCGTATTCTTTGTCGTCGTGCATAGTCGGCGGCGTTTATTGGCTTTGTGGGTGGTACAATTAGGATATTCGCGTGCGCTACTTCTACTAATGTATTTTGTTCAATGTTTATTAATGCCAAGACTGTGTTACTCGAACCATGTTGGGAATGAGTTGAACAGGATTTCCATGAATTGGTGTACTGTGTAGGAATGGACAATCTTCAAAGCGGATCTGCGGAGGTTCTCATATGAACTTACACTCCATGGCAGTAGAAGTCGCTAGGAAAATGTCAACTCAATCAACTTCAAATGCAGAAATAGGTTCAGGAAACCAATTGCGGGAGTCCGCGCTCGTTATACTCACTCTAAAGCATTCTTGCTTAACATCAGTTACTACCAAGCTCACACAGACAACTCAATAAATCCTTCTTGGAGACTTACCAGACCTACGCCACTACTGCTTAACCCCTCTTATGGTCGATGGGAGCGTCAACAAAATTGGACAATGAGATCGACACGAGACGCATCGGAGCCGAATTGCATGTCTAGAAATTTGAATTGTGAATTGTAGTGGAGGCAGTTGAAGACATTAAGAATTACATATACAATTTTCGTATTCATATGGATATAGTTAGACGCTACGTCAATGAGGTAATATGCATACATTGAGAAAAGGACTCGAAAGGTATTTGAGGGGTATGAAGTAGTGCCGGAAGCGATTAAGCCCAAATCCGATATGGTTGAACCCGATTTCCCAGCTGTTGAGGCTATCAACGGTTCAAGTTGGTCTATTGTCTGGTCGAAGAGGTGGCATTTCACTCATTCGAGTATATGCAAAGTGTTGGCCACGACGTCAAATTTAGAGCATTCCAAGATGATGTTACAAGCCAATGTCTAAGAAGAAGTTTCAGGAAACTATCGCTGGGTAGGCTCTCCGGATAACTCGGCCGTGTGCGATCCCGCGACGGGACCGCTACCACCAAGCTCGGCAGCTTGCGGCTGTGCCGGGTCGGTCGAATGCGCAAAAGTTTGCTTCTGGTCGTTGGGTGCGAAGTGGCCCTGAGGTGGGGGGCTACCGGGCTGATTATACGGAGCGGAGTACTGTGGAGCAGGAGATAGAGGTGCCTGCTGGGCACCATATTGGTTGTACTGTTCCTGGTTGTTGCCGTATCCTGGGGATCCCATGGGCTGAGTGTATCCAGGTTGAGGAGAGGCAGCCATTTGGGGCTTTGCGTCAGTGTAGGGCTGTTGTCCTCCAACGGCAACACCTGCTGGTGCACCACCGAGTCCTCCAGGACCACCAGCTGCTGCGACCTTCTTGCTCTTCTTGCGACGGAGGAAGAAAAAGATTCCAGCTCCAATCAGAGCTAGACCGACGATGGGGCCAACGACGGCACCGGCAATCCAGGCCTTGGAGCTCTCCTCCTTCTTCTCAGGTACACTGGTACTGCTGCTGCTGCTTGCGCTCGCACTTGCAGAAGATGGGTTGGCTGCATTCGGGACGCTCGACTGTGGGATCGCAGATGATGCTATTTGTTGTTAGGAAAATAGTTGGTGTATATCATTCAATTCCGGTACTCACGCGCATCGGAGGAAACGATCTCGGTGGCAGAGGCCGGGATCTTGCGGTAGTAGGACCAGTTGACTGAAGAGACACCGCAGACAATGTCGGTCTTGGGGTTCGAGTCACCGAAGTTCTCGAAGATGAAAGCAGTGTTACAAATGGAGAAGGCTGTGTTGCCAAAGTTCTCACCACTTGTTCAGGTTAGCCAAAGGTTGCTTCTCAAGCAAATGGAACATGAAGCATACCAGCCGATTGTTCGCGTGGAGCTGATGTCCGAGTATGGGTAAATGAGAGAGCCAGAAACACAAGCTGTGGGCGCATAGCAAGATGCAAGCGACGTCGGGCAGCACTGAGCATATTTTCCATCTTGGTACCAAGTAAGGCCTTCGTTACATTGTTCTGAGAACCCTGGTATCTCATTAGCTTCGTCTTCTTCATCACGGTTCACATCAAAGTGACAAATACGTACAAGTCCCGCTGACTTCTAACCAGCCCATAAACCGATCATTGTTTTGCCTCGGCAGGATAGCTCGAGCAGTGATGGTCGGGTCCGCAGGCGCGTCCGCAGCGGCGTCCAACGCGTTGGAAACCTGGCTGAGGGCCAAAGCCGAAAGCAATGAAATGTAAATTCGTCCAGCCATGTCACCAATAGTTTCGAACTGCTTGAGCTTAGAGTAGGATTACCGGCGCGAGCGAGGGCAGTCGATCAGTTAAATAACATTGATGATTGTTTCCTCAGCCCAGCGGGGACTGGTGGTCCACACCCATCAAAGCCACAAATGGTACCCACTCAAAGTGTAGAAGCCTAGCCCTTCTCGTGGCTTTTGGTGTCGCTCATCGCAAACGAATGGCCCATCTCTTTGCAATCCCCTGGTGTCTGGGGCCAAATTGGACTGCACGGCGAGCGTGGATCAATCCCGGTCAACGGATCGGGTGGTGGACTTGCCCTTGTAGGTATGGGCTAGTCAAATCTGGCGGGCCTTATGATTTCCAGTCACCTCAGCTGCTGGCGCTTGCTTAACATCGATAGTGCGCCCTGTGGCCGTGGTGCTGTCATTGGAGGCCTCAGGCGTGGCTTTTTGTAGGGCATCATGGCAGCCACGCTTGGCGAGCTTCGTCTCGAATAGCGCCAGGGAGCTGAACGCTGGGCCCGTATCAATGGTAGGACAGGCTGCTTGGGGAAAGTCGAGGCAGAAGAGGCTTTCGGTGAGTAATGGATGGCTGAAAAGCTTCACAGGCCTTGAATACCGTTTTGTCTTGGAGCAACAGCAACAGAACATTCTGCATCAACTATTGGCAACTCAGCTGAATGGTAGTCTGCACGTAGCGTTGTACAAGGTCTCGGGGGGTGGGTCGATGGGAAAGGGTAGGCGAAATTTGAGGGGAAACGGCCTAGCTCCTGGTCATGGGTCGACAGACAGTGGAAGGAAATGAGTAACACGAGTATGACGAGAGACTAAAAATACACCGATCCCGGGTTTTCGGTGTGTTGCATTATCATATCGCTGTGCAATAACTAGGTGATGGTAGAAGGTAGAATCAGTGACTCGGTACAATATTGTACCTTCTGTTGCTGATGGTGACTCTAACATTATCATGTAGCGGTCGGTACTTATCATTGATGATGAGTTGCCGATGATCGGAAAGCGGCTAGATAGTAGTGGTAGTGCATACGTTGACTTGTACTGAATCTCTCATGTTGGACATGCACCGATTTGGCAATCAATCTCTCGCCGAGTAAATAATGATGATCGCGTCCTTTCCTTACTGTGTACATTCAATTGTACTCCGTAGAGAGTGAGGAATTAATCATGGAGTGTTGTGAAGATGAGGATCAGGGGCGGGCACTAAGTTGGGAACTAGAAATGGCTAGACCCGGCAGCGGTCCGGAGATATCCTTTCCCGGGTCCCGTAGCCATTCGTTCACTTCTGCTCCGTACTGAAGTTCTACCCACTGTGGAACGTATCCAAGTATTCATACTGTGTAGGTTCACTAGATGGCTGGCTCATCCTAGTTGCTTATCAAACAACAAGATTTACATCCAAGGCACGGTCCTCTCAGAAATGGATAGGTGAATTCGCTTGAACAGAAGAACAAAACAAAAGAAGGTTCCGTTCCCATAGTGTGGAATCCTATCAGACCGCTATCAGACTTACGGGCAGTGTGCAATTATGAGACATATCGACCCTGCCATTCGCCAATCCTAATGCACCGCTATCAATCGGGACCATCAGACAAGAACAGCTACACCGCGAAATGGTACGAATGAGGCATTCTCCCGATCGCCACTCACTACGAATATCCTTCAATGATTTACCCGACGATGTTCTTATCATTGTCTGCTCACAATGCCAGCTTGATGAACTTCTAGCTTTACGCCTTACCACTTTCCGGATACGCAACCTCATTGACCACCACCTCGCCACCATTGCACCTGCGGTAGGCCGCTCCAGCCTCCCGCTTGCTGGCCTTCTGAACGCGCCTCTCCCAAATCGATCTTGCTATACCATTGAATGGCTAAAAGCTCTCATCCCCAGGCAATTAGCAGCTATTCTAGTTGACCGGCATCGCTCTTCGGTTGATGGGACCCAATTACGGTATGGAATTCCGGCTGAGGATCCCTTTGGCGAAGAATTACGCGAGCGAGTTGCGAATGGCTGGTGTGTTTTGCGCCGGTTGTCTAGGATATCAGAGCAGGTGTACGATCTTGACCCCCGCCTTGTCTTAAAGTCGTCCACAGATCTGGCGTGGAAAGTCGTAAATCCGGCTCGGTTCAAGTTCGAGTTGTTCCGACAAAGGGAGGACCTCGTACTTACCAGACGATTGGCTTATGTAGAAGAGCTACCTAGCCATTTGGCAAGAGACTATCGGCTTATGTTCATGCTCCTGTCTTCGGCATTTCGCACCTCAGTTTCCAACTACGGCGATGATTACAAACCGTGGGTTTTTGACTGGGGCTGTGGTATCGATGGACAGCGGTTGCTGAGAAGAGGCAATTCCTGGCTGACTTGGTTCCTCTTGAACGAAGGACCGGATCTGTTCTGGCAGCAATGGCAGATGCTTCCCGCTGACGAGCCCAATACAAAGAACTACATTCGGGATCGCTCAATCGAGACTTGGTTCGGAAAGAACAAAGCCGACCCTGAAGACTTCATCCGCCAATTCCTCGCCAAAGAGTGGGAGGACGTCAATGAGAAGTGGCATAATATTCAGCGTGACCACGCTCAGAAAGTTCACAGGGCGATGGAAGAGAAAGCCACAAAGGGCATGACAGACTTTGCCTCCACCAGCCCAATCGTATACTTCACCCAGTATGCTGAGGTGAGACGGCAGAGGGAGCTATCCGGCTTGCCTCCTGTCGCCGAAACGCTTTCTCATGTCCCGTTTCACATCGACTTCCGCTGTCCCGAAGAATTATTCCAAAAGTTCTGCGCACTGAGACAGGAGAAAGCATCCGCGATTGCAAATCCGTCCACCGCTAGGAATTGAATCATGTATATGGAGCCAAACTTCCGTTGTCTTGTACATTCACGGCATGCTTTAGCATCACAGGGGGTTTAACCAGACTTGGAGTATCTTCATCAACGCAGCAATCTTGTATTTTTCTTTCGCAATATACCGGTTCAATCATGTAGCAGTGATACCGCGTGCGGTGGCTTAGAAAATGCCAATGCCATACTTACCACTGGCGGTTCCTTGACCTCGCGCGAGAGCTGTGTCTCTTACTCGTCCCATGCAAACGCCACATTAGGCAACACATCTATCCTTACTTTGGGATATCCTAAGTCTGATTTTCACGAATCCATGTGTTATTTTTTCTTACGCTTTGTGTTTATGTAAGTTCAGTAATGATTCTATCTGTGATGAGTACAGCGGAGAACAGTATCTTGGGCACAAGAACCCGTGACTAGATACCATAGGCAACAATCGTTCAGATGTCACCGTTCGCTCGACTGGAAGGCTTTGGAATAGTGGTAGAGGACTGTCATGCGATGACTCTCAATTATTAGTTCTGCCAAAGTGAATCTATGCCTAACACTGTACTGGCACGACTGGGTGCGAACTGTTGCGGTATGGAGTGAGTACGGATGATGGCAGGTTAATCGCTAGAGAGTTTCGTCAAACAAGCCGGTCTAATGACATTTCATTCCATCACAATAAAACTACAAATCGTATACAACCACGAGGATCGACGTCATCCCTATTGTTCCAATGAAACATCTTCCTAATATCAACAATTGTCGACATAAAACAGCAAATACCTTCCAATGCAAGCTCTTCCATCATCACGCAGATCCGGCCGGTTTGCTATCACTCGCACTTATCAAATTTAGCATAGTGGGTTGCGACATGGTCGGATCAGTCTGGTGATACAAAATCGGAACCATGCTGAACTGTTTAGGGAAGGGAAACGGCGAGCGGGCATGGAGGTATGTACTTCTACCGATACATCTTTCAATCTAGGCTGGTAATTCGTGCCCGAGGTGTATGGAAGGGAAGATGTTGATATCGAGAGGTAGGATTGGCTAAGTCTCTCCTACACCTATAAACACTGGATTGAGTTTGCAGATGTCATTATCTTCATGCAGATGTTCTTGTCTTTATATGGGAGGTGTCCTTCTTATTGTAGTTGGCTGTAATTTGGAAAAGAACGAAAGTAGTTCTGGTTTCCAGTTGGAAGCAATTGATCCAAACGTCATAAGAACAGGCCCAGCGAAACCCCAATCTTGGTGCCCAACTTTCCAGTTCTTCACCGTATTTCTCTCGACCATCGAGCGACTCTATAGATAGATCAGATATCGAAGCGAGTCCTATTCATTCATTCACGGAACCAAATCTTCCGCAGATGGAGGGAGCAACAGTGGAATACCGCTGATTATATGAGCATTTCGCATCGATCTAACAAGAAAGCCGATGAGCTACTTAGCCTAGTAGTGAGGTTAGGTGGTTAGGTGCCTCTGTTCAATGCTGTAAGACGGCCCGTCGCGCGCTAGGCCAACTTGAGCACGGAGGGCGATTTAAAATAACTAAAGAAATTCTCATCGGTCTTGATCGAGCACACTCTCATGTGGATTCGTGCCAAAGTTGGTATCTTGTTGAAACGTTTGCAAGTACACCGTATGTTGCAGTGCGCATTTTTCTTCCATACGTACGTTTCTGTCTGGCACAAGTTGTCACGTATTGTCAATCCGAAATGGTCTATTGTCACAGCTGGACTTCAGCTTCTTTTTAATCTGGTCTCCACGTTCCAATTCTTGTTGCAGAGTTTCTCTTGTTACCCTACCTGGTACTTGCAGCCTTGAGATCATTGCCGGAACGCAATGATGTATACGTATCTGTACACAGTATGCATAAATACGCATCCTACCCAATAGGTATTCATGCATCAAACCACGACCGATGCGATCCCGCCGTTACATCTCTCCGTGCCATCCACGTGACCCGATCACCAGCCCTCGGAGTCACCGAAGAGCTCACTCGCGCATTTTAGGGCAAGGTGCTAACGAACAGTCTGGAGAATTTGTAGCCTGAAACTGATACACATGGCCAAATATAGTAAATATAAGAAAGCTAGTTGATTAGGTGGCTGCGATCTAGCTATCTTGCAGGAATGATTTGGAAGTCAGAGGAGATTCCGTCCGAAGGATTGAATGCGGAATTCGGTCTATCGGGGATACATCATGTTGACGTTGAGTATGTCTGGATAGAGTAAATGGGCTTATTGTAAGGCTCACATGCAATGATTATCTCGAGGGACCCTGTGGGCCTTGCCATCATTGAGGGACAACATAAGCACGGCACTGGGACTATGAACTGGCGACAGGGCGCAAAGGGCGGGGAAGGGAAATGTAGTCGATTGGGTTAGCGTCCGTCGCGTGTAGTCGTTGTGGTGGGCCTTAAGGAGATGTTCAGCGAAAATCTTCGGACCCTGCTGAGGGCGTTGAGAAGTCATATGTGACTAGTGATCCGTTCGTAGATAGTCTGGTCAAAATTTGCAGGAATCGGTGGAGGGTCGTCGTGGATAGTGAAGAGATAGCTTTTTATAGATATGCGGAGTTCTAGATACGAGTTTGTCCGTGGGCAACGCTGGCTCGCTCAACATCTGCTTCTATGGGATTCAGATAATTCATCATTGCAAACAACAAAAGGAAGACGAACGTGTCCATGGGCGCGACCCGTGAGGGGACAGCCATGGCAGTGGATGGAACGAGTATGGTAAAAGATGATCGATCTTTGCTCGCACGAGATGTATATTTTAGATTGCTCTTTGCCCCTTCACACTGTTTCGGCTCGGTCGTTCGTTTCTGCATTCTCTCGCGCCCAGAAAACGGACGGACGACATGTGGGTAGGCTAGTAGGCGGATTGCCATATTTACCTAGAGCTACATATCAGTGTATGGAGGTTGACGCCCCACGCAGGTTTCGTTTCGAAGATCGCAAGGGTAGGTCGCGAATTCGCACGTTCTGGACTTCAACGAGTCGAGGAGATTCGCTGAATGTTTTCACAGGGCCCTGGAGCAAAAAAATGAATATGTGCTGAGCCTCGTTCCAGGGGAAGGGGTTTGCGTTTCTTAGGGTTAGAGATAGATGAGTCTCGCCTGCAGTATAGATAGTGGAAGAAACTACCCGGGCGCTGTACAACGCATGCTGATGTGTGGATGTATGTGGATGTAGATATGCATGTTAGCTGCAAAATACGATGGATACTCTGGCCCATGAGGAGTAACAACTACACCTGTTTGTACATGCATATCTCGTCTACAGGCCGAGGCATTTATTGGGTGAATAGGTTGGTGAGTGAGTTGGTTGTGGAGAGAGAGGCGTCCCTCGAAGAAGGTTGATTGGTTCACCGCCTTCCCCAGGTGGGTTAGTAGATTGCCACACGTGACTGGGGGCAAAACTCAAACTGTTTCTATTTTTATACATTCACCACCTGCACTATCAAAAGTAATGCCGTTACGGGCTTAGCCCGAACTGCATCGCGGTGATCGCTCGTCGTTGGCCAAGACCAGAAAGGATACCGAAGTGTGATCAGCAGGTAGTAGAGCAACGAGAAGAGGGCTCTCCTGTAATGTAAGTGGACTACCTGGAGCGGGACGTGGTAGTACTGGTCTCGTATACTTACTTTACCACCTTTCCTGACTGGTAGACGCAGGCTTTCAGCACACACACACAAGTTGTCCTCCTCACCCTCTTTCCCTCTCCTCTACGAATAGGCGCACCCTCGTCCATCTCACGCCGCGCACCCACTTCGCCTGTTCATCGCGTCAGCCTACGGCCGCAACACCGCTTTACCTTGACCACTCCGCTTACGTCGACGAACGACGAACAAGGAACGACGACGACGGAAGACGACAGCGAAAAGCACGAATCTTGAAGCGATCTTGATGCTTCTTTCTACCTACACGGCCTGTTGAGCGCAGCTAGGACGCATACCCAGCAAGAATACCCATGGAGAATTCCTAATACGCCCAAACGTCGAACACCCTTCCTACCTGCCTGACAGAATATATACCGCTTGCACGGCCTATCATGGGTGGGAGGAGATTGTCGAATCTAGATGGACAGCATTTAGCAATTCGTACCGATGTGAAAGGCAAAGATCGCGAACAGAATGGCGGGTTTCGCAACGACGCAGCAGGCGGACCTTCTCATCGTGTCCACCGCACCGCGTCGCTGAGTTCGCTCGCTGCTTCGATTGACGAACAGGTCCATACACATCTCTCTGCTTCATCGACCGGCAATGACACGCTCTCGTCGTCTGGCATGTCTGGCATGTCCACAGCTCGCACATCTGCTATGCTCAGCTATGATGATCGCTGCGAACCTCCTGTTTCCACGAGCACCTCGATATACGCGCACCCAGCTACTACCGTCCTCGAACTTGTTTCCAATACCGCGTCTTCGTCTGCGTTACCCGACAATTTCAGTTTCAATTTATCGCGAAAGGGGGAATTCACATGCGTTTTTACGACTTCAACCATTTGGTTGATCAAGGCGACCCAGCTGCCACGCCTGTGGGCAAGAACCTTGCAAGTAAAGAGGAAGCCTGTGGCTGTGGATATCTTAGAAGACGGATCACTTTTGGCTGTTCTTTCACGACCATCTCAAGTCGACGTGTACGAGATTTATGGGGAACACGACCGCCAGGTGAAGAAGAGACGGACAATAATGTTGGTCCATGAGGCGCATTCTATGCGCATTTCGCCAGACGGTCTGATATTGATAACTGGCAATACCTTTGGAATCGAGGTCATCTCAATTGGACCTGATGCCCCCGAGACTAGTCGAAGAACTCTCTCGGGCCCCGTGGGCGATACCTTAGAATTTTCTGAAGACGGGCGCACGCTACTAATCACCAGTTATGCTCGTAAGAGCGGTGGAACATCCTTGTTTGTTCTTCCTGGGCTCTATGATGGGCCCCTGAATGAGGAGGGCGAACCTATGCCTGCATCTCCCGAGGCCGTGTGGACAGGCCTCGTCCTGTTTCCTGAGACCACAAGAATAGCACGACAGGCGACGCTGCTCCCAGATGCTGATACTGGGACAGTGAACGAACTTTTTGCTTTCAATGCCGATGAAGACACATGGGGCATCTATGACATTGGAGCTCAACGTTTCACCCAGAGAAAAATGTTCCTACCCGATCAACAGCGATGGACCCGATCCGAGTTCCTTGACGACGCCATGCCTGCAGTCTCTGTCAATGCAGACTTAGCAGCGGTTGCTTTAAAGATGCGTGGAACAACGAGTCTATGGATCTATCAGGTCCCCGATTGGGACTATCAACCCAACTCACAGATGCCTGACCAAACGCCTATTCAGCCCTGTTTCTGTGTGCCTATCCTGCGCGACAGTCAGGATGCTAATCAAGAGATATGTGAGCTACGTTGGGTTAGGATTGACGACAACATCCAACGACTCGTTGCCGTTGGCAACGTGAGCAAGGTCATCGTTGATGGAGAAGATTCAGTTGACACGCCTTGCTCCAAGGGGGTGATCATCATTCTTGATTTTGACAAGACTAGACCGGCCAGCAGTTCTAGCCCTGCTCCAATCAAGATGGAATACGATCTGGATCCCCTTCTCCCCGGGGAGAGACTGCCTGAAGGAGATATTGACTTTGAGAGAGAGGTTGAGTTAGTGCGAACTCGTACCATGGCGCAGCGTAGAGCACAGTCTCGAGCTGGCGATGGAAGGAGAAATTCTAGACAAGGCCCGCCGCCAGGGCGGGCGCGCACTACTGCGAACCGCGAACGAGCTCCCCCCATGCCCACGATCACACGGGATGACGAGGGAGAATTGACAATGGAAGAGGCACAGGCGGCTTTTGAGGCACCGTATGACAACACACAACCAAGGTCACAGAATTCATTGGCTAGAGCAGCCACGGTCGCTGCTGTTTCTCCAGCGAACCGCCGCCATCTGCGGTCGCTTCCATTTCGGCCCCTTGACTATCGTCGAGCTGATGGTATGCGAGAGTTTCCTCACGAGAGCGATGCCGACAATTGGGTGCCTCCACCACCTGCGTATACTGCATCGGCTGAGGAATCTCACAGCGTGAGCTTGAGCCACCCCGGTGCTCCACCGGATGGGATGCGCTCAGCTCTACCACAGAATCCCCCCTTTCCCCCAGTACCAGCTCTTCCCACGAGTGTCAACGCCTCACAGGCTGCCGCACATCTTTCTCAACATCGACCAAGCCTTGCCTCCCAATCCTCCTCCGACCTCACCCTCCCCGGAACAAATGCTCGCCCTGCGCTGCTTCATCCTTCCACTTACCCGAGCCCACAATCTCCCGGTCCGGGCCGTCGTCGCAGCTCCGCAACCCAGCATTCGCCTCCCCCACAGGTGCAAAGCCAGCCACCGTCGAATCAACTACAGTCTGCTTACAACGCAACATCCTCTCGTCACGCTGTCTCTTCTATTCTTCGTCGGTCGACCCTTCGACCCAATCGGGCTATCGAGTCACAAGTTGATCTTCGACCTCCCCCGCTCATCACAGCCTCCATGGCCAATGGTCCACGTCGAGGATCTGCTCCTGACACGGCAGCCATCACACGTAGGCCTGTGGGTGCTCCCCCATCTGCACGTGCAAATCCGAACCGGATGAGTATGCCTCCTAATGGGTACCCAACTGCCAATGCCAACACAAACCCCGATCCGAGAAGTAACGGAAAGTCGAAATCAAGACGCTCTATTCTCCCGCGACTTCTGCCTCCTGGTAATCATCACTCGACGAGAGCGGATCCGGCCAGTGCACCTCCTCGAAGTCACAGAGGATACACGCCACACTCAGCTGCCCCAGTAGCTCCGGTACAGCGACCAGCGAGCAGCGCAGAACATCGACAATATCATTTTGGCATGTCACGCCAACATCAGCAGCACTACTCGCAGCATGAGCAAGGCCAACATCCGCAGCAGCCTAATTCTGCCAAAGAGAAGAAGAAGACAGCTTGTGTTGTCATGTGAGGAAAGCCATCGAACCCTGACATATACCCTTTCCCTACCACTGAGCGATCGAATGCCCATTACCATTGTTTGCCAGCAATTTCAGCGATTTAGTTTCAAATGAAGCGCAGCATTACACTCCGGCCCTATCCGAAAAAGCGAAAACACCTTTTGATAGTAATAACCCCACTCGATCTATGCTATCTACCTCCCACTCATCAATGCGAGCATAGCTCCGTACAGATCTTAGGAAGACATTTTCAACATACAATTGCCATCATACAGTCGCTATTGATTCATATTTTTTTTTCTGGTGTTTCGTTTTATATACCCATGGGGCGTTCACGTTTTCTTTCGTCGATCTTGGGGATATTTTGGTTCATGGACCAAATGTGAAGGGTGTGGTAGGGCTTGATTTCGAACAGATAAAATTTTGATGAAACATGCCCTTTCAGAAGGTATGGAGGTATCTAGAGGAGATGAGGAAATTAAAACAATATTTCTTTTTACGTGCTTTTTCTACTCCTTGGCTGAAGGGTTCTACGTTATGACATGTCTTATTGACGGGCAGGTTGAGACATGGCGCATCATCTAGAATGTGCACTTTAACCTTTACCCACTCTTCATTTGTTGGGCGTTGACTAGGACCGCATAGCCTGCGACACCAGGCACCTTACAGAATACGCACAGCACATGAGATGGCCCTGATGCCTTTGACGGTAACTAGTCGTCACGCGTTACCATATTTGACGCATGATACCTGCTTCACGGATTACTGACCTGGGAGCTACCTGTGCATCTGAATCAACCAGCTCTCAGCCTTCTTTTAGCTTTGATAGGGGTTCTAGCTGCCTTCTCAGCTGTCCTACCGACTTTCTCTATTTGTTTTCTCGTTACTGTTGTCAACTAGAGCTGCTATCTTGACATCCTCGTTGCCTATTTTGTTACATTGTTGCTCTTCATCTGATTTTACCCAGCCGATACCCTACAATCATGGCTCAAGCTAGCTGCGAGCCAGTCAACCTGCTTTCGTTAGGTGAGTAAAGGGGCGCTTCAAGTACTGGAGGCTCGACTGACACTAGCCAGACGGCGGGGGCATTCGTGGAGTATCCGAATTGTTGATCCTCGACGAGATTATGCGTCGCATTAAGATCGACCAGCGCCTTTCCGAAACGCCACGACCCTGTGATTACTTCGATCTTATCGGAGGAACTAGCACAGGAGGGTATATGCTCCTCCTTACTTACAGTTGCTTGCGACTCAGCAATATATGCTAACGGCCGTTCCCTCAGTCTCATTGCCCTCATGCTCGGTCGATTACGAATGACGACGGACGAAGCACTCCGAACCTACAACTCATTATCTGAGGAGATATTTTCGAAGGAAAACAAGAAAACGAAGTTTCAGGATGGCTCATTTAAAGCTACGACCCTACAAGTGAAAGTGCAGGAGATAGTGGAAGACCAAGCTCTGAAGGGACTCATACTTGACCCGCCACTCATGATTGACCCGTCATTCGAGCGTGATCCGTCGAAGAAAGGGAAGGCGTTCGTCTGCGCCGTGCCTGCTAATAACATGGAACACCCGCGATTATTCAGAACCTACCCCGTCAGAAAGAATGAGAGCCCGAACTGTCAGATCTGGGAGGCGGCGCGTGCAACCACTGCCGCCCCTACCATCTTCAAACGGATTGCGATCGGAGAGGAGGGACATGCCAAGGAAGAATTCATTGACGGCGGGCTTGGACATAATAATCCAGTAAACCTGGTATTGAGGGAGGCAAAAGAGATCTTCGGCGACAAGAGACCTGTGCGTTGTCTCCTCAGTATCGGGACTGGTCATCCAGGCATAAACGGCCTGGCAAAGCCGAATGCTTTCCAGAGATTCCTGCCTACAGGTTTGATAGAAGTGGTTAAGAGAATCGCTTTGAGTTGCGAAGACACACACATTAAGTTGAAAAACAATTTCCAGGCCCCTGGAATTTACTTCCGCTTGAACGTGGCTCGTGGTGCCGAGGACATATCCTTGGAAGAGTGGGAGAAGATACCGTTACTGACGACGCACACCAAATCTTACATCGAAGATGTAAACGAGGATATCGACAAGGTTGTAGCTGCAATGTGTCAGCAAACGGGGCCCACGTGGACACCGGGCAAAGCTTGTTAGTCAATACCATTATTCCTCCGTTCGATTGCCCAACTAAGTGGTTTGTAGATTGTGTCCCACAAAAGCCGAGTGTCTCTAAAGTGCCCGGACTCGTTCCTTTCGAAAGAAACCTACAATTCGTCGGCCGTCGCAGTCATCTTGATCAACTTGAAAACTCTCTTTTTGGGAAGCGATCACCGCCCAAAACCGCTATATATGGCCTGGGGGGCATGGGAAAGACCCAGATCGCTCTCGAACTGGTCTATCGAACAATGGAAACCCACACCGATTGTTCTGTATTCTGGATACAAGCCACCAACGTCGAGACCATTCAACAAGCTTTCACAAACATCTGTCTAGAGCTTGAACTATTCGAACTAAAGGTCAATCCAGACGAGGCTCAGGGGCTTCTACAGCATCACCTAAGCCAAGAACGTGCAGGCAAATGGCTGCTGATCGTTGACAATATTGATGACATGAATATCTGGAAGACTGTGTTGAGAGACAATCTACCGAGGAGCCGGACAGGGTGCATTGTTTGTACTACGCGGAACAGAAAGGTCGCAATAGAGATTTCGGCTTCCAATGTGATTGAAGTGAATGAAATGGACGAGGAAACGGCCATGGAACTTCTTCGCAAACTCTTGCCTAATCTAGATCTGGCAGAACTCCGCAAGGATGTGCAGCATTTCCTTGAACAGCTCACCTTCATGCCTCTCGCGATTGTGCAGGCAGCTGCATATATCAAGAAAAATGGGACGACACTATCGAAGTATTCGTCACTTATGAATGAGCAAGAGCAGGAAACGATCAAGCTCCTGAGCGAAGGATTTCAAGACGACAGCAGATATCACGATATCAATAATGATAGCAACCCAGTAGCAACAACTTGGCTGATATCTTTCGACGAAATTCAGCGGTTGGACCCTCTTGCGGCTAATTATCTGTCGTTCATATCTTGTTTGGCTCAAAAAAACATCCCGGAATCGTTTTTCCCCTTGGAGGGGTCCTTAACCGAGCAGGAAAATGCGATTGGGACGCTAAATGCGTATTCGTTCATCTCCAGACGGGCAGATCGCGTTTTCGACGTTCATCGACTGGTACAACTTGCAATGCGAATCTGGCTAAGGAGAGAGAATAAATGGCAACATTGGGTGGGCTTGACATTGCAGCGACTGTTGTGTTTTCTCCCTCTGAAAGGTGGCCATCAAGGAAAAGAGGTCTGGGCCGCATATCTGCCCCATGCTATTCACGTCGTTGGATTGACTGAACTGAGTGATACGACAAATCGAATATCTCTATTGGAACGAATAGCCTTCTGCGAGGCGTGCTTATGGAACCATAGCTCCTCAGAATGGGCTTACAGACAGTTGCTTGATCAAAGACTCCAACTCGATGCCGATATGGACCTACCAACACTGATAATCAAGAGAAAACTCGGATTTTCTTTAAGGTGTCAGGGCAATTACAACGAAGCAGAATATCAAATACAAGGAGCACTAGCAGGATTTAGAAAGAAGCTTGGTCCAAAGCACTTAGCGACACTTCGCTGCCTTTCTGATCTCGGGAGCGTACTTTTAGAACAAAAAAGGTACGGAGAGGCGGAAGAGTTAAGCCGAAAAGCGCTAAAAGCGCAAGTGAAGTTGCTTCGTCCAGAACACCCGGACATCTTTGCTAGTGTTTTTATCCTTGTGCAAATATTGGAGCGCCAGGGTAAGTACGAAGACGCAGAAGCTATGGGGCGACGAGCACTACGAGGGTTTATGGAGACACTCGGCCCAAATGACGAAAGTACGCTCCATACTGCTAGACTCCTTGCGATAGTATTGGAGCGCCAGTGCAAGTACGAAGAGGCAGCAAGAATAATTCGAGAAGTCAAATTAGGGCTGGACGGTGTGCTTGGCCCAGAGGACTCAGCCGCACTTATTAATGCCGGTATCCTTGGGCCACTATTGCCGCACCAGAGCAAGTACGAAGAGGCAATAGATATAGGGCGACGAGCACTGAAAAAACTAAAGATGGTGCTTGGTCCGGAGCAGGTGGACACACTCCAAAGTGCTGATGATCTTGAGTTTAAACTCTCGCGCCAGGACAAGGAGAGAAAGATTGGAGCCATCCACTGACATGCATTAGAATGGGATAGGAGAACAGGTTGGGCCGAATTCAAATTCTTGCCATTACTAGTTAGAGTTACGTCGCCCTTACTCGTTTGTTCCTCAGTTTTGAATGAAGGAAAGGTTTGCGCAACCTGTTGCTGTCACTGTATGCCACACACTCGTAACCTTGAACTCGCGAGTTCACTAGGGCAGCTTTTTAACTGCAACAACTTTGATATACGCTATATATATACCCACTTAAGGCTTCTGCTTTTATAGAACTTAACCTTCTATATTGATCCTTTCTGTAGAGGTTTTGTGATTTTTTTTTCTCATAACGCCCAAGTCACCTCGGTCACCTATGACTCGGCTTTTCAGCAAGCCAACGGGATGTCCAGGTATTAGTGAACGACACCCAAAATGCTTCTTTCTTCTGAACCAACCAATGCGCCCCCAGATGAGGACAGGAAGGATTAAGGCCTCCTAAGTAGCAAGAGCATCTGTACTGATTTAATTCCTGATACGCTTCTGTTTAATTTAAGTCAACTTCATCTAGCCTCACTATGAACCCCACTAACTTTCACTAATAATCCATACACCTACATTGGTGGCACTTTTATATCGCCTTATGCTTTGGAAATTCATCTTTTCAAAGCTTCACGACGCTGCTCTCGCCACTCGAGGCCGTCTTGCGCAGCTGAAAGCATGCAAGTTCTATTCTTTCAAAATAGACTTCGAAATTCAGTAAATATAAGAGACTAGAGTGATGGACAAGTAACGAAACAGTAAACCATTTCATCTCATACACATGCAATTCTTAAGTCGACCAAAAAGGGGTTTAATACTTTGATATCCTGGCCTTCGAGTCCTTAAGTAGATAAGGAAACCATTCTACCATATTGTAATCTTTTGGGCGTACTTTGGCCTTCTGATGAATAGCATTCAGACTTCTGAAATTTGACATTCGTCTATTTCGTGCGTCACGATCGGGAAAACAAAATGCGGAACCCTGAATTGTAGATAAACAAAGACGTGTTACCTTCAAAAGGGTTTCAATAAGGTACAGACAATGAGAGTGTTAAGTACATCCCTGGTCTAACGCATGAGCGAATATTTTCGCAGATAAGAGTTGATACTATGAGCAACGACGTTAAATAAATCAAGGCCTAATCCCCTTTCCAGAAAGGAGTATCAAACGCTCGTTTTATAGCAGTGTTGTCTTCTCAACGTCCCGAATTTCGACCGGTTGATATATCTCCAAGCTTTTGTGTTGTGCGCCGTAGAACGCCCCTTCACGCCCATGACCCTGATTAGAACTATAGATAGAGCGGGAATGCAATATCAAGAATAAATCTTAATGATACGAAAACTTCGAGGATTTTCCGTTCATGCTATTGTCATCCGTCGATTCGCCATACTCGACCCTGATCTCTTGAGTCTGCAAGATCTGGCCTTGATTGCCCCTAGATTCACCAAGTATGCTCTTATCACTACCATCATCATCCTTCTTTCCCAACTCGTGCTCGTAAACGTGCCCTTGTGCTTTGATGTTGCTCCTCGTACCAAGAGTACCTTTTGAGCGGTCGTGAAGGTGATACGACGTTGCGCCGGATTTCTTCGCGCTGCTTCCTGACTTGGACTGTACTTCGCGAACCAATAGGCGGAGGAAGGGGATCGACGCTGCGACGATAGTGATGCTGGATTCGGCGAGACCCCAAATCAGCACTTCGGCGATGTTGAACGTAAAGTCGGCCCAGGTTCCGATCTTAGGTAGATAAGATGTCTTGATAGCGCAGGCGATGCTGGCCCTGTAGGCTGCGATTAGCTGAGGTGGTCAAGTTGGTAAGAAAAGGACGATCTTACAAGCAACCCATGCTCATGGCGAGAATTACACCGAACTTCTCTCGCTTGTTCATCTGGAGGTTGTGGATGATGAGCCATGGGCAGACAGCAAGCACAACATCAACGAGACAAGAGTAAACTGCGAGAAATATCAGTGTGTGGCTTAATCTTACTTCAATGAAGTCTTTTGCATACCCCCAACGGCGATGGAGAAGTAGATCACAATGCGATTGTCCCAGCAGTGGCCAGGAAGCATCACGTCCCAAAGCTTCTCCACAGGTGTGCATTGCCCAAAAGTCATTGCAGTGACTGCCAACATCATGATGTTGATGGAGACAATGATGAACCAGATGATGTGCTTGTGCCATTTGACCGCAGTCAATCGTAGCAAAGTGATACAGAACGAGGTTTTGCCCAAGGGCATTGCAAGCAAGGCAAATGCTTCTCCAACATACATATACTTGACGCCTACGACAAGTTTGACAGGATCGGCATCAATGAAGTGTTTTCCGATTTCCCAGTGAACCGATACGTGGATCAAAGCAGTGTAAATGAGTACCAGCACCTAGAGATGGAGATCAGTTCTGCTACATGATCCCCCCCTATCATGAGAATACATACCCAGGAGGCCGCTAAGAGCCAGTCGTCCCAACCAAACACTTTGGTATATCGCGCCTTGCAGTAATACCTTAACATCATGAAGACGAAAGGTACAGCGGTTTGCACCCATAGTGCGATGACGATCTTGGGTCCATTCGATTCAGCCATTGTTTGCGTCGTCAAGAGCACAGGCTAGGGCGAAGAGGGAGAGAGATGAGATCGGGGAAAGTGGGCTCAACCAGGAAGTGATGGTCTTTTCAACAAGGCCTTGAATAGTAGATCGAACAGTGACTAAATCTAAGAGTAGATCGCAACAACCTGCCAGACGCATTTCATTATCCTTGGGCAAGATCGCACGCCTCGTCTCCAAGAAAAGTTACATCCCCACGAGCCAACGAATGTGATTAAAGCGCGCTTCGGCGCCATTCAGACCGTGAGTGGCTCACATAATGGTGGGTTCCTATGGAATCCCAAATAGCTCTGCCTAGTACCCTACAGAGCGCATTGAAGAATCTTCGACGTAAATCCCTGTACCTAGAATACTCGCCTCATGTTTCTGTGTGGTGTGAGAACCAAGATTTGGCTACCATGTACATTTCTGCACAGTTACAAGCCTTGTCACAGGGGGCAAGAGTTAGTAGGAAGCACGTTCAACCAATGATTGTACTAGGCCTGCTATTGAGAATGATTGGATTTGGCCGCGTATTGGATGGAAAAACCGCAATTCTGGATGTGTGGACCGATTCTGGCAACCGATAAGATCATGTCAATCTTGCTAATCGGACCGTGCTGAGAAGTCCTTTATTTTCCCTTTGTATGCAGGGTGCTCAATGTTACATGAGACGTCTTAGGCAGAGGACATCCGAAGATCCTACAGAAGCTAACTTGAACACGAGCGTAGCGTTCCCCAGACTCGGTATCTGGTGGGGGACGCCATAGGCTAAGGGGCCGCGTCCCCGAGCCGAGAGAGTTTCGATCTAATCGCCTAGAGAACTAGTCTACGAAGTATGTCCAAGTAGGCAATGGGTATAGGTATCTTTGTTCTTCCTCCTAACAATACGGGAACTAGCTACATACCAAGTGTACGAGAGCAAGGCCCCCGATCCCTTTCGATTTCTTCAAAGTCTCAGTGGGATGTTCTTGGAAGGCGGTAGACCAGACTAAAGCAAAGCGAAGCGATGCTTAGCCAGCCCCAAGGATTCGTGAAATACCTGATGCCATACACTACTACACGGCGTAGCAAGGGGTCTTCCGGTGCCATGTCGGGGATTTCGGCAGACACGTTCCCTGCCGCAAGCCACTCAAGCCACCCTTCCATCTTACCTCGACTGCCTTTCTGACCTATGGTATGTAGGTACATACCGACACAGAACACATACAATAGTACACCGCGGGAAGTTGGACTTGTGCCGCTGAACACCCTCCTGCGGGCCTGCTTAGTGCCCCACCACATCATCACAATGTGGGACTGCGAAACTGTTTTGACCCATCATCTTCCTCCAAAACCGCGGACAACGGAAGAACACTTCGTATTTGCTATAATTGGTGGGAGAAAGAGGTGTCCGGTGCTTCGGCTTCAACATTTTTCGATTTTTACAGCACGTCCATTAAGTGTTGTAGACAACAGGCTGTCTTGAATCGTATCGTAGCGCCTTGCGGACCGTTCCATTCATCTAGAGCTGTCATCTCCCCTTTCCACGTCCAAGCGACCGACCATTAGCTGAAGGAGCTCGAACATCATGGCGATCTTACAAGATTTCTCGAGGACAGGATTATTCGACAGTTCCAATTGGTGGTCTTTCCTCATTGTGGCGGGCTCCGCGCTGGTGGCCGACTATGTCTGGATGCTGTATTGGAGATGGAAAATGGTTGAGTGGCCGGAATGTCCCTCTAGAATCCGAACCGTCTAGCTGACAGCGCACACAAAGCCTCCTGGACCGTTTCCGTGGCCCATCGTGGGGAACACATTCTCCCTCCCAAATGTAAAGCCGTGGTATCATTTCGAGCAGCTATCAAAGGATTACAAGTCGCCTATCATTACCTTTTGGATCGGCAGGTAAGTCATTGCGCGAACATGTCTATCAATGCCTATCGCGGAAATGCCACGTCGCCCATCGTGAAATTGAATCTAATTGCGCAAGAAACCCTACCATCTGGGTGAACGATGCATGGGCAGCAGACGAGCTGCTGGTCAAGCGTGCGGGAATCTACTGTTCACGCCCGCGTATGCTGGTATTCGCAGAGCTGGGTGCTGGACAATGGAATCTTTTGAATATGCATACAGTTACCCCCGCGCAAAGGGAAAGATTTCGCGTTCAGCGTAAACTCACCCATCAAGGCGTGGGCGTTCAGCAGGTAAGATAGCAGTACCAACAATTTGTTGGGTTTTAACCAGTGCATAGGTGCAAAAGTACCGTAGCTTTCAGAATGACGAGAACAAGGTAGTTGCCCTTGATCTGCTCAAAACACCCAACAAGTATGTTGAACACTTCGAGAGATATGCTACAAGCGTTGTGTCCATCATTGGATTCGGCCGTAGGATATCAAAAGCAACCGATCCGCTCATCACTGAAGTAATCGCCATTATGCACCAGGCTGCTGCCTTGAATGTCCCTGGGAAAAGATTTCCCATGTTGCTGGAAACCTTCCCTAGTAAGTGCCAAACAATTGGTGTTGGAAGATAAACTACAAAGGATTGACTGATGATGGCTTGCCAGTCCTTGCCAAATTCCCCAACTGGATGGCTCCTTGGAAGCATGGCCTTGGGAAGTCGGGCACTCCGCGACAAGGGAACAATGACTTCTTCTACAGCCTTGCAGAGGAGGCCAACGAGCGTGAGCAAGACAATTACTCCAAGTTGGTGTTCAAAGAAGGACCGAAGTATGGCCTCCACCCGAGGGAAGTGTCAGCTCTTTCAGGCAACCTCCTTGGAGCAGGGTCAGATACGTCAAGCAGTACACTGATCACTTGTGTGCTTGCTATGCGTGCGTTCCCTGAAGCACTTTCTGCAGCATACGAAGAACTTGACCGAGTGGTGGGTGGATCAAGAAGCCCAGACTTTACTGATGATCTCCCGTACATGCGAGCCTTTGTGAAAGAGGTTTTTCGCTGGCGATCCGTGGCCATCATTGGTGGACAACCTCATGCTCCCATTCAGGATGATTATTGGAACGGATACCTAATTCCGAAAGGCTCGTGGGTTCAAGGCAACGTGTGGGCCATCCACCACAACGAGCGCGAATTTCCGGACCCAGATAGATTCAACCCGCTCAGGTTCATGAACGGGCCTGATTCTCGACCATTTCCTGGCGAAAAGGGTTACATGACTTTCGGCTGGGGTCGCCGTTCCTGCTCAGGCCAGTACCTGGCAGAGCAGGGCACGTTCTTGAGTGTTGCACGATTGGTCTGGGGTTTCAGGGTTGACCCTGCGATCGATGAAACGACTGGCAAAGAGATTCCCGTCGATATTTTTAACTACACGTAAGTTCTCCAGACATTTACAAGGTTCTTCCAACTTCATTGACTGACCACGTTATCACAGTGACGGCCTGAACTGGCGTCCTAGGCCTTTCAAGGTGAATTTCACGCCGCGGACCGAAGAGATTCGAGACACAATTGCTAGAGAAGGCGAAAAGGCGTTACAAGATCTAGCTCCGTTTGAAGGAGAGACGAAGTATCAATTCAGCACTTTCTACACTTAGTTGATAGCGCAAGTAAATGCGAAATCGACTTAGTATAGCAACTCCCATTGGCTCAAGCCATAATGATCAGTAATTGAATGGTAATGTACGAGCCTTTATAATAGACTATTCATTAGGCTATGTAACAAACTAAGTATTGTACAGCTGCTATACGCCACCAGTCAAGATTAGACGATCTGAGTTGAAGACACGCCTGAGATATCACGTATGCACACGAATACAAGCGTACTTCATTGAAAAAACGGTTAATGGCCTTTCATAGTCTTAGGTAAATTGCAATCTTAAGAATGGGTACACGAGCACAGCAATAAGTATCCATGCCATTCTGAGCACACAGTATTCGTACCCCAAGGATGCTCTGATAAATGGACTGTTGGCGAAGGACGCCGCACGATTCATGTATTTATTCCAAACAAAAGTGTCCGCATAAATACCGATCGCATAAGGCCCGGCATATTGCACTGCTACAGGATCCTGTGCCTATCGCTCCCCCACGCCAAAGGAATTTAGGAGTCTAGGATGGTTTTTGAAGGATTTGCCATCCTGGCCATGAAGCCATAGTTGCAGGTATGGGTGGGGTTGGTAATACGAAACGCGCCTCTGCCGGGAAATGGACCATTGATCCCCCCAGCCGTCCGCCTTTGTTGAGTACCTCGTATTCTAGACGCCTTACCCACTTGTCGTATCAACCCGCTTACCGCGCCGAAGCCGACTCCCGCTAGTTATTTTTCCCCTTGTCTAGCCTGTATGTAGATATCCCACTAACAATCGTGACTGGGGCAGCCAATGCAGAACAGAACAAAGCGAGGCTTCTCAGTACACATTAATTTGTGGCAAGATCGAGCATGGTTCTCTTTCCGTCAATTAAGTCCGAGTCTGTGGCGGCCTCGAGTTCTTCCCGAGTCTGCAATTGCTGTCAGATAACGCACGTTTTATAAGTACCGCGCTTGGCAACTGGCGACTGTTTGTTTTATTAAAGTCTGCATGCCTGCAGGTCTGGGCAGTCTACAAGGCGTTCGTTGACTCTGCAAATATCTTACTCTTTCTTGTACAGCTTGGAAAGGCTCTACATTTGGTTGCGACTCATACTATCACCGCAGCCATGTCGTCGTCTTCCTCTACCGTGGGCCCTACCAAGGAAAGTTCACTTTGGTCGAACAAGAAATGTCTTGCCATCTGCAGCGTGGTGATGATTGCCAACATGCAGTATGGCATTGACACAGCAGCCGTTGGTGGTCTACAGGCCATGCCTGGCTTTCTCAAAGTGTATGGATATGAAGATCCTACCAGCATTTTTGGCTACGGAATCGATGTAAGTTTATTCTCCAGCGCAACAATGAAAAGACTACGATTCTAACTGTCCAAAAGAGTACCGTACAGCAGTTGATGACTTCTCTGATGAGCTTGGGAAGTTTCCTATCTGCGATATTCGCCGGAGTCTTCGCATCATACTTTGGTCGTAGGATTGGACTCTGGTCTGCGTGTGCTCTCAACTTTGTCGCTGTTGCGGTGCTGGTCGCCACAACTTCTAAAAGCGCTCTATATGTCGGACGCCTATTCCTTGGTCTTGCCAATGGGTTTCTCGTCACATTTTCCAATGTCTACACTGCAGAAGCGGCACCTGCAAACCTAAGAGGGTGAGTTGAAATTGTAATACCAGCTGGAAATGCCTTTAACAATCTTCAGTGTCATGGTCGCTCTTTTCGCATATGCTGTCAATTTTGGCTCTATCCTTGGATCCTTGATTGATAACTATACAAAGAACCGTATGGACCTCCTATCCTTTCGCATTCCCCTAGCATGCCTCTTCATTGTTCCCACACTCCTCACGGTTGGCCTATTCTTCGTCCCGGAGAGCCCACGTTGGCTTTTGGTTCAGGGTCGTGAGGAAGATGCACGCAAGTCCCTCGAATCACTTCGAGTTGCCCGGGGTGAGGAATTCGATCTCGAGTGGGTTGAAATGGTCAAGGGTGTCGAAGAAGAGAAGCGTATTGCCAGGGCTACACCCATACTCGACATGTTCCGCGGTCACGATCTTCGCCGAACGTTGCTTTGCTATGGTACTATCGCTGCTCAGACAGCATCTGGTGTGTGGTTCTTCATCGGCTATCAGACATACTTCTTCGCTATCGCTGGAATCACCAAAGCTTTTGAATACTCCATCATGAACGCCTGCATCGGCTTCTTCGGTGTACACTGCGGCATGTGGGCAATGAAGGCTCTCGTCGGACGTCGCTTCATCCTGATCTTTGGGGCCATTACATGCGCATTGTGTATGTTGGCTTGCGGTATTGCCGCCTCAGTGAATGCTACTGCTCCCTCAACCGGTACCGTTCTTGTAGCTTTCACCGCACTGTTCATGTTCTTCTACGATGCCTGCGTCGGTGCAGTCAGCTATCCCGTCGCGACTGAGGTTGTCAGCTCCCGCCTCCGTACCTACACCATCGGGACCGCGACTGCGCTGGGCAACTTCCTCGCATGGCTGACCGGATTCTGCTCTCCATACTTCATCAATCCTCAGGACTTGAACTGGGTAAGTGTTCGCCGTTTCACCATACAAATATATCTTGCTAATCATTCCCACAGGGCCCGAAGTACACCTACATATGGGCTGCATCAAACGCTCTCTGCATCGTGTTTTTCTACTTCTTTATCCCTGAAATGAAAGGTCGTTCTCTCGAGGAGATCGACGAGCTCTTCGAGGCTGGGATTGGCGCTAGGAAGTTCACTGAGTACAAGTGCAAGATCACGGAAGAAGTCAGGCAGGAGGTTCAACAGAATCATGTTAGCGTCCAGGTTGGCAAGTCTGATGTCTAATGGTATCAATGCCTGTCCTAAGTACGGCTAGTAAATGATAGATGTAGATACGTACGGAAATTTTGAAGTGGATATGCTCTCTGAGATTAATTATCATTTCATGCACAGAACTCATGGGCCTTGACGGCCTAACAAAACGCATGATCTGTGCCACCATGTTTTTACAATTCGAATTTATCCACTCTTCAATCCCAACTTGAACGAGGTTTTTGAGAGTGATGGGAGATTATCGTTTTATTCATTCTTGATAGAAAATTCTGCATGATTTGCTATCGCCTCTTACTGCAGGTATAAGCGTACAGAGACGAGCGACAACACATCACAACTCGATCAATGTTGAAAATTTATTCGGCGTAGGCGAAAAGCAGACAAGGCTTGAGATACGACGCCAAACCTTCTATCTCAAGGTCCTAGAACAGGTCTTCAGCATAACATATATCTATTTTGGCGAATAATAAACCGAAGTAATCCCTGCGGGTTATTCCATGTCCGGAGAAGCTACATATCTTCTTCCACTCATGGTGAAACTATCGTGTGAATAGGCAAGAAGGGAAGATCGTTGCCAGATGTCGCTCAACCGTGCGCATACCATACACTTTAAACTTTCGTAACAGACCAGATGCTAGCCTTCCACGTCTCGGTTAGAGACGCGTGATTGTGATCGACACACTGTATGTTGGATGTTGCCAGAGACGGTTACTCTGAAACTATTTGTGAGATATTTCTTCCAATAGATAGGTGTATAATACGCGGGGAACAGATGTGAGATTGATTGGAGATCAGACATATGTGACATTTTCGATGTCGATATCGAGAGGTATGCGTGATATATGAAAGGGTAAAACTATAACTCGACGTGAAGAAATTAAAAAATCTCGTTCGCTGACCTGAACGTCAAGGCGATGCTACCCCGCCTGTATTGACAATGGGCGATGACTGAGTCGAAGTTCAGCTTTAGCAATAGATCGACTTGAGAAATCTCGTGGTTCATGCGAATACCGGTCCGACTAGCTGTATTAGTATTTATTTGTACCTTGAACGCTATGCTTGCTCTACGATTGATTGATGAAAGCTCTTGATTTAGATGCAACAGTAATTGTCTGATTGAAACCGTCACGCAGATTGGAATTTTAATTTATGCTCGCATGGACTTGTAATACAGTGAATACCACTCGAAAAATGTCAATTTGGTCATGTGTAGCAAGCAAATGGCGTATGATTCTCAAGCGGAGTGAATGCGAATGAACGCTTATTTGGCCTCATAGTTTGTTAAACTGTCCTAGGGAAACATGATAGTTTCGTCAGCGGGTTAATCTATCATAAATCTACTCCTTCAGGGTGAATTAGCGGAAAGGCATTGTCAATTGTCCGATTCGCAAGGGAATACTACCATATTTTTGATTTCTGGAGAATTGCTAGGCGCCGTTGTTAAACCCGCTCCGCGACTGGAGAACAGAGACGTTATGAACGATCTGCCACCATACTGTTAATAAATTCAAAGACTTTTTTCTTTCATTATATCATGACTGAAACACTCATCTTCTAGCTTAATATTTGTAGTAGAATGGGATACAGTAATGTACTTACCTCGTAGCATGCCGATTGCTGATTAGCATATCGCGACCTCTGATTGGCTCGGTCCGCCCAGCACAGTACTCATTCACGCAAAAAAAACCACATGGACTAACGAAAGGCTCGGACAACGAACAGCGCCACTAGAATAATCATACATTTGAACGTTGTCAGATGCCACGCAGTTGGAAAAATCGAGGCCAAATCATGTCACGACTTGAGAAACAGCTTGTCCGTAAGCTGGGTATGTTGGAACGAATGAGACATCTGCTTTGGACAATATACTAATTTTGGAATTAGATTGCTTTGTGCTGGTAAGAATGCCTGCTTGGTACATATAATGCCATGCGAATAACGAATAATGGGAACTAGGTCTATTGTTGTGCAGCGTATTTCTTCAATTATCTTGGTAAGTAACTTGCTTTAGTTCACATTGCCTCAACAGGAGTGTCGCTCATTTCAATATCAGATCGGTCGGCGTTCGCCAATGCATATGTACGTCTCTTGACGAGATTGCATTATGGCGTAAGATCTGATTGTTTACAAACAGGTTTCTGGTCTCAAAGAATCCCTGGGGTTACATGGTAATCAATACAGCATCCTATTGTCCATGTTTACTGCCGGGTAAGTCGATCGCCCCCCCTTTGTGCCATGTTACATTTACTGATGCCAGACATTGCAGCAACGTAGTCGGCCAAATACCGCATGCTTTAATCATTCAAAAGATCTCTCCGCGAATATGGCTTCCGACCACATTGATAACATGGTCCATTTTGACTATGTGCTCTGCAGCCTGTAAAACCTACGCTCAACTATGCGCAGTAAGATTCTTACAAGGATTGATGGAGTCAAGTTTGTACAGTGGCACGATATATGTGCTCGGATCGTGGTAGTAAGTCGGCGCTTGTCGAGATTTGTGTGATTCAATCGCTATTGATACTAATCATCACCATAGTAAGCCTAGTGAGATCGCAAAACGGACGGCGATTTTCACTGCCGTTGGCCAGGTTGGCAGCATGTTCGCAGGTATCATGATGACTGCGATGAATGAGAGCCTTCATGAGCGGAAATCCCTAGAAGGATGGCAGTGGGTATTCATAATTGGTAGGATTGCTGAAACGGTTATCGTTAGAAAAGGTATTGACATCCCTAGATGGAGCTATGGGAATACCATTTGGAATATTCGGTTTGGTATGATTATTGATATGTGATCACATCTGTATTTACACTGACCTTAAATCAGCTCTTCTTCCCGAGCCTACCAGAGTCGGGCAAAGTTGCACCATACCTGAGTAAAGAGGAAATCCAACTAGCTCTTGATCGTCTACCACCCCGCCGCGAAGACGGACATAGCATCAACCTGCGAGCTCTTTCTCGCCGGCTGTTCTGTTCACCAAACATGTACAATTGCTTCCAATTGCCCTTCTCACTGTAATACGGCCAATCTGACAAGGTTCTTAGTTACATCTTAACTCTTTACTCAATGATAGGGTGCGCCCTTGAAGCATACGTCGTACAATCCCTTTTCATTCTCTACCTCAAATTTAACGCCTCATCCTTTCCCTCCCACGCCACCACAACCTACCCCTTAGGCATCCAAGCCGTAGCAATCGTGTCCAACATCGGCGCCGGATACGTAATCGACATGACGAACCGACGAATCCCCATGGCAATTCTCGCCTCAATTCTGCAGCTCACAGTCGCACTTATGCTTCTCATCCCTACGCTCCCCACCACCGCCACATTCGTCGCGTTTTACCTTAGCGGGACTTCGTACATTGTGAATCCCATTCTGTACGGCTGGGCAAGTATCATATGCCAGCGGACAGGCGACGACGCGACAAGGAGTGTCATATTGTACGTTATGAGCATGAGCCAGGCCATCTTGTATACGTTCTGGGGTATCGCTTTATATCCTGCCGACGACGCGCCCTATTGGAAGAAAGGCGGTATCGCTATGGTTGTGGTCGTTTTTGCGTTTTTGGGGGCCACTTGGGCGATGGAGTGGCTTGATAGGAGGTCTTTGAGCGAGGAGAGGGAACGGGGAGCTGAGGCGAGAGGTTTGGATGTGGTTGAGAAGATGGATTAACGATTGTATGTTGGGATTTTTGTGGTTGGAGTGTAAAAAGGTTGATTGCATATTTATAATAGGGATATTGTCAACCCTTTCCACTAAGCCGTCCACCACTCCTCATGATAACCCCTCAAATCGACGCCCTTCCCCAGCGCATCAGCCTGTAACCACGGTGTCAAATCCACATTGTCCGTTCCTCCCTCTGCGGCGAGAACGTCCTTCGTCGTCCATCCATTTCCAAACCACCCGAACCTATTTCCCTGACGATTTAAATACGTATACTCGAAGTCCTCCCATCGAGGGTTCCGCCTGATAAGGTTCACGTGGCTCGCGCTGCCCGGCCAGAGCCCATGGATCCTACCGCCTTTGATCCCTCCATTGTACCACGAACTACAGTACTGGCTCATCACGGTTTTGGGGAAGAAAGATTCGCAATACGCCCTGAAGTCCCGGACTGCGGCCTCCGTGGGTGCGATGCTGCGGATGCCTTCTCGTGACACTTTTCGCAGCACTTGTGCGGCATAGGCGATTTGGTTTTCGACGGAATGGCAGAGAGTTCCTGCGGGACCGGTCGCGTTGGGGCCTAGGAATATGAGGAAGTTGGGGAAGCCGGCGGCTGCAGTGCTGAGGTAGGAATCTGGGAAGCCAGGGTTGCCGCCCGGGCGCCAGGCGGTTTGGAGATTGACACCTCTAGAAATCACGGGGAAGGCAGTGCTGAATGATATGTCGTGGCCGGTACTACATATAACTGCGTCAACTTCGCGGTGGGTACCTGTTGGGGTTCAGTCAGTCATTTAGAGCTGTTGAGGTGATGGGAGACTTTATACCATCTTTGGTGACGATTCCTGTCTTGGTAAATCGCTCAATGGGTGTACTGATGTATTCAACATTGTTTGCAGTCAATGCTTCGAGATATCCAGGCCCCGGGGTCAATCGTCTGCAATTCGGCGCAAAGTCTGGCAATATCTCGCTCAGCAGATCATTACGATCACCTAACCGTGTGGCCATGAGCTTGGTGATGGACTCGCGTGCTTCGTTGTTCTTCGTGCCGTCCTTGAAGATGCCACCGAACCGGCTGAAAAGCTGCGACTCGAGATCTTTGCGGAATTTGAGATATTCTTCGGGGCTTTCTCGCGCTCTTTCGATCCTGTCTGAAACAAAAGTCTCTAGGCTTTCCCCACCAATAGGAGCGGCAACCCAGGTTTTGTTCCGTGCGTAATGATCAATCCGTGCTGCTTTCTTCTGAAGCTGCGGAAGAACTTGGAGTCCGGAGGCTCCGTTACTGGGAATTCGTCAGCCTTAAGATTGCTCCAAGATGCCGTGCTCTCTACTCACCCGATGACCGCAATGCGTTTCCCCGTAGGATCAAAATTCGGATCATAGTTGGAGCTATGCCGAAGATGTCCCTTATACTCCGACTGACCAGGATAGTTGGGTAATCTAGGATCGCTGAAATGTCCAGTCGCCGTGATGAGAAAGTCTCCCTCATCTGTAAAGACTCTGCCATTCGCCTCCACTTGGACTACCCATTTGCCTTTGTTTTCTGACCAGCGTGCTTCTTGCACTTTATGGTTGAACTTTATGTATCTTTCCACATCGTACTTCTCGGCCACGCCTTTCCAGTACGATTTTATCTCAGCACCTGCAGCGTACGCTGTACTCCAAGATGTAGATGGCTCAAATGTGGCTTGGTATGCATGAGCTGGCACGTCGCATCGCACGCCAGGATAGACGTTTGTATGCCATACACCACCCTATTTAATCAGTCAACTCCCTAGATTAAGGAAACATAGTCTGACTTACAACATCAGACTCTCGTTCATAAATGGCCAGATCAATTTTTGGCACTTTTGGAGGTAAAAGCACACCCGCTGAAATCCCCGTCACCCCCGCACCGACAACTATAACCCTCAACGACCGCACATCATCGATAGGATGATCTTCTAACTCGAACGGTGGAAAAATTGTTCTTGTCTCAGGAAATTTGAACTCTGATTCAATACTAGAAGCTTCTATGCTTTCCTCGATAGCAATGGTAGGAGCGGCGGTCTCTGAGGGTGCCAATTGATCGCGAATGGCCTCTAGGCGCGAGCGTGCCATTTTCCTGACTTTTGTTAAATGGAATAGGAATAATTATTAATGCCGATCGATGAAAGGAGGGTCCTCCCCAGAGATATTATTGTACTCGGGAATTGAATGACTCGACAGCGCCTCCATCGTAGCTGGTGTCGTTGTCAGGACCGCAAGATGTCGCCATTGTGGATCTTTCCATTGACATCGTTATAGTTGCCGATGTTCGCTTTGCTTGATTTGTATGGATGGATATCCTGCTGTCACGCCATGTGTCTCCAAGATAGCCTACATTTTATAATTGTCGGCTTTAAGCGTCAGGACGGTATCGGATAATGTGTTTGTTGCGGTGTTTCTAGCTTCTCATTGGCATGGCTGGGAGTGTGGGTTGGGGATGCAAGGTTCCGTTCCGAGCACGTCACCTTGGGATTTGGTAACGTCAATTTTAAGGCGACATAGGCGCATGATTGAGAGGGGCAAGGATCACGATAGCATTTCCAGCTACCGAACATGCCGGATTCAATACGCACGTATACTTATTTCCGGACGTTATTGTAGATTTCCAAAACTCAGTGGGGTCAAGTAGGTTGCGCCATCTTCATCGTAGAGCTTGCGGTAGTCGGATTGGCAGTTCCGAGTGCATTCCGATTATTAGTTCCTCAAGGCTGTACACCTTCTTGCCACTCTCTTTTGAACATCCTAAACCGAAGACAAACCGAAATGGCCTCCAAAACAAAGCAAAGGGTCGTAAATGACAGCAAGAAGCGCATCATTATCAATGGCTTTGACATGTTCACACCCAATCACCTGAGCTTCGGGCAATGGCGTCGCAAGGGAGATCGCTCCAAGGACAAACGTCGAGACCTCACGTACTGGACTGATGTCGCTCAGATCCTCGAACGGGGCGATGTGACATCTTTATTCCTCGCCGACACCTTTGGGCAGCACGACACGTACAAAAGGAGTGCAGAGCCGGCGGTCAGAACAGCTTGCCAATTTCCCATGGGTGATCCAGCTGTCGTATGTTTGTTACCGGGCAGCTCGTACATTGGAGCTGTTTTCAAATACTAACGAGTGTGGATAGGTCGTTAGTGCGATGGCAGCAGTTACCAAGAATCTAGCATTTGCAATTACGACAAGTACAAGTTTTGAGTCGCCTTTCGTGGTTGCAAAGAGATTCACTACTCTAGATCATCTGACAAATGGACGGTAGGCAAGCTTTGATAGATAGTTGATGTCTCGATCGGAAATTGAGAATGTATAGATTCGGTTGGAACATTGTGACCTCGTTCAAGGAGTCGGCCTATGAATCTGTAAGTGCAGTCTAGTGATCGTTGCGTCGATTGCTTACGAAGGATCAGATAGGCATCAAGTTCGTCGAGCACGACAAGCGCTATGAACGAGCAGATGATTATCTCCGTTGTCTTTACAAGCACGTCTCCACCCTCTGAAAGGCGTCTGATGAACCTTACTGACCAAGCTACAAGGATTTGGGAAAGCTCATGGGCAGACGATGCTTTGAAAGAAGATGCGGAGAACGAAATTTACGCCGATTTTAATCGCATACGGCCTATCAGACACAAATCGGAAGTCCTTGACATCAAAGGTCCTCACATCCTGGATCCTTCGCCGCAGCGGACACCTTTTCTGTTCCAAGCAGGAACTTCCTCGTAGGAAAACACAAAACACTGCGTACGCGCAAAGAATGACTAACGATGATTGCAGTGCCGGCATGACTTTCGCCGCGACTCATGCCGAAGGCGTCTTTGTATCTGCCCCCTCGCCACATATCTTGGCCCCGCGCGTCGCAAACATTCGCGCAACAGCCGCAGCTCTCGGGCGAGATCCCCAGAGCATCAAAATTTTTGCCGTGATCACTCCAATCATAGGGCGCACGGAAGAGGAAGCCCAGGCAAAATACCAAGAAGCACTGAACTACACGAGCACGGAAGGGGGTCTCACGTTCTACAGTGGAAACGCGGGCATTGACCTCAGCCAATATGATTTGGACAAAGTCATCACTCCCGAGGACGTCACGGTTGACGGGCGAATCCATTCACTAGTAAATAGTTTGAAGTATCATGGAAACGATTTACCCGCATGGACTCCTAGGAATATCGGCAAGTTGATCAGTATTGGAGGAAATGGTCCTGTGCCTGTGGGCAGTGTTGAGCGCGTTGCAGATATCTTCGAGGAGTGGATGGACGTCGCGGATCTGGATGGGTTTAATGTTGGGTACGTCACTACGCCGGGAAGCTTCGAAGATTTGGTGGATCTACTCATCCCCGAGCTACGGAGACGTGGAAGGTATGCTCCCAAAGGCGAGCCTGTGACTTTGCGTGAGAAGGTATTCGGAAAGGGACAAAGTCGATTGCGAGATGATCACGTAGGAAGCAAGTACAAGTATGAGAACTATGTAGAGGAGGATGCTTGAAAGGTTTAGTAATACATCGAGATGCGTGGACATTGGGACGAAATGGTATGAGGACCTCTCTCCAAAATGCAGACCAAGTGGCTTTTGCTTCAACCCGCTTGCTCCATGTATAGATCATACGTGCCCATATGTGACGCGACCGGTTCACTTCTATAGATCCACCGACTGCTCACTGTATCCTCCAGTGCACTCGTACGTCTCATATCACTCATCTCAGGAGCAACCTGAAATGCAATAGGCCTTAAGACCTGCGCCACCGCCATGGGACCTCCAGTCGGAACCACAACGTTGCGCGCGACTATGACTGCGGCAACTTCGAGCGTTAATTGTGCCATGGTCAACATCCCCAGAATTACGCCGATATAGTCCCAATGGTCCACGTTAAGCGTACTGCCTCTTTTTGGAGCAATACCCTCTATTACCAGCTCGTCGTTATTTTCCGCAGTCACAGCTACGACACCTATGGCAAAATACGCCATGAGCATTTCCATAAGACTCGTAGTGCCTACACAAGGAGATCCGAAGATTGTTTCGGCAGGATACGTGTGGTACTGGATCATTCTATCATTCACCAATGACGACACTTCGAAACCTTGCAAGGCTATAGCGGCGGCTGCGGCACTCCTTACATCATCGCCGACTTCGTGTTCGGGGCGCGTCGCACCCACGACAGTGCCGACGGTGATGTTGCATTCGTAGTACCAGGATGATGCGTTGGCCGCCTCGAAGGCAAATACAGTTCGGCAGCCGGGCCCACAACTTTCGGACACGTTGGTCATGAACGTCGTTTGATCAACTCCTCCATGTATTGGAATAGAAATGTTCTTCCGTCCGGGATTGGTGGCTATGGTAATATTGTCTTTTGTGCCGTCGCCGCCTTCGATGACAGTCCAGCTTTTGCAGGTGCCGGTGGAGTTTAGTCGGCGAGATGTAATTACGGTGAGGCTGATTACATCGTCTTTTTCAACTGATGGGGCTGGAGCGTTCTTTTCATGGAAAAAGTATTCGCACTGGTCAACGCCACAGTATACTAGGGGGTTTGAAGGAGACCATAGTTGACCTTCTTGTGGAAGATCATCTGGAGTTCCGGTCCCGTATATGAGAGACGTCTGGCCATAGCTTGAGGCGCGAAAGACCATTAGTCAGTCTGTAATATTAAATGGAAATGTTGTACCCAAGTGTTCTTCTTACCTGTTTGCGGTAAAGTATACCGCATCTGTTGAAGTCGAATTTGAAGTCGACTTTACTGTTTTCAAAGTTTGTATGCTAGACATATCCGGTATAGATACGTTGCCTGGGTTAGTGAGAAGCGCTGATTTGTCTGCTACGTTGACAGAATAACATAGACCTATTGTAGCAAGACATGCTTGGATTCCCTAGTATCAGTCAATGAAGTGCACATATGGAACTGGCTCCAAACGATTCGACTCACGAGCATGAACGTTAGCCAGAACAAAGCAGTTAAGTGGACAGCTGTACGACGTGTCTTGAACGCAAGCACAATGACGTGCCAGAGACTGTCGGCTTGGAGAATTAAATCAATCTGTATACTTTGCATCAGAAAATCGACTGTCTCAGGTGTATGTAGCCGAGTGCGTGCGCACCTTACGAAAAGAGTGATAACGGCGACTAAGAATCCACCATCTCAGGTTCGCTATCATAAGACTAAAGCTCATAGCTATTGAAAGGCCCAGAGCGATCGAGAGACCGGTAATCAAAGCATTGAACTGGTGCTTCGTGGATGACGATATAATTGGCAAGGATGCAGAATAGAAGTTGAGCACAACTACGATCGCCATTGCAATAGCGACAGTGAGAAGCCATCTTAGAACAACGTTTGAAAGTGACTTTATCAGGCTTGATTTTGTCGCGCGTAGGCCACGGAAATGAATGCCAGTTTTCGGTTGCAGCATCGCAGTCATGTCTGTCAACTCTGTTTCATTTCTTCAGTTAGCAGAAGCTCTATCCAGGAGATCATGAACACACCAACGTAGGAATTGCCCGAACCTTGAGGCATCACTAATATTGACGAAGCCTTCTAGAAGTGAAAGGAGGATTGAGGCGCATGAGAGCGGTTAAACAAATCAACGGTGAACTAGCTGTGGCTGTGGCTGTTCATGTAGACAAAATAAATAGACTCCATGACTCCTTACCCACTCGCGGTCCCGCATACCGCTTTGAGCCTGAAACGCCGACGTTCTCTTTCAGCTTGTTTCGGGGCTGAATAGCCTCAAAATCGAATTATGATTTGGTTGATTGGTCAGTGTTTAGGAAATTGCTAGTATAATTGGCCCTTGCTTTAAGTCCATTGGTGCACCGTCGTGGTAAACCGCCGTAGTGGCCGTCTATCCGGACCGAGTCTCGACCATGGGCATGGTACAGCTACATAACAGCCTAAAACGAGACGGAGTGGGTCGTCATGCTGTTAGAAAAAAAATTGAGATTCATCTTCTTGCTTGATCTGACGTTTGACTTAGAAATCACGAGGCGGCTTTCCTGCAAAAATGAAGACTGCTGGCAACGTGAGCTCTGAAGGCAAATCGTTTAAATTCTTTGATAGAATAGTGAAGAGCGCAGCAACAACGCAAAACATTCTAAGCTGATACAAGCAATCAAAACAATTGAATTTACTAGTCTTTCATGTTGGAGCCATTGCTATACCTACTCAAATCTAATGACCAGTGATGTCAAAGCAGTCCTGGGACAATGTTATGTGCAGATTCTCAAGTAGACTGTTGTAAAAACAAAATTTGTATTCCTAACAATTGGTTTACTAGAAAGATATTCGTGAAAGTGCGATAACATTGGTAATCACTTGTGTCAGCTTCATGTTGCTGAACAATGCGTCGGTGATTATTCTGCAATTTTCACAGAAACAATGTTTCTGTGTTGCATCAACGTCGAACGACACCAAACATATCTTTCTTGAAGAATGTAAGAGTCATCTTTCTTCACGAATAACTGCCCAGTACAAAGTATGTTACAGTAAATCCGGTATTCATTACAGTATTTCGTACCATGTGATTATACTACGTCTGCCTGACCTTTTGTCGACTAGTCCGGCCTGATAGAACAATGCGACAGTGTCCAGTTAATACACAATGCAGGTAAACATCTACACACAGTTCTAAAACCTTAAATTCATGTATTACTCGTGCACAATTCAATGGTGTACCTACATTCACTCTTCATCATCTGAAATGTTCACCACCAATATGGGGGACATAGTAGGTACATGAGCACTACAAATTTCCCCACGATGACTACTTTATCTACGGTATTGATACAAACAACACTGCACCAGTCTTCTATCAACTCACTTGATCGACCGCTACTCACTTTGACTAATGTTTCAACCTTCACCTCGAAAGCATTGCCACGACATCCAACATGGTTCGCCCTTCAACAAGTACATCAACCCCAAATCGGGCCTCCTCAAGCCAACTTTCACGGCTGCCAAAGTTTGTCGAGGACTTTTCGAATTCGACGACGACTTACCATCCTGGAACTCGCCTACCATCTCATGTTCCAACGTGGACACTGCCACGGCCTCGGACATCCGATCCATTAGAGTCCGCACCACGCCCCGGCCTCACTAAAGCTCAGCGTTCGAACACATCAAAGTCGAAACACTCCCTGGGCGAATCTCTCAAAAATGCCGGCATGAAAGTCATCGCCGGATTAACGAAGGACGTCTACCGAGAAGCGCAGCCAGAACACCACACAGATGGCGAGACCGCGAGAGAGTTCCGCAGCGCGATAGTGAAGATCGACCAGCAAATAACGCCCAAAAATCCCCAAAAGATACTTGTTAGCGAGACTGAAGAGGTTTATACCTTATATTACCCATATGAAGGGCTTTGTCGTTTGAAAGAAGGCTTGCGCCGCTATAACTTCTCTAGGTGCGTTTGTCCTGCTTATGATTCTACTGGTCGCTGCAAACATGTTCCCTTCTGAATACGTGACAAAACGGAACAATATTCAATTGGTACAGAATTCGTGGTTTAAGTAGACAATGCCGTTACCTATTGAACATCACTACATGCGCCCATTAGGAATAATTCCGATGACTGTGAATATTCTTGGACATGCCGGACCATATGTCTTAAGGGTCTACGGATGTTTGTATATGTTCTATAATATTTTGTAACCATAAAAAACAAAGATAAAGAAGAAAAAGGTACTATCTACAAAAAACAACATGAGATAATGATGTAAAAAATCAAATAACGTCGAAAACTACGAACACAGTTCATCAACCAATCTCTCTATTCTTACTATTGGGAGTTCGATACGAGTCAGGGAAAGTCATTTTAAAGCATTAAGAATGATCAGAATGATCATATTACAATAACATGATAACATATTCATAAGATAACTATGATGTCATTTCAATTTAGAGATGTCATTCTGAGAGCCTGGGGAAAGCCTCCATACACCAATCTTCTAGGCATCGTATGTCCCCCCGAAGAATTAGCGCCTGCCCCCCCGAAAATCAGCGCCTACCCCCTAAAAATCAGCGCCTACCTCCCAAAAAATCAGCGCCTACCCCCCCGAAAATTAGAGCCTATCAGCAGCCAATCAGCAGCCAATCAGCAGCCAGTGCCTTGGTGATTTCTTGGCAACTACTTGCTCCAAAATCCTTACTTTTATACCCTTCTACTGTATAACAGAGAGAGGTCTATATACATAATAAGCCTGTCATAATATAGTACTGTACGTTTCCTGTAATTTGACATATTTCTTTATTCCCTAAGACCTCTATTCGTGGTATTATAGGTGGTTGAAAAATACCAAAATCTGACTCAAATTTCGGCTGAGGTTTTGTCCCGACACTATGCATCAGTCCACCGTAATAGTACTCCTATATTAGCAAACGCCCTAGGACTAATCTGTTATCTAAACAATAACGCCCGTAACACTCTGCTATACGACATAGAACTGACACAAAATAGTTTAAAGATTGCTTGTGCAATTAATCATCTGCAATAAATTCATGTCTTTTATTGAATGAGTCATGTCCGCCATACCTGACGTTCCGACTTTCGTGCTCGCCTTTGTTGTATGACAAAGAATATGCTGCGGATGAGTTGCCGAACCTTTTACTGTATAAACTTGCGACTAGTTGTCTGCGGCTTTTGATAATGGGCTTTATACCCAGCGCTCTTTGAACACCGTGACGCCTCTTCACTGCCAAATCAATCATGTAAGTCTCTGACCCTATCATACCTAGAATATGGAACGGTATAGTGTTGCTAACGGAAAGGTTTTGTGTGCTTTTCTCACACACCCGTGAATAAAACTGTATTCTCTTTCTTCTCTGGATGCGCTGGTATGGCGGAATTGTCTTTCAAGTTGGTGCTAGAAGGAGTCAGGGTACTAAAAACCTAACAAAGACCTTGAAACTAGACGAAGAGTACTTAAGTGCAGTGCAGATGAACTCGTAGATGGTAGTAGAAAGTTGCAACTATCATATAGTGCTCAAGAGGAATCTCTTTCCCCGATGTCTACATCTAAGAACATGAAGGAAGCGCGCTCGCTAGACCCACGTTACGTTATAGTCGACTGGGAGGCACGTCGATTCGTGATACCCCAGGATCAACCTGACCAAGCCAAGATTGACTCGCCTGACTGCCCGGAAGACAACGACGAGGGGTTTCTACATGATACACCTACATCATCTGTATTTGCAGTATTTGATGGAGAGAGCTCATTTCGTTCAAAACATGCGAGGTGGCCCCGAAGGGTGTCTAGCTGGTGGTCCCGAAGGGGTGTCTAGCTGGTTGCCCTCGTCAAAACATCTCTCAAGACTGAGTGGATGAAGCAAGATTAGTTATCGTACGTGTACGAGTTCAAATGTTATAGTCATGGCTGGCATGATTATCATCAATTGAATGTGCAGACTGCTTAACTTGTGTCCTGTTCACCATGTTCCCTATTGTAGTTCTGCTCCGCTACTCTGCGTGTAGGAATGTCTGCATACTACAAACAAAAGAAGACGAAGGAGAACGCCAATCTGCTCGCCAAACAGCGGGAAAAAAACCTCTCGCTCGCCTCAACCACCTATCGGTCTTGTCATGCGCTCCAATTCCTGCCCTCTTCAGCACATCTTACTGCTAGGCCGGCTATGTTGGCAGTTCAAACGTCCTGAAAGTTGATCATGATGCGCGCCTAGGTTGGAATAGAATTTGCCCAAATCCGGAAGGCTTCGTCTCTCGGTTCCAATGTCAGAATTTCCACAGATTGGGCAATGTGCCTGAAGGCGATTTCGTCGCTTCTCGGAATGTGTCTAATCAGTACGTCGGGCATACGCGGATATCAATGCTCCACCTGCACAAGGCCATGCTCGTCAATGTAGATGATTGAATTGTCATATTGGCTGCAGTCTACGAGTAGACCTCGAGTCACCAAGCCATGCATGTACGCGTGCTGCTTCATCCATCAGGCAGGTTTATATTCTGCATTGTAATAATTGTTTCTCTGATTGGCGATTCCGAACGAATGACGAAAAGGAGACTAATGATTCTCTCCACACCCACCCCACCGCCGCTATCGGATTTTCCCTACGTCCCGTATTGTTCTTTTCTAAAACGCGCATATCCGAACACCTGGATGTCGCGATTCACACTATATTGTCATGCTTGAAGGGATTCGAACTCGTCTTGGCTAGCCGGCAATTAAAATTGGCAGACGCGGAACTGACTGGATAAGTAAGATATTTTCAAGCTCCACGAGTCAAGCGATTGAATAAGCCGTAACGCAGGAGAAATAAAAACCTCAGTAAGATCCCAACATATAGGTACTGTCTTGTTGTATTCTCCTGCCAAGGACCCCAATCGTCGAGAACTATCGCCTATCATGGCGACCGAGCCGACAGAGTCTAAGACCGCAACCGTACTCACAGAACCAGTTAAGCAATCGACATTCGGTTCAACAGATCCTCATCCTGAGAATCTCCCACCTCTGACCAAGTGGGAGAAGTTTCTCGAGATAATTTGGGATGGCGGGCGCCGAACGAAAGAGGAGCGCAAGCTCGTACAACGACTCGACCTCCATGTTATGAGCTGGGCGACGTTCGGATACTTTATTCGTCTCCTTGATTCCACGAACATCAACAATGCGTATGTCAGTGGCATGAAGGAGGACTTGAATTTCAAGGGGAGACAATACAATTTGCTCGCGACGTTCTTCACCTGTGGGTATTTGGTCGGCCAGATTCCTAGTCAGTTTATTCTGACCAAAGGTAATATTCCAATCTTGAAGCGAACCGCACATTGATGGAATGCTCATTTCTCCTAGTTCGACCGTCTGTTTATCTGCCCACAGTAGAATTACTATGGACAATCTTGACGTTCTGCTTCGCCGCAGTTCCAAACGTCAAGACAGTTTTCGCGCTTCGCTTCATCCTAGGCATGCTAGAAGCACCGTTCGCAGTGGGTGTATTGACTTTGATGGGATCCTGGTACACACCCCGCGAGCTCAGCAAGCGCATTGCGATATTCTACTCCGCCTCCTATGCCGCTTCCATGTTCTCCGGTTACCTGCAAGCGGCCATTTATCGTGGCATGAATGGCACCGCAGGACTGCCGGGTTGGCGCTGGTTGTTCATTTTCTGTGGCATCATCAGCATTTGGGGTCCTCTTTGGGGGTACTACGCTGTCCCCGATAACCCATATACCTCTCGCGCGAGATGGATGAGGAACGAGGAGCTGGCCTCGCATCGCCGGAGAATGGAGAAGATCGATCGGAGGAAGCCCGTGCCTTTGAGCTGGGCGAAGTTGAAGAAAATCGTCACCCACTGGCCACTCTATGCGTTCACCTTCACGCTCATGTAAGTTATCGCCCATGACGATCTACCAGCAAAAGCCTTACAGAAGATCACAGATGCCACTGTGTGGTGACGCAACCCCTAAACTACTTCCCCGTATGGCTGAAGTCCCTCAACCGCTTCACGGTATATCAAATCAATCTCTTCCCCACCGCAGCGCAAGCTGTTGGCCTTGTGACCACGCTGCTATACGGCTGGCTATCTGACGGCCTTTCTCGCCGTTGGCAGATCATGCTAATCCCCTGTGCCTTCAACTTCATCGGCATGGTAGTCGTCGTGGCGTCTCCCAACTTCGGCGCCACCTTTTTCGGATACTTGATCAATGCTGCGAGTTGGGGTTTCTGGCCCGTGTGCTATGCGTGGATGATCGAGATCCTGCACGAGGATATGGAAGAGAGGGCAATCGTGATTGGAGTTGCACAGACGTTCGGGCAGGCGTTCATCGCGTGGGTACCTCTTCTGATCTTGGATGTGGGAAAGTATGCTCCGAGATTTAAGATGGGATTTCAGGTTATGACGGGAGTAAGCGTCGGACAGACTCTTGCAGTGGGATTGGTTTGGTGGTTTGTGAGGTGGGAAACAAGAAGGAAAGGCGAGGCCAAGGTAGAGAACAGGAGCAGCGAAGCTGAAGAAGAGAGGGACAGTGAGGTCGGTCACCTAGACTGGAGAATTGGGGGAGTATAAAAGGACGAGGGCACCGTTCGAAAGATGATAAATATATTGACAAAGAATAACAGTAGAGCTAGCTATGAGTAATTAATTGAGGACAAGGACAAATCACAGAGTTATTAAGTTGACGTATGGGATCCTGTTAGATGATAAGGTCGTAGCAATGACAGGCATTGGCTGGAAAATTAGAATGGGATGAAGTCCTAATAGGTTCCGTATCGATATACACCTACAACGCCGACGCACAGAATGACGTGAAATCTTTTGCTCATTATGTTGGGATCAAGCCAGCGAAGCGACAGTTCGTCGTTGGATATGAGAAGAACCAAGACTGAGCAATTGCATTAATTTGACCAGGTCAGGAGCAAGAGGTCTGTCCCACTGGCCCTTCGGTCCCCATGTTATCCGCTTGTTCTGAACTTTTGCCTCGTTTATGACGCCTTGTAGGATCGGAGAAGACATCTGCAGTTCTGGCTCACCGTCCAATTCGACCCCGGTGAGCGACGGGGCTTGGGCAAAGAAATCCCGAACCAGTCCGACGCTGAAATCGGTGTAGAACTCAGGTGTGACCTGGAACTCTTCAAATGACGGGTGACTCGACGGGTCAAACCGTACGTATACCTTCAACGTCCGTAACTTTGTGCACGCTGATAGACCAAGTCGGTCACTGATTATCCATTCCACCGGCGGCCCCGTCCAACCCAACCCCAAATACAACTCCATCTTGGTTATATACGAGCGATAATGTTCGGGCAGGCGTGCAATCAAAGGCCTTTCGGTGTGAAAGAATCGACCGTGAATTGGCAGGACGCGAAACGTGTTTTGGCTGTAGAAAACGGGGGCCGCTTCGTCGTGCATGCGATGGGAAGCGAGAAATGGATGCAACAGAGGCGCAATGACACGGCTGTTCATGGGATCAAGGTCGAGAGTCCTTGGATGGATGAGCAGGTATTCGTACACGCGCAAACGTAATTCGTACGGTAGATCGAAGAAACGGAATGGGGCCTTCTTCACCCTCCTCCCTGGCCGCTCAGTTTTTAACGCCATGCTGTTCCTGGTTGACGACGGCGACAGCCTCCCTTCACAGCAAACATCACTGCCGTTTTATGGCACTTCATGCATCTATTGCGACGACCTAGTATTCGGTCAAGGTACTCGTTTGCGAAGGGTGTGAGTAGATGAAGGTATGTCTCGAAGCCACGGGACGACCGGTTCACTGAATCAGGACGGGCCGTTCTTGATAGCTAAGATTTTCAGTCTCCCCAGCTAATACAACTAGAAGACCATGTAGAGATAAGGTTTCCAAGTCAAATTTGTGGACTGGGTGTATCAAACTTTCTGAGGAGGAAAAGGAACAAGAGAATCGCGAACGAAAGGTTTTGTAGGAGCGAGGGATATGATTACTAAGCTCGGTCTTGGCATGCACGCATTGGCTTCCCTCTCATTGCCGAATTTCCATTCCATGATGTGATGATCTAGCTGAACCTGGCATGTCTGGATAACTACCTTGAGTATTACCATCAATCCTCATTCGTGGATCGACGTGTGAATGCATATCATCAAGCAAATAGGCGGCAAGACGTCCTCGTGTACCATGTCCTTCGATAACTATTTCAGCATGCAAGGTGCCGCGCCGATCATATGGATGCTATGCGCACGCGACCCCATTTACCCATGTTTCGGGTACTTAATCACTGACTCTATGTATTTGACCATTACACAGCAGAAATCATCGAGTCTTGGAACGGCGAGCCTTTTTTTTCCATTCCGCTCATTCATGTCACAGTGAGAACCATACCTAATCACATTGTAGCGGCAGCAAGTCATCGATTGCCTTTGTGCCTTCCACACCTACGCCAACACAGTGTAAACTGGGATAATGTTCTACCATCAGAAATGTACTGAAAGTGCATAGAAATCAAATTACAGAATGCGGGGTCTCCGCGTGTGTCACTATGGGATAATTGTTGTAATGGTTCCCGTTGACATTTCCAAGAGAATAGATTGCGGGGTTGGAATGCTTGCTTGAGGGGCAGCTACTGCAGGCAACAGGCAACACAACTGACGCATCAGAGGCCCTTAAGTTTCCGACGATTGGTAAACTGAAAATTTTGCACTTCGTAGAGACGGTATGGGTTCGATTTTCGCAGCCTAAGCATCGTTTTGCTGCGAAGGACCGATGGGAAGAGCAGATAGTCGTACCTTGATTATAGCTGCTTAGCAGGGAAGGAACTATACCTAAAGATAGTGTGGGGGTATAGATTCATTTGCTTCCCTATAATCATCTTACAGAAGTCCAAAGAAGACCGCCATGTTGCAGCAAGAAGGCGCATGATACAAGATTATCATGAAACGTATAGACGAGCTGTCTAGCCTGCATACACATTGGCCACCGTTATAAGAAATTAGAACCAGCATTATAACACACTGAATGGAATTGGTACCTCACCCCGCTGCTTCAATCAACGAGTGAAATCCCGCCAGTAGGTGTGACGGCAGTATGGAAGCATGAGGAATATGCTGGACTAATGTTGCATCAATACGATTCATGGATCTAGCAAATGCCCGCATATGTGCGCATGCATTCCATTGCGCGATACTACATCTACCATTCAAAACAAAACCAAAATAAGTGGAATGTCAAAGACACACAGTGTAATATGCCTAGAGATACAAGTATGAAGAAAAAAAAGGACATACTCATTTCGGCGAGGGTTGCTGCGCGATTGCTCGCTCGCGATCGTGACTTGGAACGACCAAAACTCTGTAAGTTCCTGACTCCTTTTTTTATCTTCATCTGACCCACCCCTTGGTCATCTCACATTTCGCAGATTACCCAATAGTTCTTCACAGATTCAAGGAACTGGAACGCCCAAGAAGATTGTAAGTATCCCTTCACGCATTCTTGCATTTACGGAACATGCCGTGGCTGAATGAGCTGAGTGCGCCTCTCCGCCAGGCTTGTGCAATGATTGGAGACGACAGCTTCAGCTGCCAGAACACAGCATTTGGAAGACGAGACCGCGTCCCAAAATACAATGGCCAAGCATTGAATATAATCCTCGGAGACTTATTTGTCCGCAAATACACTGTTCAGCGAAGCATGGGCCAGTCCATCCTGATGTTGTGGATTGGGAAGCAGAAACATCAAATATCTGATGCTCCCCTTTTCCTTCGTTTTCTGGCGCTGGACAGACGCGGACTTGCCTAGTTATATTTTTTTGTTGACATCGGAAATCTGTCGACCCTCACCTTGGCAAATTCAAAGCGGACGACTCTCCCAAGATGTATCTGTTCATCCTTCTCTCGATCTGCCTCGCTGGAGTAATAGCACAAGGCGCCGACCAAGTAACACTGTCGGCGTCGATCAAGAGCCGAGCGGACTACAGTCTTCTTCCAAAGTGCGTGAACCAATGCCTCTGGGATATTGGAGATAACGACACGAACGATATTGGCGGCGATCTCGCGATCCATCTTAGCTGCGGATCGCCATGGATCAACGGCTGTTACTGTCGTGGAGCATCCGCTGCGACGGCCTTTTCTTTCATCACGTCTTGTGCTAGCTATCTGTGCACTACGCCGAAGGCTTCGGATATCAACAGCGCAGTTGGTGTCTATACAGGTTACTGTAGCAGTGCGCTTGGCGATGCCTACAAGCCAGAGGCAATTCCGCAATCGATGCCCGAGGATGGCCAGTCTACAGCAGCAGGAGCGGCTCCCACAACCGTCGCTGGAGGGGGTCAGTGTATCTAAGTGCGTTTTCAATCTTCAATCGGTGCTAAAGATCATCCACAGTATCACCTGCAGCCGGCTCGACGAGCTCAATTCCTGCTCAAACGGGCAGCAAATCTCCGTCATCGACATCAGGATCTGGAAATCCATCTACACCCAAAGACAAAGACGATGGGAAGATCGCGGGTCTGAGTAAAGGTGCCTTCATAGGCGTGGTGATCTCAGCTTCGTGCTCCGTCTTGGGCTTATTGTTTGGTGTTGGGTTCAAGGTGTATAAGCACAAGAAGCAGGGTCGCTTGCAACAACGACAGACGGTGACCGAGCTCAACTATGGAACGAAAGCTTAAGGAAAGAGTCGGATGGAATATGTCGGAGCCAACCTGGGTCTTGATGAGATCTTCTGGTGTTATCAGTTTATGCTCTTGACGTAGCCTAAGGGTGTTATCCCTCCCTCATCCCTATAGTGATATTAATGTTACATAGTTTCCGGATTCTCGATGGTCGTATCGTATATCTTCTTCCGTCTTGTATTTTGAGCTACGTGCCAACGTCTTGTCCAACAGAGAAAGTGACGAGATCGCGGAATAGACGGATGACTGCCGTGTGCACGGACATTACTAACAGGTCATCAAAACATTACTCAAGCTTTTGATCGTCGTTGCTTATCCTGTCGTCCTCTTCCGCAATCTTCCATTCACTGCGTATGGGATGATGAAAAGGCATAATCTGTTTGTAGGTTGAGAATTATGGTGATGCAACTCCCTACTAGTAGTATGGGCAGGATCAGCCCGGATGCCAAGCTACGTCATCGTCACGCTCTCCGCCTGCAACTCCTGATAGAACGCAAGTTGTAACACCACGATATCACGCCAAGCAGGTTCCGCTGACCATATGAATTTATGATCGGACGAGCAATATATTTTCACCTTTAAAGCTGATGTTTCTTGTGTCGGCTGTCACTCCAACGCGATAATTTGCATTTTGAACACGGTCACGTTTCTTGTTGCCCCGCCTACAGGACAATACCTACAATGTCTTCGCCCACCATAGATAAGAAGAACAACCAGTTCGGAAAACTTCCTCTGTCGACTTCTGGGCCCCTTGAGACTACTCTGACAGTGAGGCATGCTGTTTATTTAACCTAGAATGCCGTTGATGACATGTAGGGAAACGCTCTGTTACGGACCCCATACTTCAACAAAGGGTCTGCTTTCACAAGAGAAGAACGAACAACGTTCAGGCTGCATGGACTGCTCCCTCCAAATGTACAGACTCTCGAAGAGCAGGTACAGCGCGCCTACGAACAGTACAGCTCCCGTCCAAACGATCTGGCGAAGAACACGTTCATGACGAGTATGAAAGAGCAGAATGAGGTGCTGTACTACAAGGTCGGTGTTTCTGTATAGTCTTATCTTTAGCGATTTAAAAGCTTATCTCCATTATTAGCTAATTCTGGACCACTTGAAAGAGATGTTCTCCGTCATCTATACGCCTACTGAAGGAGACGCAATAGAAAACTACTCCCGTCTGTTTCGACGTCCAGAGGGTTGTTTCCTCAACATCGAAGATATAGACCTCATACCCGATAACATGGATCAATGGGGGGAGCCCAATGACATTGATTTGATCGTAGTCAGCGACGGCGAGCAGATTCTTGGCACCGGGGACCAAGGCGTAGGTGGCATACTCATATCCATTGCCAAATTGGTAATATATACTCTCTGCGCCGGTATACATCCTTCGCGAACTTTGCCTGTTGTGCTCGATGCCGGTACTAACAACGAACGACTTCTAAATGACGACTTGTACCTGGGTCTCCGCCAAAAGCGAGTGCGGGGAAAGAAGTATGACGACTTCATTGAAACCTTCGTCAACGCTTGTCGGGATAGGTATCCGAAAGCCTATTTGCACTTTGAGGATTTTGGATTGGAGAATGCCCGGCGTATCTTGGACAAATACACTTCGGAGATTGCGTGCTTCAACGATGATGTCCAGGGTACCGGGTGTGTAACACTCGCGGCCGTATACGCGGCATTCCATGTCAATGGTGTCAAGTGGGACGAGGCTCGTTTCGTGATGTTTGGATCCGGGACCGCTGGAACGGGCATTGCGGATCAGTTGCAACGTGCCATTGAGCACGAGACTGGAAAGCCAAGCAAGGACGCAGCGCTCCAAATCTGGTAAGATGTTTCCGTGATGCTGTTTACAATCGTTTGTCCTGAACTGACATACTTCTAGGTGTGTTGACAAACCTGGCCTTCTCCTGCAATCTAGGAAGAATGATTTGACGTCCGCGCAAGTGCCATATGCTCGCAATGATGACGAATGGCAGGATAAGGACCACCACGATCTACTCTCAGTTATCAAGGAGGTGAAGCCTCACGTTTTGATTGGTACTTCTACTGTTCCGAACTCTTTCACCGAGGAGGTGGTGCAGGAAATGGCGAAGCATGTCGATCGGCCGGTTATCTTCCCCTTGTCTAATCCCACTCGTCTACATGAAGCAAAGCCTCAAGATCTGTACGACTGGACGGAGGGAAAAGCGCTGGTATCTACAGGGTCGCCGTTCCCACCGGTCAAATACCAGAACAAAGAATTTGATATCTGTAAGAGTTCACTATCATCGGAACTGAATTGCGTGCACTTCCACTAATCGGTATAGCTGAATGTAACAACTCTGTTACATTCCCTGGTATTGGCCTAGGTGCCATATTGAGTCGTACCCGCCTAATGTCACCGGCGCTGATAGTTGCTGCTGTCAAGGCGCTTGCCTCAACAGCCCCGGTCGTGAAAGAAACTGGTGCGGGGCTTCTTCCCGATGTCACTGAAGTCCGGGAGATCAGTGTGAAAATTGCGAAGAATGTCATCAAGGCGGCACGAGATGAGGGGCTGGCGCAAGAGAAGAATATTCCTGAAGGAGATGAAGAACTCGAGGAATGGATTCGCGAGCAGATGTGGGATGCTGAATATCGACCTCTGAAACTGATTGATGAGTCTCAGGCATCTGCGCACGCAAAGGGCGAGGCTGGCATTGGTTCTCACAGACGTACGGGTAGCATTAGGAGGCCACGCTAATATTCCGAATACAATGGATCCATTCTGTCTTAAATTAGAGTCATGGACCGATCTGACTAGTCTCAACCCCACGATTTGGAGCATAGCGATCCGTTTTTGGAATATTTGTGCCTGAATCAAATTACGGTACCATGGATGAACACCGGTACCTGAACCTATTCACCGAAGTACCATCTCAACATTTCGGCAGCATTGTTCCACCCGGTTTGCTGCTCATACATACATCCCCACATAGTTGTTTGGTATAAGTTCTCGAGATGTATGCCTGATCTTCTGTTTTTCATATTCCACCTGGCTCCTATCGCAACATCACACCCAAACAGTAGTCTCTGTAAGTCCTTCGCTGTATGCCCTTGCCACTATCGATCTATATATGACTCAACCTTCCTATCCACGTGTCCATCAATTACTTCCTGTTATCCTACTCGCGGAAAACGACTGTCCACTTGCTATGAGATGTATGCTAATACGTGCATTTCTATAGTCAGTCAACACGATGCGTGGTAGCGTGCTTCTAGGCCTCCCGGGTCTTTTGCCTTTCGCTGCAGCATTGCCAGCCTCGGAGGCAAATGCACCGCTTCTGTCTCGTGGCGTCTCGCCTCACTGCCCGCAGCACCACCAACATGATTTCGTTGCCTCCAATGGCCGACGCTTCCAGATCGAATGCGGCTCGAACCATGGAGGTCTCGATATCCCTGTCGAAACCTTGTCCAGGCCCACTCTTCAGGGCTGCACCGAGGCGTGCTCTGCCGTCAGTCGCTGTGCTGGCCTGACTTTCGATCCGACCACCACCTCATGCAGCTTGAAGTTCACCTTCACTGCAGGCTCTTCCGATGATGTTGCTAGCAACACCAATAAGTGGGGTGCTCGTCTTGTTGCTGAGGCTCCAGGTGTCGATCCAATCGAACCGCTCGCCATCACTGGCAAGCGTATCGCGCTCAATGATGGCACTTTGACTTCCTCCCTTCGAGAGGTCATGGCGCAGGTCCTCACCGAGGCCGAAATCGAACAATCTGAGCGCAGATTGGAGCGCGAGATCGAGAGCTACATCAAATTTGCTCACCGTGAAGCGTAAGTGCATCCCTTCACCTTGGACGTTGACAAATTGATAAGATACACCTTTACTAATAGCTATCTAGTAACATGGCTCGCCGCATAGGCAAGTACGTCAATGTCAACAAGGCTGTTGAGGACTACGCCGAGAAGATGTTCAAGCGCGAGTACGGCGAGATGCACTCTGAATTGGCCAAGCGCGGTGATGTCAGCGCAGATTATGGTGCTGAGAACGGAGGAGCCGATCAAGGTTACGGCGAGAATGTGGCCGAGGAGGACAACAGCAAAGCAGTACCAGTCGCCCCTGTAGTAGAGGCCAATGGTAACAAGGACCACATTGTTCCAGGGGTTGGCCAAGAGCAGGACGAAGAAGCTCAAGTGGAAGAAAGCTACGGCAATCCAGGTGAAAATCGCAAAGGTATAGAGGAAGATGCCGCTGCAATTGATGAGAACGGCGATGAGACCGAAGATGAGTATGGCAATGACAATGGAGAGGGCGAGAATGAGGATGAGGATGATTCTGAAGTCCTCAAAGTTGAGTATGTAATTGACAGTGACAATAACAATCCAGTTGAGAACGCCTATACCAGCAAGGATAACGGCGAGGATCACAGCAGTTACGCAGCGCACAGCAAACGATATGCGCATCAAAATTACACCAAGGCCGTCACAGCCGCTGTCGAGTCATCAGCCCAACCATCTTCTTCATCCTCTGCGAATCTGGCTGCTGCGGCATACAGTGTACATTCTCCTCAGCCGTATGGAAGACCAGCGTTCCAATCTGAGCGCGTGATCACGGAGACCGTCTTCGTTACAACCACACCGGCTGTAGTAAGCTCAATTGCACCGTCCACCAGCAGCAGCAAGGTCACCTCGATCAAAAAATATCTGAAGAGTCCTTTGCCCCTTCCAAGTGCTCGTACATCCACAAAGACTGTCCTTGTAACTGCGACGCCTTCTTATGAGGCTTCAAGCATTGCAGAGCCCTCTTCTACACCTGCTAGTTTCTGGGGCTTTGGCTCTTCTTCTACGGGTGTTGCGCTAGCGGAATACAGTTCCTCGTCTGCCCCGGTCCAATACTCGCCATCAGCTATCTCATCTGCACCCTCAGTATCAACGACAGCCTCGGCGTGGTTCTCGTTGCCTTCCAGCTTCTCATGGGGCTTCCAACGCCGACCTGTCCACAGCAAGGCTTCAATCCAACCTTCAGCAGAGGTTTCGCTGGCCACATTGAGTGAGACTCCGTCCGCAAGCTTTGCCGTCTTTCCCCATCGCCAGTATCTCCAGCACCCAGCCGTCCCAACTCCTAATGTTGTCACAAAAACCATTCATATTAAGGCGTCTGCCCACAAGGGCTTTGAGTTTGGTCTAGTTGCGGAAGTGGCTCCGACCGCTGCTAGCTCAACCCAGGCCTTTGACTTTGGTCAATTTGAGGCAGCATCTTCAACGCCTGCTGCTACCTCAACTGAGGCATTTGAGTTTGGTCAATTTGAGTCAGCATCATCCACTCCGGAATCGTCATCCATCCCAGCATTCGATTTTGCTCAGTTTGAGTCTGCTTCAGCAACTCCGACGTCGTCATCTTCTGCTGCGTTTGACTTCGCCCAATTTGAAGCTTCTACCACGGCTGGTGCTAAGTCTTCTTTCTCTTATGCTGGCAAAGAAGCTTCATCAACCGCAGAATTTGACTTTGCCGAACTCACAGCGACACCTTCGGCGACTGCTCAAGCTTCAAGCATTGCATTCGACCTTGCTGAATTGTCAGTATCATTCTCTACTCCTGCAGAAACTTCTTCAGTCCCTGCATTCGATTTCGCTGGGCTTTCCGTGGCCGTTTCGAGCGCTGCTGTAGAGCCCGCTTCCACCCCAGCAGCAGAATTCACTCCATCCTTCGAGGCCGCTGCTAGTACTGCTGCAAAGTCGTCCTCAGGCAAACAATATATCCTCACTACACCGACTTTCAAGGCTATTTCCAGCACTCCCACACCTTCATCCTCTACCCCAGCATTCGATTTTGCTCAGTTCTTTGAGGTTACATCAGGCGCTGCTGTAGAAGCGTCTTCTACTCCGGTATTCGAATTCGCCCAATCCTTTGAGGCTACTTCTAGTGCTCCTTCGCCATCATCTACTCCCGCTGAGTTTGACGAGTTCTTTGCTGCTGCTTCTAGCACTGCCGCAGAGCCTTCCTCTACCCCAGCTGAATTTGATCAGTTCTTTGCGGCTGCTTCTAGTACGGCCACGGATCCATCTTCTACTGCGGCATTCGAGTTTGATCAATTCTTTGAGAGTTCTTCAGTCACTGCTACTCCTTCCTCCTCCACTCCAGTCTTCGGTTTTGCTCAATTCGAGGAGGCCTCCACAACCGCCGCCGAGTCGTCAGCAAGTTCTGCATTCGATTTCGCTCAGTTTGCAGCCGCTAGCAGTTCCATTCCAAGTGCCTCGTCCTCTTCCGCCTTTGAATTTGCAGATTTCGAAGCTGCAACTGGAACTGCGACACCTACGCCATCCTCCACTGCGGCATTCGATTTCGCCGACTTTTTCGCCGCGGCATCGTCTACCGCTGAGGAGAGCGCATTTGCTGCCCCTTCGAGCACATTTGACTTTGCTCAACTGAAGGCTTCTTCATCTGCTACACCTGCTGCGGAGTCTGCCGCAGCCTCATCTACGCCTGCATTCTTTGCATCTTTTACTGCTTCCGCTGCTGCAACCTCTACCCCTTCGTTCGGTGGTGTTAGGCCCAGCGGCTCCGCCAGCACCGGCACCCCATCCGCCAGCCTCAAGCACCCTCACTCCAAGCCCTCGGAAGAAGCCCGCCCTGAATGGTCGGCCCCAAGCTTCGGCGGCAAGGAGGTATCCAGCGGGCAGTTGGACCTTGTGCAAAGCAAAGATGCCGGTGGCTCCGCCGACGAAGAGTCCATTGAGTTCTGGAGCGAAGAGAAGACTGCTCTCAGCGACTCTTGGGAGAAGGAAGGCTACTGGGGTACTCACCAGTAGATTCATAGTTATTGAGTGCTCCTCTTCGCCCTCTTAGCCCTCTCAGCCCTTTTAGCCCTCATTTGGATACTGATTACTATCTGCCATTACGTTAACAGGTCAGTGCGCTGTCATAATAGGCACTTGTGTGGTGGAATAGAGTCGTATTCTAGTTTATAATGTGGATGATTGATCCTGGTGAGCCCACTTTGCGATGTTGAGGGCCTCGGAAACATTCGAAACGAAGTTCAATTATAGTATTAGACTGCATTGTTTTCTTTGATGATAGTCTAATTGTCAATTAATACGTTGCCTGTTCATTAAGATCATGGTATCATTCGTGGTAATTTTGCAGGGCTATCGTGAGAAAGAACAGTACATGAAGGCAAAGATGAAGTGAACCCAATATCGAACGCAGACACATCAGAGATAGAGTCAATTCCTGGTCTATCGCGTAAGGAATGGCAGAATAACTAAACGCAGTAGCTCAACCATTTGACCATTCGACGGGCACTCCTTGCGCGTTGGCTGATTCACGCCGACAAAGCTCATTCCCATTCAATTGTTCAATCATCCGTCGCCCGTGGGGCCGAGTCAACCTCGGTGACGCGAACCATGGTCTCCGTTTTCTGTTTTTCGTCTCCAGTCTCTTCAACGTCGTTTTGGTTTTGAGGGAGCTGCTCGTTTCCAGTTGGTGCCTCTCTAGACGTGCTAATAGAATCGAAATGAAGTTCCCCTTCGTACTCATCATTGCCGTCTGTATCGCTTGATGTTGTTTCGTCACGTTTGCACGTTCCATGTAGCCAATCATAGACCTCGTCTCGTTGTATCTCCTTGGGCATTTGATTTGTCCTCACAGTTAAACTTGGCTGACTGTCTCCGCTGTGGACCTCGTCCTCCCCATCGCTCATTATCGCACATTCATCACTACTGTTCGTTTGCCTTCCGGTAATAGTCCTCAGCGGCTCTGTGACAGTAATGCCTATTGCCTCCATCCTCTCTCGGAAGACATCCTCCGGCTTTTTAGAGATCGGTACAAAGCTGTTCCAATTCTCAAACCTGCTCCAATCCTTTGGAAGTATCATGTCCGGAATGAGGCGTCTCTCCCACTGGTCCCTGGGTTTGGGGTTCTTATTCAGTACCACTTCTGTGCCACGAAATGGCTGCAGTCCCAGAGGTCCAGTAGGTCTCGTAGGTGCCCGAGGGCCTATGGCCTGTGTGCTATCAGTCCTTTTTGAGCTAATGCCTTTTGTTGACTCATCGAAGCCATGAGCTAAAAGAGCGGAGTCTGGCTGGAGGTACGGAACCCTTTCCATTGCGTATGTGAAGTGGTATTGCGTGCCAGGAGGCCTTGTATGGGACATGATGGAAAGGTTTTGAAGATTCTGAAGATTAAAGAGGGCCTGCTCCCGCCGCGAGGGGATGCGTTGGGAGGAAGAAGGACAGCTGTCGGATTTCCCTGTGGAAACGTTAGACGGGACATCGTCGCCCCTGCCAGTCTGGAATTGCAAATTCGCATTTTCTGCACTCTCAAACAGATTGTTTGGACGAGAAACAATTCCAGGAACACCTTGGTAGAAAAGTTCATGTGGCCGAGCAGTGTCGGGTGCGACAGCATCGTTGGCCGGAAACTGTCTTCTCCAAACCGGAGTTCTGCGAAAAGGAATATTATTCGGGGCTTCTCTATGGATACGAGTGTTATGCTTAGATGGTTCTTGGGAAGAACCACAAAGGAGAACGTTATCATCATCAGTGTTGGCCGCCGTGTTGACCGCCGCAGCGGAAACATTGCATCCTAATTGTTTATGATCGGCACTAGAGCCATCGTCTTTGCGGGGGTCCGAGCACTCGAAATCGGCCTCATCGGATGAAAAGCGATCGTCTTCAAATGCTAAAGATAGTTCAGAGTCTGAATGATGGTGCTCTGGAGGGGATGGATCCATTTCCCTTGTGCGTTCCATAGTGATAGCGAGTAGAGTATGCTAGCAGAGAAATGTAGTGATGTGATTTGATAGAATTCATTTGATAGTGAAGGAGTGGTAGCCAAGATGTCGGTGTTGCGAGTGTTATGGAATTGAGATGGGTTGAATAGGTTCGACAGGAATTGAGAATACATAAGGAAGGAGGCGTCGTTGAGAGCACATTAGTTGCGACTGCACATGTACGGCTGCTTCGAAGGGCGCGACTTCTATCCACTAATTACAAGTTCCAACCTTTATAGACTGGTTAACAGACGCTCCAAGAATGGGATTTTCACCGTTTTAAAGTGATACTTCAGACCTGCATGGCATATGAAAGAATAATACACCACCCGGGAGTCTTTCTATAAGCATGAGTGCATGGAGGTTAAGACCCAATGTCGGATTGATTAGGAGGAAGACTGATCCGTACCCTTCAAATAGGTTAATGCCCCGAATGGTAGGATGAAGTACACTTCACATTCAAAAGCATTATATTACTGTATCTAATTGCCATTAGACGCCCTCGTGTGTCTTTGTATGCGCATAGGGAAACAGAGATAGGCGTCCTAATGAGCGAATCTGAAGTCTAGCCTTTTACTTCCTTCGTCGGTAGTAGTTTCCAGGTAGTTGATCTTCTCATCAACACTCAATGCGTTCCACTGCCTGTCACGCTGTTTATTGCGCCAAGTGTAGTAGGCTTTCGCGAATAGGTAGATAAAGATGTTCAAGACGCAAATGCCTACCAACACGCGGTTGCCACGGCGATCTATTGTCAGGTGAGCAAAGGTAGCAACAGAGCGTTGCAAGTGATGCGGACTTACATAGTGGTTTATCGTCATTCAGGTAGATGTTGGAATATGCAATAGCTTGGAGCTGAACCGCCATATTGTATAGTGCGGCACTAACGGTGCGTGTCCTGACCGTATTGGAATTCCTACTGCACCAGCCAACTTGCATTGGATGCGGTGTTGGGTAAGAGAGAAGAACGGTAACGATGGCGAACCTAGACCACTTTGATACATCATCAGGCACCAGTGCCATAGCAAGAATACAAGGAAAGAACCAAAATTGCACAAAGATGCCAAGGTAAGCTCGCTGGTTGATGCGTTCCGATATCCAGGTCATGATGAGCATATTGATCGTCGTCCCGACTTGAGCCGGTATACTCAGTAGATTGGCATCGAATGTGTCGAAGCCCAATTGACGAAGAGTCAGTGTGAGATATTGATCAGGTGGTCCAGCGGGCATTCCGAACGTTAGTCCGATTGCGTATATTGGCCAGAGATCGAAATCGCAGAAGCTTTTCCACAGAAGCTTGAGTGTAATTGCTTGACGGTTGTGCATATCGCCTTTACTGGGGTCGTCACGCAAGATACGATTCACCATGATCTTCTCTTCTCGATCCGTGAACCTAGATGGTGTCAGTGCATTGAGAGGAGAAACACAAGCGGTGGTTGAAGCTTACCATCCCTTCGGCCTCCACCAAGCTTTCGTCTGTGTTGGCGAAGGTGCCATCATGAACACTGACCATATCCCAATGAGGAGAGTAAGAATACCTTCGATCAAGAAAAGCCAACGCCAGCCCTCGTAGCCATGGTATCCGCGCAGGCGAAGCAAGCCATATGCCAATAAGGGAGCAATGACGTCTGTGAGGCGATTAGCCATCCAGAAGATGGCCAAGCGGAATGGAAGCTCGGTGCTTTTATAGAAGTATGACTTGAATAGCGTCAGCATGATATGAGACAAAGTCGACAGAGAACTTTGCACTAACCATGTAGAGAATGACGTCTGGGATGAAGCCTCCTTGTAGGAGACCAATCAGTGCGCGGCAGGCGAGAAATGAGTTGCGTCCCTTGAGCCAAAATTGAGCACTGGCTACAATACTCCACAGGATCATTTGTGCGGGAATCCATCGATCGGGACCGATCTTCTTACTGATGAGCTGAGATGGCAATTCAGCAAGTAGAAAGGAAAGTTTCGAAACTGTATTTCCAAGGTTGTAATCTGTATCGATTAATTCATAATCATCATTCAGAAGAGACAACAGTTGTACCATTCGTATTTAGTCCAAGATCGTCAAGGAAGTTATCCGTGTTCGCTTGTTGAATGTTACTGCGGTCCAGATCCAGGGCAAAGAATGCAATAGCTGCCCAAGCTGCGATCCTCCATTCGATCTTGCTCAGAACTTTCTTGGGAGTGTCAATGAAAGGTTGGTCAATAGTGTAATTGTGAACTCACTTTCTCTTCCGCCCAAGTCCATCGTTCACTCGGATCAAACCGATGAATGTTCTCATAATTAGGCAGTGGTTGGAAATATTTTGCCTGTTCGGGATTATCATATACAGACGGCTGTGTTGCGATAGCATTCGGGTCGACCTTTTCCTTCCGACGCCACAACAAGGACAACGTAGGTCGATGTTCTTCAACACGAAGTGGTGTCAGCTCTACTCCCTCTCTCTTTGCAGTATTGCCGCTGTCAGTACTATGACTTGAGGAAGTTACGACGAGCTTTTCCGGTGGAATATTGGGAGACACGATGACATCTTTGTCGATCTCCACCATGTTGGATACGACAGTTATGAACTAAGAATCAATAAGAATGCGTGAATGATACCGCGCAGGAGAAATTTAAGACCCGGTACTTGGGAACAGCTCCAGTCCCGTGTGATACGACTTGTGCTTCTTATATTAGTGACTGGGAAGGCTTTATTCTATAATTCAATAAACGTAACATGCCCAGATGCGAACGATTATTGACACAGAGCGTGTGTTTCATCTACCAAGAAAAACGGACTGCTGGAGTGCACTTGGCCATTGCGAATAGCAAGGAAGATATTTGCAATCTTCAGTACTGGTCCAAAGATCTGCACGTAGCAGGACCTGAAAGAGACGTGATTGACATGGGTGTAGACAATACTGGTATCTGATGCTTAATCTTGACGGCAAGCGATTGCTCGGCAAACATCCTTGCGATCAAGTAATGACATTGCATCTCCGTTCGCAGTGATGAAGAGTCTGTAGTATCATAGAGATATCATGTTAACTGAAGTTCGGTGTGGTTTTGCTTTCGCTATCTTCCTGATCAAGTGTTGCATCTCGCCAAACTGAGAGGAAGATAAGGTAAGTCATAGTCATATAGCAGAATATTGTCGACTTCACTGTTCCATTCGTCGGCTTCAGTCAAGATATCAGAAAAGAAATGTCTCAGGGTGCTTGTAGATGCAAAGATGAATGGTTGAATATGTCATGGCTTTTTCGGGGGGAGTGCATGGCATTGCGTGTTTTGGGAGTGGAGTTGCGTGCCTGCGGGGTTGCAATGTCGTGCTCAACCATGAATATACACAATGAAGGCGAACGCAACCATTCATTATAGACGACCTGTAAATTCCGTTATCGCCGAATTTCCATGATGCTGCATATAAATGGGAAAATGGGATTAGGATTGAGAATGTCCGGCCAGGCAAAGATCAAGTTCTCAAATATTCTATATCTAGTTGCCGGTAACAAATCTACAAAATGTCAAACACAATTACAAAGACTACTGTGCAAGAGGCAACCAATGCGAAAGGAGAGCATATCATACTCAAGACTGCATATGATGATGCCATTCACGGCCAGGTATGTCAATCTGGCATGAACATCAGATCACTGTAGATCCTGTTTTCGTCTGTTTTTTAAAGTCATTCTTCATCATGAAGCACCTAACATTGTTCATCATAGTCAAAATACGCGGCATATCTTCCCGTCTACGATAACACGACTAAATTCCCGCCCACGGAGCGATTTGAGTTCCACGACCGAGGCCACAATGCCGATCCGGCGAAACCTAACCTTTTGAACACGGGTGACATAAATGTCAAGATAACCAAACTTGCTCCTCGCGTCGGAACAGAGATCACGGGACTACAACTATCCCAACTCAGCGACGCACAGAAAGATGAACTTGCTCTGCTGATTGCCGAGAGAGGTGTGGTCGTATTTCGAGACCAAGACTTCAAGGACATTGGGCCAGAGAAGCAGAAAGAGTTCGGCCAATACTTCGGTCGACTCCACGTACATGTGCGTTCTACTTTCTAGGGTCATTACAGATGCTAATGAATGTCTAAAGCCTGTTGGAGCACACGTGAAAGATCACATCGAGTTTCATTCGATCTATCTCGGAAAAGACAACCTCTACCGCCTTGGTCGAAGCAGCAAGAGATTGACAACCGTCGGATACCACTCAGACGTGTCGTACGAGCATCAGCCACCTGGTATCACCCTTTTGACTCTCGTCCAGGTACCCGAGACAGGTGGGGACACCGGATGGACCTCCCAAGCAGCGGCATATGATCGCCTTTCGGAACCATTGAAAGCGTTTCTAGAAGGACTTAAGGCTGAGCACAGTGGCTTCCCCCAGGCCGAAAACGCTCAGCGGGATGGCCACTTTGTGAGAAGGGATCCCGTCAAATCGTACCATCCGATCGTGCGCGTCCACCCTGTTACCAAACAGAAGGTTTTGTTCGTGAACCCTGGATTCACGAAGCGAATCGTTAATCTGAAAGAAGAAGAGTCAGATGCTATCCTTAAACTTTTGTTCAAAGTACGTCAAGCTGCAGCATAGACATATTGCTACGTTTACTGATTATGCTGGTAGCACATTTCGCAAAGCCAAGACATCCAGGCGCGTGTTAAATGGGACGATCGTACGGTCGCGCTTTGGGATAATCGTGTCACAGCACATACGGCGATCTCGGATTACGATGTGGGTGATGAGGGTGAAGGGCTACGGCAGGGGTTCCGTATCACGACTCTTGCTGAGGTCCCAATCGGAGTGGACGGAACAGAGTCTACGTGGGATTAGGTGGCAGATTTTCGATGCCCATCGAGAGATTCGTCATTCCAAATGCTTAGTAGGAGAATAACATGAAGAGAGTAGCAAAACCAGTTCCCAACAAGCAACCTTTTATCCTCTGTTATGCCATGAATTATCGGACGATGGTCCATTCTGTCGTCGATTGATCACAAGTATTCGAAGCATAAGGGGCCTAATGTCTGGCCACTGGGTCCCGTCGTAACACATACATGAGACTTCCTATAACGTTATCACGAGTAGAGGGACGTTCACGAAGAGCTTTGATTAGCCTACAACAAAGATTGAGAGAAAGCTCTTAAAGCAAAGAAAGTACATTTCTTGGAATCGATTGACCCAATATGACTGGAAAGCCAATTCCAAGTCCAAAGGTCTGCTTCCATCCGTCATTGGTTATTACTCGGCATCGTTGAGTCTCGACGAAGAGCAACTCCGCTTGAAGCCCTTAAATTGGTCGCTTTGCTAGCCTCATGGACTCGAGATGGCGGATCATCCTCTCTACCTTGCGATGAGGGAACATCGACCGTGACTCTCGAGGCTGAAGATCGTGCCCACGGAATCAACGACCGAACTTTTCCTGTTGGAATCGACAGACACTGCACACTAGACGGTGTCTGAGATGGCTCGTCGTACCAGTCAAAATTGCGGGGAGGTGCTCGATCGGATGACTGTCGCAGGCATCCACAATACGCGTTCAGCGCGGGTGCAGACGCACATATGACAGCGACGTTGGCTTCCACGGCCGTTGACACCCAGGAGCCAAGGGCTTCCCAGGTAATGTCGTAGGTGGGGTTTTTCGTCTTGACGTAGTGATAGACACGGTGTGCATAGTGAACACGTAGAGCCCCTATTGCGCAAACACTATGTATATGTCAGACTCTCCTGAATTGGCGAGAACGCTTGTCTTTGCTTGTTGCTCGGGTACTTACGCAAGACCAGTGAGGAATATCGCACCAAGAGCGATCTTTTGTCGTCGTGGCAGGTGAAGCTTTCGAATGATGAACATGGGTATGATACATGCGAGTAGGTCTTGCGCCGTGCTAATGCTGATTATGATGACGAGAGTGGTCAACTCATCGTGGCAGTGGTATTTGTTTGACATGAGCCAGGAACGCGAGAAGCGATACCAATATGCCTCGACTGGCCAACATGTGAACAGGAGAACAAAAACGAAAGCGATACAGTAAGCAGCGACAAACACTATTGCAGCCCAGATGATGATAAAAAGACGTCGAGATATCAGAGACGAGGTAAGGCGACGGTAGAAGGTTAGGATGGAAATCTTAGTAAGAGACGAAGTGATGAGGTAGAGTATCTCGATAGCAAGAGTGATTTGCCTCACAGTAATCTGTGTCCGCGGTGTTTGATCGTAGATATGAAGCTGGAATCCATATATTCTAAGGCCTAGCACAGTCGATATCACAAAACCTAAGAGCACCGGCATGGACGCAATCATCAGCCAATCGTCTAGCCCTGGTGTTCGCGTGATGACGAATCTGGCATATATCCGGGCGCAGAAGACAGAGAGAGTTACGATGAACAGCGCAATGATGCATGCCGATGCTGTCCAATCTCTCGTGTCCGGATTCACGAAGTTTGGCGCGGGCCATGTGTGAGGTGTTCCATCAGCTGGTGGGAAGAGAGCTGGGGAGGGGAGCGGCGCCATTGGCCAATCATAGGCGTGGGAGGATTCGCCCGATTGGGCCAGGTGAATGCTTAGGTCTGTACGGGGTTCAAACAACCCAACTTTGTTGAGACCTGCCCTTCCAACTCAGAATGGTATGTACCCACCAGGATATTGAAGACTGCGTGGTTTTAAACTTACAAAAGACATATAGGACATTTGTGGGGTTTTGTTTACTGCGCGTATACTGACGAGTATTCAAAGCATCGCGATAGAGGTGTTGAGTGTAGGAGAGAAGTTTTCGTGATGCACCAACGACGCCTTTTGGACAGTATCATTGTTCTTTATCTAACCCCATCCACCGTTTAGGTATAGTTTCCCCGCGTTTACACCTACGACTGGGAAAGGGGTTGTTTTCTATAAGTCAGTGTTACCGCTATACTTACTCTTTCCGAGGTAACAATAGTGGTGATACGAGTAATAGGCATGCTGCAGTCGTTGTGTAGGATTTTCTTTGTCTGGCCAAAGAGCGCATGGATGTGAGAACCAACCTCACCGGAACCGGCATGTTGTAGGACGAGTATCACCCCGCCTACTCAGTGGCCACCTCCTTGCTCTTTATCTTGGTTGTCTATATATACCGAGAATAGGAAATATAATGGAGTATGATCAGAAGATGATGGATTATGAGTCGATAGTCAATAACAGTAATATTCAGTTGGCAATACGCATGACTCATGCGATCGTTCCCTCTTTTAGCTAGAGTGAATTCGATAAGGCTGAATCCTTCTGAATAAACGACAGCCCGAGACGGCGATTCCTGATGACATCGGCCAACAACACCAACACAGTGACGATACGACCATGATATAAATAAGAATAGACTCCCCTCTTGTTTTTTTCCTGTTCATATCCTCATCATTAAGCAACCATCTATCATCTCAAGCGGCTAATCATGCCACACCAACAGCCCTCCGAATTCCCGGGCTTACTCGGTCTCGTTTCATTTGTCTCCCGCCTCGGTACAGATAGCTCCGCATCCTCATCGTCTCTTCCCACCATTGCTGACACCTATTCTAGCGGGCACAGCGCTCCTAAGAGCCATTACTCACCCCTTCCACAAGAGAACCGCTTCTACATACTACAAAGATGTGTTCTTCGCTGTTGTTCGTTGTAGCATTGGCACCATGACAATCCCACAAGCTCGATATTTGCTTCCTAACTCTACGCAAACATACCTAAAGTGGTGCAAATCCCAGAAAATCGAACCTCGCCTAGTAGAGATCCCTGCCGAGGGTGTCAATCGCGAAGGAAAAGTGCATATGCATTGGATCGGCAACCCGGATACCGCTGATGTCAAGATTTTATATTTCCACGGCGGTGCGTACACGCAGTATGCTACGGAGGGGTATTACCACTACTGGACCAGGTGGATGAGAGAATACAACGACCGCTATCAAAAGGTTGCTGTTCTTATGGTCGCTTATTCTGTTGCACCGGAGCACAAATATCCAACTCAGCTGAGAGAGGTATCCGCTGCGCTTTCGTACCTTGTGGACGACCTACATGTATCGCCATCGGACATAATCGTATCTGGCGACTCTGCAGGCGGCCATCTTGGGCTTTCTCTGCTCACACATCTACTCCACCCACATCCGGAAGTTGCAGAGGTGGTCATTGACAAGCCTCTACGAGGCTCTTTGCTGATCAGTACTTGGGCAACTATGCGTACCGACTTCGACAGCTTCACGAGGAACGTAGATTCCGACATGGTTGTTCCTAGCGTTCGTCGATGGGCTGCCATGTGGCTTGGACAATCCAATCCCAAGGACCCCGAGAAAGACCCTGGCCCAATAGTAGGCGATCAGTATAGTGATTCTTTGAGTAACGACCCGGAATGGTGGGAAGGTCTCGACAGCGTGGTATCGGATGTATTTCAGTGGAGAGGTGGAGACGAAATGCTCGTAGACCCGATCGCCGAGCTGGATGCGAAGATGATTGAAGGCTGGGTTGCAGGCGGCGGCCAGAAGGAAAGATTCGTGAGCATAGAGACTCCAAGGCACGCGCACATCGCACCAATCGCTGGTGTCATGATGGATAAAGAGAAGTGCGAGGCTCAGCTTGCGGTTGAGGAATGGCTAAAGGCGAGACTGAGGAAGTAATTGATTACTCTGAACTCATACGCTCGATACCCAAACATATAGAATTATGCCACAATAAACCTTGATCTCCATCCAACATAAAGGTTCCATGATAGGTCACCTGTAACCCATTAAACCAAACAATCCGTATCCTTGATGGATCCCAGATGGATCCCAAGTCCAAGTGCTGCAAAATAAGGCCTAACATAGCCCAGACTTAGTCGTCATCATCATCACTACTATCCAATCGACCTTGATTGCTGCTAATAATCTCCCCATTCTCATCGAACTTCAACCCATAAATATCAGCCCATTTCTTCGCACTGTCGATGTAAGCCTGAATCGGCAGGTCGCTATAAACCACCTTGCCCCTCTGTTCCCCGCCAAGCACCAACTTCATCTTTCCAAACAAAGGATGGAGATCGTCGTCGCTAATGTTTGCCAATGCCAGGCGTGCTTCAGCCATGTTTTCCGCATGAGTCACAACCAAATTTGACGCGGATCTAACTTGTTCGTGCTGCAATGTGTCTCTTGCAGAGGGATTCCGGACTTTCACAACCTTCGCAAAATAGTCCGACTTGCCAAGCTGGATCCCGAGTTTGATATCTGCTGGGGAGGGCGATTGATGTGTATGATAGTATTTCGGGGTGTCTCGGTCCTGGCGTTGGAGGAGGGTAATTTGTCGGTTGGGGACTTTGGAGCGCAGATTTGAGAAGACAGCTATCTCGACTGGCGTTACCAAAGCAGTCGCTTCTGGAGGCTTTCCTTCGTAAAAGGATTTCATGGACGGTATTACCAGTGGTGCGTTCGGGATCTCTGGCAACGGGAGAGTGTTTGATGGATCGGTTATGCGTTGGTTTGCTATGACCATTTGTCGGTATGCGATGTAGTGTATTACAGGAGATGGAGACCTTGGAACGACAGAGACATTAGTGTGCGGGGATGTCGTTCCAATGCGACCGGTGCTGGAGGCTCGTAGGCCAATTCTTGCTGTGAGGTCAATTTGAACGGACCGTATGCTCCCGGCTTCTTTCTCCCGAATAGACACGATAAAGAATTTCCTGAACTGTTTGTCCAAACCATCTTCTAGCGTGTAGATTGTGTCTATCCATTTATACTTGTCTTGTCTAGATGTTAGGGCAAGCAAGAACGAATTTATGAAATCCTTCGTCTTGGCTTTGAACTCTCTGATGGATTCGTTCCTAACACCACGCTGTTGGAAACCGGTGGCCAGGATTGGGAACTCATTCGCAATGTTCTCGAGCAGCTTTTTGCTCGCATCTTCTGGAAGTCCCTCTGGCAAGCCCTGGTCTCCGAGTTCGCGGAGTTCCTTCATGATCTTACCCAGCGTGAGTCGATAGCGAATGACTTCTGTTTTCCTAACATCATCCGCTATACGTGCTGGCGGGGATTGAAACATATGTGTCCTCGCTCTTTCAAAGAATCCGTCAAAGCACTCGGGGCCAGCGCTAAGCTTCCTTAAGGCGCTGGTCAGTATTTCAACTGTAGTCAAATCTACTGCATCGATGGCAATTTCCATTGCATTTCTCCCGTCCTCGGCTTTCGCAAGAATGGATTGCGTCGAATTGTAAATCTTGAGCACTGCCCGCCAGCATCTCCTCTTATTGGCTTCATCGAAGCCACTGCAGGCGTCTGCCAGCGCAGTGACGATGGTATGTTGCTCAAGCTTCCAATTCTCAAGCTCTGGTTCTGGATGAAGAAACGGGTCGCGATGCTCATTCAGCCTCCCGAAGACGCGTTTCTGCATTTTAAACGCAGGTTTCTTTCCCTGCTTGGCCAGAAACTCGATCTGTTGAGGGAGAGAAGAGCGTGCGTCTTCGAACAATTGCTCGAGCAATGACCACTCCCTGACTGCGTATGATGCACCTTCATCTATCAGATGCTGCGCAAGAGCAAACTCGGAATACGCCATGGCTTCGTACAAAGGCGTTCGATGTTCTTCATCCGGACGGTCCAGTCGGGGCCATTTACCTTCGATGACCTTGGTCACGAAGTCAGGTGCCAGCGGCTTCAGTGACAGGTTGGCAACCGGTTTGCCCAGTATGCTTTTCGCAATATCTAGACTGTTCGCACCTCCTCTTGCCAAGAAATGTAAGCAACATGTGGTCTGGGCACATATCTCGCTCTTGCGGTACATCTCGTTGACAAGGCGGTCAACCAACTCTTCATTCCATTGCCCATGTCGTCCAACGGTATAGTTGTGGTCTGACCACTGGAGCGGGAGCAATGGCAGGGCTCCGTATTCCATGAGCTTCGCTGCGATGTTCGTATATCCGCATGCCACCGCTGTGTGAATACTTGTCTGCAAGTCGGCGAGCACAGCCAATCCTGGATCTTTGTACAGATCTTCGAGAAGTGCCTCCACCCACACAAGATCGCCACACTCAACAGCAAAGAGTAGACTCGCCTTCGCGAATCGAACCAGCCATGCACGTCCAAGATGGTGCGTCAATACCGCCAAAGTCCTCCGCACTCGATGCGGATAATTATGTCCGTGTAGTCTGATCCGATCAATCGGATCCAACCCTCCACCAATAGCCTGTTCCCAGAAGTCTCGAACCTCTTTGTTTTCGGGATCTCTTGGATCTTGCTCAGTATCCCATACTTGGAACATGATGTCGAGAGATTCATACTCCAACATTGAGCAGGCTACCGTCAGAGGGCATATACCCATCTCGATGTAGGCGTCAGTTGTCATGCCCACGGCGGCGCGACACCGTACCAACGCTTTAACAGCAGGATAATTTCGGCACGCAACGGCACGTAGTAAGGGCGTAGGGTAGAGGTAGACGTTGCTTGTCGATTTGAAATAACCTCCCTCGCGAGGTGTGGCAAATGCATCAACATCTGCACCTGCTTGGACTAGCAGATATGTACCTATCTCCACAGATTCTGGTTGAGACGGTAAGATGCAGTGAACCCAGTGAATTGGCTGCTCCTCGTCCTCGTCCTCTACATCAGCCGATGCACCGTGGTCGTCGATCAATTGAGACATGAGGACTGGATTCCCTGATTGTGTGGCTAGATGAAGGACGGTGCATCCCACTTCGTCTTGGTAGTTGATATCGAAAGGACCAAGATCGAGACCAGTGATGATGGATGCGCAGATCTGGTTTTGCGTCTCGTCGAGGTTCTGCTGCATGGTCACGATGTGTCCTTTGGTAAGCTTTTTATGGTATTCTTCGATATCGGGGTGAGGTACGTTCCAGAATGTAGTGTCGCCGCACCAAAGCGCAGCTGCTGTGTTCACCGTGTAGAATTCGAAGTACTCCATCGGGCTTTGGAGCAGTTGGTGTAGGCCTAATCCAGCCACGCAGAGGGGAGAGTTACCTAGCGAGGTGGACAAGGAGAGATAGGATAATGTCAGTCTTCGGGTCTCCTCTGACCGATCGCCCTCAAGATACTTCGCTAGGTAGAAGTCCACCAGTGCAGCGCCGACATGTTTTGCTATTATCCCATCCCAACGGTTCAGTTCCTCCATCTCCCACTCATGCTTCTTTTGGAGCGTGACAAAAAATTGCTCGAATATCGTAGAATACAATTCCCTAGCACGAGCAGGGGACTTTTGGTAGCGGAGATTTGTCGTCAATGCGAGATCAACTTTGCTTTCCCAGCGGATCTTTGATATGACCATCTCGCCATCTGCTAACTTACGGCCTAGAAGTACAAGAATACTCTGTATCCGTCGATGAAGTGGGCAACTGCTTAGACAGATCTGGATAATCGAGGTCAACACTCCTAGTTCGGACACTGGAATGCCATTTGCATGTCTACCATCATTGTCCGGGCGACATAGAGGTGTAATGTTATCATGCATCATGGCTACAAGAAGATCGTTGACGCGATCTTCAGGCGGGTCGTACTGCTCGTCTTCGAGCTCCTCTCCCTCGTTGATCATTTGAAACTCATCTGGATGCATGGTTACACCATATGCTTCCAAAAGCCCGGCATGTTGTCCACACTTCAGCTTCTTGATGTCTAGTGTGGAAAGTAATTCACCGCTCGCATACTTGGGAGAGAAGAACGGCATAATGCCACCAAGCATTGTCTGCCAGACAACGATGCCGAAGGAATACACGTCAGTGTGGATGAGGTGCTCTCTTGGAATCTCGCGATGCGCTTCGGGCGCAAGATACTCGGCTGTCCCTCCAGGCATACGCTGATACTCCGGGCCAGCTGATGGATCGATTACGGAAAGACCGAAGTCGGACAGTTTGGCTATGACACCCCCATTCTTGTCCTTACAAATAAGGATGTTGGCAGGTTTGACGTCGCCGTGCACGATGTTGGAATAATGCAATGCTTGCAGACCATCTGCCACGTCCGCGAGAATCTGGACCTTCTTGCTGTACGAAGACAAAAATTCGGACGAATAGTACAGATCTTGTAAGGTGCCGTACGACGCATACTCGAGTGCGATGACAGGTGCTAAAGTGGGTTCGCCTATCACATCATCGAGCACACGTTCCCAACCCAGGGCAACAAGCTGAACAATGTTCCGCTTGTGCGCATTTGGTACATGGTAAGTCATATGATGTGTGACGACCACATCCTTCATGAAGTCCAGCCAGGCTCCCCGTGATGCTGTTCGGTTGAGTCGTTTGTAGACAGCATCGTTCACAACCCGCCCATCCGTGTCCGCGCGAACTTGCTCCCAAGGTACGTGCGTTACTCGAAAAGACCAACCGTTGCTGAGGTACTTTGGTCGATGTGGGATATAGGCCGGCGACATCGGGTTAAAGGCCAGTTCATTGTGGTTTTGGATAGCTTCGAGGAACATGAGGATGGCCAGTGGCGCGACATCCGAAACGAATGGAAACGTGCTTGCTTTGTGAGCTTCGCATCTTCTGCACTCTGTTCTTCCAGTGGAAGTCGGTTGTGTGTTGCTTATCGAACTGGCACTTGTCTCGTCCGCCGACCATTTCGCAGTCATACTCGATGCGCCGCCGATCACTACCGCATGAGATGAGGTTGTTGAACTCGATGCGATTCCAGAGCCTACATATGATCCATCCGGTATATCGATACCATACGAGTTTCGGTAGTGAAGGTCCGATGCCCCTCCATTCAATGATTTCGAAGTACTTTGTGTGTGCGAACTCAGTCGTGAAGAAGATAACTTCTTTCGCAAAGAAGCGATTGGGTCGGTAGCATAGCGTTCCTCCTCTTCTTCTTGTTCTTCTTCCTCCGTGATTTCATGTTTACAGATTGCTCTCGCGCATGGCCTGAGGCTCTTCAGCGCTGCTGCCCAGGTTTTCTTGATCTATCTTAGCATTTTCCCCGTGTGGTGTTCAGTTCAGACTCTACAAACCTTGCACGACTCAAAACAGAGTTCTTCCAGCTCGTCTCGCCTTTCAGAGAACAAATCACCAACTTCATTCAGAAAAGTACCGGTCGAAGCCTCGTTGCACGCCGGCGAGAAATCCATAGTTCTCGAGAAAGCCGAACGCTTCGCGGAGAATAGCAGACTAGCAACGGAACATGTTGGCTTTTTCACATATCGGAAGAGCTGATTGACATTATATCAAGTACTGGTCTAGACATTGACATCCTTGATAGATTCTTGTTTTAGACTTCACAAGGGTCGCGTTTCCAGTCCGAAAATGGCCGCAGCTGAACCTCCGCCAGGGATCTAGATACGGAGTGGCTTGCATTACTCAGTGGTCTGGATTCTTACCTCGGGCGTGATGGGAGGTGCAGTAAGGCTGAGATGGTTGATTGGACCGGGCTAAGCGAAGACCATTAATGCTTCTTTTGCTTCAGCCTCACATGCCTCGTCATTCTCCGACTCGGGAAGTAGCAGAATACTTTGCTTTATTGTCTTTCATTTTCTTATTCTTTTGCCTCCTGAAGACTTTGCACGAATACCAAAGTGATGGCGGATGTCGGACTAGGTGTCGTCGGCCTCATCGGGCTGTTTAATACCTGCTTGGAAGGCTACAAAATATGTCTGTCAATCCAAGACTCAGACGATGATCTGAAACTTCTACGAGCGCGGATGTACCTGGAAAAGGAGCGTTTTGCGAATATAGGGAGAACATGTGGGTTATTGGGAGATGGAACTGGCGACAAGGGGAGGACAGAAGCGCTCAACGAATTTCTCGCGAAGAACAAATTTCGGAGGAAGTCGATCGAGGATATATTGGTTCTAATCGATAATTTACTCGAAAAGGCTGAAGAACTAAATAAGAAATATGAAGAGAACGAAGGGTTGCCGGAAGCACTTCAAGACAACGTGCGTCGCCCAAACAGCATGCAAAATGAGAATCTAACAGAGGAGTAGGATATGAAAGAGAAGTTGGCAGGCAAGTTTCGGGGACTCAAGCGTTCTTTGAGGAAAGGGACTTGGTCCATTCGAGACAAAGCGGCCTACGAGCAGATGCTTGGTCATTTGGTAGGATTCAACACCGCCCTAGAGCGCATTCTCCCAGATCCATTGCAACAATTCCTCGCCACTGTGTTGCCGGCTACAATCTGCGCCTCAAGCAATGAGGACACTTTGACACAAGCAAGCCAAATTCCCACTTCTGATGCTTTCCTGAAATCCCAGATACAATGGACAAGCGAAGTCCTGGGAGTTGTGAGCATACCTCGCGGGACGGAGCTTGATATTGCCAGCTTCACAAACTCGGCCCCACTGGGGAAGGACAAGTCGAGGCTTCTCGCCACTGATGCGAACAGCCAAACCATCTTCATCGAGTGGACTCCATGGGAGCGGGTGTCAATGCGAGCAGACAAGCCCACACGGGCATCGCGAATATCAGGCCTTCTCCGGGATGAGAAGTGTGACGAACTGCGACTGCTTCCTTGCGCCGGATATCTGGAAGAGCACAGTGATCTTTCAGATAAAGTGCGATACGGACTTGCCTACAGAATCTCCACGCGTCATAAGAAAGTCAAAAGCCTTTACGACTTGCTTGAATCCTTTCAGACGATCCGGCTTCCCGCGCTTGAGGCCCGCTTTGAGCTTGCGCGAACTTTATGTCGAGCAGTTCTCCTGTATCACTCATCTGGCTGGATCCATCATGACTTCCGGTCGCACAACATCATCTTCACGGAGGGGAAAGGCGAAGATGGCACAGGCGCAACTAGCGCAGAGTATCAAGGCGTCGATATCGGTCGACCGTTCGTCGTCGGCTTCGGCCACGCGCGAGATGAGAACGATGCTTCCCTTATGTTTGCGGATGAGAAAGCGGTGAGCAAGACGCTGAAGCAGCAGAGGAGGTACTGGTCGCCGGACTACCTGGCGAGTAGCGCAGAAAAACGCACCAATCGTGCGTTCCAGCAGTCTCACGACATATTCTCCCTTGGCTGCGTTTTACTAGAGATCGGCGTATGGAGACCGCTCGAGAGCTATACATGGGAGAAGGCGTATAGCAACGATCATACAACGTGGTACCAGCGACTAACGAAAGAGGAGGGCAAGTTGACGGCGATGTGTGGATCGCGGTATGCGGCCGCTACGATGAGATGTCTGAACTGGAAATCAGCAAACGTCGAGAAGGATGTGCGGGCTCTGGCATTTGAGGTGTTATTGAAGCTGGAGGAGATCACGGTGTGAAATTCTCGCTCCATTGATGATACATTTCTATAGAACAGTCGTATTTCGAGCGATTACCGTTCATGATAATGAAGACTCTCTACGAATCATTACCAAGCTATTTCCTAAACCGAATTGCTGTGATTCCACTTAAGAAGCAGGTAAACGAGCTTCAAACCCTACGTGTAATCAAAGATCACAGATACCAACCGTACCACAGATTGAGCTTGTTCGACTGAGTCGTGAGAAACTTTGAAGCATGAGAAACCTCTGAGTACTTCTTCGTACAATACCAGCCGGATCAGCACAGAGACAATGTTAGATCACCTCGATCGAATCCGTTAACCTTGTACGGAGTAGTCCTCACAACAATGTAACATATCAGACTCCAGCAATCACACCTACAATAGCCACCATACCAGCCACCATACCAGCCACTCGACAAACAGGCCTCTTGTGATCCACCTTCACTTGCAATCGACGCACGAACCATCCTCCTGGTCTGTGTCACGTTTCTGCTTTCGTGATTGAGGGCGCTCAGATCAATCAGGCTCCCAGGGAGGTATAAAAGGGCCCATCCCCCCACCAATTCTTCCTCTTTTCTTTTCTCTTTTTCTTCTTCATACTTACCTTGCTGGAAATCCCGAGCTCAAGAATCCGGGTATTTGGTTTGGATCAGCTGCATTGCACACTGCGGGACTGGTCCGGATCTGAGGCGGCCTCACAGCTCCCTCTCTGGCGCAATTTTTGTTTGCTTTCTGCCTTTTGTGTTCTTCATTGATTCTCATGGCTTGTCTGTGAGGTTGAGGAAGAGAGTTGTATATGATGATCGTGACTCGGTAGTCTAGTGACTGCAAAGTCCTCCCACTGAGCGTAGAAGGCCTGTGACGTTGGTAACCTAGTCGCATGAAAGGGCTAGAATTGTGCGGCCGTTAAGTGAATGTCTCCATTTCCCTGCAGAGACGACAAAAATCATTTGCGCAATATGTGATGCTCCAACGTTGGCCGCTCTCTTAAAAGTGGTGATAATCCAGGCATTTTTCCCATTTTTGGTGTTTGTCGATAACAGCGTCGGACATTGCCCGCTATTCCCGGATTGGACTAGTCTTGCGTGAAGCGAATTTCTGCTTGGCGTATTCACACAACTCCACCATCCAGACAACAACCTCGTTCACGCACCCGAAGCACTTCCCACACATTAAACTCGCCAATACATCGACAAAATGGCCGCCCGTGGACGCGCTGGGTACGTTGACCCTCTTCAATCCCGTCGGAGTCTTTGCTTGCGCAGGCAATCGCCCAGGACCGCCCGCAGCGTTGACGATGACCGCATTCATGAAAGAAAAAAATTGCTAACTTTCCCACAGAGCATCCGGTAACAAGCTCAAGATGTACGTAAGAAACCGCACACATTCCCTCTCTCGAACCGCGAACGCGAACGCACAAAGGTCACCGCCGGGTGAATTTTTTTTCGTATCGAAATTTCGACCTTGATCGATAAATCACCCGCCCACGACCCGCGACCGCTCGAACAGCGCTTCGGAAATAATTTTCGTTTGAGGGATGGATGACTGACATGCTATTGTGTGTAGGACCTTGGGTTTGCCCGTTGGTGCCGTCATGAACTGTGCGGATAACTCTGGAGCCCGCAACTTGTACATCATCTCCGTCAAGGGAATCGGTGCCCGTCTTAACAGGCTGCCCGCCGCCGGTGTTGGTATGTGACATGGATTCGAACGAATTGGATATGGGAATAGAATCGTTAACAAAGGCGCAGGTGACATGGTCATGGCCACCGTCAAGAAGGGAAAGCCCGAGCTCAGGAAGAAGGTCATGCCCGCCGTCGTCGTCCGACAGAGCAAACCTTGGAGGCGAGGTGACGGTATCTTCCTCTGTATGTGGATTCGAGATATCTTTAGGCCTGAGGAACTATCGACTGACTGTATCATAGACTTCGAGGACAACGCAGGTGTCATCGTCAACCCCAAGGGTGAGATGAAGGGCTCTGCCATCACTGGCCCCGTCGGAAAGGAGGCTGCTGAGCTCTGGCCGGTAAGTCGAAGTCTAGCAAGACACGCCCACGCACTCCCGCACTTCTCCCGAACAGGCACACTAACGAACGTAACAGCGTATTGCCAGCAACTCTGGTGTTGTGATGTGAGGTGGTCTTTTTCCTGCTCTTCTCCAATTTTACGGCTGGCTTGGTTGGGAACCGGCGAAATGCATAGGCAGGGGTTTACGATAGTACCTCGCCAAAAATAGCAATGGAATGATGCTTCACAAAAACTTCAAAAAAGAAACGAAGAAGACTTTCGCATATCCGATCGAGACGAGCTCTCGCCTTTGCGTAGTACACGAAAATTGCACGAATTGATTCAAACGATGCCCTCAGGCGACCCTGTGAAATTGAGATTGGAGCTTGAATTGGTTTTTGATTTGATGCATGCGAGACACTCGAACTACTGATCCCACCCACAGGACTCCACGAACAAGATTAAGAGCAACCTCAGTTCCCTGCCACCTCCGCAGCCCACCTCATGACCGTCATCCTCTCGCCATCGAGAGCCCTCCTCCGCGGCGCAGCACCGAACCGCAAGTTCTCGTTCCCTACAACACCATTCCTGACCTGCCCATTACTCGGCGCACCAATCCCTTGCACCGTTCCGTCCCCGCCCTGCATGACGCTCGCATAGCTGGACAGCATGACCTGGACGCCGTCGACGAAATCCCTGCCGTCGAACTCGCAGTGGCCGCCCTGGGGCGTGTTGTCGACGGTCTGCAGCTGGTTGATCTCATTGGTGGAGAGGCCGGCCTGCGCGGCGGCGCTCTCGTACGCCGCGACGGCCTGCGGGATGCTCTGCTGCAGGGACGCGAGCTCGTTCTGCGTCGACTGGTAGTGGATCTTGGTCTGGGAGAGGACCTGCGCGCCGTTGACGAAGTCGACCTGCGGGGGCAGCGCACCGCAGTTGAGCTCGACGGCCGAGTTGGGGAAGTTGGCCATCTGGGACGGGATGAAGAAGCCGCTCATGAGGAGCGAGCCGCCGGACACGCCGGAGAAGACGACCGCGTTAGGGTCGAAAGCTACCATCTGCGGGAGGGCTTGGGTCACGAAGTCGGAGACGGCTTGGGCGTGCTCGACGCCGTCTGTTCGCTCGAGGCCCTGGCCGCCGCCCCAGAAGAGGTTCGGGTCCGGGGCGAGGAGCACGACGCCCATGGTGTTGGCTTGCACGTTCTGGTTGGGGAAGTCGAAGAAAGATTGGCCTCCGTCTCCGTGGAGGAGCACATTGACGCCCATGGTGCCGTTGGAGGCGGCCGTCGCAGCGGCTCCTGGAATGTTGGTGTTGGCCATGAACTGGTCTGCTGGAGCAGAGACCTTGAAGCGGATGGGGAGGCCACTGGTCGATGTTAGACTCGTTCCAACCACAATACACGGGAGTCTCACTTGATATTCACTGTGTCGTCGACAATGGTAGATCCATCCTGAGCCTGAGATATACCGCCGGGCACTTGAGCTGCCTGTTGCTGAGCCGTAGCCCTCTGTTGGCCTCCGCCGTTTCCTCCGCCATTCCTATTGCCACCTCTATTACGCTGCGGTGCCGGTGCCGCCACTGCGAGAACAGCAAAAGCAAGAACCGATAGTCCGTACATTATGAAGTTAAAGAAGAAATGGTGCACAGCACGTGAGAAAGAAGTGAATTAAATGATAGAGCGGACCGGCCGAGGGCAGAATCGAACAACGAGACAAGGAGAGCTGCGAAGAAACAACACCACAGATCGACCACGAAGAGTGAAGAAGAGGAAGTCAGAAGAAAACAATGTGGAGAACACAGATGTATTATTTGTCCGACACACACGATCACCCTTTCCCTTTGCCCTTTCTTTCCCCCCTCCCCGTCTTACGATCAAGACTCAACTCCCCTACATCAGATCAAACACAGCACCAACCCGAATGGCATGCCAAACCCGCCAAGCCCAGGCCTCCAGACTCGAAGCTGCAGCGGTGCTGAGGCTTGGGTGAGCTTGGTTGATGGAAATTCTCGCCTTCGTGCGTGCTGGTTAGCCGCGGTGTTTGACGTTGCGGTGGATGGCGCAAGAGATGTTTGGGGTGGGAGGGGACGCATGTTTCGGATGTGGCGCTTTGGGCGTCGAACCTGGTCTCGTCTTCGCAGAACTCAAATCATAAGTCTATCGCGACTCGCGAGTCTCGACACTTTCATAAAGTCAATACATACATCGTGGGACTCTTATTATGAATTTCAATCGAGCTAATGTGTAGTCATAATTCTTCACATCGACCTCTGCACAAAGATATGCCAAAAGACATTCATCCCCAGACACTCTATACAACGTAGCACTTTTCAGGCATACGAACACGGGCACGTGAAACAGGCCTCCTCGCGGGCATGACTGACTCAATCCGGTTCAGTCAATAATCATTGCTTTAGCATAATTACCTCAGTTCCTCACTCGAGTCCGTACTTACGTGGTTATAGTCCGTGAGTTGAGTGGTAAGGCTGGGAAACTGGATGTTGTGAACTTCTATAGGTACCGAGGTAGGTATCTACTACATGTACGGTAGGTAGACAATAACACATTGCACATGATTCCCCATGTAGAATTCCAAGCAACCCCAGTCGTTAGATAGACACTTGGTTGGGGGTTGGGGTCGTATGTTTTCCCGCTACGACTAGATATAGGACATGCTTGCTTGTGTGCCACTAAGCCCGTAGACGTGAACAAGCCTATGCCCTCAATCCAATATAAAGCCAACTGCACACTATTATTTCTTTTCATTTATTATTTTCATAAAATCTAGAGCTCCATATACATTCTTTGCTGTAATTCTCAGTACGATAATATGTGTGCTGTCAGCGTTGTAATTTTTCTTGTTATTCCGTTCTAGAAAAAAGGGGACAACATTATGTGCCGAGTTCTCCTACATGCACCAGCTACCACAAGAATTGTTTACGCTTTTTAATCATAGGCTATGTTTGATAGGACATGCAAGAGAGAAAAGTAGAGGATGGGAATGGTTTCTTGTTTTTACTTGTCTGTTAAAGAGGGAGAAATTGGAGTGGGTTGTAAAGTTACGCTGTTGGACGAATTGTATGTATGCCAACCAACGTCACTTTCAGTCAGGATATCCTAGATACCTTAGGTCATGAAGTCGATATCTTCTTCCTCTCATCGGCTGCATACATTGTCTGTGGTTTCATAGGCATAAGTGTGATCTGATATAACAATGATAATTACTCTTGCGATAGATAGGCAGATATCCTACATGCTACATAAAATACGCTATGCCGCGCTGCGCTGCTGATATCCCACAACCTCCCAAAGAAATGCGATAAAAAATGCGAATATATATTTCCATAAAGATCATCCCTCATATCATCATCCTTTCCCCTTTTCCTCCTTCTCCTTCCCATCCACCACAGCAGCCCCACCACCACCAACCACCCTCTCAACCCCCCACGCCATCACCGCAGACACCGCAACGAGCACGAGCACGAAGTCCGCGATATGGACCCCCCACCACCAATGCTGGACCCCGAGCCCGCAGCTCGCGATCTCGAGACGCCATTCACGGCTCTCGGTGTCGTACCACGCGGATAGGAAGCCCGCGCGCCCGCCGAAGGAACCCATCATGCTGCGGAGCGTGACTTCGCGGAGGCTTGGGATCGGGTCGTTATTAGGGGGTGGGGATGTGAGAGGGAGGCGCGGTGGGAGCGATGGTGTGCGGATTGCGCGCCAGGAGGGCGGTGAGTCGTTGTCTTGGGGGGAGGTCGCGTTGCCGTAGCATATGGCGTCGCCGGCTGGTGATGTCTCGCAGTACGTTTCGGCGCTATCTTCGTTGCGTTCGTCGACGGCGTTAGGGGACCAAGGGAGCGAGGAGTGGTAGTGTATGACGTCGCAGCCCTCGTGGTCGTGTCCGTTGATTATGACTCCTTTCCTCCCGAGTCCTCGATTCGGGCCGTCGGCGTTCCCGCTCAGCCCGAAGATGCCTTCGAGGATCGTCTTGGACGAGTGCTCGGATAGCATGTTTTGCTCTTTTATGCCCTGCGGGTGGCCTGAGAAGAATGTGAAGAGCGGGGCATCGACGCAGGTCCCGGATTCCTTGTGCAGCGGGATGTGCGTGAGGAGGACCGTGGAGTGTGAGGAGGACTCGACGGGGAGGGAGGTGGTGATGATGTGGTTTAGGAAGTCGTAGGTTGAGCGTTGGAGGTCGTCTGAGAGCGCGGGGACGTCGATGTTCATGGTGTTGAGGATTACCAGGCGGAGCGCTGGTACGTCGTCTCTGCTTTCTTCCTCTTGCCCGTCGTGCGCATCATCGTTGTAGATGGATATCTTCTCGTCCGCCGCAGGATACTCCAACCACAAATCCCAATTCACCCTCCCAAACGCCCTCTCAAATCTCTCCACTCGATCCTCATCCAGATCCCCAGCGTACCCAACATCATGGTTCCCCGCGATATTAATAACCCTATCCTCCCACTTCTCATCCGCCCCGAGGACCTCCCTCTTACTCTCCCACTTGCTCCTGTCGTCACCCCACATATACCCCTCAGGCACCCTCTCCATCCCCTTAAACACCCTCCCCCAGTACCGCCCCGCCCGCCGCTCAAACTCCTCGTCAGACACCCATTGCGAGCCGAGGAGGTCGCCTAAAACCGCGACGTGCGTAGGGTGCGTGTGCCGTCGGAGGGAGCGCACGATGTGCGCGAGGTAGTAGTCGTTGCCGAGGAGGTCGAGGCGCTTGCGCTGGGAGTGGAATGCGGCCGGAACGTCGGCTGTGAGGAGGGAGTGGAGGGCGGATTTGAGGTCCGGGAAGGTGGAGGCGGAAAAGAGGTCGGACAGGGAAGGCAGGAGAGGCTCGTCTGGGGAGGGGAGGGAGGAGTCACCTTCGAGTTGGGGGTCGCCTAGGGCGAGGAGTCGGAAGGGCGCTTCGTGAGGGTGAGGTTGTTTTCTTGAGATGTTGTGGTTGTTATTGTTGTCACCGTTGGGGGTGGGAAATGCGCACGAGTGCAGCTGGGGGTAGAGGTAGAGCCATGTTGTGGAGAGGAGACATGGTGGGAGGAGGACTAGTGCTATGAGGAAGAGGAGGCGCGAGAGCTGCATTGAAGCATTCTCAGTGTCTTGTGTCGCGACAAGGTACGGTAGGTAGATACTATGTTGGTGTTGTTGTCATGGTTGACTGTTGACATGTGGTTGAATTAATTAATCCAAGATAGTCAGTCAGGGTTCGGAGGATTAAAATCGACCAGGGGGTCCCTCGGAGCGAATCACATGCAATCGTTACTCGAATAAACAATGGCCATGCAGCGAACTTGAATACCGAAAAACATCACAGGGTTTGAAGTATCATAGAAGCCGTTTGGTGAGGGTATCGCACTCAGTGCCATGATTCATTGTGTCACAAATTGATGCCTCAGCGCTATCACTCGCATAGTTACGTTCAAGATGACGAAAGTCTACAGGGGCGCAAAAATAAAACCAGTGTCTTTTGATCCTGACGCCAGGCTGTAAAACCAGTCCGCATACATCAAATCCAGATCCTCGTATAATCTTCAAAGAAAGAGGGCAACTCCATTGTTCAACCGAGGAGGTCACCCAGGGCACCGCCAGGTTTGGATCCTGCTCCCTGGTTCTGCGCTGGTGGTGTGCTACTGTTCGCCGTTGAAGCCCCCCACAATCCCTGGCTGGTCTTCTGCTTGGCCATGTCCGACATGGTGACTTTCTGGGTCGGGGTGCCAGTCTTCTTCGGTCCACTGCCAGCTAGGAGAGATGCGAAGGCATCGCCACCAGATGACTTGGCAGCAGGCTTGTTTCCGCCAATGCCGCCACCAATCCTGGGAGACTGTACGGATGAGGGGGTGGAGGACGCGGATTGGCCCTGACCGATGTTGACAGAGGTGAAGTAGTTGGGACCCGTTGCCTGGTAGCCGGCAGGTCGCGGAGGTTGATTGAAGCTGGAAGTGGTCGATGCAGGTGTAGCCACGGGAGGGGATGCCAGGCTGCTAGCTGCAGGGGTAGGAGTGACGGTCGCGAAGAGGTCGTTCAGGTTGTTGTTCTGAGCAGCGGACTGCGGCTGCGGTGCTGCGAATTGGGTGGACGAGGAGATGGTCGAGGTCGATGCAGGTGGTGGCATGAAAGGAGCTGCAGCCGGTTTCGACTGGGCAGCCGGTGCTGGGGCGGCGGACTGGAAGTCATCGAAATCGTCGTCATCGCCAAAATCGTTGGAGATCGGTGCAACGGGTTGCTTTCCAGCAGAGGTGGAAGCCGGCGCTGGCTCATCGTCCCATGCTAGTAGATCGGCAACGGGCTCTTTGGGCTTCGGCGGCTCTTCTTTCTTCGTTTCCCGTTTCGCCTGACTGGAGGAGGATGTGGGTTGTGTTCGTCGGGAGGGGGCAGAGACCTCGCCCTCGTCATACTCGTCGTACTCCTCGAAGCGATCCCTCCGGGCCTGAGATTCTTGATAGTCGCTGGTATTGCCTCCAAAGCCGCCGCCGTCACCATATACACCACCGCTGTAACCTCCGAAGTCAGCACTTTCGCTTCCAAAGCCTCCGTATCTGCCGCTACCGCCACCACCGCCGCTGGAAAAGCCACCTCCTAGGCCGGCGCCGCCCTCGACACCCCCGAACTTGTTACGATTTGCTCGCGCCTTCTTCCGTTCGGCTCGAATTCGGTCGACGTCGCTGAGGAGCTCGGCGAGTTCCTTGGCTCGGTTCCGCACGTTGATGCCTTGATCCTTGCCGTTCTGGTCGATGAAGTGGAATTGGCGGAGCATTTTGAGGAGGGAGACGTGGGAGCGTGCGTCGTCGATGACTCTTTCGGAGCCGTTCTTGATGAGGAACTCGAGGAGTTGGAGGGCCTGGTGGACAAATGTTAGCGTATGAGAGCTTGGAAGGTAGTAGATATGTGTCCGGAATCCTGGGGATAGCTACCTTGTAAATTTGCCGCCACTCCTCAGCGGCCTTCTCGGTGAAACGTTTGTAGATCATAGGCATGATTTCGTTAAGCAATTGGCTGAAGATATTAGCAGAGAGGTCGTGTCGAGGGTGAGAGAGGTTTGCGCTCACTAGTTGAAGGTGCCGCTGGCGATTTCCTGAAGTTGGGTTGATGATGCGCCTGGATGATTGAGTTAGAATAATATCTGATATGAACACTTGGTGGCACTTACCCCATGGTTCATTGTTTGTTGCCTCGCGGACCTTTGCCTCCATCTCTGTATAGTTCATGACGGCTGTGGGCGCAATTAGCGGTTGCGTCAGGGCGCGCGGAGAGCGAGTTGGGCGGGAACTCACCATTTTGGACCTTACGGACACTCGCTTTGAGGTCGTAGAGGGTGAGATTGCTCACTTGGTCCTTGAGGCTGTTGAAATCCATGGTGAGGGTGGTGGAATGGGGTAGGGGAGTGGACGCGGTGTCCTTGAATACTGTTCCGGGCGTCAAGTCAAGTCCAAGTTGCGAGATGTGATATGGATGAAGTGGCAGCTCAGGGATCCGGGACTGTCACGTGATGAGACAATGGGCGGGTCGCCGAGATGCCAAGCAATCCTCAATAGACAATAGAGAAGTTGACAAGCAGCAATGAACTGATATTCCTAATGGTCCAGCTTGATGGCGTTTATGCATATATTTTACTTCTTTGATATTACTTTATCTTGTTACCAGCTATAGTATTCGTAGTACTCGTAGGTTGAATTCAAGTGCCAATGAGGACGGAGACCGATGATTGGAAGAGGCACTACGGAGTACTACTACTAATAATAACAGACCAAATAGACTACTCGCACTCAAAACAAAATAAGGCAAGGAGACCGGCTATTACGTCGTCGAGCTCTCTAGTTCCAAAGATTGAACGCTACGACTAGACTAGACAAGTGCAGTGTGCGATGCGGTGAGGTGAGGAATTGAAGTGTGTGAGGAGAATAATAGAGAGAGAGGAGAGGAGAAGAGGTTAGATGAGGTGAGGGCTTTGGACCTCAGCCTCTGGTTTTTTTTCTTCCCTCTCTTCTACCTCGTACTTCCAACCATCCATTCTTCATCCATCATCCATCATCAACAACCATTGACCATCAAGGTCAATTGTATTATATCATCATCTTCCATCTCTTCGTCCCCTGTATTACATAACAATCCGAGGTCCTCCGGTCGCGAGATCTACCTTGTCCTTTTGCTGCAAGCTCTCAAGCTCCGTCCGTAAAATCACCAACCTACCTGTACCTACCCACCAAAGCTTTGTTAAAAGCCATCTCCCAGGTAAGTCAATTACAATCTATATAGAGAGGGCAATTGAGAGGGCACAGAGTGAGATTGAAGCCCAATTCGCCTCCCCCGTCTCCCAACCCACACCTTCCACCTCGCGTTTCCTTTCCCCCTTCCATCTTCCAGCTTGGGAGAAGGAAAAAGAAAGAGAGAGCTGGAGCATGATGTTCCCCGGACGGACAGCGCCATGCACTGCCTCTCTCGCTTCTTCTCCTGCCCTGTTCTACCTTGCAGCAATCCCGCAGCAACCCCGAATAGGATAAGGAAGAGAAGAGGAGGGAAAGGAAGGGAAGAGAAATGGGGGTGGGGGGAGGTAGGGAGGGAGAGTAGGGATGGATGAATGGATGGGGTTGATGGAGGGGGGTGACGCCGAAGGCTTGCATGCTGACGGATGGGATGGATATCAGATGGTGGGTGGTGAGGGCGAGGGTGAGGGTGAATTGGTGATGGCGGCGGTGGTGGTGGTGGTTGAGAGATGCACTGCCATGCCATATCCAATTGCCCTGTCCTTCTGCCCTGTCCTGCATCATTGTCCTATCCCTATCCCAATCCTATCCCATCCTATCCTGATCTTGTCCGGATCCTTTTCTTTACCAATCCTCGTACCTTTTATTATTCCCTGTCAGGACTCGTAACAAAAAGGTAGATGGACGATGATGAGGATGGCGCGCTAATTACATTACAACCCTTTCACAGGTCCCGCCTTCACCAACCAACCCGGTCATCCCAGCCAACCCAGCCAACCAACCAGCCCCACCATGTTGCCCCGCTTCAAACCTGCCTCTTCTACTACTTCTTCTCTTCTCTCCTCTACCTTCCGCTCTTCCTCCTACAACTCAACTCAATTCCATCTCAACAAACGCTTCTTCTCTCCATCAGCCTCCAACATGGTCATCAAGACTTACTTCGACGTCTCCTGGGAGGGCCCCGAGATCCAGGTCGATCAGAAGGGTACCGTCACCAGCACCGGCTCCGTCAAGCGTATGTTTTGTTCCCTACCCTCTCCATTCTTCTAGCATTACAATCTCTCCCATTCTTGTACCCCTCCAATCAATCAACCATCGTCATCATCAGATTCATCATCATTGCCCCTCCTATCATCATCCCGCTACCAGCAAGAGCTCTCCGGCTTCAGCTGCAGCTTCAACCACAGCTACAGCTCCAGCTTGAGCACAGCTTTGCATTCCACTCCCTTGTCACCTCATACCATCTTCACTTCTCTTACTTCTCTCCATCGATCCACTATCCATTCAAGATGATTCAATTGCTGACAATCCCTCTCCCCCGCAACAGAGCAGAAGGGCAGGATCAACTTCGAGCTCTTCGACGATGTCGTCCCCAAGACCGCCGAGAACTTCCGCGCTCTCTCCACTGGCGAGAAGGGCTTCGGTTATGCCGGCTCCAGGTTCCACCGTGTCATCCCCCAGTTCATGCTCCAGGGTGGTGACTTCACCCGTGGCAACGTAAGTAACCTCCTCGCTGGCGACTCCATTCGATTCGTTCACCATCTCCGCGGGGATGCGGGGTGACCGCGAAAGACTGGGTGACAATGTGAAGAAGCTCAAGCTAACAATGGATACTACAGGGCACTGGTGGCAAGTCCATCTACGGCGAGAAGTTCTCCGACGAGAACTTCAAGCTCAAGCACAACAAGCCTTTCCTCCTCTCCATGGCTAACGCCGGCCCCAACACGTAAGATACCACTCACCCCACTTCTCGTTTACTTTGTCTTGGTCAATGATACTGACAGTATTTGTACAGCAACGGCTCTCAGTTCTTCGTCACCACCGTTGTGACCTCGTGGCTCGACGGCAAGCACGTCGTCTTCGGCCAGGTCCCCGACGGCGATGTCGAGTCTTACAGGGTTGTCCGCGCCATTGAGGCTGCCGGCAGCGGCAGCGGTGCCATCAAGTACAGCACCCCACCTACCATTGAGGCCTCTGGCCAGCTATAAGCGTTGGTGTCACGACGGATATGTACAATTCAATGGAATGGAATGATTAATGGCGAAGGGGAACGGAAAGCAAAAGCTTGACGTTGCGTGCAGGCGAAGGATAGTAGGAGGATTGCTCATAGGTAGCTCCAGCAGCATATGCAGCTCTCATGCAGCTTATCTTCCGAGCTCTGAGACAGCACGTATAAAAGTTGATTACCATCCCCATCTATCCGTCTCTAATTGTAGCGAGTGATGTCAATCATAAGTTGCTCATGATGTGCCAGCCAAAACATCATGCTATTTGAAGCTACGCCAACACTAAACTACGACTTCTGATCAATGCAGCAGGTACTACAATGTGAATTTCCATAACGACAAATACCAGCAACAGTAATAGCAATAATAGCAGTAGGTGCGAAAGTAGGAGTGGCGGTACGGGCACCGAGGGGTTGAAAATTTGATATGGCGTAGTTGGAAGGGATGGCGGGGTAATCCGGTACTCGACCCCTCCATCCATTCAGTACACAGGAGGAGGTACTTACAGGTACTTCCTGCTGTGCAGTGTGTACTAGCTACTATTGTGTAGTGTCTAGGTACACACTACCAACTGGCTCAGCCATGATGGAATCACGGAACAATCGGTGGAAGAATTACCCCGCACTAGCACAATCCACTAAGAAAGATCTAACCTCACTGCCTCCCCCTCCCTCTCTCTCCCTCTTTCATCGTCATCGTCATCATCATCACCTCCACCCCTAGTTACACACTAACTACCTACTCGTCCTACTCGTACTAATCGACTTCTACTGTTATCAAATTATTACTCGCCATATCCATTCATATTCGCCATTCCAACTGTACTCTTTTCACTCCATATCTGTTCCACTACTCACCTGTTCTTCTTCTTTTTTTTCCGCCAGACCCTCACCACCATGAACTCTTCTCAATTGATTCCGTCTCATTTCATTCCACCATTGAACATTGTCATCATCATATGCGTATCTTGAATTTCCCAATTGAACTCCTCGCGTCTGTTTCCGAGTCAATTGAATTATTGAAATCTTTGCAATCACATTATCCGGAACGGAACCTCCTCGGTGCAATACAACTAATCAATCATCTCACTCACCCTGAGGCCAGGGACTTATGAGTACCTGGGAGTCTACGATATCGCATACCGTGCCCTGCATAAAATCTCCACGAATGCCTAGATTATAACTCGTATCTGTTCAGTAATCCCGATGATTATGTACAGTGTCGGAATGGATCCAAACGAGCTCCAATTCGATTCATTTCATCCCCGCCCAGGCAGTCTAGCTCCGGTACAGCAATTTGGAGCTCCAATCGCATCATCCGTCGTTTTTGACGACGCCTACATGTCGTTGCATAGGGCGTACACATTGACATGACACGCCATGATAGGTACCGGTACAGGTCGTCAAAATATGCCGAACTCGCAATCGTCTTGACCAATTAGCTTATGACTAACACTAGATACACCTCTTCCCTCCGACCATCATATGATCTCTCTATCATCATCTTTGCTCTTCCGCAATTCTTATATCCATCGTACATTACTTTTCGTTTTCTTCTCCTTCTACTCATTTACTCTCTAGATTGGCAATTGCCCATAGATACCCTCCCAATTGCATCGCCCTCGAGCTAATCAGTCCACCGCCATGTCGCCCAACAACACCCCTCTGTCCCCCGCTACCTACGCCGTCCACGCCGACGACCGCATAAATACCGTCACCGACGTTGCTCCCCCAATCCACCCATCCACCACCTTCCGCTACCCACGTAACCCTGAACAGCTTCAACCCGTACCCAAGGGCTCTGAAGAACATGTCAACCTCACCACACCTCTCATCTACTCTCGTCTCGCCTCCTCTAGCACCAACCGTCTCGAAACCATCCTCGCACCGCTCCTATACCCAGACTCTCCACCATCCTCCTACGAATCTCTTGGGAACCATGTTGTCACGTACACATCAGGCCTCTCTGCCTTTCATGCCCTCCTCGTCAACGTCGTCCCCAAGGTGATCGCCATATCCGGTGGATACCACGGCTGTCACGGCGTGATATCCCTCCACACCAAGATGCACAACCTCCGGACCGTAGACCTCCACGCCGACGAATCCGCCTGGGACGCCGCGGGCCTTGGGAAGGGCGACATCGTGCATCTCGAGACCCCATTGAATCCCACGGGAGAGGCTTACTCCATCGCCCACTTCGCCGCTCGCGCCCACGCACGCGGAGCCCTCCTCTCCGTCGACGCTACCTTCGGTCCCCCGGGACTCCAGAACCCCTTCGCGCTCGGCGCAGACATCGTCATGCACTCCGGCACGAAATATATCGGCGGCCACTCGGACATGCTCTGCGGTGTGCTCGCGACGGCCCCGACGCCGGAGGGATACAAGCGCGCCCTCACCCTCCGCGACGAGCGCATCTTCCTCGGCAGCGTGTTGGGTAGTCTCGAAGGCTGGCTCGGCGTCCGCAGTCTGCGTACGCTCGCCCTACGCGTCCAGCGACAGAGCGAAAGCGCGACGAACATCGTCTCCTGGATCCACTCCGCGCTCAATTCGACCTCCACATCGCCGGAATCCGCACTCGTACGGAAGGTGATATCGCGTGTCACGCACGCCTCCCTCCAGGCCTCCACGCCCGATGCGAAGTGGCTGCAGGAGCAGATGCCGAACGGGTACGGTCCAGTCTTTTCAATCTACACGCACACGCCCGCGCAGGCACGCAGCCTGCCGAGCCACCTCGCGCTGTTCCACCACGCGACGAGTCTGGGAGGCGTGGAGAGCTTGATTGAGTGGCGGCGCATGAGCGACGGCGGCGTCGACGAGCGGTTGTTGAGAGTCAGCATAGGCGTGGAGGACTGGAGGGATCTGAAGGCGGACTTACTGGCGGCTTTCGAGGTCCTGGCGGATGGTGGTGCTAAGGGGAGCGAGGAGGCGACGAAGGAGGTAGTCGTGCAGACGGGCGGGCGGCCAGCAGAGGTGGCTGGCGCGGCGGATGGTAGTATCTAAGTTCTGATTCATATAAAGGGTTCTAAACTAGATAGATAAATACATATCACGATCTTATCGGACTTCATCCATCGTAATTGAGCTAGATGTGCAGTCCGACAGACGGCCTGTCAGTGAACAACATACGGTAGTCCCCTTTACTGGCAATTAACCTAAGTACGTAGATACCCACACTGAAGTCCATACATCCTCTGTACCCAATGCGGATTCCAGTAGTTATCTCAACAGATAATGTACTTGTCCACGCACACGAGACGAATGTTGGCACTACAAGTCAACCCAAGAAGACATATTAATGCCGAAAGTAATATTCATTCATTCATCTGCAATATCTGTCATTAATTATATCAAAACTAGCCTCCCAAGGGTCTTGTTATTTGTCACATGCACCATACCAAAGAATGAGTATATTTTTTGTAAAGTTTGGTTCGAAGTTTTAGCTTTTACTGTTCTTATCTTCTCTTTCGATCACGAAGAGTGTGAGATACCATATACTCGTGATATCCCCTTCCCTTCTCTCCACCCGTCTCCATGCTGATGCTGATATATAAAAAAGAGAAAACCCCTAAAGCCGGTGATGAATGCTCGCTGAAACCCAAGATAGACCAAAAGGAAAAAGTCCACAATGCCGCCTCCGCACTATGCAATCACTCACGACGATCCGCCAAACACCCCCTTCAACCTCCTTAGCAACTCGGCGCCCATGGCCCTCGCGGTGTCCCCCGTGCGTCCTGCGGCCTCCTTATTCTCCGCCGCGCGTCGGATGAGGAAGTTCAGACACTCCCTGACGGTTCCGAACGTGAGCAGCTTCACCACCTTCGCGTTCCCATCCTGCGCCTTCATCGGATGCTGCAGCAGCGCCTGCGTCAACTCGTCCGCCATACCCTGGAGCTGGGCATACGTGAGCCTTGGAAGCTCCCCATTACCCCCCTTCAACTGCTCCGACCGAATCTTCTGTGCCTTCTCAATCGATGGCAAGTTGTGCGTCGCAAGCACGATATTCACCTCCGGGAACTTCCCCTCCCCCTTCACAGCCTCATTCCACTTCTGCGACACCACCGCATCCAGGCACGCATCGTAGCACTTGTCCGTATCCTCCTTCACGTCCCAGATGAGGCCCCTCGGCTCGGAGGTTAGGTACGCACCCCGCACGAGCTTCACACCCGCCACATACCCCTCCCTCTGCGCGGTCGCAAGATGCGCCGCAATCCGCCCGGGAATCGCCTTCAAATAGCACTGGTACGTCGTGTACACGACCGCCCTGCCATCCCTGTTGTACTTCTTCTGCAACGCGAGGTTCCACGCCTCGAGACCCGGGTTCGTCACCTCCTCCTCCGCGCCAGGGAGCAGCGATATCCCGCGCTCGGCAGCGACGGAGCAGGCCGAGTGCATGGCCTCGAGCATCTCGGGGGACGGGTCCTGGCCTGTTTGGAGGAGCCGCAGCGCCTGGCGGCCGAGGCCGGACCACTTGAAGCCGATGAAGTCGCCGGCGTGGGCGACGGACAGGCTCTGCAGCATGCCCTTCTTCCAGGTCTCGATTTCCGCGGCGGTCTCCGCGGGGGAGGGGGGAGCCCCGCCGAGGACTTCGAGCGCGTACTCGAGGATCACGCCGTCGTATCCTAGCACGCGTTTGGACTCGGCGGCTGTGCGGTGGAGTTCGGGGGCGGTTTCGCCGGCGCAGAATTGTGCGTAGATGGTGCGTTTTAGGAGGGCGTTGAGCACGGGGTTGCGGTCGATGGAGAGGAGTGGGGAGGTGGAGTTGAGGATGCGGAGGAGGAGGGCGAAGAAGGTGGAGAGGAGGAGGGGGTATGAGGATAGTGTCATTATGGTGTAGGAGCGGAGGACTTGGGAGAGGGGGAGCCGGGAGAGGAGGGCGGGTGGTGGTTGTGGGGAGGTGGTGGTGGGAGTTTGGGAGGTGAAGAGTTGGGTTGGGGATGGGGGGAGTGGGCTCGCGGACACGGATTGTCGTGTCGTCGAGTGCACTGAGCGTAGGATCTGTGATGTTGCTGCTCGAAGCGGCGACGATGCTTGGAGTTGTGTCTGGCGTCGTAGGGCGAAGAGTGGTGATGCGCTGCGCTCGAGGCGCTGGAGGTGGCGGATCCGGCAAGCCATTGTGGATGTGTGAATGTGAATGATAGACAATGTGGGTTCTATCGACGGTCGCTTTCCAGCTCTTTTATATCAGTCTCTTGACTGTCCCACGGATCCCGTGCCTGGATGACGATATGGTTCGTGGAGTAGAGTATGAGCCTACGCAATGCCCAGCACTTCCGGTACGAATTGGTAGATGGGCTTCTCTTTTGCCACAGAGAATAGTCACTCGTATCTGAGTCGAACTGGTGAGTCGACAGTGCAGTGGTGAAATAGTAGTTAGATAGGTACGATTGACACAGGTACCAGAGGTCGGTGACCCTTTGGGGATTTATATTGCTACGAGGTCGCAATCCCCTCCCCATAGTCATGAATTGATAACAGAACTAAAGGTGTGGGGAACCATTGGACGTTCCAGCTTGGGTGTGAAGGGCTCGGTTTGCGTCGGAAGCTATGGGCATGATGCAGTGATGTGGTAACCATCGCTGTACCACCTTACCCGATCGGGAGGATTTGAAGCGATTGAGGGTTGTGATTGGTTGAGAGGATTAAGCTTGTTTGGGGGAGGGATTGCTTGGTTCGTTTTGCGTGACTACGAGGGGAGATTGTGTGTGTGAACGGTACGGGATTATTGGGAAATGTCGGGTCGGAGGATGGACGTGTGTGAATTAGGATTGATGGTCGCCTTGTTACATGTGTATAATCTACTGTTACTGGTAATTACTTATGTACGGAGGTACTGCGTGTACAATTGGGTTGTCAACACCGTGTGTGCTCCTCCTCGTAGACGGTCGGATTAGTTATACAGTGTCGTCATCCCATACCCCCAATCCTGCTCAGGAACATCCAAGACCCCAAAGGCGAACAAAAGCAATGTCCGTATGAGTAGGTCAGGTCACAAGACGTTACCTGGTACCTCCCCTCTTTGCACGAGATCCAGACCCCCAATCGCAAAGTCCGAATCGGGTAGACCATTCCTCGCCTCTGGCGCTCTCGCTTCTCATACTCCGACGTCAAGCCTTCCCTCTATAGGACTAGTGGACAGTGAATAGTTCAGCCTCAACGCCGAAGGTAGCCATCGCACTAGCACTCTCGTTCGTATCTCGATTGTCTGCCAAAGAAAAGAAAATTGCATATAACCTAACCAAGAGCAAAAAGAAAATTCTCCTGCATGATCGGGAGAAGGCGAACGTGGGGACATTCGAGACTCCACATCTGCCCATTATTATTGATCTCTGGACTGCTGCCGACATCGGTCGTTGAAGTACGAGTGCACTGCGGGGCCGACGATATGCGTGCACTCACAAGGCTGGGCTCGGGATTCGCATTCGTACGTGCAGATGTTGTTAGGTATTTCGTATGTAAGAGGAAATGCACGATGCGTGTGGGAAGGAATGGTCATATGACACGGTACGGACGGGTTATCTCCGATGCGTGCATCGACGCGAATTCATGAATTTGATTTGATTTGATCTACCCCAAGCTGTCCAAGGAGGCTTCAGGGTTACTATCTTCCTCCAATATCAGAATTGCCTATGCTCCCCAGAAGGGCTCCAGACGATTGTGCCCAAGCAACATAGACAAACTGCTTCCAGCGATGTAGTCCTTCCAACTCCGCGCCGCAATGAAAAGAGGGGATGCCAGAGGGTTTGTTGAAGGCACCTCAGTCGACTTACACATATGAGGAAATAGCGATGTGAAAACGTTTGGTCGTCCTCCTGGAGATACTATTCCTCATCAGAATGTCTACCCTTTCATATCAGTGTTGTCCCCCACGCACATTCATGATCGATCAGGACAGTACTTACGCCAGCCAATCAGCGAAGTCTCTTCAAGAACTTCTTGAAGCCCTTCTCCTGCTTGACCTCCTGGACCTCATTGAAGCGTGGGTTTCGAATGCGCGGGAGCGCCGAGATCTCCTCATCCTCACTGTCACCGACCGCCGTGGACGCACCGCTGTCATCCCCTCCGAACTTATTCTGAACGCCAGCACTGTGACCCTCGGTAGACTTCTTGATGCAACGAAACAAGTTGCGGATCTTCTGACGGAAGCTGGTTGGCTTTGCGGGGAGCTCGGTGTCCGCGCGCGGATGCTCTGACGCATTTCGTCCACCACTGTATGCTCCGTGGAGCGTGGACGGGGGTACGTTGTCGGATGAACGCCGCGCTTCGACGTCGCTGTCATGGAACTGATTGTTGTCCTTATCTTCATCCTTCTGTTAACGCAGAAGAACACTTCGGGATACCTGCCGCCCACTGGATACTTACCACGGCTATTTACATTCTCCGCGATCATCTGCGGTATGATGGCCGAGAACCGAGCTGTGTGTCGTAGACGTTTAGAAAACAGTGTTTCCCCCACATAATTCGACTTCACTTAAGATGCGTGTTTGCATGGCAAGGCAAGGCAAGGGAAGGCAAGGCAAGGAGAGAAAAGGCAAACGACATACGCAAACCTGAGTTGGCGCGCCACTGGCGGATGCGGTCGAGTTCTGCATTCGCGGTGCGCTTCTCCAAGAGTTTTTTCTGGCGCTTCTGCTCCTGGTAGGCGATCCTGGATGCTTCGGCGAAGCCGTTGGTGGGTAGGGACATCATCTTTGAGATCGCTTTTTGGCGGGCTTAGTTTGGGATTATGAAGGACTTGAGGTGGGTGAAGTCGCCGCTGGTAGCTGATTGAAGATGGGCGGTATGGCGGTAGGTGAAGTGCCTCGAGGAGCGCCTTTGAGGGAGAGGTTCTGTGAGGTAGAATAGATGGGCCGAACGTACACGATGGATTCGATGAGAGTATAATGAAGCAAGAGATATCTGACGATGCAAAAGTTTGGGAAAAGTTGTTGGAGGTAGTGGAGGATTGAGGTGAGGGTGAGTGATATGATCGATGGACTGAGAGGAAAAAATCTGAGGCAAGGTAAAAGCTATCAGGCTTCACCTTCACTTGAGTTTCGACCCAGGACTCCTAGTGTGAAGTCGAGCTATGACTCTTCCTGGTCTCATGCTCATGGTGAATCCTCTCTCACTAGTTAAACTTGCCCACGACGACGAAGTGACGGCGAGTCTGGTCGAGAAACTGACCGCTAGTCTAATACTGAACAAGATGTTGGAGGGAATTAGTGAGGAAACCGATTTGAGATGATATATATAGGTGATGAACAGCACAGTGATGGATTGCCGCTGGGCCAAATTATGAAGTCAATGACATACAATATGTGCAGACTGTACCGGGAAATGATTGTGCGGGCACGAGGGACGTATCTGGCAGGCGGTGACGTCCCACCGATGGAATGGGATGTTACACACCTCAGTAACACAGTCACTTGTACAAGACACATCTCTCCACCTCCACATCGCTCTCTCCGGATTTCAATTCATAACTCTTTACAGTGTCTTGAAAGCATTCAGATTCGCTCGATATCATTTCCGCTTCGTCTCTAACATTATCAACCTCAACGCGATTTCGTTGCACCCTCATCGTGTTTCTATCTGACCTAAAGTGAGCCCCAGAATGAGGATCAGCAGCATCACCTCCAATTATCTGTTGCTTGCAACAGTTGCGGCAAATGGATATCAAATGAACAGATTCAGGCGTGGTGATGGTTCAGGTGCCGACTCCCTGGCGCATCATATAGCAAAGGAGAACCCCGAAATGGCAGAAACACTAGTTGTCAGCAACACGGCCTTGATAGCGACTGTCTCACCGGATGTCCTCCCCGCTGATTCTTCAGGTAGTGGTAAAAACCTATACACAGTTGATACTTTTCTCACCAGTCTCTCAGCAATCCCAACGTTTATGAAGCTGCTAGAGAAGTCCAGTTTAACCTTCTCGGTAACACAAATGACTGGTCGTCCCGATCCTCGCCCATTGCCTAGCTCTCTTAGAAATACCGAACTTGAATCTGAAATCGATAGTTCTACCGATGAAATTCCTTACCCCACGCTCTATCCTACCGAAGCAACATCAACAACGGATACAGCCACCCCAAGTGAGAGGTCAGAAGTATCTTCAGACGAAGGCCAGCGAACATCCAGTATCCCGATAGAATCCTCCACTCCCGAGTCCTTGTATAGCCTGAATAAGAAATATTCAAGGAACATCATGAATGCTCTAGGGTCATCTAAGGGTAATTGCTCGTCTAAGAATGCTCTCATCCGTCGATCATGGTTGGTTAAGTGCTATACTTGTCTTCGTCTCACTACTGATAGCTTGATAGGTCTCGAATTTCAGATGATGATCGCAAAGACTATCTATCCGCCATTGGTTGCATCAATCGCAGGCTTCAAAATACCATCCATGATGAAGGTCCCACAATTCACACTGACGCCCTCCGTTTCCGTATTGACGACTTTGTATTGGTGCACACAGAATGGAGCTATCTTAGTCTGTTCTCGGGGACCTACTTTCACTGGCACCGATGGTTTTTACATCTCTACGAAACGGCTCTACGAGACGAATGCGGCTACACAGGCACCCTGCCATACTGGGACTTCTCAGAATATGCCGATGACATCACCACGGATCCAATATTTTCTGGCGATTCTGTCTCTATGGGGGGTAACGGAGCTGCTAAATCACACGGATGGGTTCGTGTTAACTACTTCGATGAGAAATTCATGGTTCCGCCAGGTGATGGCGGTGGTTGTGTTTCCACCCCTCTGGAAAACTACACTGTAGGCGTTTCCTTGTTCTTGATACGTATAGCTTTTCTTAACAATCTTCTTAGGCCCGCCTAGGACTTCCATTGGTCTACGACACTGATACAGCCAAGACCACAGACCATCCATGGCCCACATATGATGCTGCTGGCTATGTCGCAATCGTCAAGAACAATGGCTATGACTGGAATGATCGTTGCATCACTCGAGACCTGAGCCCATGGATTGGTCAACTCTTGGAAGCATCTCGCATCGAGTACGACTTATCATGCCCGGACTTTGAGTGCCTAATGAATCGCATCAATGGCCTCGAACCGGCCTACCGATATATCCAGAACCTCGTGAACACTGCGAGATTTGCAGTAGGAGGTCTGCAGCTCGATCCTCTGACCGCGCCTAATGATCCGATATTCTGGCTCATCCAGTCCAATATAGACCGCCTGTTCTCTGTCTGGCAAGGCCAAGATCTGGAAGCTCGTGTTAACCAGACTGCAGGAAAACATAACCCGTGGAATCGGGAGTCGGAGCATCCCTACCATGGCGATCCGGTGAGGCTTGACGAAGACCTGACCATAGGTCCCATCGACCAGATATGGACGCGCTCTACAGGGGACTTCAGCTCTACCATCGATGGGCCTTTACTTTGCTACTACTATGACTCTCATTGACAGGAACGTGGACGAAGATGCATCAACAAGAAATAAAACGGAACAATGGCTCTGAATGGCTCTGAATGGAAACACGACTCCTGAAACATACGCTATGTCAAATGAAATATAGCTAGCTGGTTTATATGTAACGAAGATTGCTTTTGGTAAATGTTGTTTTATGTCTTTGTGCAGAATGTTGCAGCGTTCGTAAAGAGCATATTACCTAAGTATGTTTGTTAAGTCTATATCAATCATGGAAATATGGTGCGCAATGTCCTCAAGTGGTAGACTCCTCATAATCTGCATAATCCTCCTTCTTCAGTACCCGCTGACCGATTTTCGTCATATCCTGGGGCCATAAGGTCTCCTTCGTGAAGCCGTTAATGCACTCATCGATCATCGCTGCGGCGATATCTGACACATGGATGTATGGGTCGTGGGGCATATGCGACAACAATTTCGGTAGCCCAGGTATCTTGGGATGACCAGCTCCATAGATCCCCGAAGGCTTGGTGACTTCGACATGAACTCCAGCATTGACAGCATCCGCAGCAAAGTCCAATACCTCGACCTCGGTCCGTCCCTACAACCGTGAGTCGATTATATACATGGGAGAAACTAGGTCAGGGGAAAGAAACTTACCCGCAAGTAGAGCAGCCGAGCCATATGCTCATCTACCTTCGGTATCTTTTGTGTGGGATCACGTTCCCCGCCGACGCCGGAAGTGTAGACAAATCGAAGCTTGCCATTGTTCGCGACAGAAGCGATCTCACGAAGCCCGTTCATCGTGTAGTCGTGGCAGACCCTTGTCAACTCTTCAAAATCAACACCCTTTGACTTCGAAGGCGTGATAGCCAAAAGCCTAATATTGATGTCAGCTACGCTTGTATTCGGCACCTAAGGCATCATGCGACTGACCATATGCACGCGTCCGCACCTGCGAGCTTTTCTTTCACCTCTGCGGGATATGGACTCAACCAATCCTCTAGAATAACCGTGTGCAACTTGCTCACGTCTGCATCAGCCCCAACACCTTGAGGAACCTGTACGGGTCTGCGAGCTAGCGCGATAATTGATGTGACGGCCTTGTTGCGCAGAGCCAGGCGTATCACCTCCGTGCCCACGAATCCGGTCGCGCCGGTCACGATTAACTTCATTTCCAGTACTGAAGCGTATGTGCGCAGATTGAATCGTCAATTCAAACGTACTCACTTGTAGAGATACTTCGCGGCGACGGTCGGTCTATAGATACTTTGGTAGATATACCTAGGCACATGTTCCCGTCTGTCTGTTAGGCGTCCCGACAGCCACCCCGCACTTCTAGCCAGCCTCGCTGAAAGGTCGTAGGTGGCGGATCTACGCATGCGCTTGTTACCTCTGAGTAGTAGTACAGAGTACTAAGTGCAATGGTGGAATTAGGTCTTACTGTGTACACGCTGCAGATGGGGAGTAGTGGGACGTTGGGAAAAAACGAGAGACTCGCAAGATGGGTTGGGATATTACTGCACATGGCTAGATGTTTGTTCTGCAGCCAGTTAGGATGAGGGAAGGCTTTTGAAATGATATTCCTCGATTGGGTAAGCTGAATAACGGGCAGGAGGGTCGATTTGCGTCTGATAAGAAGTTTGGATGTTGTTGTCGTGCTTTAAGCGGATCTTTCAATGTGATTGGAATGTGGTGCAGGTGTGAGGGACAAGGCGGGGTGTGGTTGCGCATGATGCGTATGTCAACATGTGCGATGGTTTGTCTTATATCACGCGCCATCTTTCAATATTACTTCAAGCATAGATCGGAATAGAAATGCGTTGTACTGACTAACAAGAGTGGCTCATCAAAGCGATAATCGTAAGAATCGTCGCGTACGCTGGTCCCTCCGCGTGAAGATATCTCGATCTCGTGTTGATAGTCATAGCAGCGGAACTCTTCTTATTCAGCGATTGCTTTGCCCAAGCGTGGCAAAACGATTGCCTGTGTGGATATCGAAATCGACCCCGTAGAATAATTGTTGGGAGATGTGAACAGTGGAAAGACGTAACTCGCTGCAATAGCAATAGCAACAGATCCATGTCGAGTTCGCGCATTAGAGCTACTATCAACATCTAGTCGTGACGGTGGTACTGGAATATTTGCAAGACCAATCAAGCTCTCCTTATCCTGCTATAGTGAAATACTAAAATTTCAACCCTCGTGCTTACTACCTAGAGGAGGAGTGATGTAAAGGAACGATATGTAAGGTTAGGCAGAGGATGATGGTGCCTGAAAGCTGGAGCTCCGATTCTAGAGAAGGCTAATAGCACACATCGGGACATACTACTCTGTTGTGAAGCGAAATGCTGCTTAAAATATATTGCGACATGGACATGGCATTGGTTATGTGTTGCCTGCGACCCGTTCTCGATGCTTAGACGTCCTGCTTGTACGAGAGCCTTTTGAACGATAGCTGTTGATGCGCTAATTAGATGGGCGAGCCACATTATTGACATCTTGTATCATGATAGATGTCTCCCACTACATGGCTTGACCTATACGCCGCATTTGGAAGTCAGTTCTTACTGAGCGTTTGCCTAACCTCAGGCTCGCTTGGGGCTACTTCTAAAGTACGTCCCGAGAACATGTCTCAGTTTGAGGACTGCGGAGCTGCGGGAGCGGGAAGCTGCATGTAGCAGGCGCGGTTTCGCGAATGAAGGATTTGAGATGCTACCTTCGATTCACAAGGGTTTAGAATCTGAACTAGTGTCTGTTAGTCGTCAGTATCAACGACTGCCCAGGCGAATGATCATCGCTCGAAGACGCTTCCTGTTAGTTATTGTGATATCAACAAATATCTCATGGCTAGCTATTGAGGATATGGGCGTTTGTGAACGCCAGTTCAGACTATTTTTTGCCTTGCATCTATGTAAGGCTGCGGCACAGCTGGCCTGACCGCCCCCACTCATGAAGGACGAACGCCTCCCAAGTCCGTCGAAACACAGGTCTAACATAGCCACTCCTGCACGTATCCAGCAACCTCATGAACAACATGACCAATAAAAGGGTACCCAAAAAGTCCGAATACGACCCTGAAACGTTCAATTTGGAAAATTCGTTCGGCGCAGCAGATGTAGTGTGCAAAAAAGCACCATCACTGCGTCGAAGGATCCCGCAGTGCATGTAACGTTTTGTCTTGTTGGTTTCATTGTGAACACGAAATATAGGTGACTACATATCTAGTATCATGAAGCTGAACTACAAAACCTTGGCCTTCTGAGCCTCGAGATGTGGGGCATATGAAATAGCGGATAGCCCGCCTAAGGAAACCTTCCTTTCAAGCTCCTAAATCATCTGTCTTGATTGAGGCGATATTCTATATGAAAGCGTATTTGTTTACACGCGAAACATGAGAATGTATTCTACACTGGTCTCCACACTTGCAATCTTCGCGACATGCGCCTTTTCATCACCACTGCTTGACTCAAGCGTTCTTTCGACCACCACGCATGGAACGCTCAAAGCATCCAAGCGACACAGAGATCTCATCGAAAGGGGCACTGAGGTTTTGGTGACGCATGGCATTGAGCTTGTCTATGCTGCAGATCACCTAAGAGGGCCAGTTTTCGCTTCTCAGATTCACCTCCAATCCGATCAAGATGTCGTTTTCCTGGAGGAGTATGACCACCTTCTTGATGAAGTACACTGCAATGAGTCCATCATGCAAGTTAAATTGAAACGACACGGTGGATGCTACGATAGAGCGAGCGAGGCTTGGAGCGGATTGCAAAGCGGATTGTTGGTTTCCTCTCATGAAACCTGCAGTGAGAACGGCGCACATGCTGTCTATAAGTGAGTTGTTTTGCCGCGTGATGTGACTGAAAACTGACCAGCCCAGAATCCTGAGTGTTGAAATCAACGACGATACAGCAACGATAGAGTTCCAACTGGAGGAAACTGTAATCGAAAAGGAATTTCATTCAGCCACTATCGAATTTGGCCATTCGAATGATGCATATGTTGTACACAATCACGGTAGATTGTCACGTCGCCAGAACGCATCGCCGACGGTCACAGAGTTGACGGCCTCCGGCACTGCTACCCAGACTGAGGATGCGACAGCAACAGCAGATCTAGGTTTCTCCCAAGTAGACACTGTTTTCCTGGAAGGCACGAATCTTAACCCTATTGGTCTTGGGTGCAAGAACTGCACTGGTAAGGGCGAGATGATCATTACGACTGGGAAGCTTGAGATAAATCTCCTCAACATGGTGACCGGAGAAGACAACGATCCCATTGAAAGCGGGTTTGTCCAATTTGACGTTCCGAACTTCGAGATGTCTCTGCTTTTCAGCGCCATTCCTTCAATCACGTTTCCGCTCGGCGACTTCATCCCAATTCCCAACTTTTTGATTCCTGGTACAGGGTTTACAGTAAGTTGATCAAGATAATGCTTGTCAAGAACTACTCTAATCTAGTGCTGTAGATTCCCAACATTGCAACATTCGGCGCATTTGTGGATCTAAATGTTTCTTTAGAAGTTGGTCTCAGTGGCGGTGTCGAGTTAGGGTTTGGATTTGACGTCAAGGTAAGTCTCGTACTTGATATGTGTCCTTCTGACATTGCTGACACAATAAGGTCCCAACTTCGGCAATTAGACTGGATATTGCTGAATTGCGAAATTCAAGCATTACTGGGTTTACAGACACCGAAATAACAGCCAAGCCAATCCAGGCCAATGCGTCCGACATAGAGCTTGGAATGAAAGTTGGCTTTAGACCGACACTGAAAGCTGGGTTTGAGATCAGGAACGCATTCAACTTTACAGCAGGGCCATACTTCTCCCTTCCGGAATTCAACATCGCCGTCGCTCAACTCGCGAGTTCGGGCGTTGGCGCTAACTGTGAGGAGAAGGGGGAAACCGTGGAGGACTTCACTAAAGCCTTCCAAAATCTTACGCATGTTGAATATAGCCTCGATCTCGCGGCTGGAATACAAGGCCCTCAAGGCTTCGAGTTCGAGCTGACTCGTACACCAATAGTCGCTGCCACACAATGTCTCGCATATCAGCAAGAGGGAACATCGACGGGATTGGCTGTGGCTACGGAAGTACTCGAGTCCATGAAGGCAAGCGCTTCGGCGACAGCTACTGGGACAATCGTTTCTACGAAGGGGTCATCTGTAGCGTCAAGCATATCGATGGGGCCTTGGGAAAGATTTGGTGTCTTCGGATTAATGTCGAGTGGTGTCGCGACTGCGTTGTTGGCGATCTTGCTCTAATTTTCTTTTCTTGATTACATATCTTCCACGATTTTATGAAGCGATGCGCTGCGCTGGCTGAGATATGCGACTGCGTTGACGAGGTGCTTCCTGTTGATTTCCACCCAGTTGAGCATTTTCGGGCCCATTATGCTATTAGATAATTGTTTTTTGCTTGTAAGGCAAATGTAAAAAAAAACCTAACGTGTTTCATAAGCGAGCTGGCACCCCAAGCGAGCTGGCACCTTTTCATGAGCGCCCCACCAGCGCGTCGATTGCGCGTAATGTCTCAACAACACAATATACAAAAGCCCTATACTGAAGCTGTTATATTACTTGCTATCTCTGATATTAGTTCCCGACGCGTAAAAAGCGTGAAACGCGCAGCAGAGATCTATAACGTTCCCCGATCAACCCTTCAAAGTCGACACGCTGGAATCCCTCTACGAGCCGATTGCGAGCCAAATTCGAAAAAGATGAATAAACTAGAAGAGGAGGCGATAGTTCGGCATATAATTGAGGAGTCAGATCAAGGATTTGCGCCTACGAAGCAGAGCGTGCGCGAAATGGCTGATACTCTCCTGCGAGCACGCGGCGCAGAGCCAGTTGGCAAGAACTGGGTTGATAACTTTGTAAAGCGGACTCCGGAGGTTAAACAACGTTGGAGCCGTCCATACGACTATCAGCGAGCTAAGTGCGAGGATCCAGCGATTATCAAGCGCTGGTTCGACGTAGTAAAGGAGTGGAAACAGAAGTAGGGGGTCGTTGACGACGACATCTATAATTTCGACGAGACTGGGTTTATGATGGGCAAAATTTTATCACAGATGATTATCACAGGCTCGGAGTATTCAGGCAGGAGAAAGAAGATACAGCCTGGTAACCGTGAGTGGGTTACTGTGATCCAAGGCGTAGGAGCTGCGGGGCACCTGCTACCACCCTTCGTCATCTTTGCGGGCAAGGTGCTCATCAATACCTGGTTTGAAGATCTACCTCGCGATTGGGTAATTGAAGTAAGCCCTAATGGCTGGACAAGTAATCAGCTTGCTCTTGCGTGGCTAGAGCACTTTGATAAGCATACAAAGCAGAAGACTATCGGAGCGTGTAGGCTGCTCATAATCGACGGCCATGAGAGCCATAACTCACAGGAATTTCGAGACCGCTGTAAGGAGAAGAATATTAAGCTTCTCTTTATGCCACCGCATTCGTCTCACCTGCTACAACCCTTGGATGTCGCATGTTTCTCGCCGTTGAAGCGCAGGTATGGCGATGTGATCTCAGGCTTGGCGCGCAACCGTATCAATCATATCAGTAAAGAAGCCTTCCTACCTGCGTTTAAGAAGGCGTTTGAGCAGGCATTTACTCAGGATAATATCCGATCAGGGTTCAGAGGTGCTGGATTAGTCCCACATAATCTAGAAGCTGTGTTATTAAAGCTTGATGTGCGAGTACGGACGCCTACACCACCACCTCGCAATACAATCGCATGGGAGGCGCAAACGCCGCGCAACGCAAAAGAAGTAGAGGCGCAGAGTACTCTCATTCAAAAGAGGCTTCAAGATCGCCCTAGGTCCTCAGCAAGCTCTTTAGATAAGAAGATCCACCAGCTAAGTAAAGGTGCTCAGCAAATAGCCCATAATATGGCGTTATTACAGGAGACAGTTAATCGCCTTCAAAGTACAATTGATGAGCAGAATAAACGTAAGAGCCGAAAACGGCGGTATATCCCACGCGAGGACATAGCAGAGTCTCAAACTGTAGGTGAGATAAGTGATCTACTTGCGAGGGACGAGTGTGAGGATAGTAAGATGCCTGCGAAGAGGGTGCGCGGTGAAAGGCGCTGCGGGCGATGTAAGGAGACTGGGCATAATACACGCACCTGCACGGCCGATATTGAGTTAGAGACTGATAGCGAGGCTTCTGAAGAATAGATTAGCTTATTAGGATTTTGATTTTACTGTGATAATAGACTGTAATAAGGTTGCGATGTTCATAAGCTTAGGAAAAGGTGCCAGCTCGCTTGGGGTGCCAGCTCGCTTATGAAACACGTTATTCCATTTATGTCGTTTACTAAAGTCTATATGATGTCATTCCAATTCCGCATATTCAGATTCGCCCGTTCCAAATGCTAATCAAAGATAGCGCCCAAGTATCAATGCTTGAACATTTCCGCAACGACTTCGCCAATCGCTGGCCTCTTCTTCAGATTATCGATCCACCTCTGAACGGTCGGAAACGGGCTCAGATCAAGTCCATCCTCCACGAGGAGCACAGATGATAATACCTGCCAGGGAACAAAGGCCAAATCGGCGTAAGAGAACTTGTCTCCCACGAGCCAAGGTCCATCCTCTCCGTTGGTCTTTTGGGCCTTTAGGTGCGTCTCCAAAACGCCAGTCACACGCTCGATCTCTTTGATGTAACGCTCAACTGCGCCAGGCACCTTCTCCGGATGGTATTTCTTGAACCAGACAGCTTGTCCGTAGTATGGTCCTTGGCCGGAGACCTGGAAAAAGAGCCATTGCTTAGCGTGGTAGTACTCCGATGTACCTGGCTCGAATGAGATCTTTCGTTCTACGTCGTACTTCTCAATCAGATATTCGATGATAGCACCGGACTCCCAAAGTGTGAGGTTGGTGTTGGGATCTTGGATTGCGGGCATGCGTCCATTAGGATTGATGGCAAGGAAATCGGGTTTTTTGAGTTCGGAGAATTCGATCGGGATGATTTCATGAGGAATGTTGAGCTCTTTTACAATCATTGCGATCTTTGGGGGATTTGGGCCTCCCTTGCCCCAGACTTTGATTGGCTGCACAGTTGAAGAGGACATTTTGTGGAATGGTGTTTGTTGCTGTAGAATAGTAATTGAAACTGTGAAGATGATGTGATTATTGTGACTGGTGATGCTTGAGATGTAGCTTGTTATCTACCTCTTTATACATTGCCTGTACCATCAATTCCGCTCCGCATTATGGAAACTTGACCTAGTAACGGAACGGAACTGCGCACACCCTGTGGTGTGGAGGAGGAGCATGCAGGTGGGTCGCGAATTGCTAAGCGGGCGCGAGCGATTACGCCGAAGCGCCGACACTTCATAAACATCCGTGTTACGAACAACAACGCACAGCCCACCGGGGCAAAAACCCCGGACGACGTCTATAGGTACTGTGTAGATGAAGTAAATACAACGATTCGGAATGATTCTTTTACATAGACTGCTATCATTTCATGGAGTCCAAACTACTATGTCATTGAGGTCTGATCGAAACAGGCGTTGGTTTGTTGGTACCGAGTAGCGCCCATGTTTCACAACGCATTCTTGCTTTGAAATCAACAGGCCGCCTTGGTCAATCCGATGCTAAAAGTAGTCCCATTGTAGCATGTCGTATATGCAGGCCTCACTTTGATAGGAATTCGATATTTTTCATAATCTTGCTTTGTAAAGAATCTTACAGAAGAAATGCATCTTTCTACACTCTGAGGTCATATGCCGTTGCAATTCATGCTACTTTGAGGAATCAATGGTTTGGTTGGTATGCTACAAAGATTGTTCACATTTCCGGGAATGTTTTCTGTACAGTGAGAATAATCCTTTGCACTCTGGGTGCTTTTCTTTCCTGCTGATAAAGACGACAGCGAGGAAGTGGGGCCAGTAGCTTAACTTGTTCTAGCACAAACAAGTCCGTCTCCTCGGATAGTTCCCCAAAGCTCCGCCTTCGCTCAATGTACGTCCCATAAGAGGGATAATGTCATGCTCGAGTATCGCTCAGAGAATGTTCTTTTTTTGATACCTGGAATAATTCTGAGTAGCCTCGTGCACATTTCCTATCAATAAAATGTTAAGATTGAGTGAGATCTAGCTCGCTTGTAGACGACACGCTCCATGAACCACCCCGCTTTAGAGCGTAGTTTAAAAGAGATAAGCTTTTGAATCCGGCCTCTTAACCACTGACAGATAGAAACAAGATTGTGGAAATGTGAGAACTTGAATGCTGACCACCATTACACGCGTGGACTCCTCTTCTCACATGCTACCTGAGGCTTTTGCAGGCTTGATTGATCCACACACACTGCACGCTTACACCGTATGCCACGACATATTCCCTCTCTGAATGGTGCTCTATTATCTCACACATGGTGAAGGTTTCATTGCATTTCAAATCTTATCAAGAGGGAGGAACATGGCTGGAGACTACACCTTCGTCGTTCAGTGTCACACAAATATTTCAAAGCCGTTTTCCACGCTCTCAATTCACCCTCGCTTTGGATTGATTGATAAAGGGTAAGGCATATGGCTACCGGCGCAATCGAACCAAATTAACAATGTGTCTGGTGTCTGTATCAACTTAGCGTAAGCCTGCCGCCCTGTTGTCATCAGCTAATGCACGGTCATGTTGGCAGGCACGTACCTTATTAAGACTACCTCTCTTGATGTTACAGCCCGGAAAGCCTTCCTGACCCGTCAATCTTGGGATTGATTCGGTCTAGTGCGCTAATGTACATTTCAGATTTAATCAGTTGTCGACCATTAGTGGTGAGTTACCATAAGATATGTCAACCCCTTCATGCTTTTTGAGGTGTCCTCCCCAAAATGGTTGAAACTGAAGTATTAACTTGATATGAATGAACAATTTGAAATTTGAAAGACAGTGCTTGAACTAGTCATAGCTGATGCGACAGATCATGACAATCAACTTTGACAATCATGGGATACCTGAGTTGGGGACATCACTTCATTGAAGTGGGATTTAAATTGCAGTAGATAAATTGCAGTGGTAAAATTCCCTAAATGACTATAAGATTTGTGTTACACGAATCTATCGCCATCAACTACGCAGTAGCAACGGGTTCAAGCCCAGCAATAGTGATACGGGGCCCGTGGAAGTTCTTCCTCCCGTCGATGACCCATTGAAATGCCGAAATCAAGATGACAATAGAGAATGCCACTATACAATAATTCATAGTTGTACCGGTGACCGGAATTGCCGGAGGGAATAGGAACAAGACAGTTGTAATAATGACATAAATGAGTCCGATGATGTTGGCTGTCCATCCAAGCCAGTCGGGCAAAACGAATGCGCGCTCGGAAAGCCTAGAGCGTCCGTAGGCAAGATTCAAGGCGACTGGAATTCCATAACTGAGGCCCAAAGCTGTGACAGCAGATGCAATGATGGCATTGAATGCGACGGGTGAACCAATGTAAATGAGACCGAAGACGGTGACAACTACAAAGTTTAGGTAGAGCGCGTTCATTGGTACATTCAGAGATGGATGAACCTCCCAGAGCCAGCGAGAGGCCGGAAGGCCACCATCTCGGGCGAAAGCGAAAACCATTCGAGAAGAAGTCGTAAGACAAGCTGTTCCTGCGAATACAAGACAGAGCAAAGGAAACATGAGAAGACATACTGCGCCAGCTCGATTATTTGTCGCAATGTAGAATATTTCCAGCAATGGCCCCGCAGCAGACCCGGTGATTGCGGACATGTTTTCCATGCCGCCTGACGTGAACAAGAGCACGATCAAGAAGATCAGGCCTGTACTAATGCCGATATACTGGCATTCCAACATGATCTTGGGCCCTTCTGATGCCGCGTTTGGGATCTCTTCAATCATGTGTGCCACTGCATCGAAGCCGGTAAGACCTAGGCCTCCCTGAAGGAGGCCTAGAAGCCAAGCGATTCCGTCTGGCCAGCCCGTTGTGTTAATGAAAGTCGCGAATACATATTCGGGTGTCGCGTAGTTTGGCGTGGCGCAAGCCAAAAGCGTAATGGAAATGATGAGGAACCCGCTGATACTCCACAGAAGTGCAAATGAGTTGAGCCGCGGTAGCAATGGCAGCATGAATGCGTTGACGCAAAATGCAAACAACGTGATTCCCATGTAAATGAGAAACAGATGCCATCTTTGTGAGACGTAATCGGCATGCATGAGCGAGATAAGATTTATGACCAATGTGCTGGACAGTGAGCTGTTGGTCGCAACCAGTGCCATCCATCCAAACAAGTTGATCCAGCCAGTGACCCAAGAAAGTCCACGCTTCAAGGAAGGAGGCGCAATCATCGCGACCCAATGGTATTGGCCTCCGGCTGTTGGATACGCGGAGAGGAACTCCGCCAGGCTGGCTGCCAGTGATAGGTTGCAGATCCCTGCGGTGACCAGGCCCCAGATGACAGCAACAGGTCCACCAGATGGTAGTGCCAAAGAAAGGGAAGCAGCGAGAGCAGTCCACGAGTTCAGAATAGCGAAAGCCAGTCCCAGCATAGTCCAACGACTGAAGTTCCGTTGGAAGGACTGCTCATGGCCGAGCTCGGCAAGTTTCGATTCATCCTTGTTCGTGTCCAGATGTTTCTCCATTATGGTTGTCGGCCCGTCTGGATCGAGTGCCGAATGAATGGGTGAATTTGAAAAGAGGTTTCAGACACAAGGACTTCCTATGGAGCCTACTTGGGGGTAGTTATATTACTCGTAAAAAGCTGATCAGGAGGTAGTGGTGCTATCAATATTGTAGGTCAGTAGTAAGGTTAACCATTATCACGGCCAGGCACAGGATGCTCTAACCCAATCAAGCAGGAAATCGTGCTTCCGAGGGTGAGGCTACCCCGCATCCCGAGAGCTTGTCGTTCTCTAATCTCGATTGGGAAGGTTTTTGGGCCACTCAGATAAGAGTATGCTATGAACCTCAATCTGATATGGAACAACATAGGAAAGATAGGGCGCACAAATCAAGTCAGGCATTGTCAGGGTCAATCTGTTCAACCTTGTGTTGCTCGCGACGTGGACGAAAAACCTGCCCAAGGAAGTCTAGTACTATGCGGCAATTAGCGTTTATGGTACTTCAGTGATACGCACGGCCCAATTGCATACGAGAGATACGATTAATGAAGCCATATAGTTCCTGAGAACGATAAGCTTAAACGCGCCGAAGCACCTCGTGGTCGCATGTACCCCGCGTTGTGCCGCGCTCGCGGGTTGACTGTACCCCATATCGGTCGCATGTACTTGCCCGACTAGGACGCCATCTCTTTGGCGGTGCGATGAGTGCAAGGCTTGACCTCGCCAGATACCGTTATTTGGGCGTCTATATTGCCGGGGACGACCCTTTTGGCTTTGCTTCCAAGATTTGGTTCGGGTTGGATGAGTAAATTGGAAGGTCTGCGAGTAGTTTCTGGGGCAGCACCTGCAATGGTGCTCCCTGGTTTAGTGAGGGCCGGCACCGATCTTCATGAGCGCTTGCCCTGGGGCCTATCTTGGAAGAGCACTAAAACTACTTACCGGCCCGAGTGGTACGCAATTTTATGTACCATGATGAACAGGCATTAGCAATCTCAAGAGCAACTGCATTCATTTAGTAAAAGTCTCCAATGGGAACAACGTCACCATGCACCGCCGAGGGGTTAGTTGCTGTGATAAGCAAGATGCTGTAATTGCGAACAGTGATACGTAACTAACGTGTTTGCTGCCAGTGACCATATATAAAAGGCAGTTCGATTCCCCACCTCTGCAGCCTGTGCCTCCCTACATCATCACTTCTACTTCAGCCTTATCATCGCACAATGCCAAAATCAATGAGAAGTTTGGCCATTCTCGCCTCCTGTATCTTCGCCGTCGAAGTCCAGGGGCGAGCAGTCTTGGATCGATCCACTTCAAATACTTGTCGAAAGACCAAGGTAGCAGTACTCGGCGCTGGTGTAGCGGGTATAACTGCGGCCCAAGCCCTGAATAACGCCTCAGTCAGCGACTTTATCATTGTCGATCGCAATGATTACATCGGTGGAAGGGTTGCACACACTGAATTTGGCCAGAAAGAAGACGGAACACCGTACACCGTCGAGCTTGGTGCGAATTGGGTACAGGGCTTAGGCTCACCTGGTGGTCCAGAGAATCCAATCTGGACGTTGGCGAAGAAGTACGGTTTGGGTAATACATACTCCAACTACGACTCAATCCTTACCTACGACCAAAACGGAGCAGCCAACTATTCGGACCTTCTCGATGAATGGGCTGCTACTTATGACATTGCCGAGGATGACGCTGGATCTATCCTGCTTAACAACCTCCAGGATGTAAATGCGCGGACTGGCATGAGTATGGCAGGCTGGAAGCCCAAGAAAGACATGCGTGCCCAGGCGGTGGAGTGGTGGAGTTGGGACTGGGAAACGGCATATCCCCCGGAAGTGTCGAGCTTCGAGTTTGGTGTCGCTGGCAACAACTTGACTTTCAACCAGTTCAGCGATGAGAACAACTTAGTTTGGGACCAACGAGGATTCAATGCCTTCGTCATTGGTGAAGCTAGCGAGTTCCTAACACAAAACGATTCGAGACTTCTTCTCAACACCACCGTGACAAAGATTGAGTATTCGGATTCCGATGTCATTGTTCGTCTCGAAAACGACGACTGTATCCAGGCGGAACACGCAATCGTTACGTTCTCCGTCGGTGTACTGCAAAGCGAAATCGTAGAATTCGCGCCTGCTTTGCCTAGGTGGAAGCAAGAAGCCATCGAGCTATTCCAAATGGGAACGTACACTAAGATTTTTATGCAATTCAACGAAACCTTCTGGGATAAAGATACTCAGTACTTCCTGTACGCAGATCCTGACACTCGCGGCTGGTATCCAGTCTGGCAGTCTCTATCTACGCCAGGCTTTCTGGAAGGCTCCAACATTATATTCGCCACGGTTGTCGGACCACAATCGTATAGGATTGAGCAGCAGCCAGTTGAGCAGACTCAAGCCGAAGCTCTGGAAGTTCTGCGAGCTATGTTCCCTGATGTGGACGTTCCGGAACCAATTGCCTTCAAGTACCCCAGATGGAGCCAGGAAGAGTAAGTCCATCATTATCGCTCCAATAGAAGTATGGCGAAGCTGACTCTTTTCGTAAACAGATGGTCCTTCGGATCCTACAGCAATTGGCCTATTGGCATGACGTTGGAGAAGCATCAGAATCTACGGGCGAACGTCGATCGAGTCTGGTTCGCAGGCGAGGCAAACTCCGCACAATACTTCGGATTCTTGCACGGTGCCTGGTTCGAGGGCCAAGAGGTCGGTCTTCGAGTCGCTTCGATGCTCGGGAAGACCGTACAGATCAATGGCACATCAGTGGGTGGCAATATGAACCACTACGAAGTTCTACATGGCACTACATCTGTCGATGAGTACAACGCTGCGAATGGATGGCCAGTAAACAGTTTCATCGTAAACGGCTCCGAATGATGGGCCACCAACAAAAGCACATTAATGTAGATTTTCGCGCGAAACTAATATAATGCCGCAAAACGCACCTTCAACCGTACAATTGGAAATTTTGACTTGCTCAATTCGAATATGCATAATCATTTCTCCTGTTCACTCGGGTTAATTGCTATTGTTAGGTCAGTTGGAGTTGCGAAGTCCATGCCCCAAAACAGTAAGTTTTCAAACTCAGTGCATTCACTCAATCAAACCCAATTTTTACCAATACCAGCCAACGAGCTGTCATCGCTGCGCGGATAAATCCCAGGGTATGACGCGTTATTTTACCTGCGAATGTGGACAAGAGCTGTAACTGGGCACAAGTCAGGACTACTCACGTTCTTGCGCTTAGAAGTTGAATCGGGCTCTGTTGTCTTGGATCTTTGCCCGCAAGACTCTCAAGATTGCGGCAATGGCATGAATGAAAAGCTAATAGTTTATGGAAACATTTAAGCCTTCTTCTGAGTGGTGCAAGTAAAATTCTGCCGTCTTTGAGTTTACGGAGTAAAATTGGTCTCGGCTTGTTTATCAACTGCACCTACTAGGCTGAATGGTAGATCGTGCCCCACGTTTCGGAGGATTTCGACGCCAGCTGCACCAATCAGCGTGCCAGTTCGCGGCAGATCACGACCAAGGTAATAAATGTTCTCACATTTTTACGCGCAATTGTAGTCCTAGTGCTTTCAGCACTAAATATGGTTCAAAAACCAGCAACTTATCTGTCAGACGTTCCTCGATGCTCTCATCATCGTTTCCAAGCCTCTAAATCCACTCCAAGAGCACGCAAAGCTGGATTCTCGTATTGCCCCACTGCATCTCCTCCAGAGACCCGCACAATGAAGCTCTTCGGTCGACTTATAACTTGGACAGTCGTCCTCAAAACTTGTACATGTGCTCTCTTACCGGATGTTCGCCGAAGTTCTTTGATGGCGGACACATTCAGCAACCCAGTCCTTTGGGAAGACTATCCTGACCTTGACGTTCTTCGCGTTGGCGATGTTTTCTATTACTCCTCGTCTACCTTTGCCTTTTCTCCTGGCGCTCCGGTGTTGAAGTCATACGACCTTGTGAATTGGACTCCAGTCACCCACAGCGTGCCAAGGCTTGACTTTGGCAGCAAATACGATCTTACCAGCTCTACCAACCGAGCATATGTCAAGGGCATATGGGCTAGTAGTCTCAACTACCGAAAGACCGACGATTCATTTTACTGGATTGGTTGCATAGATGGTGGCAGCTCCTATATTTACAAGACTGGTAAAACCGGCGCCAGTCAAGCTGGTGGTGAAGTGGCGCAGTGGAAGTGGGCGCAGTCTTCGATTCTTCCGAAGTGTTATTATGATTGCGGCCTTTTCTTTGATGACGACGACACTGTCTATGTTGCATATGGAAAAACAAACATCATGGTCGCACAATTGAGCAAAGACGGCAAGTCTGAGGTCAAATCACAGCAGGTCTACGTCTCCCCGGATCAAACTTACATCGAAGGCAGCCGGATGTATAAGATCAATGGCACGTACTATATATTCGTTACTAAACCCGCAAGTGCCGAGTGGGTGCTGAAGTCAAAGAGTCCATGGGGTCCTTATGAAATGAGGATACTTGTGGATAGCATCTCCGGGCCACTTCCAAATGCCGGCTTCAGCCACCAAGGAGGCATCGTCAACACGAAAGATAATAAATGGTACTATGTCGCTTTCATGGATTCATTTCCAGGGGGTAGAATCCCGGTCGCAGCTCCTTTGACTTGGACCTCCGATGGCTGGCCAGAACTGGTCAAGGACGGCTCTGCTTGGGGTAAAACATACCCTATTCCGGTCCAGACAAGCAAAACGGTACCACCGCCAGTAGGAACAGATAACTTCATCGGAACTACACTGAGCCATGAATGGGAATGGAACCACAACCCTGAAGACACGAAGTGGAAGCTTCGCGGAGGATCCGGAGGTTTGGATCTCCAGACCGTGACCGTAACGACTGACTTATTCAATGCACGAAACACCCTGACTCATCGTATCATTGGTCCCAAGTCCCACGGTACATTCAAGATTGACATCACCCAAATGAAAGATGGTGATCGTGCCGGGGCTGCTCTGTTCCGCGATCAAGCTGCCTACATTGGCATACACAAGGAATCGTCAGCCTCTAAACTGGTGATGGTGAACGCACTGAGCTTGGATGCAAACTGGGCCACCAATTCTACTGGTGTAGTTGCCGCAACTGGACCCAGTTTGCCTACGGGGACCAAAAGTCTTTGGCTCCGCGTTCAAGCAGACATCACTCCGGCATTTTCTGGTACAACTGTGCAGAGGACATCGACATTCTGGTACAGCACGGATGGCTCAAATTTCGCACAGCTTGGGCCGGCATTCAAGATGACCAATGCATGGCAGTTCTTTACAGGCTATCGTTATGCCGTTTTCAATCATGCGACAAAGTCTCTTGGGGGTCAAATAACAGTCGAAAGTTTCACGATGCAACAGGTATAGACTGAGGTCCATCGGAAGGTGTATATTTTGACCGAGTTGCTTGCAGACACGCATGGGCGTTGAATACGCAATTGATAGTTGACAAGGGGAATGAGATTGGTTATTTATATAGCATCGCCAACTAGATAGACTGGGCTGACAACGTAATATTCTTCTAGGCGATTCCGAAGGTAGCGTAACCACAATAAACAGCATTACTACCAGATCGCATATTACCATTTCAGACATTTTCATAACCCTTGTACAGGGAGCCAGCAGTCATCGCCCGCAAATACCAATATTGAGTCCGATGATCAACATATTCATTTTCATGTAAGGGTTGGATTTTGTTTGTATGCCAATAAGTACCATGATTCTCTAAGGATATCGTCTGGCTTGTAGAAAATCGACTCATTAGTAGTACAGTCTACATTGCATAGCTAGGCAAATGCTCAGAGATAGGAAAGTCTGTACTGTGTGCAAAATCTACCCATTTTTCCAGGGAGTCAAGAGTCTTACTGCATTTCAACTGTATGACATCAATAGCATCTGACCCTAGTGGAACTCGAAGACCAAGACCTATTCTCTCTTTTTCGCTCAGGTTCTCCAGTCGCGCAATGTCGAGTACACGTTCTGCTGCGGCTTTTGGATCTCCAGGCTGTTTACCGTGAGTCTTCTTATGCCTGACAACCATCTCGGCCTTAATTGCATCGTATTCTTGAATGCCTATCAAATCCACAGTGCCGCATTTTCGTGACTCTTCCAATATATTTGTTCGAAATTGGCCCAGAACCAGAACATGTGTTCGAATACCAAGATGTGATACTTCCTTCGATAAACTCTCGGCAGCACCTGGGAGCTGTTTTAGAAATCTGAATGGGGCAGAATCACATGGGCGGGGCAAACCTTCGATTGCAAACTTTGAAGCGCTATATGGCCCTCCAGCGCCTACTCCATGCCATCCTGCAATGCTTCCCATAAAAAGGATAACTCCAGATCTAGCGTTACGCATGTATGGAAGCACACAGCGTGTCACCTTCATGGTCCCGAAGAAATTAGTTTCGAATTGCTGGCGTACTTCTGCATCACTACGGAAATATTAACTACCCAGTCAATAACTCCTACATTTGATAGACATTCCAAATGCAGGTTGTTTTCCGTACCTAACTTCTTCCCACACTCCCGAGACGACGAAGCCAGCGTTGTTGACAAGAACATCAACTCGACCAAAGTAAGCAATGGCTTTCTTTAACTGCTCATGAATACGATCGCAAGGATTGGTCACGTCTAGTGACGTACAGTAAGCTCGCTCTCTGCCACCTTCTATTGTATTCAAGTATTCGAGATCAGTGAGCTGGCGGGCGGTAGCAATGACACAATCATCATGGGCAAGGATGGCTAGCGCGATTTGCTGACCTAGGCCAGAAGAGCAGCCGGTGACCAGCCAGACCAACTGCCGGGCAGATGATCGCGAAGCATTGATACTTGCCATGATGAATTATTCACTTATGAGTTTGAAAGTCGTATAAAGTCAAAGCGTGCCATGCCACATGTAATATAATTGAAAAGATTTCCCAACATCTAGAATTAGAGACTACTATGTGTCATGTGAAGGTTATGAGTCCTGACTAGGCGGGCATTGTGATCATGCATGAGTCAGGTTGGAAATAACTTCAATTGTACGGAGTAGACCTGTACTGTACCCCACTCTTTGACTGCACGGACGTTAAGAGCAGAATTCTCGTAACAACAGCATCTCTACCCACACCAAGTGTCTCGCATATTCTGTATTCCCAGGTACCTCTCTCTTTGTCTTCTAGATCTGTAACATAATCATGGTTGATGTTGACGCAGTTGCGTACAACATTGCTGTTTTCGTTGCCACCCTCTTCCTGTTGGAGTTTGGCGCAGACAAGTTTATTGACCACACGACAATTGTTGCCCATCGCACAGGCATATCTGAAACTGTCATTAGCCTTGTTACTGTAGGAGGGGAGTGGGAGGAGGTGCGTTACTAAATGCAAATTACACTCTCTGTCGCCTACCTATTGACTAAGTCCTTCTACAACAGCTCGCTGTTGTTATCGCGTCCCTTGCCCGCAATCGCGCATCGCTGGCCATCGGGAATATCGTCGGGTCTGCCATCTCAAACATCCTAGGTGCATTCTCTCTCGGCCTTTTGTTTCGCAACAAAGATGAACGTGTTCACTTTGACGAAAGCTCACGGGCGTACTCGCTCGTTTTGCTTGGTCTAACTACTTTTACCGTGCCGATGCTGTATCTCCCAGCAAGATCTGTATGGCTCATCCACGGCATATTGCTAGTCGCAGGATTCAGTATCTACGTCGCATCCGTGGGATGGGCGATCAAAAGAGGAAGCTTGACTGCTCCAACCGGCTCTGACAGCGATAGCAGCAATGACAGCGATGATGGGAGCACCAGCGAGAGCAACGACAGAGATGAAGAGAACGATGTCGCTATGGAGAGGGAAAACGATGCAGAAAGAGATAGCTATCAAGCCATCGAATCAACCCATATCGAGTTCAACGGACAGAGGACCCCGACCCTAAATCCCGTCAACTCTACTACACCATTGTTGACTCGCCCTAGTCGCTTGAAGCGCCGATCCCTGAGGTATCATATCTTTTATCTCTTGCTCGGGTTCCTCGCCATCTGCCTTGCAGGATATGTGCTCTCTCATGCTGCTTCTACTATTGTCGACGAGTTCAAAATGTCAGACGTGTGTTTTGGAGTGGTTATTCTGGCAATCGCGACAACACTGCCTGAGAAATTTATCGCTGTGATGAGCGGGCGCCGAGGATACGTAGGGGTTCTTGTTGCCAACACAGCTGGGAGCAACATGTTTCTGCTTACGCTGTGCTCTGGGATCGTCATAATCGACACGAAGGGGAATTTCCAGCGCGGCAATGTTGGTCTTCTTGAGTTGGGAATGCTGTGGGGTTCAACAGCTGCATTCACTGCAACAGTCTGGTTTGGTGCACGATTCTGTCGATGGATAGGCAGTGCAATGATAGTTGCCTACATTGCATTTATACTGCTGGAATTGACAGCAGTAAACTGACATAGTGTAGTATATATTAACTACAGTGTATATTTAATTTTACATATTACATTCAAATTTCTACTAGTTAGTTCTGTAGAATATCTGATAGAGTATATTTGAAACAAACCTACCAGCAGTAATTGGTGATGTTAGGGTTCGAGTATTAATAGTTGGGCAGGTTAGTTCTCAACTGCTGCGTATCCAGATACACTAGTATCGAGACTTGCACTCCAACTGCCTAGTCGAGAGGGGATCATGTAAACTGTAATGCATGAAGTCTAATTGCATAGTATTATTGGTGTTTGATTATTCTCTATTTTAATTTGCTGCTAAGCTGCCAGTGCTGTAATAATTAGTATAGGCGCAAATAGTGCTTTAATGACTGCCTTGTTTTACATGACTAATGTACCGTCCATTAGACCTGTAATCATCATTCGTAGCTCGCGTTCTGAGGGTAAACCCGAGGTCTAAGGGAGGGGGTTATATTAATTAATTGCAAGGCTTTACTCACATCGTTTTTTTTTTCATTCTTTCTACCTTGATTCGACATTCCTTTTGTTGTCAAACCATGAGCCCAAACGTAAAATCGAATCTTCGAGTGGCTTCTGCGTCGGGGTCTGTTACAGACCGTCGTCATGCTTTTGCCGATCTGGCCAAGAATGAAGATGTTCATTTCATCGTTGGTGATTGGATGTCAGAGTATAACATGACCACTAGAGGAGGTGGTAAAGTGGACAGCAATGGCGGTTCGGAAGAATTCGAAACTTCGTTCACAGAAGCATTTCTGCCTGCTCTACCTTATCTGGAGTCCAAAAATATCAAGGTCGCGGTGAACGCTGGCGCAAGTGACACCAAGAAGCTCTATGACCTAGTGGTCAGGGAGATTCGGGCGCGGGAGCTAAATCTAAATGTTGCTTGGGTCGGGGGTGACGAAATCTTTGACGTTGTGAAGAAAGCGGCAGCTGATGGCTCAGATTTTAGGAGCTTGACTACTGGTATGTGAGCTACACGAAATCAATGTCGACTATACTGATTTGATGTACAAGGAAAATTGCTATCCGAGTGGGAGTGCGATCCAATATATGCTCAATGCTACCTTGGGGGATTTGGAATCGCCGAAGCCTTCAAAAGAGGAGCAAATATCGTACTTTGCGGTCGCGTCGCAGACGCCTCGCCAACGATTGGTTGTGCTGCCTACTATTTCGGCTGGAAAAGAGAGGAATTCGACAAGCTCGCTCACGCATTTGTTGCAGGGCATTTCATCGAGTGCTCAACATATGTCACCGGTGGCAACTTCTCGGGCTTCAAAAGTCTTCCGTCGCCGGCATTGAGTCTTGGTTTCCCGATTGTGGAGATGGAGGCGAGCGGCGAATTCGAGGTTACTATGCAACAGGATCGGGACGGAATTGTAACCGTGGAGACCTGCAAAGCTCAGTTGCTATACGAAATACAAGGACCGTACTATTACAATTCTGACGTTGTAGCTATCTTGGATAAGATAAAAATTAAACAGGTTGGTACAAATCGAGTGTAAGTGTCCAGGACCACTTCCATCTAGGTAATGACCGTATAAGGCTAAAATCTGCAAGGCGCGTCACGAACGTTGGTAGTATCAAGCCTCCACCGACTACTAAAGTTGGTCTCACGGCGAAGGGAGGCTTCCAGGCGGAAGCCCATTACTTCGTGTGCGGCCTTGACATCGAGGAAAAGGCTGCGATGCTAGAAAGCCAAGTACGGGTAGCGCTTGATGAAACGAAATATCACTGCCTCAAGTTTCGCGTCAATGGGCGCTGCCCAGAAGATCCGTATACACAGGATGCGGCTACCGTCGATGTCCGCATTTTTGCACAGTCTCGGGACGAATCTGCCCTCTCTATCAATAATTTCTTCCGTCCAGTCACGGACACCATCATGCAGAGTTACCCAGGCGCCACCTTTGCCGTTGATGCGAGGCAAGCAATTGCGAAGCCATACTACGAATATTGGGTAACTCTGTTGCCACAGAGTAGTGTGAAGCATGTCTGTTATATACCATCCAAAGGCCTGGAAATATCGATTCCCCCACCGACTGACACTCAGGATTTCCTTTACGAGCAGGAAACATATGAGACTAATGCGCCAATCGATCTTACTGCACTCAACCCTACAACAAGGGCCCCTCTCGGAAACGTCGTGCACGCTCGATCAGGAGATAAGGGCTCAGACTGCAACGTGGGATTCTTTGTCCGCAATGCAGATGAATGGGACTGGCTACGAAGTTTGTTGACGGTTGAAAAAGTACGGACCCTGCTTGGAGGGGACGACACGGGAAAGCCAATCTTCCGCTTCGAGCTACCGAATATCTGGGGTGAGTTTAACAGCGCTGCTCATTTTTGGATTCTAGTATATTGACTCAATATGTAGCGGTGCATTTCCTACTAAAAGATCATCTTGACAGAGGTGTCGCCTCCAGTTCTACCTACGATGTGCTCGGTAAGAACCTTGCGGAATACTTAAGGAGTAAGTGGGTTGATATACCGAACAAGTTTCTGGATCGTGGAAGGATATAATCTTCATCGTACTGTTTGCAGTAGAAATGGTGCTCAGACTTAATACTGGTCACCAACAATGAATCCTATTTTTTTCCAGAAAGTTTCGTGATCCTGATTCACTGAAATGGTGGCAATATTGAAAATCTCGACTATACGCATCATCTTGACCAAACTCGTAAAACCATAATAAAATTGTAGTTGTATGAATGCAAAAATGCAAATAAACCGATGGAAAATGTAGCTAGTCCAAGGTCCTTGCGAACTAGTTGCTGTCTCAATATGATTGTCCTGTGTCATTTGTTTTCTCTGCAATACTAGAAACCTTTGTCATGTCATTATAATAGTGGTCCGGAAAAAAGCGGGACTTTTGTCCTGGTAAATGCCAGTTTCGTGCCAACGCATTGTTGTTAGTCATGACTAGAAATTGACAAAGAATTACAGAGTCCTTCTACCTGAAGGCAATCTACAGAGTCTGTGATAAAGTCGCATTTGAACCGGTTACCTCAAGATTCATTCCCCAATTCTCCTTCCGAATTCCTTATAGCATTCGTTCGATATTCAAACACACAGGAAATTTCAAGATGGTATCATTGGCTGTCGAAAATATGCTAGCGGCTCAGTATAATCAGGTGAGTGGCTTCTTGAGCGTGAAGGCAATCTTAAAACAGAAGTGAAGCTAAATACAGTCCTTAGATTTTTCTAGAAAACGAATGGGATTGAAATCAATCAAGTTCCGATTCCAGTTTGTGGAGATAACGATATACTGATCAAAACAAAATGCGCATCTTTATGCCACTCCGACCTGGTATGCCTTAACTCGTATTACGACCTGAGATTGTGGTTAACAATTTCCTCCTCCAGATGCTGTTCTGGGGCCACACAACTGAGAAGCCTCCTACTGACAAAATCACAATCGGTCATGAAAATACTGGATACGTTGTTACCATGGGAAAGAATGTTCAAGGCTTCAAAGTTGGGGACGCAGTAGGTTGCTTGGGTTGTAGCTACGCTTGTTGTACGTCGAGTAAACAGACACATGGATATGGTCTCTAATCGTCGCAGATGAGTGCGAAGGATGCCAAGTGCACAATATTTGGTGTGAGAAGGGCACTGGGCGGCTGCACGGCTTCCAGTGTGATGGACATTTTGCTGAATATTCCATTGCAGACTATCGCAACGCGATGGTTCTTCCGTTGGGTATGGAGTTAGTTACCGCGGCGCCGTTGTTCTGTGCTGGTATTACAGGCATGTGCACCCTGTACCTTGTTCTATCGATCTGGGATCTAACCAAAATATAGCCTACCATGCAATTAAGGGTTGCGATTTAAAGCCTGATCAGTGGATCGCCATTGTAGGATGTGGAGGTCTTGGTCATCTTGGTTAGTAAGATATGGGGCGGCGGCTCGCTCGAAAATGCTGACCCAACTGGCACAGCGGTTCAATACGCAAAGGCTCTGGGGTTGAAAGTCGTTGGTCTTGACATTTCGGAGTCTCAGTTGCAGGCGGTTGAGGCATTAGGAGCTGACATGGTCATCAATACACTGACAGAGCCTGACTTTGAGACTAAGGTGAAGACCTTCACAAAAGGCGGTTGCAACGCCGCCGCTGTCTTTAGTGCCTCGAACGTGGCATATGAGAATGCGCCAAAGACGTTAAGGTGAGAGTTTATTCTTTCGTCTACGCTACAGGTATGCGAGCATTGCATTAATGTATGAAACGCAGGATCAACGGGCTATTAATGGTTGCCGGTATTCCGAAGCAACCTTTGGCCATCAACGCTCTAGATATATTGCTGGGCAAGTATCGTGTAGCTGGAAAGAGCAGCGGAATTCCACAGAATATGCCCGAGGCCATCGAGTTCAGTCACAAACATGGTATCCAGTCTCATATTACGACATTCAATGACATCCATGATATCCAGAAAGCAGTGGATTTGATGACATCTGGAAAGACCGCTGGACGCTTAGGCGTTGTTTTTGAATAGTAGACTAAATGAAACGGAATATTGAAATGCCACTGTCATTCCCTAGTATTTACTGCAAAGTTGCCAACGTTTTGCTTAAAGTACATGAGCGTCATGACTAATGTTATCCAAAATTTGGTCACATGCATTGTTGCATGAGTAGTGTCTGGTGGAAATAAGTGACATGATTAATGCCAGGGTTATGATTGCACTAGCAAGCCGGCGGATTTGCATTCCCGTGGGAACTAGTAGACGGAGCCCCGCCGTTGCCGTCCATGACTGGTTGAGCTGAATACCTCGTATGCTTTGGTAGGTTGCCGAATACTGCACAGTATTCCTCCGCAATTTCAGAGACCCCGTCCCCAGATTCAAGTTTTCTCAACCCCAGAGTCAGAAGTGGCGCTAGCCATGAATGGCGCACACAGCATCAATTGTATTTGGCTTCACGATTCTATTTAATCTGGGGACATACCATGTCAATATAGCATCGCAACTTGTCAAGCTTCACTGGTTTCTCGGAATCGAACGTGCACATCCAATTGACAACGTCCTTTACCCATCGCCATTGAACTGGAGCATCACATTGTTGATATTCTTTAATAAATCCAGGAATCATGGGACTTTCCAATTTTCTGCAAGGTAGACTCTTACGATGGGCCATCACTGTTAGTGCCGGTAGTTGTTATTTGCTCTTTGGTTACGATCAGGTACGTATTAGATCATTCCTTGATATGAAAGGAAACATTCAAACTAACATGGACATAGGGTGTTCTTGGTGGTTTGGTAACACAGCCAAGCTTTTTGGACGCAATTGGACGCCCGAGTTCAAGTTTCTTGGGTACCATTGTGGCTCTGTACAATATTGGTTGTTTGGCTGGATGTATCTTTGCTGCCTTATTTGGAAACAGGCTGGGCCGAAAGAACACTGTCCTCCTTGGAAGTGTGATTATGGTCGTTGGCGGAGTCATTCAAACTGCCACTTATGGGGCGGCGCAACTGATTGTCGGTCGGTTGGTTTCTGGGCTCGGAAATGGTGTGTAATGTTGAGCAGCAATTGTGGAAAGACGGGAAGAGAATTCTGCTAATCGAGGGACCTTAGGTATGAACACGTCCACAATTCCAGTATACGTATCGGAATGCTCGCCCGCAAAATATCGAGGTAGATCTGTCGCAATACAGCTCTCTATCGTTATTGTATGCGGCCACACCAGTTGGTAATTGTCGCAAAATGCTGATTGTTTCTAGTTCGGCACTGTTGTAGCTTACTGGCTGGACTATGGAACTATCAAAAACCTGACTGGAGAGGTGGGCCCGCTCAAATTCTGCTCTTCTAATTCCCTTACTGATACTCTTACAGGTTGTCTGGCGATTTCCAATTGCATTTCAGAATGTCTTTGCTTTGTTCACAATCTTTACTCTTCCATTTCTTCCGGAGACTCCCCGGTGAGTTGCCTTGCCTCGAAGGGAGGAAAAATGACGAGATCTATCGATGATTTTGATCAGGAGCTAACGCGTCCTATAGATGGTTATATTCTCAAGGCCGCAAAGAAGAGGCAGTAAGTGTTCTTGCCAGACTGCAGGGTAGTAGTGTGGATGACCCCCAAGTCAAGATGATCGAAGCGGAGATGGCAGCTGCCTTGCAGCTCGAAGAGGAGTCGGTCAAATTTTCATTCAAAGATCTTATCAACGACAAGACTCCAGTAAAGAACACACGCCGTCTCGTTCTATGCTTTATGATCCAATTCTGGCAGCAGTTTACCGGTATAAACGTAATTGCCTTCTACGTAACTATTGTATTAGAGGTCAACGTTGGCTTGTCTCGCGAGACAAGCAGTCTTGTTGCTGGCTGCATCCAGATTGCTTTTTGGCTAGGAACACTACCGCCCATATTTTTTCTTGATAAGCTGGGCCGTCGTCCTACATTACTATTCGGTTCAATTGCACTTCTTACTGCCATGGCCATTTTTACCGCTGGCATTGCAGTCAATACGAAGGCAACCGCAAACATGGCGCTTGCAATGCTTTTCCTTTACGAAATATCGTTCGGCATGTCTTGGAACTCTATTCCATGGCTGTATGCGGCAGAAATAACACCCATGCAACTACGTCATGTTGGATCTGCCGTTGCCACGTTTTCGGAATGGTTGTGGACCTTTGTAAGTATTCGAAACTGCGAATGAGGGGAGATGCCAGTGCTAATCGTGACGAAGGTCATTGCTCAAATTACACCCCACGCGATTGAAAATGCTGGTTGGAAATTCTACTTGCTCTTTTGCGTAATGATTACTTTGAACATTCCCTTCACCTTCTTCTTTTTCCCTGAGGTAAGTGTCATCTTTACAATGCAACGGCAATTCGAATATTCACTAAGCGCATTTTCAGACAAGCGGAAAGACTCTTGAAGAAATCGATTTCATTTTCGACCAGATAATCATAGACACTGAGAGTACCCAGGCTCAGCCAGGCTCTGTTATTAAGCCATGGCAACTACAGGTCGAAAAAGATTCCTCCAACGAAAGCGAGGCATAGCGGAGGCAGGCCAATAATCAGAGACAACGAGTTCTTGATCTTGTATCCGATTTAACATTCCAGGCTGAAGGATATGATGCAAGATACAAACATGGATAAACAGCATTGTTCATAGATTCAATTCAACGTTCCCGCTCCTGATTGGTCTTATCCACTGTCCCTGTAGAGAGTCTTCCTCAAAGTCAAATGACCACCACATTGATACCAATGGATCTATGTAAAATGATAGAGGAAAATCTTCAAGAACATATTTGACTGCATGGACGTTTTTGGTAGAGACACTAGTCGATGCATTCCTGTCACCCCTCAAAATCATCGGATTCAGCTATATCAATGTTTCTCGGTGATGATTTGGTCGAATAATCTGTACTCGAATGTTACTTGAGCTTTTACCAGAAATACACTGAAAGCAGACTGTAGCCAACGTTCAAAGTTCACAAAGAACACTATTTCAGTCTGGGATAAGAATTATGCACCATAGATAAAATTATAGAAATAATGTGTGTATATGTAGCCTGATACTGGGCTTAATATGGCGTACCCCTTACAGAGGTTTGACAACGTCTATAAAGGATCCACAAGGACTATGCTTTGAAAGCATAACATTCAATCGCGGGAGTAGATTGCAGGTGTCATCGCTGGGAAACGACGTTGAAATTCGGGCAAAACAGTCCAATTCTTGAGATTGGAGATATGCTTCTCGAAGATAGAATGCAGAACAGCTTCATTTTCGATATTTGATAGCGCGTCACGGCTGTCAAATTTCCAATTTACGCGGACGTTTTGTGAATAATATTGGGAGAACATTTCAAATGTATGATCCTCTGGCTTCTCAATAAGCATGTCTCGCACACCAGGCCTAGAAGAATTGTGAGAAAAACGCTCAACTCAGTATTAGGAGTGCGTGGGCGTTTCATACCAAGGGATGTTGTCTATCCAGAAAGCATGCGGCACCGTGACCTGCGTTACTGTCGGCCTTAGCCACGGCGGCATCGCAAGGTAGCTATCCTTACTAGGGGAAATTTGCCACTAGTAATGAATCAGTATATTGCCTTCTTTATTCACGAACAAAATCATTACCCTCATTGTTTTGAACATGAGATAGAAGAAGGCGAGTTTCTCCGGTTGGTCCACGTGTGGAAATGTTGACAACACTTCAGACATGACGCCACATATCGGATGTACGCTACTTGCCATAGTGGTATCAAGCAGTGCTTTCACTGTAGGGTTTGGTGACCCCATAACACTCTCAGCCGGCAACCCTTGCGTAAGCATGTCTCTTCGAGCTCTTAAGAAATTATGCAAAATTTCGTCCAAGGGACATGTTGGTGGTACATGAGTTGGGAGAATAGTAAAGACGGAATTTTTCCATGCATTTGGGTATAGCTCGCTTGTTCCATCGATGGCCGACCTGTCAGGCCCCAGTGAAACTGACACGATGTGAGGGTGATAATCATTGTTATCAGCGGGTGCCCCATGGTATCCTGAAGGGGTCAGACTGGCAACATCCATACTGGTAGCGGAGCGTTGATTGCTTCCAGAATGTGAAATTCCAGAAGATGGAGAACCCGTGGCCGTTGCGCTAGTGGGTAGGGTAGGGTGTATTGCACTTGACTCGTAGCTGAACACGTACGGTGTGTGGGGGTTGGGACCATAGTCGTGAATTCTTTGCTGAGCGGAACTATCATGGCATATCGACAAAGTTCGTTCGTGTAAAGTCTCAATTTCCAGGTGTGACGTCGGTGATCTAGGTGCGTCGGATGGAACGATATTGGGATGGAAAGTATCATCTGTATTGTTGCCAGGGGTGACATCCAGCTCGTCAGCTGCAGGGACTTGGGGAGAATTGCCCTGGCAAGAAGGAGATGATTCTGCCGAACTCTTTGCCCGACTATGCTCTACGGAAGGCATGCCATCGTTGTTAATCGCCTGAGTCATGGAACGAGTTGTTGCAAATGCCAAGTCCGTGATACGCTCGAGGCATTGTAATAATGCTGTATTGCTCTCACGCAAACTTGAAAGTTCGTCCTGAAATCTAACTTGCCGCTCGTCGGCTGCCTTTTGGAGATTCTCAATTTGTAGTTCGAGACTGCAGATGCTATCCTTGGTTCGTTGGCGAAAAGCCCGTTGAGCCTTTCGGTCGACATTTCGTTTGTGTTGTAACTGCTCCTCGGTAAGATTTGCGATAGCTCTTGTACGCTTCTTTCCCCTTGGAACATCTCCTTCGACCTCCGAATTGTTCATTTTTGTGGCCAGGACTGTGACTGGCAGGAATTAGAAGGCTTCGGCTATCAAACAACTCGCCTAGACATGGACGCGCTGCAGGCCATGTCAATAGTTTGTATGACAGCAACAAAGAATGGCGAGGAAAGTAACAAGTTTCACCAAGGGGTGTTGTAGGATTTACCCCCAAAGATTTCTGGGCCCAACTCTGCCATGCATGATAGAAAATTACGGCTAGATGCGTGGGAGCGGAAGTCGACGATGAGTCGCGTCCGGATGTGCGGGGTAAACAACTAGCCAATAACCCAACTAGCCCTCAGGAATCCCCAGCCTGATAGTTCGCCGGCCACGCCTGGCGTACAACCCGGCAAAACCCACACTGCAATAACCTTCCGTCCCTCCTTAGTTGTAGGGATTTACGGAGACCACCTTCACCATCACTACTATATTTATTGATCTGTTTGTAGTATCAACTGCGGAGCGCTCATTTACCTAGGCAGGCATTTGGTCCCTATCTTCGGCAACGCTACGGAAAGCAAAGCGGAATATCCCTCACGAGTTTATGAAACCACTCATAGAACCTTTATTACAAAAAGTTGATTTCATTTTATGTGATACATTGTCGCAGGAGAGATTGAGAAAGATGACCATTTCTATTACTAAGCACTGTCTTATTCCTGGATGAAGGACCCAAAGGTGCTGAAAATATGAGATGAACATTTTGTCAACCATCTACCTGAAAAGCAGATGATAAGCGAATATTGTATGCATGTCTTTTGTGGCTCCATGTTTAGGAGCTTGCCCACTAGTAAACCTTCCAACATCCAGAAGACTTTTCCAATGCTAGAGACTGAAGCTTTATGGGCACTTGGAAAAGGCTGCTTTGAATGAACGAGACCAATTATAAGGCCACCTAAAGGTCGCTTCGTTAGAGGATCGTAATGATCATGAGCTGCTCGTATGTTGCGCCTCCCAACTCCGTACCATCGACAATGCTCTCCATCAAGAGGAACGATTGGACTCAATCCGAATTCAACAGAATATAGATAACAATCTGAGAGCGGTTTGAGCTTTTTTCCGCAATATGGGGCGCAATTAAGTATAATCAAAGATTAAGACTAGATTTTTTATATTGATACGAACTGTTTCGTCTGCCTATCTATGTATCTCAAAAGTAGATGCAATGATCCATTTGCACCACCATCAAGGCCAAGAGATGACGACTTTAATTCTGTTAATGAACTATTCGTCGGTCTTTAGAGTCGCGATGCCGAAGGTGTCATGATCACGCGTGCGATGGGTGCTAAGTGCACTAGCTTAAAACTGTCCTAGGTACTTCAGGGAATACATTACTCATGCCACACGGTTCCGGATTCAGGATTGTCAGATAGGTCTCTCCATTGGTACAAGAGTTACACTGCATTCCCATCTCATTGAAACTAATGGTTCCCAATTTTCACGAGTCATCGCAATATTGAATCTGGAAAAGCTACATTACTCATACCTCGCCCTCTGTTTTGGACTGACATAGAGGATGGCGAAGCTGAACGAGATCCACTTGCAGGTATGTTCTTACCTGGGCGAGTCGTAATCCAGTTGTGTCTCTTGTTGAAATCTTGGAATTACCAGTAGCTATGAGAGCATTGCACCTGGATGTTGTCTCCGAGATATATTTCCCCTGCATCCTGAAAACAGACGAGCCTGTGGCATATATACCTCAAGGGTCTCTCCATGAGTCTGCTTAAGGGGACTCTGAATCAGACCGGTTTTCAAAATCTTCAACCTGATTCACCAAAACCCTGACACCCTGCATTCCGTTGCAATCCCTAAGTCATGGAACTGGAGCCACATCTTACAAAGCTCTTTATCAATAATGAGGTAAACAAACAGAAATAAATCACAATTCATGTGCATTTAGCTAATAGTCATAGTACACTTCATGCCGTAACAATAAGACGTATGACTTCTAGGGATTCATCCGATTCTGCAAGACTGATCTCATTTAGTATTTCGGTATATAACCCTGCAAATGGCCAATTAGTCAGTAATCAGATCCCCATCGCTGGTGAACAAGATGTCGACGAGGCTGTCCGAATAGCTAATGAAGCCTTTGCCATCGATTCGCCATGGCGCCGGATGACCAATATCGAACGGCAAATGCTCCTACTCAAGTTCGCGGACCTCCTGGAAGCCAATCAAGAACGGTTAGCACAATTGACGCGGGTTACACTGGGGGCTCCCTTTCACCCATTTGGGCGTAGTGAGATCGGCACGGCAATTGGATGTTTTAGGTGTAGGTGATACGTTTCAAATGCTATTTCACATTCGCTGAGAATAAAGATTATGCTGGATGGATTGACAAGTATGGCGGGCAAACATTCCCCGCCGATGATGGCGTTTACAAGATTGTGCGTAACGAGCCGTTGGGAGTAGTTGCAGGGTAACTGAAGCCAAATCTCGAATTCTTCAGAAGACTAATTTAGGCTTAGTATTGTTCCCTGGAACGGCCCGTTGGCATCGGTCGGTCTCAAAGCCGCCCCAGCTTTAGCCACTGGCAACGTATTCATCCTGAAACCAAGCGAGAAGACGCCTCTAATGGCCGCTGAGCTTGGGAAGCTGGTCCTTGAGGCTGGATTTCCCCCGGGTGTCTTCCAAGTACTTACTGGAGACGGTAGCACTGGGGCTTTGCTGGCTTCGCATATGCAGGTCGCAAAGGTCAGCTTTACTGGAAGTATTACTACTGGCAAAGCTGTTCAAGTGCTTGCTGCGAAAAGCAATCTGAAGAGGGTTACTCTAGAACTAGGAGGTAAAAGCCCGGCGATAGTTTTCGATGACGCTCACTTGGAGAATGCTATAAAATGGTACTGAAGCAGCAACGTCCCTTTCAATAAAATGATCTAACGGTAAATAGGAATGTCAATGCCCTCACAACCAATAGCGGACAGATATGCTTCGCAGCAACACGAGTTTACGTTCAAGAAAAACTTTACGATAGATTCCTGGAAGGATATATTGCTGCGCTCAGAGCGAAGGCTAATGTTATCGGTGATCCCGAGCTCAAGGATGTAGAGATCGGTCCTGTAGTAGATAAGTCCCAATTTGATCGAATTATGGGCATCATTTCCCGTGCGCGGGACAATAATGAGGGAGCTTTGTGTTATGGCGGAAAGGCTCTCGGAGAAAAGGTAACAACCGTATTCCTCAACGTTTCAGAGTAGGCCATTTACAGCAACAATAGGGATACTTTATCGAGCCTACAGTCTTTTCAGATACCATAGATGGTGCCACTATCTACAAGGAAGAGATATTTGGACCTGTAGTGGTCATCAACAAATTCCATGATGAGAGCGAGATCATTGCCCGTGCCAATGATAGTAAGTACGGGTTAATGTCCGGTGTTTTCACTCAGGACATTCAGAGAGCCATTAGAATAAGTTCGGCCGTTGACTCGGGGGTTGTTGGTATAAATTGTATTAGTACAATATCCTTTTCATGCCCATTTGGTGGGACAAAAGAAAGTGGTCTTGGAAGAGAGATGGGCGAACATGCCTTGCGCTCATATACAGAACCGAAGACTGTACTTATAAATCTGAACTATTGAGTATCGTCAATACAGCATTGATAAAATGTTCATTACATTGCTGAGACTGTACCCTGATAGTGACTTGAATAAGATTTCGTGTTTGGTACAAAATCTCTTTCCAGCGAAAGATGATACGCCCCATCCATCAATGAGTTACAGAGTCTAAAAGAATGTACCGTTCCCGATTATTGAACATAGGCTTTGGAAGAGTATTTCTTACATTATCGTTAGTGTACGCTGAAGCATCATGGAAATAACGCTCATTTGATGCCGCTTCTACCACCCGTCATACATTATGTCGTAGAGTAGCACAATATCAGCGAGTTGGGCTATTCCCGTTCCTTCCATATCAAAATCGTCCCATTCAGCAAGTCTGGATAACTTATTCTAATATTGACAAGATATAATGTGACAACCCGGATGCCATCAACCTTGAAACAGAAATCCGAGGTCGCACGTGCAAATCCTACCGCACCATGGCCAGAGTATAGATATTGCAGAAGTGAACCTGATACATACTCGAGATACTAGCGTTGGAGATCAGACAAGCGTTTCCTTGGATTGTTCTTTTGAATATAGTAGTGAGTAAGATAACTTGTATTGATCACTGGTTATCGAGAGTTGAAGATATTGTCGCGTATAGACGCCTCTGTAGTAGGGAGCATCACAGGCACGAGCCGCAATCGGTGAATAGGTAGGAAAAGTAGATATTTGACTCTGTCGATAGGCCTCGGGAAGTAGGTGGATGATGCCTTGATCTCTTTCAGCAGCCCTGATCGATCTATCTATGCCCTGCCCAGTGCCCTTCCCCATACACCTGATCCCCGAACAGCCTCATCTATCCTGATAATCTGCCATGCAACTACTACTGTTGTAGTCTCTGACAATACTTCTCAGAGCCTTCAACGCGAACTAGTTGTTGGCTTCCCACCCCATTGTACACCAGGCATCCCACCCGGCGCTCTGTTCGCACTTTGCATCATACAACCCTTTACTGGCAGCATTACGTAGGCAATCAAGGCAGCCAGTAATGCAGTCTCTAGGACTGTCCCAGCGAATACCCTGGAGCCAGAACCTCCTCCCTCGACACTCCCCGCGCCTCCAAGAAGCTGGATGGAAAAGCAGGTTAACAGGCATGAACACCATTTGGATATATGTATGCAAGAGGAAAATGGCGAAAATAGAACTTACGCGCTATCGCAATGTCTTCGATACAGGCTCTCAGGTCCTCTGCATGTCTAGAGAGTAACGTGTGTTTAGCGAGTTAGCTTGCTGGTCTATGCCAGAACAATATTTACCCAAAACCACCTGCACCTTCAATGCAGGATACGCCTCTCTTATCAAGTGCCTCAAAGGTGTCGTCGGAACTACGGGGAGACTGGTCGACGACTGCAGCGTGAGACAGTCCTAGAATGGCAACAACAAAGAAGGTGTTGAGGTGCATGGTGGTACCTGGGTTAAAGGTGGACAATTGAAAGGATCTGAAAAAACGGAATGTGGGTTTTCTTGATATGAGTTAAAGATGGCAGTGTGAGTGTACATGCAAAACAGAGATTAGGCCTCTCTTTATACTTGCTTGAAATTGCAAAGTAAGACTGCAAGTTGCAAGATTGTCCTTACATTTGCTTTAACCCAGCTGGCTCCTTAGTAAGAATTTGGAGCAGTATTATGAACCTGCAGATGTTTGGCCAATAGACTGACTCGGCTCTGAGGCTGTCTGAACGCGGTGTCGATGCGCATTATGCTACCTATGTATTTGCCTAGCCATTTTAATTATTTCGGGCCTCATGATGCTACAGCGAATTCATTGCGCTACTCGCGTATTACGCTACGCGTGGGGTCATTGTAATATGATTTGGGACCAGAGTTAAAGCATGCATCTGCCAGGACCCCGTATTGTTGAATAGATCACCCGCTTGGCGACCTGGAGCATGGCGAAGCGCAATTCCTTCCTTTCCTCCACAAAGGAGAGATGTAAGATCCTTAGACTGGAAATACCATGCTACAATTGCCACAGCCTTGACACGGGGATTGCTAGCTACAGTATAAATGGCGTTGCCACCCGAATCCATAGAGGAATAGTAATGGAGGGTGGTCATGTGGTTTATAAAATATCAAGCCTAGTCGCTGAACATAGGTATTCATGTTTTGCCCTAGAAAAGCTCCTAAACATCAAATTTGGCGAAGATCAAGAGATACCACCGAGACATAAAAATTGGCCAGAGTCATCGAGCGCTTTCAGCCGATACAGAAACTGATAAAACGAAGGCAACTGTTGAATCTACCGCTGTCGTCATTCCAGGTTGTTCCAAAGAAGGCAACCGTTGGATCTACCACTGTAAGGTCCTTGTGATCCAAAAGAAGGCAGTCGTTAAATCTGACCGTCCTGCTGTATCGCCCAATTCATCGTCCTCGTTCCTTTGTGTTACGTGGACTTTACAGGACAGTCTGAACTGTACAGGGATATCTTTCAGAAGGGTGCGCTCCGCCTCCTCCGCCTTCTACCTGGTATGCTCTATTCCCGTAAACCGTGCGCGTGCGCGTAATCTTGTGAATTTCGTCCCATTCTTCATATGCAGGCTGGATGTCAAATGATCGAATTGTCATGGCTAGAACTACCTTGATTTCCACCAGAGCCAAACTCTGACCAAGACAGTTTTGGGGTCCAAATTCAAAGGGCCTCCAAGCGCCTTTCACAGGGTAAAGGGGATCGCCCGGGCCAACCAACCATCTTTCGGGAATGAAAGAGTGCGGATCTTTCCAATACTTTGGATCTCTTTGAAGTGCTAAGTGAACGACCCAGACATAACAACCATCAGTTGGATAGGCTGTGCCATCCTCGTCGAAGATGCTAACATCAGATTTTCCCTCACGAAATCCAGAAGCTGGTGGAAAAAGTCGCAGCGTTTCTTTGATGACTGCAAGGGTATATGGTAGTTGATTGAGGAGCGCTGGCCTCTCTCGCAGGAGCGCCGGTGTCTTTGCAGCAGGCCCCAGAACCTCGTTCATTTCTGCACGCACACGCGCTAGAGATTCTGGATGGGTAGCAAGTAAGTGATATGAGTATATCAAAGTGCTACTTGTAGTATCATGCCCAGCAAAAAGAAACAGACGAAGCTGTGCTGCTGCAACGTTGGTAAACTCTGATAAGGATATCCTCTGAGGTGCTTGCTCGTTCTCTTTGATGAAGTTTGATAATACCAATGTCATAATGGAGTTCAATTTATGGGACCTGTGCTGAAGTCCCTTGTCTATCCCCAAAGCTGCATATCGTTTTGTAATTTCGGCATGTAGGAATTTGTGGATGCGCCGGCTGTTAATCCAGAGAATCAAGGGCCTGAATACATTATATCGATCAAATGGATTCAATTCACTCCCGAATGATGTCCATTCAATTTGTCTTCGAAGATCCGAGGCAAATTTATTCTCAGAAGTCTGATAATGTAGACGAGTCTCGCTGTCTCTAGTTAGTTTGCAAGGGCAAGCAGACCAGCAAACATATGATCACTCACAGTGTAACAGCGGAAATGACGTCTACAGTCAGTCTTAACGTCAAATTCTCAAGCTAGAAAATGTTGCCACGTTTAGATTGGTCCTCCAAGATTTGACAAAATGTCTCGGTCTCAGTAACGATCATTGGAACTAATTCCAGAATATGAGCGGCACTGAAACCAGGATTGAAAACAGCCCTCCAATACTTCCAAGGTTTTTCTTTCATCGTGAAGATGTTGGGACCGCCCGTCAAGTTGCTGAATGCGTCCCGTATTTCGCTTGGCTTATCAAAAAGTGCCTGTTGCCACTGTAAAGCACCGAATGGATTATTCACGAATAAGATTGGTTTAGTGAATGGCCACAGATCAAAATAGAACATTCCACCAGGGAATTGCCTTGCCATCTCAGTGAAAGGAGTGTTTATGGTGCAGTCGGGAGGGAAGTGATCCATGTGCTTCTTCAAAACGAAGAGGTGGCCCGCCAACTTACTATGCTGAGGCATTGGCTAGGTACCTGATGTAAGTATAGTATCCTTAGCGGAGTTAGAAGGGCTTCCTCACGTACCAGGCCAGCCTTCTTCAGTCGAAACAAAGTGCGCCGAGCAACCAGAAGTCGTGAGAAAAGGTGGAACAACGCAAGAGCAAAGCCGGGGAGGATAATCGCAAACATTGTTCTATACATAGTTAAAACATCGTAAATAGCCACCATGTTGGGAGCTTCTTCGTGTTCAAAGGTGAAGTAGGTGTTCACTTCTGCGATGAAAGGGTAAGTCGGGGCGTTAAGAAGTACAGGAAGAAAGATTGAGTTTGAAGCTAGCCAGGCTTAGTTGACCGTTCTTCTGATTCATTGATGACCCGTTTCCGTTGAAGAGCCCTTTCGCCGTGCGCTTGCATGACCAACACTTCTCATTTTAGCCGCTGCTTTCGATATTGTGGCACAGCATAAACCGACAGATGGTGTGAATACCAGCTGTCTATAAGCATTGCTAGCTTCCTTAGTTGCAGCTATATTCTATTGTACAGAACTACATGAAATCGCAGGAAAGTCCATGCATGCAACAATATAGTTGAGCACCCGGAGCTTAGGGCTTTTTGCACCTATGATAGCTTGCTTCGTCTCTATAAAGTCATCTTGGAAGTAGAAGCATGCGAACATTTTAATGTATTTTCAATATAATCGTGTAAGACCTAGGTTTGATAACGTACTTGGCATTAATGCATGCTAGATCTCCGTGTCGTGGAGAGTGTATTATTCCAACGAACTAAGAATCTGCATTCTTTCGTCGTCGCTGTAATGTATGATAGCCTGAAGTTTTACGTGCTTCCGCAATAGTAGCTCCTCTGCCTATCATATCTCGTATAGATTCTTCGCTCTTCTCGATCCTCTGCGCTGCTTCAGCTACCGCATGCGCACGATTACGAGGAACTATCACAACACCATTTGCGTCGGCCACAACGATGTCCCGCGAATTCACACGTACCTTACCTATACCAATAGGCTCGTTGGTATCAGCTACTTGAACCCGATCTTTACCCGTTCGCATCCAGCGTCCAGCTGTAAAGAGTGGATAAGCGTCCTCAATCGCGCGGTTAACATCTCGACATACGCCGTCGATGACAGTTCCAGCAATTCCTCTTAGTCCAGCATACTGGGTCATTATGTCTCCCCAAACAGTACAATCTGTGCGACCACTATTGTCAATGACAACAAAATCGCCAATGGCAACGTCGTCAATGAAATCTCCGACACTGCCGGGAGGATCGGTAGCTGGTACATAACGTACAGTAAAAGCTGGCCCAACAGTAACTCCCTTGTAGTTAGCTAGAGGCAGAATGCCAAAAGCCTGTCCATGAATCCCCAGCTTGTCGAGGGCGTCAGAAACACTTGGAGTGTCGGAATTCTTGAATAGCGCCACCAACTCTGTATCCTCGATGGAAGGCTTTTTGGGATTGAAGCTGGTGTATGCTGTACCAGACTCAGTGACTTTTGCCTCTGAGTCGTTCCGAAGAATGATTTCAAATTCTTTGTCGTGCATAACGTCGGACACACGTTGTCCGGCACGCACCGAGTTGACCATCAAGGTCTGGCGGTGCTCTATACTGCCGGCCAGCTCGAGAACATCCTCAATACGTTGGGCTGGAATGAAAACTGTGCCACAATTATCTGCGATCACATAGTCGTCTTGGTTGACTGTTACGCCTCGCATCTGCACCGGCTTTCCGGACCCAATCTGGACCAATCGATTCCGAGCACTAATCATCGTAACTCCACGGCCGTACACTGGATAACCAACTTCGCTGCTACCATCGATGTCACGGCTCATGCCGTCAATGACTGTTCCACGAATTCCTTTTCGCTTTGAGGCGTTTGCCAAAATGTCACCCCAGCACGAAACGCCTTCTACGCCGCCAGAGATGACGAGAATGCGATCATCGGTCGTTACAGCGTCAATGACAGGAGTGATCAAGTGAACTGTGGGAGCTGCATCAGTTTTGGCCGCCACTTCCACGGTGCTGGCGCGTCCAACCATTTTTGTGCAATTCCAAAGCGGCCGGAGGCCGAATGTGGCTCCTCTGAGATCAAGAAAATCCAAAGCATCGGAAATTGTGTTGGTATCGAACACCGAAAGTCGGTCCAAGATAGTAGGCTGGCTCATGCCGAAGTCTCTCTTTAAAACGAGCGAAAGATCAAGTTGGTAGATACTCTGACGGGTATGGTCCCTAACAGAAGAAATGAAACGTCAAGGTGATGAAGTGTACACAACCAGCAACAACCTGCCTTGGAGTATTCTCGCGTTTTTAAAACAAGCAATGGCGTCTAGGACAGATCGACTTGCACAGTTGCTGTCGGTGCGTCATGGACGACGCCGTGATTTGCTGACAGTCACATCGGCTTCTGTTATCTCGACTAAGCGGCAAAGTCAAATTTCACCGAGCATCAGTTGGGGAATAGCAGCATGGATGTGCAGTCGATTGAAGGTCATTATTAAACTCTACATAATCACGATTGAAATTTTCTCGTCCTGACGTAAATGGCTCTTTGGTGTAGAACTTTGATCAATCCTGACCTTTGAGCTTTTCTGCTGCAAAGGGCGAAAACTTATTAGATGGTTCGGCGACTAGGCGTGGACACCGAGATACGCGAGACGCAACGGGTTTAGCGGCAAAAAGCAAGTTCGTAACATTATTGATGTTGCCAAATCTGAATCAACCAACGGGGAAAGAACTTTTCGCCGCGTTCACTTAACATTTTATTTCGCAATTAACTCAAACTATGCTGGCCATACTTTCTATCATTCTGACAACGGGGTTTACTCAACATCTACGACTCTCAAAATGCCACTTACGCACTCGGCGATCTCGTTGATTGTTAAAGGTGTGAACCTCCATGTCTCAATAATCTACGAACTACACGACCGCCCCCCATTACTCTTCCTCCATGGATTCGGCTCTTGCAAGGAGGATCTTGTAGACGTTACGGTCAATCCAGCCCTTCAGCACTATGGGTATATTGCATTCGACGCGCCGGGTTGTGGTCATTCCGAAGTTGACGATCTTTCTTCTGTCAATATACCTTTCCTTGTTGCAACAGCAGAAGCCGTCCTCTCGCACCTCCAGATCGATCGGTTTCATCTTATTGGCCATTCCATGGGCGGACTCACCGCGCTTCTCCTTGCGCACAACAATCCCGGTCAAGTTTTAAGCTTCGTGGATATCAAGGGCAACCTCGCACCTGAGGACTGCTTCCTAAGTCGTCAAATTATTACCTTTCCATCCAATAACCCGGAGGAATTCCTGAAAGCTTTTATTGATCGAACCTATCAAACAAAATCATACTCCAATGCTCTGTATGCTAGCACCTTGCGTAATCGAGTTCGTGCTGGCGCTGTACGCCCGATCTTCGAGTCGATGGTACAACTGTCGGATGGAGAGGATCTGTTAGGAATGTTTCTGGGACTTACATGCCCCAAGATGTTCATGTTTGGCGAAGAAAACCGTGGACTATCATATCTGGGACGATTACAGAAGGAAGGTGTTGAACTTGCTCAAATTCCACAGTCTGGCCACTTCCCCATGTATTCTAACCCTGTTGATATGTATCGACAAATTGCTCAATTCTTGCAAAGTTCCGATCGCGACACGCGTTTGGAACCTGCCAACTAGCATGAATACTTCCAAGAGAAGACATTGAGAAGCAACTTCCCTATCTATACATTTTCGGAAGTCAAAAGATAGCATGCATGAGAAGAATTTTAAAAAATTCTCGCTTCGCTACCACATCCCTGTAACTCAGATTGTATCAAATAATTTAGATATTCATTAGAATAATAACAACTATGATTTACCAGTTCCATTCTGGATAAGCCTGCAGACTTCCGCAGATGTCAACCCTAAGAACGAATTTCAGATGCCTAGTAACACGAGAATAAAATCGGAATGCTATAGGTAAACTAAATTTAGCAATCTATAAATTTGAAAATTAGTATAGGTTTTAGCAATGCAGACTAGATAGGTATCAAAATCTTCGGTATCTGTGCAGTTGGATGAATTCGGGAAGTGATTGAGTCAACCGTTCAGTCTTCGGGAAAGGGACATTTTGCCGGCTATGGGAGTATATAATACACACCACCGCATTAATATTTGGAGTCTGCTTGCTGCCTATTAAGAAGCAAATTTCCAAAGGTGTCTGATCAGAATGGGCGAACAGTACCTTGAGCTTGAGGTCACTCCCACAGACACCGCATTCAGCTTGATGGCCCAATTTGAAGCCGATCTGCACCCGAGGAAAGTTTCTCTCATTGCCGGGACTTACCGGGACGAAAATGGGCTTCCTTGGATTCTTCCAAGTGTTAAAGAGGTTTGATGGCAAATCTTCGAATACAGGATTTAACATTTTGCTGATCATTAGTAGGCAAAGGCTCGTCTCAGAGAATTTGAAAGTCACGAATACCTAGATATCGCTGGGGCTCCAGAGTTCATCAAGTTATCCCAGTCCCTGGTCTTTGGGCCAGAATTGACGACTACACTTGGCGACAATATAGCTTCAATTCAGACTGTATCGGGCACAGGAGCCAATCATATGGCAGCTGTTTTTCTCGCAAAGCATTTACCACCAAGACGTGTTTTCATTCCTTCTCCAACATGGATCAACCGCAAGACGATCTGGGCCTCCACAGATGTAGCAATCATGGAGTATCCCTACGTCGCACCACATACAGGAAGTGTGGATATAGAGGGGATGCTCTCGTTCCTGGAAGTAACCTCTGAGCCCAACGACGTCGTAATTCTTCAGCCCTGTGCACACAACCCTACAGGTGTTGATCTCAGCAGGTCTCAATGGTCACAGGTTGCAGATATCGTCCACAAGAATAGGTTGTTTGTCGTATTTGATAACGCTTATCAGGGTTTCGCATCAGGCAATGTGGACGATGATGCATGGGCTATGCGTTACTTCCTGAAGCAGCTTATGTTAAAAGATAACCCGCAGTTAACGGGTTTCTGCGTCGCGCAATCATTTTCCAAAAATTTTGGGCTGTATGGGGAGCGCGTTGGCGCACTACATCTTGTAGCACCTCCTCGTTTCTCTACCCACGGTGCTCGGTCAGCTCTCATCAATCTGGCCCGAGTAGAGTATTCAAACCCTCCCCGCTTCGGCGCAAAGATAGTTGAGACGATATTGGCAGACGAAAGGCTCAGAATTCAATGGCAGCGTGACTTGGTCACTATGAGCTCGAGAATCAAGGACATGAGGGGCAACCTCCGAAACCAGTTGTCAGAAGGGGATACGCTGGGGAATTGGTCGCATATCAGTAGTCAGATCGGTATGTTCAGTTACACGGGATTGGATATCGAAAGGGTCAATCGCCTCCGGAACGAATTTCATATTTATCTTTTACCCTCTGGTCGAGCGAGCATCTGCGGGTTGAATGGAAACAACATTGAGTATGTAGCAAGCGCAATCCGGCAGGTTGCAAAATCCGGTTGACCACTTCTTCTTCTTCTTCTCATTAGTATAGCTAAATAAACTCGTGTATCTTGCCTTCGATTCAACCGGGTTGCGGTAAAACTATTATATTCCATTTACACGCCATGTTCTTAGGAACAATCGGCTGATGCCCATCCCTCACCCCATAGTTCAGGCCAGTAGAGAGTATTTGGGTTATCGATTGAGGGATTATCAAATCCTTGTATAACAAGATCTGTGTCGGCGAGAAAATCCTGGAACGAAGGTTCGGCTAGCGCCATGCTTGCAGTGAGGCCATTGCCCCCGAGAGATTCCAACGTACCCTCGTTCGTGTTTGGTGTAATCTGTGGCAGCGACAGGACCAAATCGCTCTCATGAACAGCAGCCATACTTTGTTGCATAGCATCGATATGTTCACAAAATTCCTTGGCTCCAAAGCTACCACTTCGATCTAGTTGTTGCAGAAGCTCAACCGCATTGTCGAAATTGTGTTTGTCACCGTCGTTTTGTTGATTTCCTAAAAGGCTAGATATCGCAAGAACGGTCGCTGCAACGAAGAGGTATTGCGTATTGAAGTAGTCAAAAGTAGCGAATGTCCCATGAATCCATGCATCCGTAATGATCCGGTATGAGTGCCTGGCACATTGGATACAGGTTTCAGCTAGTGTCAGTGCATTCTCTGACACTCTATCACTCGGACCAACATCTGGGTCAGCCAGTGTATTCCTATGGCAATCAAGAACGTGTAGGAGAATGGGTCGCGTAGCCAGAATGATACCCTTCTGCCCTTAGCTTTGCATCGTGTAAGATTACGATTTACATACCTGATTGAAGCTAAGATGGAGATAAACAATATGTGCGCGGTCTGAAGAGGATGACCCGTCGTTTTTCAATCGTAAGTTAGATGGTAATTGTTCCAGCCAGGTACTGAGTTCCTTGAGAATTGATTGGACCCGCTGTGAAAATGGCTCACGACGGTGCGTTCGGCTGTAGATTTCTTTCGTGGATTTGGCAGCAATTTTGGATAAAGCAATACTGCACAGTTCATACTCCAAATCTCCGAAATCATTGCAATCTGTGCTATCACACCCATCTCTACTTGGAAGACTTACCAGAATGTCGTCATCGGCAATAGTGACAGGTAAACCGAGCTTAGATGCGCAAGTTCGATCGATTATGTAAATTGACCACCATAAGCGTACACGGTGCTCTATTACGAGAGGATCTCGGCATTGAGATTCCGGCATATTGAGATGCATGCCCATGATAAGGCCGATCCTAGCTGCCGAACTAGCAAAAAGATATGCTGAATGGCGTCTATTAACCGTAAAAGAGTACAGGCTCTAAAGTGCCAGCAATGAGTAAGAATGATTTCCAGAAGATGTATAATACACCTACAAGAAGAAGCGAGATTTCTATAATGTTCATATGTGGCCGTTCTGTTGGGAAGCAAACCATTCTTGTTACTTGCTCGAAGTAGGGGGATCCAGGAAATGCCGTTCCTTGCACGTGAACTGCAGTCTTTGCGGAATAAGCCTCTCCTAATGCAAAGAGCGCCAGAAGCTTGCCAATGACTAATCTTTCGCCGAGGCCGTTATTTTTGATGGCCGCTTCAAGACTTTCTTCGACTACACTTTTGCGGACGATGTGATAGTAGCGACATATGGAGGTTAGAGCTACTTTCAGTAGAAATCGTGCTCTAGCAGGGCTTGGCCATCGGAATTTCGATTCCTGAATAGATGATGCCAGCAAATCTGGAACGTAACTCGTTCGTGGTAAATGCCCAGTACAAACAGTACCTCACGTTTGACGGAATCGTGTAGAAAAAGCTGTATCTGCAGCCTCGCCAATGTGTATCGGCATATCTAAAGAGGACACGGCGTGAAACCATGGTCTTTCCTTAAACAGCGGATTTTGCATTCCTTCATCATGCTCCGAGGTTTCTTTCAACCTTTCTCCCGTCTGAACAGTAGGTAAAGGCGATGTTGGTGTGCCTGCAGTATTGTTTCGTAATCGTTCGATCTCTTCTAGGAGTGTCTCCACATATCTGTGGTAAATTAATGTCACAATCCCATCAACAGCTTGAATGGAATCTACCGTTGACTCAGCTTGATCTGACGATCACGGTTAGGGTAAACGCATTCAACATTTTGCCCACCATCGCGACAGGCTGCACAAGGCTGACCCCCTGAGCATTTCACTTTTCGCACGTGGCATCTGTGGCATCTGTTCTGGATTAGAGATGCTCAATCTCTCCAGTAATAATTACATACGCTATGGATTTACCCGGCTTCTGTACCAGCTGTGGCATCTCTGTCTATGCTGTAGGCTTCTGCCAGCAGATTGTTTTTCCGAAGTTAAGTTTAGCAGGAACAGACTCGGGAAGAATGAACTTTCCGGCTTTGTAATCTGAATGCACGTTGAGTGTAGCTTACGTCATTATTTCCATTGTCAATTGGAACTAGAACTGTTCTGGTAATTGACTGAAGGCAAGAAGAGGAAGCTTGTTAGCTAACGGAACGGGTGGTAGCCGAGGCTCCCTAGGCTTCGACCATACCTCGTAGGACAATCCCAAGCGTACTCGTACAACAACAGCCAGTAATGCTAATAATGATACTGCATATATTATTATTAAGTATGATTGGTACAATAAATATGACTAATTAGATTCTATAAAGTTTGGAATATCACCAACTTTGGTCAGTTACAATTTTATCCGATCCAAAAGAGGAGAATGACGTAACTCTGTACATTGTCTGCATGAACTGAAAAGGAAATGGTCATTATTTAGAAATGCACACTCATTTTGATAGGTCCTGCTGCACTATATTTTGCTCACTACTACAGAAACCCTATTTCGTGACTACCGATAATTAGCTTTACCAAGTGCACAAAGTTATGGCATTGCAAGCTATACTTACAGCTCTCGTGGGATTGAAAAGTGCCTTACATTTAGGGTTTCGATATGATCAGTCATCCTGTCTCGGAAAGACCTTGTCTACTGCTCCTTGCGTCTTTTCCCAGCCAGCTAGCTGCTCGATTCCCTCCGTCATCCATCGCTTCAGGTTTGGATATTTGTCCAATGGAATCTTCGATGCGGTGTACAGATGCAGGGGTGCAGCAACTGCAAAGTCCGCAATAGTGACATCTGTGTCACTCGTTAACCATTTGGTCCTACCTAATTGCTCGTTTAGAACATGCGCATAACGATGGAATTTTGGGGCTTCAGCGTCGAGGGCCTTTTGTTCGGGTTGTTGTTTGAAGAAACTTGGCTTTACAAAATTCTCGATGACATATACATAGCAGCACGGAAACCATGCCGATGCCTCCCAGAGTAGCCATCGATTGATTATAGCACGTTTTTTCAAGTCCTTCGGATACATCGTTTCGGCCCCAGTAGTGTCGGCAACGTATTGCAATATTGCCTAAAGATTCTAGATGAGATTGTTCTGCTGTCGTCTATAATACCTTTGACTACCTACATTTGATTCTGTAAGGGTCAAGTTAGGGCCGTCGGTGGCCGCCGGCACGGTAGCATGCGGATTGATTTTCTTGAATTCGTCACTCTTGTGTTCGCCGGCAAAGTAATCGACATATTGAATCTCATAATCCGCGTTCATCTGTTGCAGCGCAGCAAGGACCTTGCGACTGTTTATAGTACACTATTATGTAAGTCGAGCAAAAAATCAACCTTGAGGGGCTAGCATACTGGATCACAGTAGACTTTCAAAGCCATTATTAGTATAGCTCCTAAATACTGGCTGATGCGATGAATGAAAGCTTGATTGAAAGGGTGCGAGAATTCAGAGGTACAAATAATTTCAATAATCTATCGACTCTAATGGAAGAACGTGTACTTGTGTTAGATATATTTAACCTTAGGGTCATGCACTACGATAGAACGGCTGCACTAACTTCCCCGCATGATAGAGGCTTTTTGTAACTAGAATCATTATTGCAGCACTAGCGACTTAGCAGCAAATCAGTACAAAGAACAGACCGGACACGACTGCTGTGCGATTGGACTTGATCATTGTTCCCTACGTAATTCTCCCTCTACTAGCCAATTATTGTTTTTAAGAGGTACGAGGATAAATCACTACCTACATCGTCTTAACAGAAGCAGCTGAAAGTAGCCAGAACTTAGATCTCTTGACATATCAGAGGGAAGAAGGCCCCCTGGCACTGCCTTGACGTGGAAACAAGGCGGTAACACTAGTCAGTCGGTTCTATGGGAGTCCTCTTCAGATAATAATAGTCTGGGCCGCTTCATAGACGTTCTGTCTCGACTGAAACTCTACTCAACAATTATCTACATACAGCTGATCTGGTTTGAATTATAGCACTATTGCCGCTGTTTATACAATGCGTTCACCTAGACACATGATTGACTTACTTAACAAGGTATTGAGCATAGCGCTTACAAGTAAATACTTGAAAGCTGGAACTGTATATTCTAACACACTTCAGAACTGAGATACTACAGTCCCAACTTCCATTTTCTTTGCAAGTGCCAAAATCGCATTACCAGCAGCTAAATCAGTTACACTAACGCCGATGCTCTTGTACACGACAAGGCCCTGCGCAAGCCATGCAGCCATGTCTTTAGTCATACTTCCGTTACGCTTCTGAAGTAGGATCTCTCCAATCTCTCCCATTTGCATCCTCCCCAATCCACTTTGCACAATCTCTCCAGAATGTACAAGTGCGTTGTCTACATCGTCTACTAAAATTGTCTGTGGTGTTTTCCCATCAACGCATATTCCTTCAGCGTTGGCAGCGTATCGGAGAATCTCTGGATCTACTTCAATCATATTGGCTTGCCAGGAGCCGACTGCAGTAATCAGAGGATATTGTTCCTTTCTACCCTCCAACTTCAATGAGGCCAAAGAGAACAATGGCTGCTGGGAAGGCAGCGTGCAAAATATCACATCTGCTGTTGAAAGCTGGCGCTGTAATCGCCTACTGTCTTCGAGAGAGGAAGAATTCAGAAAACCAAATTCACAAGTAGAATTCCACCGGGAGTCATTGTCTTCTCGTAATGTCTGGATGAGCTTCTGTGCTCTCGGCTCTGACCGATTGACAATCGTGATCAACGCGGTTTCCGTTCCACGGAGTGCAAGTGCGAGTCGGATATGCCATAACGCTTGCATCCCTGCGCCAAACACGATGATACTACTAGTCTTGCGGCGCAAGACATAGGGAATCAATGCATTCAACGAAGTACGGTAGCTTGTAATTTCCTTTGCGTTCAGTAGCCCTGTAGGAATACCTTGATCGTCGCAAAGTATCAAGACTCCATTTAGGGGAAGCTGCTGATTGCCACTCTCGGGTATCGATGGACATGTCTGTCGAGATGGTACATCTGCATGTGCTCGATTTAATGCTGGATGTACTATGATTTTTATCCCTACAGCGTTTGGAGAGGTAAAGGGCCTGAAAAGAACCTTCTGATTATTGGATCGATTTACAATCCCTGGTTGGGGCTGATACTGGCGCTCTCCTTTACTGCTGTAGTCTATCAAACAATCTTCTATCTCTTTCTGGAACTGTATAACTTCTTCTTTAGATAGATTGAGCAATAATCTTTCGATAGTTGCATTTCCCAGGATAGTAAGTGCCGACATCGATGCTACCAGAAATGCAACAAGGTGAATTTTATGGGATCAAAATTAAATATTATAGGCGTTTGGGCAGATTCCTGTCTAAAAGCCCTATTGCACGAGGTCTTTACTTTGAGGTGTACGTGACCTATTTATTGTATAGCGAATCGGAGTTATTCCGACGTCGCAAAATCTACGTTCTGCCATATTTCTTATCGGTACAGATCGGCTGCTCTACCGTAGCGTCTAGCCAGATTACCCGTCTTCCTACATGTGCACCATCTTGCATTGTTATTGACCCATGTTAGTGCATGTATTCAAGTTAGATTGTTTGACAACGATGCTTAATGTTAGCTTATTGAATTCGGACTTCTATGCTCTGTTCAGTTTGGTAGAGTTTCTTTCCCTGTTCAACAAGGGCTTCACTACGGCAGCAGTCCCGACATGACGTGTGCTTGCATAAAGCGCGTCTCGACTGAGAACATGTACAAGCACATATAGATCCGGGTAGATGTTCATCCTGCAGAAGAAATAGATCTCAAGTACCAACGAGGAACTTTCAATGGTTTAGTTGTAACCCTTCTCTTTGCAACCCACCTCATCAAAGATAAAAGACAGAGCCTACTATCTAGAAAAGGTACTATTCAAGCAATACTGCGAAAACATAGGAGCCTCTGACAGGGAGCTATAGGAAAATGCGCATAACGGACATTACAGTCTACAGCTATATCGCTGAATACAATGGTGGGACATATTCCATGTCCAACGGGCGGACCTGTACAGGTCAGCCATCTATTGTAGTTCGCATTCGTACAGACAGCGACATTGAAGGCTGGGCAGAAAATGCGCCTCTTGGTAGCGACTACTTGCCCAGCTCTTTCACTGGAGAACTCGCCGCGCTGAAGGAACTTGGCCCGCAGATCCTCGGCCTCGATCCAAGGTGCCCAGGGGCAATAAGTGCGAAGCTTGATCGCGCTATGATGTCGGGCATGTCAGCCAAGTCTGTTATTGATATTGCATGTTGGGACATTCTAGGTAAAGCCACCGGCTTGCCGACTCATATTCTACTCGGTGGACGACTGTTCGATGCACCACCTGCTTTCTCGGTTATTGGCTTTGGAGAAATTCCAGTCGCAGTCCAAAAGGCTTTGGCCGAACATGCCAAAGGAGTAGTAGCCATGCAAGTCAAGGTTGGGGATGATCCACTTGTTGACGCCAGAAGGGCCCGAGCCATTCGAGAAGCTCTTCCGGAGAGTGTGAATATTTTCGCGGACGCCAATGCCAGCTGGAATCTGTCCCAGGCACTGATTTTTGCTCGTGCCCTTGGGCAGGACGTTACAATACCATTTGAACAGCCATGCAGGTCTCTCTCAGACTGTGCACAAGTGGCCCGCCTTACTGGACTTCCAATCATTCTTGACGAGTGCATCGTTACAATGGCTGACCTGGTGACAGCACATGCGGCGGGCATAACTGGAGTTAACATTAAGCTTTCCAGGGTTGGTGGTATTACCAAGGCTCGCATTTTGCGCGACACAGCTGTGGCATTAGAAATGAATGTCAACATTGACGATACATGGGGTTGTGCACTAACAACAACACAAAATCTTCAATTAGCTGCTTCTACACGCCCAGATCGGCTAGGTGCTGTAGACTGCTTTGCTGAATGGACACATCCACTGATAGCTGAAGTTCCCCGGATGCAGGTAAATGGCAGGCTAACCCCTTCCTCAGTACCTGGTAATGGGTACAGGTTAATTAATGTAGAAATGCTAGGAGAGCCCTTATTCTATATTAGTAAATAGTTTAGGTATAAGGAGCTAAACCTTACTCTAATAGAAAGCTTTTTTATAAATATAAGAACTATTACTAGTTACTTAATTTATAGATATTATTATAGACTAGTCTTAATAGAGTGTAAGGGTTGCGCAGAGCTTGCAGATACCTGATAACAGTAATGAATTCGATAGAGGTCTTAGAGAGCCTCGAGTAGGGATTATAAGAATCCCTTACGAAAACCACGCTAATTCTAACTAGGAAACTCAGGAGAAGTACTCAACTACACTGGCCACCAAGTGCCCTCGACGGGCAGCTGGTAGTCGTACTGCCAGTTCCTTCAAACTCTCGTCTTGCAAAGGATAAATTCCTTGTGCTTCAGTAAGTATCTTTGCCTGGCTGTACGCCTGAATGTAACAAAGCCCACCGTTAGCATCTGTTGATTTCTTTGGTGGCTCTACTGTAAGACAAAAAATGTCACCAAGGTTCCCAACATTATAGACACTATAATTGCCCTTACTGTTGTTAAACCCCTCCTTGATAAGCTTTGCGTGCAAATCCTCCACGCAACATTTCTTCCACAGATAAGTAACAGCAGGGTATCCGCTATTACTGACTGATGGCGATGGACAGCGTGACCCTATGAAGAGCCCAAGGTCTAATGCCATTTGAGAAACATATTCTTCGTCGAAGTACTCTAAAAGCTTCTCGTCAAACTTTTCCATAGCCTCGTAGAGGTCATGCGCTTGTGCCTCTGTCTTGATGTTTTTAACATCAAAAAATATAAAGGCATCGCGGAAATGTCCTAAGGATTTCTCTGGATCATTGATTGTCCTCTCGATTTCTGTCCAGAGTTGAGCGTTTTGCTCTGGAGGAACCGAGTAATGAGCCTTCTGCTTATATCCTATTCCTCTTATCTGATTTTCCTTTGACTTTGCGCATGCACCCATCTCCGCAAGATGGTGAGATAGAGGGAGGTTTGCAAAGGCAGTTCCAGGAAGAACATTATGTAATGCTGG